ACACGTTCAAATTGTTATCAGGAGGTATGCTTACAAGGAACTAAAAAATTGAGTTCATGGTTTTTTTTTCTCAAGAAATCTACATCTATGCTAATTAAATCTTACTCTTTAAACTAATTCTGATCTAGAGCGGCTCACACACGAAATGAGCGCCTGTCGACTTATTTCTTCAAGATATGAGCTGTTCTGGCTGCCATTGCTTGCTCAGTCTACCACTACTGCAGAAATTGAAATGCGACTGGATGTAGCCTGAGTATGGCAAGTGCACATGCTGTCACCTGTCAGTTACAAAGGGGACTGTAATGAATTTTGTCGCAACTTTGGTGAATCATAAAATATTGGTCGCTGAGCAACGTCAGAATGGGCTTGTAAAGGCCCGGGCCTATGGGAAGAACTTTATCCTGGGGAACCTTTTGAAGGTGACCTGACGGGCCTGGAAACAGTGTTCCTGATTTTAGGTTCAAGAATTCAGGTTCCCTTAATTTTGTGTTAGTTTACACCGTCTGCATTTTGGGAAATTTTGTGACACAGCTTCTTTAAGTAAACCTTCTGCAAAAAGTTTTCACTACCTCATTTTCCATCTGTTTGTTTCCTTCCCCATGGATCAACCCTTAGCATAAAGCACCCTTCATCTTTTTCCACTCCCATTACTTTTTTCACATTTTCTTTAAAGCCCAGGCTTCACTGCATATTTTGTTATGCAGCATTTGCATTATGTCACAATAAATTATATCGAGTTACCGGTACATTTCAAAGACTTCTCAGTCAAATAACGTTACTCCATGATTTGCTCAAAAGAGAAAATTGTAGCGACCATCACGTTTGGAAGTGACTGATACATTACGCATAGGTGATAGATATAAAAGTAATACTAAAAGACACCCAAAATTTTTTTCTACATGACAACTTAAATCTCCGGGAGTTTAAAGATAAAAATCTCACCTCACATGCCAACGAGGTGAGATTCTGTAGTGTTCTTAGCTGCGAGGATCTCTTAATTTAATCTCTTCACCGCAGTGCAAATACATGAATTTCATATATCTAAAACCATCATTCATTACTTGGATGGTTTATTTGGACCCAACACATTTACCAGTTGGCATGTTAGCTCAGTTGGTAGAGCGCTGCACCGGTATCGCAAAGGTCATGGGTTCAAATCCCGTACGGGCCTGAATTTTTCAGGTCCTATTTTCAACTACTCGAATCAGTAGTGTTCTTAGCTGCGAAGATCTCTTAATTTCATGTTAAGATTTGATTGCACAACAAATGCGTTTGAACCATTTGGACGATGTCTTCCTCTTTTACATCGACAAATTTTGACAGACAACGACAAAAACATAGATTTCTCGAAGCAGCTGGGTCATAACGTAGTGTTAATCCCCATTTATTGGCCTCCAGGAGGCTTTGTAGACGTCGATTTGCCACGAATCTGTAATAGCATGTAAATGATATGCATGAATTTTCAATCGTTTGCCACTCAAAAATAAAACATTGAATGACAACAAAACAAAACAAAACTTACCTTAACAAACAATGAAAAAGATGAAAGCAGATAACAAAATGATAGTGAAAGGAGGGCGAGGATGACAAAGACTCATGCCAAATAGCCAATAACCGAAGAAAACGAAATGGAGTGGAAACTAACTTGAGTCTCGCATGGCCCACATGAGGATTCGCACGGCTCGCTGGCTCGCAACTTGTCAAGAATCTTGAGCTTCTACCTCCGAGAAAGGGGAATTTCTTTTCAGAAGACGAGGGTTTGCGGGCGATAAGTTCGGTGGGTAAGGAGTTTTAACTTTTTCATCTCTCACCGTTACACTTTCAACATTCTATAGAGATATAAAATTTCCGTTTTTGTCGATTGTTGAAATCGACCTGACTTTCGCAAGGTTGAAGTCACGAAGACAATTCAATATTTTTCGCTTTCTCTGACTTACTTATTGGGAAATCTGTGAAACATCTTTGACGGAAATCTTTTAAGATGTGTAGGATGGATCTGTCACCTTTGCGCAGCAATCTTGTACGGCCAGAAGTATTTAGTTATACCTTAAGTTCGATTCTCCCGATAAATTTTTCATTATCCTTGTCTGCATGGCTAATATCGCGTACCACGAAGTTTTTTACCTTCGAGACGATTATCCAAATATTATTAACATGTGTGAATTGCAATTATTCAAATGGCTATTTAATTGATAAAGTTTTACGCAGTCATATCAAACAGCCGCTCTCAATCAAGTAAAGGATGTGCATTTGTAACGCGAATTCAACTAGACTAAGTTCACGTATGCAAATATCTCCGTACCATTATTGAAATCATTAGCAGTTAATCCGTCCAGTATAAAGTCTTGGGAGATCCGGAGCTATATAGACTTAGATATTTTGTTTATTTAGAGAAAATATTGCTTTTTTTTTTTTTTTACTATTTTAATGATTTTCCTTAAGAGTGAAGCGTTTTGATTCAACCGCTATTTATAATGTACCCCCGAAATTTGTGGCGCAGATGTTTTGAGATGCATAATATTCATTAAGGTGATAAATGAGCCACAATAATGCACTTCTGTGATAAATAGAGACTGGCGTTACATTGCATCTGCCTCTGCTTCTACCACCGCAGGAAGATCCTAAAGAAAAAAATTTGAGTTTTTTCGGGAACGAAAATAGTAAACTGCAGCAATCCGGTAACGATATCGTAAGTTCGCTTTATGACACACTATGGAGGATAATAACTTCAATAAACAAATAGTTGGCAAAAAATTCGAGGAGTCAGTAGATTAGGACATATTTAACGGAAATCAAGACAAAACGAATAAATTACTTTATTTTACAAAGTATAATATTTTAATTGCAAGTGATTAATGAGTTTAAAAATCTGAATTTTTTCCACTACCATCCAGAGACGTGATTCAATGCAAATGTAAATCGACATGTCACGCGGCAAGATTAAACTCAGCATCGACTTAGTGGAAGCGGCCTTTGCCCACCGCCAATTCTTACAGCTTGTTGATGATCATCCAAGTCTATATGCTGGTCCACACGTTCAAAACGCAATCAGAAGGTAGGTTTGGTTCAACTGTACTGTTGATCAATCATTTCAAATATTTAGGAGTATGGCCTGTGGGATCGAAATAGAAAGCCACACTGTTTCACTTTCAACTGTTCAAATATGTTTGCAGACACGTCACGAAAACAGTTTTAACGAACAATCAGGGGCACAATTTTAAATGCAGAAAGTTTCATTTATTTTCAACGTCCCGAGTATAATCGATGGATTTTTATCATTGCTTTCACCAAAGTATATATCGTAAAAAGTTCGGTTAATTAAAGTTCGGCCCGAGAATAAGTCTGTTATGCGGGTATCAGCGGCCATCCCGAGGGGTCGACCCCCGGGCAACCCAAGGGCAACCCACGGGCTTAGCAGGGGATTTGTAGCAAAGGCATGCCCCGCACGCGGGGCATTAGAGCGCTTTTGCGTTTTTGGCAAAATACCCCGGGGCCATACCCACGGGATCTGCTGTTATTTTTGCTTTCCTACAAGGCCCAATGAGCGTAAGAAGTAGGAGGTTTTCTGTAAGCGAGCGGATAAAAAATTCAAGACACTCGGCGATCCAAGAATCTGTTCATTGCATTTTAAGGAAAGCGACATCGAGATTTCAATTTCATACGGTTAGTTCGCATTCGAAGCGTCTTGCCGATAGGAAGAGACAGTGTGATGAACAACCGCAAGCCAAGAAAGTTTGCCTCAGAAAGCTCGAATTTGAGGACTCCATAGAGACTTGTGTGGATTTTAGTGCTGATATGGCTTCAGTAAACCATGATCACTCGTACTTTTGCATCGAGGAACAGGTAACACCGACTATATGTTGCCCAGGTTGCTCCAGGGGTGGGGGTATTTGTCCCAATTTTTTGCCCTACCCGAGGGGCTTTAGCATGTATTTGTCACAGCAGCTGTGACAAATGCCCCTGGGTGCCCGGGGGTGGACCCCTCGGGATGGCCGCTGATACCCGCATTACATGTAGAGTGCGACTTTTAAAGCGGCCGGTCAGAGTTATTTAGTTTCTGTCAGATGTGGGGATTGATTTAGTGAGGTTCCCACTCTCACTTTTCACTTCTGAATATTACGCACTGAACTAAGTGAAGAGGCTGAAAAATGAGAGGGTAGAAAGTTAAAGTGTAGGCTCACTAAATAGCGAGAGACAAAACGAGAATAATAAAATCAACGAGTTCAACGTATCAAGAAATGGTCTGTTGTTCCGGCTCAACTTCTCACATTAAGTATTAAACAATAGTCCTTTTGCTCTTTGTAGCACTGAGGGACTTCGGCCGAAGCGGCGCGAAAAGGTTCGTGAGTAATCGGAAAAAAAATTTTCGGTGTATTTTTAACCTCTCTCAGCGTACTTTTTTTTATCGGACAGTCTTTAATCATGCTTGTGATAAACAAATCGGACTTCGACTGCGCGGTCGTCCGATTTTGTTATCACTCGTATGATTACAGACCGAAGTGGACTCCACCAGTCCTATTACCATTATTTATTATTATTATTGTCCTGAAATGTTACGGTATCGGGCACCCATAGTATCCTCCTAGCCATGGAGTGTATTCAGTCCTAACGGTCAGATTACAAGAAAGCCTTTGACTTAACTTTAAACTGATTTTAACCATTTTTAACTTTTTTCCCTTTCTTTTTCAGGTATGAACTTTTCTGGCTGCCTTTGCTCGCTCATTTTACGACCTCAGAAATTGCGGCACCACTCGACATCGCGTGGGTTTGGCACGTGCACATGCTGTCACCCGTCAATTATGAAAGGGACTGCAACGAAATTGCCTCTACTCTGCTAGATCACAAGATCCTAGTTGGAGAACAGCGTCATAAAGGGCTTATTAAGGCCAAAGCTCTGTGGGAGAAGTTGTATCCTAGCGAGCCTTTTGAAGTTGACCTGATGGCCCCTGTTAACAATGCGCCAGATTTCAAGTCAAGACTTGAGTATGACATCGCAGCTGCTTGTACTCGACAGAGAGTATTTTATTATCAGGTGTCCTTACCTCACTTTGAAGATAAGAAATTCTTGACTAAAGCAATGGAGAGATATACATGGCATCTCATGCTCAAGAGAGATAACCCAGAAATGTTTCTTGTGCCTTGCTACGACTTTGACCTCATTTGGCATGCGCATCAGGTAAATCCACTGCTATACAAAAAAGACACCACGGAGATACTGGGTAAAGTACTCAAACATGATGATTCAGTGAACGACCGTCAGCCTGGCTCAAAGCTCAACATGTCTGAAGAAACAACCCGCGAAAAATGGAAAAACCTGGGCCAAGAATTTGCAGTGAACGGAGCCATGTTCCGTGGAGAGCCTCCTCTTGGAACTAACACACTGGCAGGGCCCATTGACTACACTTGGCTGGCAGCACTCGAGTACACTGTAGATTTGACCAAATTGGAAGTTGAAGGTCTCCCTAAACCGAAAGCGTACACTATTAAAATCGATGTCATGAATGGTGAGCGGGTCCTTAAGAGACAGATTCGAGGGCCAAATGCCACACTTTCCGAATCCAGCAATGCCTTATCAACGTTTACGTTTAAAACGAAGAATAGCAGTAATCTGAAGGTAAGAGTTTTAATGCTTTAATAATTTATCTTCTATGATTCAGAGTTATTTATCAGTTGTCTCCTTCTCGTCTGATTTATTATGGTAATTACACTGAGTGCAATTTGGTCTGAAATCATCAACGTGATTTGAAATCAAAAGTATGATTTCAAGCCAAAATTGCACGACACGAAATTCGATTACACTTTATTACACCTATTTTGAAATCGGAAAACTCGTTCGCTTAATGCAGTTTTTAGTTTGTAAAAATATTTTATTGAGCTGGTTTGTAAAAAGATGCAAAAGTTGTCTCTCATTTCCCTGCAATTTGAATGATTTCTTTAAACAAGTTTGAAATTGATTGGTTGTTGTGTTTTGGTAAAGGTGTCTCATTGGCTGGGACAAAGATGCGATTAAGAGCATAAAATGGTAAAATAAATCGCGCCGGTGAGAGCCAATCGGATTGCAAGGATCACATGTGATTTCACGCGCAACAATAAAGTGGCTGAGACATGAACACCAAGCCCAGTGTGATGAAATCTTGTTTAGTTGAATCAGTTTCGGGTAGTTAAGTAACGGTGGTAGGTGAAAAGGGTGATGATGATCAGGGAGACCACTGGTTGGCGGAATCGTCAATTGTACACCACTGGGATTTTGTGCATTGAAGGGCAATCGTTAAATGATATGTCATAGGACCAAAATTAAGTGTTATTCATCTTAAGATGCCATGTATTGCTGCAAGGCAGCAATACATCTTAATAAGTCGCTACCGGCAAAAGAAACATTATTTGGTTCAAAACCATCATTAACTTTGTATTTATTTTATCAGGTTCGCATTTATCAACCAAGAACATGCTCTTGCTTTACACATTCACTTGATGAGTCTGACCAGTACCTGTTTGTAAACCATCTGGTTGGCAAAGTTCCTTACCAAAGCACCGCCAAGCCTGAGCCAGAAACGCACAACTTAACTGTGGCTGAGAACTTCAATGTTCGGTTTACTACTGTAATTCATCCCCCCAAACTAGATGGATACTATTTTACCGTGAGACCAGAGAGAAATTTCAGCCCAGTCCAACATCCCGGTCAGATATTAAGCTCGCCGACGCTCTTCCTTTCGCCAGCTTCTTTAGCTTCCCCATCGGCACCTTGCGAAATGTCGCTCCATCGGGTACTTGACAGTGGGCTTCGACAGGCGTTTACCTGCCGAGTGGTGCACTCAGCTTTGTTGGTGTTCTCTTCCGTGGAGGTTATCAACCAATCTGGTTGCGTTGTTAGTACGGCTCACTTACTACGGGGGAGCATACTTCCTACGAAAGAACAGGTGAGCAAGCCACAAAAATGTTGCACTTTGGATGAGAAAGCAGGAGAAAGAGCAATGCTTATTAGAGGAAGCAAAGACTGGGGAGTCTGCATCGGAAAATGGGAAGGGTTTGTCAAGGGTGTCCCTGGCGTGCCTGGAATAAAAGGGCAGCCAAATAAACCAGGTGTAAAAGGAAAACCTGGCGTGAGAGGCCAACCTGGACATTTGTCCATCAAATTCTTCTCACTGTCTGGAACTAAAGAGTGGAAAGAGGTAGAAAAGCAAGGAGATCAGTTCTGGGTAAGTCTTAGCAAAAAGACGAAGCTCAGCATCGATTTGCGCACAGGCTTGATTTCGTTTACTTCTGAAGTACATCACGTGCCAGAGGTAATTGCACTCGGATTTTCAATTGCCATTCTTCATCTTTTATGCCAGCGTTACACTCCAGTCGGAAGTACAGATTATTCAAAACCATCAGTTTGTGCATCAGGACAGGCCGACAAACCAGGCAGAATTCATAATGAAGACCTTGCATTAATAGTGGCAGCCGGGTACTATGCCAACAGTGTACCAACTAACTCATACCTAAAGTATGCGATAGGAGGAGGTGCCTGCGGTGGATGTGGTGGATGCGGTGGCTGTGGTGGCTGCGGTGGATGTGGTGGTTGCGGTGGATGTGGTAGCTGTGGAGGATGCGGTGGTAGCTGTGGAGGATGCGGTGGTTGCGGTGGTTGCGGCGGTGGCTGCGGAGGATAATTGACTGAGATGATGCTATAAATATTCATTGTAACAAAACATTGATGATCTGAGACATTTAAGTCATTTAAATAATCTGACTACATTTTATTTCCGCAATTACAAGATAGAAACCTTGCAGAAAACACGCAGAGTATAGGCAAGATCACTTGTAACTTAAAGACACTAGTAAGAAACGGCAGAAGTTTGTGTAATCAAAAACCTTTTCGATTTCAAAGGTCTCGTATGGATTTATCACGAACAGTTTCTAACTTCCTTGCTGTGTCATAAAATACTAATTCCGATTAACCCCGAACCGTAAGGTTCGGCTTGTTTTCCCAGTAAGTACGCTCTTTCAGCATGTCACAGAACTGTAAAATAACAATATAATGGAAATAATATTTGCTGTAAAGGCCTGTGGCAAAATTCTTTGTATTTACCCCAATCGATTGCTTTCCAGAATCCACTCCAAAGATATATGTTATTTTTGACGATATCCAACGATTTCGAAACGATTGTAACTTTAGCTGTTTAGCTGCCACAGAGACAATTCGCGCTGACGAAGGGCTAACGCTCGAAACGTGAGCTTTGAACAAATTTTCATCAGAGGAGATTTTTCCGGATCCATAATTGTTACCGAATTCATCAATTTTAGGGTTATCGTATTCATTGACGTTTACGTTGGTTACAAGGCTGTTTCCTGCCTTAATCGATAACAACAAAATTCTTCCCAAGTAAAAAGGGCTAGAGTTGATTAAGATACAGATTTGAGTTGGACAGATAGTGAAGTTGAACTTCTGCTCGCAGTCGTTCGTGCATATTCTACCCAAAAGAATTACGAAGGTTTGGAATGGGAGAGCATCAAAAGCAAATTCGAGGAAATCAGGAAAGAATTCGTCACGTTTTTATAAACAACAGAATGGATAGGCACATAAACTCAGCCTGTTCATCAGGGAAAGGATAGCAAACCGTCTAAAGGTCGCAGGCAGAAAAGCACCCAAATTCATTCTTCAAATCGTTTTTACTCATAGGCTTTCTGGTTTAAAAAGTTTTCGGACTTGATGTTCCAGATTTCGAATTCAAAATATCCGGAGACTCGACCAAAGAGGGAAAGTTTTATTTCGGATTTGTCTACTTGCTGTCTTGTGAATATCATGGTAATCATTTGCTTCGATCACACAGCACATCTCATACCTCTAAATCAGCATCGCCGTCCTCACAAATTACATTATACATCTTGCCGCGTGGGGCTAATCTCCATGAGCTCCAGAAACTTGAGCCTGCGATTTTGTTTCGCCAGGGAACATGAGCTCGAAATGACCTCATAAAATTTCGTCATGCGGTTTCCAAAAATTGGAAACAGTTCCAGCGTTACCAAAAGAGTAAAAGAGAAAAAGATGTATACACCTTAATCATATGTAAATAACAGTTAAAAAAAGCAAACAAAAAAATTGCATAGTCTGTACGGTCAGCACGGTCTGCACAGTCTGCATGGTCTGCAGTCTGCGTTTTATCATGACCGATGCAACCACAATAGAGTGCAGTTCACTCACATGGTCGATAAGTATGCAAATTTAGGGGACAAAACAAAATTGTTTACACAACAAAAGCGCTCAAATCCCACAAGATTTGCTTGGAACACCAATTGCAACATGGCGACGGACCACACGTTTCCAATTACGATCAACTTTGAACAAAGATATATATACAGATATTAATGGGAGCCGGGAGAGGTCTATTTCTAAGTCGAATTTTAGGCATTTAAACGTAAACCGCTCTCTTTGATATTTAGCATTCGGAGTAACAAATTTGAAGATTTTATAAGGCATCATATCTCAGTGCGAATAGAATAAGCGCATTTTAGGGTGAAACACCATTTTCTAGAAAACACAAAATAGCGGCGGGCCACCTTAAACCTTTATAGAATCATTGCTCTGGAGAATTCATAGCCGAAGTAATGTGACTTGACTTGGCTAACCTTATTAAGAAAAAAAAGGTAGTATAGAAAGGAGAATCTGTTATTCTTGGAAAATAATCGTGTAAATGCAGATCTTTCGCAATTTGCAAAGGTTCAAGTATAGTTGAGTTGGTTGAACACCGTTTCATGCGCAATCTCATAATGTCAAACATCAACGCCAATTACGTGTAGGAAAATAAGCTTTTATTAGTCATAGTCTTTTTCTTAGTTATTACAACTATTTTCAGTTTAAATTTTTGGTCAATACTATGGTTTTTTGTCTAAAAGGAAAGTAAAAAAGTATTTTGAGTTGATGGAGAAAAATTTTCGTGCTGTTTTATTGGCAGTTCTAAGTCAATTTTGGATTACAAAAATTGGCCTTCTTTTCCCAGTCAGAACAATGTTATGCTGTGCTAGAACAACTTTTTAGTATAACAGTTATTTACAAATTAAAAATTATAAGCAACGATTTGAACTGTTGGTTCTCTTGATATAGTTAAATCACTTGAAGAATTAACCTCGCGGAACGTGAATGAAAGAAATATGGCCTCGCCTCCACAGAGTTGCTAAAAAAAGATGGGGAATAAATGGTTATTGGACTTGCTAGACGGACAGTCTCCATGGGTATTCCTAGAAGAAAAATTTATCCCTTAATTTGCTGTAATATATATTTCTTGTAATTTTCAAATGTTCAGTTATGGAAATATGAACAGACAAGTATGCATTCACAAACATGTCCTTCAATGACAAAATCGACCATTGAAGTCATTCCTAGATAACGAAATACGAAAATTAGGAGCGAACCAGAAACTAAAATCTGGATGGAATCTGCAGGGGTAGAATCCGGGATCCAGCATCCACAGCGTGGAATCCAGAATCTTATACTGTCCTGGATTACCTTACATGGGCGAATTAAGTAAGTTTAAGTAATTTGAATCACTGACTAAATCGAATCACGAAGACTTACAAGCCACTGTGGAGAGGCGCAAAGTAGAACTTTATAAAAAAAACCCTACACACCAACATTTGGCAGATGACGGAACTCCTCGACCTACCAACCAGAGTTTCATGACGGAGTTACTTTTGGAAATAATAAGAAATGGTAATAGAAATAAATAATAATAACTTACTCTTTCGCTATGCTCACTCGTTTGCTTTTTTAGATGCATCGCAACTCTTGAATAAAAAATAGTTCGTGTGCACTTTCCGTGGAATAATCTCACAAGTCCCTATCCTTTTTTTCTTCTCACTCGTTAGTTTTCATTTACGTTACTTTTGCTATTCATGATTCCAGCGCACGAAATTCTCTTAGCCTAACTCCTTATGTTTCGCACTGATTTTCTCTACTTCCTCCTCTTTGAACGTCTGCCTCTCAGAGTCTACAATTGCGTTCTAGTATGGATTGCAAGGTAATAATATAATTACAACATTCTTTCAAGCCATAAAATATAACCGTTTATTAAATGTAGTTATAGAATACACACTGAGTTACTAATTTTAGATTATGAATGTAGACAAGAGAATAATTTTTTGAAGCAGAACAGCCATTTTTTCATTCAACACAGAAGTATAATGAACTCAACTTGAGCTCTCTATTTTTAAAGGCGTTGAAAACCATATTTACGGTGCTTCACCTTGGATCATTACATTGTGACCCTAAGGGAAATGATAAGCTAATTACTTAATTATTAAAATTCAGAAGTGTCAACATCTATTGGAAGTCAACCCATCTAGCGGTGATACTCATTTTCGGAGTGCAAAAGCATATCTCGCAAATGGCAAATAAATCATGAACACTTAATTACGTTTCCTCATCTCAAGTAAAACTTCATTAAAACGCGCAGCAAAAATTACAACAGTCGCTTTACTTGAAAATCACAACTCTGGTAAAGAAATCTGTTCTATACGGGCATGACATTGGCGCCTAGTTTCAGCCATATATATATATTTTAATTAAATTTCGGTTCTCGTACATTTACAAATAATCTTAAAATATTTCCTCTATCTACTTCAGAGTACAATGAAATATTGCTATGTTTGCCTGGATTTTCAAAAAACATACCCGCTGACATTTATATAAGGTTTCTTCCAAAAGCTCAGAGATGGGGAGGGTAAAAAACTTAGGGTTTGATTCTCAGTAAAGGGAACTTTTAGTAGACATCATCAGTCGCTCTTTGTCGTAGACTGTCCCAGTTGGTGAGGGGAAATTGATTTTTACCAAGCAGGGGGTAGAGGACGAGGATTCAGTTGACAATGGACTTTAAGTCTGTTGTCCTAGTGGGACTAAAAGTAAGATATTTAGGGCTTATTATCACTCAAAGCGCATTGCGCGACTTCCAAACGTTTTCACTTGGTAAAAAATATTTTCTGGGGATAATTTAATCAATAATTATGACCTTTTTTCTGGCAAATAATTTTTCAAAGCAAAAATACGAACGCCTAGGAAACTTTGAGGGGAAGATGCGCTTTTAAATTCCGCTTTACTTTCTATATCAGCACGGAGGATTATACTGACCGGAAGAAATTTTCCATTTACCTGGATAGGCCTTCTGTAAAATGAGTCTGGTGAACTCATAAAATCCACTCCATGTTTTAACTCTAAACATGTAATCCTTGGGCGGGTCGGAGGCTACCTTTACCATTTCGTCCATTCCCTTTACGTAAGATCCCACAACAAACACTAAAATCTTTACTTGTCTTTTCTTTAGCTCCTGAGCGTTGGGTATGGTTAAGTGACGTTGTGCGTTTGACTGACCATCGGTGATAAGAATAACTACCTTTTCTGAACCTTCACGACGACCTTGGATCAACGGAAGAATATTAAGAGTTAGTGAAATGCATGTTCGTTTTCTTCAAGCTTCTTGAAGGAAGTCTTTCATGCAGTATTCAGTGATAAAGGTCAAATGTTTAAAGATTAGAGCGAATGTTGGTGCCTAGTGTTTACGGAATAAGAAACTTAAATTGTGAGTTTGAAGACTTCTCATCTAGATGTGCCAGGGATATATAAAAACATTTTCATCAGGTCAGTCATGCGCTCAAAAAGGCTAGATTTTGAGTCGTTGGCTATACTGAAGTTCGCAACTGCTTTGATTTTGTTCTCCTTCACGAAAAAAAGAAGGCAAAGAGATTTCTTAAGGCTGAATTGTTTTGATTACTAAGGCAAGATGAAAAAAATTATTTCCCCCACCCTTCCTCTGTTGACTACAAAAAAAATTTTAAGGTAAATGAAATCCCGTTTTGTTCTTGGGATCATTAGAACATTTTTTGTCGTTCCGTAAGACTCAAACTTATCAGACCATTAGTCATGAACATTTTGAGACACCCAAACAGAGGAGCTCTTAAGGTCTCAGAGGCCAGAATTAAGGGATCTTATAAACGAACTTCACATTGTATTGCCCTTTATCGATTGTTAATTTATATTGTACCTGACGAAAGGTCATCAAACAGCAGCCTCTTGGCTTCTGCTAGACCAGCCTGAGTATTGGTCCCCTCTCCTGGGTAGGGAATGTTCATAATTTTGCTGGCTGCTGTACGGCTTGGCGTGAACTTGAAGTTTACTTTGGAGGAGGAAGAAAACGTTACAGCTGCATATCTGGTGTCATAGCCGGGCTTTTCCATTTTCCCCATCAAGTTTACAAGTGCTTTTTTCCCTTTATCAAATTCGCACGATCCGATTGATTCTGAGCCGTCGTGACAGAGAGTTTATACAACTTTAGAAGGAGCTTTTATTTCTCGTTAACCTGTAACCCAGGATCATCGTAGAGGACAAAACTTAAAAAAAAAATTCCGTATACTCACGAGAAAGTTTGGATGAACAGTAGAAACTACAGCAAAATATCAAGATGCAACGTACTTAGCCGACTTTTATTCATGTTCCGTCAAAGTTTTGTCTGCCAGATAATCTAAATATCCCTCGTTGCCTGATATTCTTTTATTTGCGTGGTTTTATTTTTACTTTGAAAAGTCCTCGTTCAAAGAGTTTTAGCTTTTTCCTTTCTCTGAGTCTCCATCGGTATCGACAGTACGTGATATGTGTTACTGCGCCGTGAAAAGCGTTCAACCGAAGTCACAGTAACCTTCAGCACCACGGACAGATAGTTTCTCTAGATACGTGTCAGTTCACTTGCCAGGTTGTTTATCGCCAAAGATCAAATCTTGATTGAACGATAGTTTGATTCAATTATAGTGAAACCATCAAATTACAACATGACTCATATATCTAATTCATGTACTAAACAAGCTTCCCTGTTGCTGAAGGTCAAATTAGCTAAGAACAAATTTAATCACGGAGCAAGAACATTAACAAACAACATGAGAAGAATTCAAACTTTTCATACAGGCGATTAAATTTCATTGCGTTCGGTCGTTGCGCCTTAAATTGAACAATGTAACCAAAGAAAGCTACAGGAGAAATACTAGCAAGGATGTTTTTGTTAGACAGATTCTTTTCGCGAAGCGAGTCAAGCTCGTACCTGAAAGATCGAACGTTACAGAAAGACAAGTTACTGTTTGCCTTCCCTGTCTAGGTGAAACTTTTCCAAAAATAATTTATTTGGCAAATGCTCAGTCATCTTTAATGTAATTTTGTTTTGTTTACCAAGCTGAATGATAGAAATGTGAGTAGTGGTGGGTGTAGAGTATTCATAGGTCAAGTGATCACCCTCATTCCTCTAATTAATCTGTATTTTATTCAATGATCAAGATAATAAACTTCGCGTACAATACTCGTAATCAGTTATTTTACTTTCACTTAGGATAGTAGATTTACGGCACTATTGGAAGTTCCTTACAGTAGTGACGCTTTATGATCCTATGTAACGTAACACACTACAGCGGGCACCTTTAATGGAGTTTTGCTGTGAAAAATTACATTTCGACGAAGAGGGGTACAATGTAAATTTTTATTTCACCATAGTGTACGAGAATTAGAAACACTAACTGTTTGCTTTTATCTTTAGGAGTCCTCGTTTTGAGAAATCTTTGTCTTATTCGTATGTCTTAGCATTCCCTCTAATCGGTATCGACAGCACGTGATAAGTGTCACTATGCAGTGTAAGGCGTGCATTCGAGATCACGGTAACCTTCAGCACCACAGGCACTTGATTTCACCCGTTACATGATCACTCACTTAATTAGGATATTTGTCGCTAGAGATCAAAACTTAGTTGAAACGAAACCTTGATCCAATTGCAATGAAACAATCAGCTTACGTTACCAGTCATATATCTTAGTCATGTTCTAAATCGGCTTCCCTCTTACCGAAGGTCAAAGAAGCTGAGAAAAAATAGTCTCGCAGCAAGAGCATTGCTTAACAGCGAAAGTATGGAAGAGTTCCACACGTTTCATGCAGGCTGTGAAAACCGCCTGTAAGCTAAATTTGGATACTCCACCACGCACGGTCGTTGAACGTCTATTTGAAATATTAAACCAATGAAATCCAGCGAGGAAGTACAAGAAAGGATATCTTCTTTTTCGAAAAACGGAGCGAGTTTGCGCTTTAAGATCGAACGTGACAGAAAGACACGTTACAGTCTGTCTTTCCTGTCTAGGTGAAGCTTTTCAAAAATAGTTTGGCACATTCTCAGTCTTGTGGAGAGTACTTTTTTGTTTACCAAGCTGAAATATGGGTAATTGCAGGCTGTTTGCAAAAAGCGGTGTGGCTGTGAAAATTTACATTTTGTTGAAGAAAAGTGTTTGAACCGTAATGTTGATTTTTATCAAACCATATTATGACATAGTTAGTAAATTTGTCTAATCAAATGCAATTGCGTGAGCGTGCTTCATTGGAGAAATGTAAAATGGTTTCCGTGTTTACATAGCCTGATGTAAACACGCGGGAGGTTGGGAGAACACGAGATAAGCGTAGGAAACCACGACGCGAAGCGGAGTGGTTTCCAGCTTGTCGAGAAAGAACTGCTTACTTTTTCTTTGGGAATGGAGTTTTTAACTCCCCAAATAGAAAGAAAAGAAAAAAAAAAAAAGAACAAGCACGGCAGATGTCATCCCGTTTCGCAAACCATCGGCTTGAAAATGTTCTAAAACAATTGATTCATACGTCAGCTGTGCCTTCATCGAGTTATGAAGCACACGGGAAGTTTGGAGAGCACTCAAGAGGCTAGAGCATCTTTCGTGCTCTCCAAACTTCCCACGTGCTTCATATCTCGATGAACGCACGCTGACGCATGAACCAATTGTTAAATATACGAGTATTAGAAAAAGTATCGTTGACTGGTTTTGTAGACTAGAACTGAAGTTGGTGATCAGGTGATATCCGTCGTTCCTTCAAATTCCTCTTTTTGTAACTTCCCTTAATCAACTTCAGCGCAAAGTTTACAAAGACTGCGTGCTAAATAAAGCTTCAGGCTTCCACGTAACTCAACAACTTCAGCCTTACCGTCACAGTTTCTACTACATTCTTTACCAGAAGTTAATCTCTCTGCGACGAACTGTTCCAACAATGGCGCCAGTGTTTTACCATTAATGATGATCGTCACCCTCGCCTTTTTAACAGGTCAATGTCGTGGTAGGAACCATTTTGGTTCAGACCCACTCCAAAGCCTGTTAGTGTAAAGGCACTCAGGTCAATTGTTTTTATTGCCAGGAAGATATCGTGGTGATTCTGGATTGTTCAGAATCGACTGGGAAATGCAACCACGAAAAAGCTAAGAAAGCTATGAAGAACATGCTTGACATTGCGTCAGAAATAGGATATGACAACAGATATGCGGTTGTGACACTTGCAACCGGTGCCACGACCGATTTTAATTTTGTCGCTAATCCGGACGCAGGATTTAAGATAAAGAACCTTCCCTTTATCCCTGGGTCGACCAACACTCAGGCTGCATTGAAAGAAGCGAAAAGGATTTTGAAGGTCCCAATTCAGGTGTGTGCAAATTCATTTGCACCGAAAGCTTTTATTCTTAGCAGAGAACATAAACAATCATAACAGCATTTCTCTAAAACAATCTAAAACCACTGCTCCATATGATAATGATCCAAAGTTCTGTTAATCATTAAGTTGTAAAATTACCACCAAAACCAAGCCAGCCTCCATTTTAAGCATAAACGGTAACATCCTGAATAAGTCTTTCTCTGATAGAGGATGCGATGTGATCGATCATAAGTTGTGCCGCTATATATTTTAACTATTGGTGCTTTCCATAACAACTCTGAGTCAAAATCAATTATGATGATCTTTGATAAACTAGGTTAACCCTTCACGCCTTCACATTATTCTTTACACTGTTCTCTTAACGCTTTCCATGCCGGGTGCTGACAAGGAGAATTTATTTGAAAATCTGGAGTTTCTGAAATTGGCGATCATTGCTTTTTAGCATGACCTTTACATTTGATTAAAGGGTGGTACTCAAAGAAGGAATTGGAATTCATTCACCCTTTGGGGTTAAATGGCTATGATTTTTAGTGAAAAAATGTTGAAGTACACTCACTGCATATCCTTCTTACTGTATTCATTTGTCCTTTTTCAAAGGGAAACATCCGGGTGTTAAAAAGATTGCTTTCCTTATCACCGATGGCCTTTTAAATGTTGATCCCTCGAAGACCATGCAAAACGGCTAACTTACTGAAAGCTAGTGGTGTGGAGATTTTTGTCGTTGCTGTTGGAAATTACAATACAGAAATCGTGGAAATAGCTTCACCAGATCGTAAAGACCATGTATTCCGTTTCACCAACACGTCTGGCTTCTTAGATGTTACAAAATTGGCTTTTAAGTCAGTTGCTCTCAAGAAATATGCCGTCCAAGCTCATCATAAGCGGCTTTGTTAAAATTTCTTCGTTAAAAATTATTTTTAGATTGTAGTTTAAGAGGAACAGCAATACAATATAACTTATTTTAGATTGCTTTCCTTGAAGGAAAAATAGATGACTTCATAGATGAGCAAGAAAACAAAAACACGAGAGCAAAGACCGACAGACACATAAGCCTGCTAAAAACCTTTCTCAGCTACAATTGCCACCGTGAATCAGTCGCCAAAATAAACCCACCAAAAAACCGGCTGTAGAAAAGACTCCGTGTCTTGTCCAGCGGTTCTGATGAAGAATGAATAAGAACTAATTATACAAACTATTTTATAAGAACTACAGAATTTTGATTTACGTTACATTTTTTAAATGAGATTTTCGCATTGGTTGTTTTTAAAACCGAGGTTGTCTCATTTTCTTCGCAAGTTTTCATACTTCGTAATTGTAAGCGTCTGCAAATTCGCGATGCCATTCATAAATTGAATTTTTAAAATACGAATTCTCTTATTTTCCCTTTTAAAAGTAATGTCTCCCCGTCGGCAGATTAGTGTGAAAAGGATTTGTTGCGGATTTGGTGTTGTTCATAATAAAATTTGCTCTTGCACTTAAATGGCTTTTTCAATTGAAGTGTGTCGGTCAGCAAGAGAAAAATCTCAGTATGTATGAAACATCATACCAGGGGAAGTGCACACAAACGATTTGTGAATAGAAATCGTTCGTACGCACTTTCCATGGAATAATCTCAAAAGTCCCTATCCTTATTTCTTCTCACTCGTTAGAGTTTTCACATTTCTTCTGCTATTCATGGTTCCAGCACACGAATTCTCTTAGCCTCACTCCTTATGTTTCGTACTGATTTTCCCTACTTCCTCCTCTTTGAACGTCTGCCATTCAGAGTCTACAATTGCGTTCTTGTATGGATTGCAAAGTAATATTATAAATTACAACATTTTTTCAAGCCATAAACTGTAATCGTTTATTAGATGTAGTTACAGAATACACACTGAGCTTATGAATTGGATTATGAAAGCAGGCAAGAGAATAATTTCTTGTAGAAGAGCAGCCATTTCTTCAATCAATACAGAAATATGATAAACTCAGTTGTAAATCTCTATTTTTTAAAGGTGTTGAAAACCAAATTTACAGTGCTTCACCTCGGATCATTACAGTATGACCTCAGTTATCAGTTAATTACTTAATCACTATCAACATGAAATGGAAGTCAACCCGTTTAGCGGTGATACTCATTTTCTAACTGCAAAAGCACATCTCGTGGCAAATAAATCATGACACTTAAGTTTCCTTGTCTCAAGTAAAACTTCATTAAAATTCGCAACAAAAATTACAACATTCACTTAACTTAAAAATCACAACTCTGGTAGAGAAATCTGATCTATATAGACATGACATTTGGCTCATAGCTTCAGCCATATGCATGTATATATTGTTTTAATGGCAATAATCATTTACCACTAATCTGAAAGACATTTCCTCCATCTACTTTATATTGATATGTTTACCTGGATTTGCAAAAATCATACCCGCCGACCTTTATATAAGGGGTGGTTGCTGTCCAAAAGCTCAGAGATGGGAAGGTTAAAAAATTTAGCGTTTGATTCTGAGTAAAGGGAACTTTTAGTAAACATCTTCAGTCGCTCTTTCTCGTAGACTGTCCCAGTGGGTAGGGGAAATTGATTTTCCCAAGCAGGGAGTAGGGGAAGGGGATTCAGTTGACATTGGACTTCAAGTCTGCTGTCCCAGTGGACATGATTTTTGCAAATAAAGTAAGATGTTTAGCGTGCATTGTGCGACTTCCAAACGATTTCACGTGGTAAAAAAAATCTTTTCTGGGGATAAATCAATCAATAACTATGACTTTTTTTCGGGCAGATAATTTTTCAAAGCAAAAACACAAACGCCTAGGAAACTTTGAGGGAAGATGCGCTTTTAAATCCCGCTCACTTTCCATATCCGCACGGAGGATCGGAAGAAATTTTCCATTTACCAGGAAAGACCTTATCTAAAATGAGCCTGACGATGTCATGAAATTCACCCAACGATTTAACTCTAAACATGTGATCCGTGGGCGGGTCGGAGGCTACCTTTACCATTTCGTCTATTCCGCTAATGTAAGATCCCACAGCAACCACTAAAATCTTTACTTGTCTTTTCTTTAGTTCCTGAGCGTTGGGTATGGTCAAGTGAGGTTGTTCGTTTGACTGACCATCAGTGATGAGGATAACTACCTTTTCTGAACTTCCACGACGACCTTTGATTAACGGAAGAATATTAAGAGTTAGGAAAATGCATGTTCGTTTTTTTCAAGCTTCTTGAAGGAAGTCTTTCAAGCAGTATTTAGTGATAAAGGTCAAATGTTTAAAGATTATGGCGAATGTTGGTGGCTAGTGTTTATGGAATAAGAAACTTAAATTTGGAGTTGGTTTGAATACGAAGAATTCTCTATGTGCCAAGGATATGACAACACTTTTATCAGGTCAGTCCTGCGCTCAAAAAGGCCGGGTTTTGAATCGTTGGCTATATTAAAGTTTGCAGCTACTTTGATTTTGCTTTGCTTCACGAAAAAAAAAAGAGGCCTAAAAATTTGTTATGGCTCATATGTTTGGTTACTAAGGCAAGATGAGGAAAATTATTTCCCCCATCTTTCCTCTGTTGACTACAAGAACATTTTAAAGGTAAATCCCGTTTAGTTCACGGGGTCATTAAAACATTTTTTGTCGTTCCGTAAGACTCAAACTTATCAGACCGTTAGTCATAAATATTTTCTAACTATCCTTAATCAAACGAGACGGCCCAAACAGAGGAGCTCTTAGGGTCTCAGAGGCCGGAATTAAGGGACCTTATAAACGAACTTTACATTGTATCGTCTTTTACCGATTGTTAATTTACATTTTACCTGACGATGGGTCATCAAACAGCAGCCTCTTGGCTTCTGCCAGTCCAGCCTGAGTGTTGGTGCTTCCTCCTGGGTAGGGAATGTTCATAATTCTGCTGGCCGCTATAGAGTGTGGCGTGAACTTAAAGTTTACTTGGGAATAGGAAGAAAACGTTACAGCTGCATATCTGGTATCACGGTCGGGCCTTACCATTTTCCCCATCAAGTGTACAAGTGCTTTTTTCCCTTTATCAAATTCGCACGATCCGACTGATCCTGAGCCGTCAATAACAACGACAATATCCTCATTCTGGAGGTTTCTCCTAGGACGCATCGACCAATGGCTACCCATGCCCAAGAAACTCGACATGAATTTATCTGCAGTCACACTGAGTGGAGGGACAGTTTGAAAAGCTGAAAGTAAGGTTAAAAAAAATTCAGGTTAGAAGTATCAGACTAAATGAATCTGGTATCAACATGCACCAATAATATATCTGCAGGAAAGCCCTAACAAATGTAATTTCCCAATCTATATTTTTTATGGAAAAACCACAACCTGGGATAGATAAAGCAGTAAGCCTCTCTAATGTGGTTTAAGTTTCTTAAGCCAGGGCTCAATGTCACCACAACATTTCATGATTAGGATTTAGGCCGAACCAAATTTCCCAAAGTAACCCTCTTGTTAACCGCTTCACAGACATTCCTGCATGTGATGCAATAGCAGGAATTTGCGGTTTTGAGAAAAATGACTCAACAAAATTTATTCACTAATGAGTTCGGCACATCATAGGTTTAATATCTGAATTAAAGCCATTCTGAAGTCCACGCTCATCGAGTAGGGAAGGACAACTCAGCCTTTCTGAATTGAAGAAGGCGTTAAATATGGTTGCGACATGTAACTGATTCAAGATATTCAGTCTTAAATGGATCACTGGATCAGCCACGGGATCAGCCATCAGATCATGAGATCGTAAGGCTAGCTCGTGTAGATTGGCGAGCTAAAGTCTATTCCACCCTTCAACATAATCGTTCCGTTTAGGATTAAGCTTTCTTCTACGACATTTGATGACCGCGGAACTCATTATTTATAGAGGTTTTCTCTAGACTAACAACGACTTTCAACGACCATATTATCATCATTTGACTCTTTGCTTCCTATTCATAACAACGTGACGTCAGAAACAACAATATACGCCACGGAACCGACATAAACTACACATTACTTTATGCCTATTTCGGGTTTTGTTGCCACAAGCGCAAAATGTTTTTCATTCCTAATTATAACGGACGATCTACTGATGAATCAACTGAAGATAAACGTACCCTGATAAAAGCTATCTGCTGGATTTGCTGGGTAAGTCGTTTGCGGCCGTGGCTTTCGCCATATGAGTCCTGAGATTTGCCCCGTGAGAATTAACAGTAGGCACAGCAAAGAAAATAAACAAGAAGAGAGTCGTGACATTTCGAAGTCTTGAACTGCGTCGGTAGAGTCTCTTTCGGTTGTTGACGTTGAAGTCTGGAATTATTGAGGAGATCTCTTTGTTTTATAGAGTAACTAGCTTCCGTCTGTCTTTTCTATTCTTAGTTCGACAAGGAACATATTTTTTTCGAGCTCTTACATGTGTCAGATGAATGGGAACAACATTCTATGTTGAAAAGCACGTTTTCATACTGAAAGCAACTTCAATATCAACAAATCGTGAGAGAGAGTTTATACAACTTTACAAGGAGCTTTTATTCTTCGTTGGCCTCTAACCCAGGATCATCACAGAGGACAAAAATTTTGGATAAACAGTAAAAACTACAGCAAAATATCAAGATGCAACGTAGGTAGCCGATTTTTATTCATGTTCCGTTAAAGTTTTTTCTGCCAGATAATCTAAATATCCCTCGTTGCGTAATATTCTTTTATTTGCGTGGTTTTATTTTTACTTTTAAAGGTTCTCGTTTAGAGAGTTTTGGCTTTTTCCTTTCTCTGAGTCTCCATCGGTATCGACAGTGCGTGATGTGTCACTGTGTGGTGAAAAGCGTTCAACCGAAGTCACGGCTACCTTCAGCACCAGAGGCAGATAGTTTCTCTGGTTACGTGTCAGTTCATTCGTCAGGTTTTTGTCGCCAAAGATCAAACTTAATTAAACGAAATTTTGATCCAATTACAGTGAAACCATCAAATTACAACGTAACTCATATATCTAATTCATGCACTAAACAAGCTTCCCCGTTGCTGAAGGTCAAATTAGCTAAGAAAAAATTTAATTACGCAGCAAGAGCATTAACAAACAACATAAGGAAGAATTCAAATTATGCATACAGGCTATGAAATTCCATTGCGTTCGGTCGTTGCGCCTCAAATTGAACAATTTAACCAAAGAAAGCCGAGGAGGAAATACGAGCAAGAATGTTTTTTTAGACAGATTCATTTCGTGTAGCGAGTTAAGCTTGTCCCTGAAAGATAGAACGTTACAGAAAGCGGACAGGTTACTTTTTGCCTTCCCTGTCAGGTGAAATTTTTCCAGAAATAATTTATTCGGCAAATGCTCATTCATCTTAGAGTTAATTTTTGTTTTGTCTACTAAGCTGAGTAATAGCGCGCTCCTTGGATAGAGGTTCTCGGTTAAAAATTACATTTTGTGAAAGAACAGCGTTATGTAAATTTTTGTTTAGCCGTAATGTACGAGAACTAGAAACGATAATTGTTTGCTTTTATTTTAACATTTAAAAGTCCTCATTCTAAGAAATCTTTGTCTTTTTCGTTTCTCTGAGTATTCTCCCGACAACAAATCGACAACACGTGATATGTGTTACTATGCAGTGTAAAGCGTTCATCCGAGATCACGATAACCTTCAGCACCACAGACAGTTAATTTCCCTCGTTACATGATCAGTTCGTAAATTAGGCTAAAGATCAAAACTTAATTTAAACGACATCTTGATTCAATTAAAGTGAAACGATCAGCTTACTGTTACGTTACCACTCCTACATTTTTAGTCATGTTCTAAATCGGCTTCCCTGTTGCTTAAGGTCAAAGTAGCCAAAAAAAAGATTAGTCACGCAGCAAGGGCCTTGCTTACTGAACAGAGAAAGTATGGAAGAGTTCCACACGTTTCATGAAGGCTGTGAAAACCACCTGTACATGTTAAGCTAAATTCAGATACTCCACCGCGCACGGTCGTTGGACGTCTATTTAAAATATTTAATGTATCTTCTTTTTCGAAAAAAACGGAGCGAGCTTGCGCCTCAAGATTGAACGTGACAGGAAGACAAGTTACAGTCTGGCTTTCCTGTCTTGGTGAAACTTTTTCAAAAATAGTTTGGCACATGCTCAGTCTTGTGGAAAGTACTTCTCTGTTTACCAAACTGAAATATGGAGATGAGGGTAATTGCGGGCTGTTTGCAAAAAGCGGTGTAGCTGTGAAAATTACATTTGCCAGAAGAACAGTACATGAACCGTAATGTTGATTTTTAACAAACCATAATGTACGAGTACTTGAAATGCTATCGTTGACTGGTTTTGTCAACTAGAACTGAATTTGGTGATATTCGTCGTTCTTTCAAATTCATTTGTTAGTAACTTTCCTAACTCAACTTCAGCGCAAAGTTTACAAAGACTGCGTACTAAATAAAACTTCAGGCTTTCACGTGACTGTACGACTTCAGCCTTCCCGCCACGGCTTCTGCTACATTCTTTACATTCACCAAAGTCCTTGCTGAGACGGAATACACGTACATGGATTGCTTTCTGCCTATACTATCAACAAAGCGAAGACAACCAGATTAAAAAGATTTCAAATAACGTATAGATTTCTTCAGAAAAATGAGGCTTACCTCTTCGCGACGAACTGTTACAATAATGGCGCCGGTGTTTTACCGATTAATGATGATCGTCATCCTCGCTTTTCTAACTGGTCATTGTTGTGGTAGGAACCCATTTTGGTTCAGACCCACTCCAAAGCGTAATCAACAGTATTATCAGTGTAAGTGTACAGGCACTTAGGTCAATTGTTTTTATTGCCTGGTCTCCGTACCTTATTGTCAAAGTGGGAAATTATAGCGGAGCTCGCAGCGCAGGCCCATAATTTTAGGAAATAGAAGTAAATCATCAAGCCTAAAGAATTTGGGCTTGAGATTGCAGTATGAACGACAGTAAAAGGGCGCGTTTGCGCCTTAAGATCGAACGTGACATAAAGACACATTACAGTCTGGCTTTCCTGTCTAGGTGAAGCTTTTTCAAAAATAGTTTGGCACATGCTTAGTCGTGTGAAAAATAACTTTTTGTTGACCAAGCTGAAATATGGAAATTTGGGTAATTGCGGGCTGCTTGCAAAAAGCGGTTTAGCTGTGAAAAATTACATTTTGTAGAAGAACAATGTTTGAACCGTAAAACACTATTATTCTACAAAATATAATTTTTATCTGACCTTGTTTGAGTACTAGAAATGCTATCGTTGACTGGTTTTGTAGACTAGAACTGAATTTTGTGATACTCGTCATTCTTTCAAATTCCTTCTTTTGTAACTTCCCTAAATCAACTTTAGCGCAAAAATTGAAAAAAAGTCTTTTTGTTAAATAAAGCTTCAGGATTCCACGTGAGTCAACAACTTCAGCCTTCCCGCCGCAGCTTCTGCTACATTCTTTACCTTCGCCAAAGTCCCTCCAGAGACGGAATACACGTACAGGGATTGCTTGTTACCTATAAAATCAACCAAGCGAAGACAACCAGCTTCAATAGACTTCAAAGAACGTTCAGCTCTCTTCAGACGACTGAGAGTAATCTCTTCGCGACGAACTGTTCTAACAGTGGCGCCAGTGTTTTATCGATTAATGACGATCGTTATCCTCGCCTTTTTAACTTATCAATGTCGTGGTAGGAACCCATTTTAGTTCAGACACACCCCAAAGCGTGATCAACAACATCATCGGTGTAAGTGTACACTTACAAAAGAGGTACACATGAGTCACTTGCTTTTATTGCCAGGTCTCCGTACCTTATTGTCAAATTGGGAAATTATAATTCCATAAATGCCGGTAATTCAGTATTGCTCTTGAGATGTTACATTTTACACCCTCAAGGAATTCTTCGGCTAACACCACTATGAAAACGAGGAGGACGAAAAGACAATGGGAAATCCTTGTTTTCTTTGGCGTTGAAAGACCACCACTCATAAAGGGGTGGGACGATTTCGTCTTTGCATCAGGAGAAAAAAACCTGTTCTTTATAGCAAAATAAAACCTCTTGCCGCGACTGGAATTCCAGAATTTTTTAACGAGTGAATAACCATGTTCTATGTAAAACTCAAAGATCTATATGACTTCAATGCATTTGATGTGCGAAAAGTTACGTTCGCCCTTTGTTTACTTAGTGAAAATGCATTTTATACTTGAGCTTGATCAGGATTTTGATAAAGTAAGTAACACGTTAACGCGTGCCAATGTCAGTGTATGTCAGCTCCTTGTAGAGAGCAAGCAGAGTATGTTTTTGATATATTTATTTAGTTACTGATATTTTTTTTTTTATAACATTGATCGTCAATCGCTTTGACGAAGGGCTAACGCTCGAAACGCCAGCTTTTTTACTCTTTACAGTGGCTAATTTACGTTTTCAACCCAGTTGTTAACACTAAATTACCTGCTATACTCTCCCACCGACGCAGCACCACAGTTTCTTTAGAAACTTACCCCTTTATTCATGAAGAAACTACTTGACCTTGCGTCAGAAGTAGGATTTGACAACAGATATGCAGCAGTGACATATGCAAGCGGTGCCACGACCGATTTTAATTTTGTTGCTAATCCGGACGCAGGTATTAAGATGACGAACGTTCCCTATATCTGTTGCAATACGCTATTGCATATTCAATTAACCTAAGATTGTTTAGATCGTTATTCCTAATATGTGCAAATTCATATTTTGATCATTTTGGATCGAAAGCTTGAAGAGAATATAAACAGTTATAACAGCTTTTTTCTAAAACAATCTTAAATCTACGGCACCATATGGTAATGATCCAAGGTTCTATTACTCATTAAGTTGTAAAATTATTACCAAAACCAAGCCAGCCTCCATTTTGAGCATAAACGGAAATATCCTGAATAAGTCTTTCTCTGATAGAGGATGCGATGTGATCGGTCATATGTTGTGCCGCTATGTATTTTAACTATTGGCTACATGCTTAGGGGACGCATTGAAAGTATTGTATGCTTTCCATGATAACTCTGAGTTAAAATCAATTATAATGATGTGTGATAAACTAGCTTAACCGTTTACGCCTTGACATTATTCTTTACACTGTTGTCTTTACGCTTCCAATGCCGGGTGCTGACAAGGAGAATTTGTTTGACAATCTGGAGCTTCTTAAATTGGCGATCGTTGCTTTTTATCATGACCTTTACATTTGATTTAAGGGTGGTACTGGAAGAAGAAATTTGAACGCATTCACCCTTTGGGGTTAAATGACTGTGATTTTTAGTGAAAAAAAATAACGAAATACGTTCACTGCAAATCCTCTTACTATATTCATTTGCCTTTTTCCAAAAGGAAACATCCGGGTGTTGTTAAGATTGCTTTACTTATCACCAATGGTCTTTCAAACGTTGATCCCTCGAAGACCATACCAAATGCTAAATTGAAGGCTAGTGGTGTGGAGATTTTTGTCATTGCTGTTAGAAATTACTATACAGGAATCAGCGGAATCGTGAAAATAGCTTCGCCAGATTGTAGATACCACGTATTCCGTGTAGCTTACAAGTCTGGCTTCGTAGATTTTACGCAACTGGCTTTTAAGTCAATTGCTCCCAAGAAATATACCGTCTAAGCCCATCATAAGCGGCTTTGTTAAAATTGCTATATCATGATATATATAGAAACTTGCTTTTTATTTTAAATTGTAGTTTAAAAGGAACAGTTAACAATATAACTTATTTTAGTGATATCAGTTCAATATTTCCCCTGAGTTTGAATTACAATAGATCCAAGGTGAAGTAAGAATCGTAGGAATCGTTTTCAGCCCTTCAAATAGGGGATTTACTGAGTTCATTTTGTTTTTATATTGATTGAAAGATGAACTTTATTGCTTTATAACTTAAAGTAAGTTTAGTCAACTTAAAAATGAATATGTATTTTGTACCTAAATGTAGCTAAATGTATATAATAAACAAAGCCGCTGATTAATGGTTTGGATTCATTTTTTCAGTAATGTTATTAAGTCTAAATTTGTAGAGGCATTTTGTCAAACGTTCAGAAAGGTGGGTGTGGAGAATTTGGGCACAACAGATGAGAAAGTAGTGCTAAGGACTGAGTCTGGAGAATTTATGGATGGACGAAGGGATTCAAAAGTAACCTAATGACAGGTCGAGGGAAAAAGTTGAATATTATCAATTTCTAGACGGCGTTTACTTAGCATAAAGCTGTATTAAAATGGCAGCTCTACGAACCTTCTGACACTTTTCGGTCGATAGTAAAGTACCATTTTACTGATTTTATGAAACAGTAAGTTTGAGTAAATTGATTCACCGACTGAATCGAGTCACGAAGACTTGCATGCCATTGTGAAGTAGAACCTTAAAAAATAAGCCTTCACGCTTTTTTGTTTAAGAACAGTGCAACTTTGTCAATTGAATAGTGCAATGTGCAGCACTTGACGAACGAGGCAAGTCCTAAAACAATGTGATTGTTGATATAAGAGGGCGACTGCGAAAACTTCAGAGAACTTTGGCTTTCTCTGAGTCTCGATCGGTATCGACAGTACGTGATGTGTGTGACTGTGCAGTGTAAAGTGTTCAACCAAGATCAAGGTAACCTTCAGCACCGCAGACAGATAATTTCCCCAGTTGCGTGTTGGATTGTTTGTCGCTAAAGATTCAACCTTTATCAAACAATTTTGATCCAGTTAAAGTGAAACCATCAAATTAAAGCGTGACTCATATATCTCATTCATATACTAAACAAGCTTCCCTGTTGCTGAAGGTCAAATCGGCTCGAAAAAAATTTTAATCACGCAGCAGGGGTGTTAACAAACAACATAAGGAATAATTCAGCCTTTTCATACAGGCTGCGAAACTCCATCGCGTTCAGTCGTTGAGCCTCAAATTGAACAATTTAACCAAAGAAAGCTGAGGAAATACGAACAAGGATGTTTTTTCAGCCAAATACTTTTCGAGAAACGAGCCAAGCTTGTGCCTTAAAGATCGAACGTGACAGAAAGACAGCGGGTTACTGTCTGGTTTCCCCGTCTAGGTGAAACTTTTTCAAGTATAATTAATTTTGCAAATGCTCAGTCACCTTGAAATTAATTTTTGTTTTGTCTACCAAGCTGATTTATAGAAATGTGAGTAATGGCGGGCTCCTTGGATAGAGTTTTGCTGTGAAAAATTACATTTTGTCGAAGAACGGCGCAATGTAAATTTTTGTTTACCCATTATGTACGAGAACTAGAAACACTAATTGTCTGCTTTTATTTTTACCTTGAACAGACCTCATTCTGAGAAATCTTTGTCTTTTTCGTTTCTCTTAGTATTCTCCCAATCGGTATCAACAACACGTGATATGTGTTACTGTGCAGTGTAAAGCATTCATCCAAGATCACGCTAACCTTCATCACCACAGACAGTTAATTTCCCTTGTTACCTGATGATCAGTTAGTTAATTAGAATGTTTGTCACTAGAGATCAAAATTTAATTTAAGCGAAACCTTAACCCAATTACAGTGAAACAATCAGCTTATGTTACCAGTCATATATCTTAGTCATGTCTCCGTTACTGAGGGTTAAAGTAGCTAAGAAAAGATTAGTCACGCAGCAAGGGCATTGCTTAAGAGAGAAAGTATGGAAGAGTTCCACACGTTTCATGCAGGCTGTGAAAACAGCCTGTACATGTTAAGCTAAATTCAGATACTCCACCGCGCACGGTTGTTGAACGTCTATTTGAAATATTTAACCAACGAAATCCAGAGAGGAAGTACAAGAAAGGATATCTTCTTTTACGAAAAACGGGGTGCGTTTGCGCCTTAAGATCGAGCGTGACAGAAAGACACGTTACAGTCTAGCTTTCCTGTATAGGTGAAGCTTTTTCAAAAACAGTTTGGCGCACACTCAGTCTTTTGGAAAGAACTTCTCTGTTTACCAAGCTGAAATACGGAGATGTAGGTAGTGGCGGGCTGTTTGCAAAAAGCGGTGTAGCTGTGAAAAATTACATTTTGTAGAAGAACGGTGTTTTAACCGTAATTTTGATTCCTATCAAACCATATTGTACGAGCATTAGAAATACCATTGACTGATTTTGTAGACTAGAACTGAATTTGCTGATCAGGTGATATCCGTCGTTCTTTCAAATTCCTCTTTTTGAAACTTCCCTTAATCAACTTCAGCGCATAGTTTACAAAGACTGCGTGCTAAATAAAGCTTCTGACTTCCACGTAACTCAGCAACTTCAGCCTTCCCGTCACAGCTTCTGCCACATTTTTTACCTTGCTGAGAAGGAATACACGTTCAGGGATTGCTTTCTGTCTATAAAGTCAACCAAGCAAAGACAACAAGCTTCAAACGACTTCAAAGAACGTTCAGATCTCTTCAGACCTCTTCAAACAACTAAGGCTAATCTCTTCGCAACGAACTGTTCCAACAATGGCGCCAGTGTTTTACCGATTAATGATGATCGTCATCCTCGCCTTTTTAACTGATCAATGTCGTGGTAGGAACCCATTTTGGTTCAGACCCACTCCAAAGCGTGATCAACAGTATTATCAGTGTAAGTATAGAGGCACTTAGGTCAATTGTTTTTATTGCTAGGTCTCCGAACGTTATTGTCAAAGTAGGAAATTATAATTTCATGAATGCTGGTATTTCAGTGCTACGTTTTACACCCTCAAGGAATTCTTCGGTTAACACCACTAGGAGAACGAGGGAGACGAGAAGAAAAGAGGAACTCCTTGTTTTCTTTGGTGTTTAAAGACCACTATAGATAATGGGGGTGGTACGATTTCGTCATTGCATCAGGATAAAAAAAACGTATTCTTTATAGCGAAATAAAACCTCTTGCCCAACCGATTCACCTTTTTCGCTAGAAAAATACTGGTTCAAGTGCTCTCAGAGTCTTAAACGAGTGCATAATCATACTCTTGGTAAAACTCAAAGATCCATAAGAGTTCAATGTGTTTGATGGGCGAAAGGTTAAGTTGATTAGGATTTTGATATAAGTACACGTAAGTAACACGTTAACGCGTTTCCATTGTGTGCCAGTGTCAGTGTCAGCTCCTTATGGAGAGCAAGCAGAGCACGTTTTTGATTTATTTATGTATTTGGTTACTCATATATTTTTTTTAAAGCATTTCAACACGTGCCGACTGAAAATGAGACCGCAACGAAATTGGTCACCAATTTCTTTCGCATACCCCTATCGTACTTGTCTCAGATTGGACGGAGCAAGAGGCAGGTCACACAGGAAGATATCGTGGTGATTCTGGATCGTTCAGGTTCGATTGGGGACTGTAACTACGAAAAAGCAAAGCAAGCCTTGAAGACCATGCTTGACATTGCGTCAGAAATAGGATATGACAACAGATATGCAGCAGTGACATTTGCAAGCCATGCCACGACCGATTTTACTTTTGTTGCTAATCCGGACGCAGGAATTAAGATAAAGAACCTTCCCTATATCCGTGGGGCAACCAACACTCAGGCTGCATTACAAGAAGCAAAAAGGGTTTTTGAAGATCCTTCTTCAGGTATGTGCAAATTCATTTTCGATCGAAAGCTTTTATTTTAAGCAGAGAGCGTCAACAGTTACAACAGCATTTCTCTAGAACAATCTGCAATCTACGGCTCCACTGGTAATGATCTAAAGTTCTGTTAGTCATTAAGTTATAAAACTATAACCAAAACCAAGCCAGCCTCGATTTTGTGCATAGACGGTATAAGTCTTTCTCTGATAGATGAATAAAGGGGGGTAGGTTTCTAAAGAAACTGTGGTGCTGCGTCGGTGGGAGAGTATATCAGGGTAGCTTAGTAATATCAACTGAGTTGGTAATGTAAATTGGCCACCGTAAAGAGTTTCAAAGCTGACGTTTCGAGCGTTAGCCCTTCATCAGATTTCACTCTGACGAGGGATGAACGCTCGAAACGGCAGCTTTGAAACTCTTTACGGTGGCCAATTTATATTATCAACTCAGTTGATAATACTAAATTACCCTGTTTCTCTGATAGAAGTTGCGATGTGATCGATCATAAGTTCTGCCGCTACAATTTAACTATTGGCTACATGCTTAAGGGACACATTGAAAATATTGTGTGCTTTCCACAATAACTCTAAGTCAAAGTCAGTTACAATGATCTTTGATAAACCAGCTTAATACTTTACATCTTAACATTAGTTTTCATATAATCTTTTGCTGTTCTCTTAATGCTTTCAATGCCGAGTGCTGATAAGGAGAATTTGTTTGACAATCTGGAGCTTCTTAAATTGGCGATCACTTCCTTTATTATCTTAACCTTTACATTTGATTTAAGGGTGGTACTCAAAAAAGAAATTAGAATTTACTCAGCCTTTGGGGTTAAATGACTATGATTTTTAGTGAAAAAACCTTTGAAATACGTTCACTGTAAAACCTACTTACTGTATTCATTTGTCCTTTTTCAAAGGGAAACGTCCGGGTATTAAAAAGATTGCTTTCCTTATCACCGATGGGCAATCAAACGTTGATCCCTGGAAGACCATACCAAATGCTAACTTACTGAGAGCTAGTGGTGTGGAGATTTTTGTCGTTGCTGTTGGAGATTACAAAACAGGAATCAGTGAAATCGTGGAAATAGCTTCGCCAGACCGTAAATACCACGTGTTCCGCGTCGCTGACATGAATGGCTTCCTGGATGTTACAAATTTGGCTTTTAAGTTAGTTGCTCCCAAGAAATATGCAGCTCTAACTCCTCATAAGCAACTTTGTTAAAACGATATATATCAAACTTGCCTTCTATTCTAAGTCGTAGTTTGAAAGGAACAGTAATTCAAGATAACTTATTTTAGCAATTAAGTAATTAGTTTATTATTTCCCCTAAGTTTGAATATCACATTGTAATGGATCCAAGGTCAAGTAGGAATCGTAGGAAACGTTTTCAACCTTTAAAATAGAGGATTTTGTGAGTTCGTTTTGTTTAATATTGATTGAAAGAAGAGCTCTATTGCTTTCATAGTAAGTTTGCTTAACAAGGGAATGTAATAAACGAAGGCGCTAATTCATGGCTTGGATTAATGTTGTCATTAATGTTATTACGTCAAGTTTTGTGGTCACTTTTTGTTAGACGTTCAAAAAGGTGGGAATGGAGAATTTGGGCAGAAAGGTGGGAGAATACTGCTGAGGACTGCGTCTGCAGGATTTATGGGTAGACGAAGAAATTAAAAAACAACTTCATGACCGGAAAAAAAGTTGAATATTATCGTTTTCTAGATGGCGTTTACTTAGCATAAAGTTGTATTAAATCTCCCGCTCTACGAACTGTCAGACACTTTTCGGTCGATGGTAAATTGCCATCTCACGATTTTATGAAGCAGTAAGTTTGCATAAATTGAGTTATTGACTAAATCGATTCATGAAGACTGGCATGACACTGTGGAGAGGCGCAAAGTAAAACTTTTAAAGAATTCCCGCATGATCTAAGGTTTTTTAGTCAACAACCGTGCAACTTTGTGGAACAATTGAACTGTGCAACCTGAAGCACTTGACGAACGACTGAGTTTCATCCTAAAATATTGCAATTGTTGATCTAAGAGAGCAAATGGGCCAGGGCAAGAGACAATGAATATCGTGCTTTGGACCACCATTTCGCTGATGACGGAACTCCTCGATGTTTTTCAAGGTCTACCAAGCAGCGTTTCTGGGCGGGGTTACTTTTGGGGCAGCTTGACATCTTGCTTGATGAGAATGTCAACGATCAGGAGAATTAAACCAAGTCACAGAGCTCTACGACAAATGTGCTAAATAGTCTCCGGTGTTACAAAAGGTAACATCATGTGATGTTGTTTTCTTCGGGGGAAGTTGTAAGAATATGCCTCGATTATTTTCATTCTGATCAAATACTTACAAGCAAAAAGGAAAGTTAAAAAATATTCTGATTTTAATACTATGGAAAAAGACCAACGATGTTTTGTATAACAGCAGTTAACCGTAATTTCAACAAGATAGTCAGGCCTAAGGTCTCCAAACAAGGCATTCTTTTTCATGACAAAGTCATTTAAAGAAGGGAATTGCAGTAGTGAAACGAACGTGTCAGCTTTGATAACAATAAGCTTTGTTAAAATGACCGCGCATGGCCATTTTGGTCAGTGGTGGAAACAGCTTCAAAATGCACACGGGATTTTGTAAAATTTTTGATTAACATGAAGCGGTAAATTTTTAAAAACCATCGGAAATTCTTTTGATGCAAATACTAACGGTGGGGCGGACGGTGAAGGTGATACTTGCCTTCTAAAGCAAAAGCTGTTATTATGTACAGCACGTTGCATCGATGAACATTATATATGGCCGAATACGTAGCCGAGCAGCTGAGGCAGCTCATGCTCACATTGTACCTCTAGGCACAACCTCTAAAGATTTTAATTATTTTCCGTTAAATTTATTGTTATTTATTTATTCTTGTTCTGCAATTGATTAATTGGCAGCTGTTTCAGCTGAGAAGGAGAAAACTTGACACAATTGAAGAACACATAGTGTGACTGAGCTATTTTTTTCACCACTAAGTGTTGCACGTAGCTGTTCCTCGATTGAGTTTTCGTGCAGATGTATCCCGAAATTGTCCTTAATTCAAATATGTTATTAATATCTACATCATACGCAGAATATTACGTGAGCGCATACTTATACGTACGCCTACTCAATTTGATAATATCTCAACGCTTGAAGATGACGTTTGCATACACGCTCTACAACTTTTGCATCTTGTCAGACTCACTTGAACCATTTTCTCTAAACCACCTGAAAGTATCACCAAGAATATTACCATATGCTTATATTCATTACATTGATTTAATTGCTTTGAAGTGCGTCATCCGACGTTTTGATTCATTGATTAAGCTTCATCACCACCACAAAAGTGTAGTCTTCAAACTTGTTCTCATAAATGCTGGAAGGTGTAACAAAGCAGGTTTCAGTTGAAGGCAAGATAACTAAATTACCTCAATAAATTTCTATGTGCCTGTCGGCGATTTGTACTGAAACGTTTTTGCAGAACAAGGAAACATGATTGAGTATCTAATCAATGCGCTGAAAAGGAAATGTATCGTATGCATTTGTTGCAAATTAGAACATTACACTAGTATACGGAGAGGCAATTAAAACCTCTTTTAATCGTCACAAGGTTGACCAAACGTAAAATAATAAAGACTGGTGATTGAGTTAGTCATGAAACACAGAGCTCTCACTTTTTATTAAAATTTTGCATATTCTGAATACAAATAAATGATAACGCCACAGTAGCTAGCACGCAGCACGTCAAATGGCTGGGTTTCACGATGCAGCTTAAACAGATAAGAACAGCCGGCAAATATGGGTGGTCATTTTATTACTAGAAATGCGAACACCCATGATTTGCATGTTGGCAGTGGTGTCGGAAGATGTAAGGTTCTTTCATTTACCAAATAAAATGGGTTTTAGTGGGATAAAATGCTTATCATTAATGACACAAATTACCTAGACTAAGAAGTGAAGAAGGAACTCTCGATTGGCAAAGTGCGTCCACGGTTTAGCCAAATAACTTCAGTCACCCTAAACACACAGTAGTAATGCAAGAGGCCTTTTTCGGCTACAGGGTCAGCTTTTACTTTTACTAGGTCACCCTGGTTTGCATTAAGTCAGTTTCTCTAAACAAATGATATAATATTGTCATTAATTTCATGAACCCTATTTGGATTGGAATTAAACCCCAAAACAGACCTATTTTGCCTTGAGGTATAGAAGATCATTGCGTACTCTTTTTTTAAAATGCTAGCTAGTCGCTTCGAAGGTAGAACAACTTAATCGGTGACACGGATGTAAATGGAGGAAGCCGACTCAAGTGGAACCAAGTGGCATCTGTCACGGAATCAATGCGTCTTTCATTCCTGCGCGTGTCTACGTTAGCTCGTTTTTAACGTGATCAAAGTATTGCAATAAACCTGGTTTTATTTCTCAGAAGTAAAGCTATGCTAACAGTTTTGATGTACAAAGGGCTGAAAAGGAAACAGAACTACAGCAGCGTATAAGGAAGAGCAAAGTTTCAATGGGAAGGCTCGGCCGTAGGAGGTCTAAAAAGCAGGCGTCGAACTGATAAGCTTCGACGATCCGCTTTGGAAGTCGAAGACCTACATTTTTGCAGAAAGCAATACTATACTACTAATAAGTTATGGATAAGAAGAAACACATCACCTAACCGATCTATCTTACGGCGAATATCAAACTAAAATAAGGCCGAACACCTTTTCTCAATCGGCACCACAAATACGTGAGGGAACAAAAACAAAAGACAAAGACTATCTTTGTTCAAAGTTTTCTAACCGGCAACTAACTGTCACAATGTTATTGCGCTAAAACGTGCAGCTGTGGCCACTGGTACCTATAGCAAGATTAAATGATATTTCTCTTGATTAGTAATATCGATCAGTCTATGAATTTCGAGGGCTGTTTGTCTTCAGACATCAAATCTAAGCTTGAACAATATTTTGATCTCAATAAAAGACACATTGATGAGATAATTATAGGTTTCAATACACTTCATGATTATTCACAATGTTCGAAACTTCCCTATGGCTAAAGGTCAGAATAGTAAAAAGAAACGAGAAAAATAATTTGTTGTGTGACTGTGTGTTCTTCAAAGGTATATCACGTAGGGAAGATTTTTGAACCATTCAAGAAGTTTGAACATTGCCGAGTGTGTTTTTTTGGCTTAATCTTTGTGGCCAGTGTTCGAGCCTCGAACGTGAAATTTTGTGTCAGAGATCTGGATCTGGGTTCTCTGCCCAGATCTCCGCTTGGAAAACAAGGGAAAAATACAGCTAAGTAACTTTATACGTGCGATCAAAGAGAGAACCTGCCATCCTTGCCAGCTGAAGCAATCCAAATTTGGAATCAAATTGTTGAGCTGTACTAAAGGTAAACAGTAACAAGGAAGTTAATTCCTCTCAGCGTGGACCTCAGGTATGCGGCGGTCACTTTCTCGAACTCAGCCACTGTGAATTTCAATTTTTTGCCGGACTATTTTGCAGCCGTTGAGATGAATAGAATCACTCGCCCAGGAGGGGGAACTAACACTTATGCTGCACTGGTAAAGGCCACGGAATAATTTGAAGATCTGTCGGCAGGTAAACCTTTCGTATATATCGTAATATTACCTCTTCTCATATGAGAATGAGAGACAGAAATAGAGGAAAGTATAGGAAATAATACTCTCTTCTGGTGTTAAGCACACAGTAAGCGGCTAAAGCAAGGAAGAAGCGTGGGGACAAACACGAGACGAAGTCGAGTGTTCCTCCGCACCTCTTTCAATCAACGAAAAAAAAACTGGAGAGAAGTCCGGGAAATGGTCGGACTTAGCACAACTTGGCAGATGGCTGGACAGCTTCAGCTCGGCTCCTTGTCTTGTACTTTTATCGTAAAAGCAAGGGAAAAACCTGGGCTACGCATATGTATTCCACATATGGTAATGCTGTCGAATGAAATCGTTAGCCTCCCTTTAAACTACGCAGATTATATTCTTAGTAAAGGAGTTTTGTATGAAGCTGCATAGGTTATTTTTATTCTTTCGTTCACCCTTAAATTAATTAGGGTTTTGTTCCATGTTTATAAGGCGGACGTCCTGCTCCAGACGAGAGAATAGTTTTCCTCGTCACAGACGGAAGATCCAATTCCCCTTCTAAGACCAAAGCAAAGGCCCTAGAACTGAAGAAACGTGGTGTAGAAATTTTCGTCGTCGGCATTGGTAGCTACTTCAGCGGAATAGATGAGATAAGGGAGGTGGCTTCAAGTCCACCGGAAAAGTTCTTTTACGTGGCTTCCGACCTTTGGGAGGTGGTGAAGCAAATTGTAAAGGATATCTCTCCCAGACTGTTAGAGGCTATGAATGCTGAGCATGATCTTCCTTGCTAAATTAAAAAAAAGAAGTTAAAACCCTCCTTAAGTCTTTGAAACATAGTGTTTAAGGAAACATTCATTGTTGGAACAAGTTGCCCTTTATTAGATGAAAATTTTCTTCACTCGGTAGTTTTGACAAAAGGTATCTGAAAAAAGCTCAAAGTTTGCATAAATGGAAACACTTTCCGACCATTTCGAGTTTTCAATTTTCCGCTACAGGCCATCTTTGTGATATGGCTGCTCTTATTATCATAAAATGGATACTCTCAATGAAAATTATGCTTTCAAAACAGCTGATACTTGTTTTGTATTTTCTGCAAACGTTCTGCTTTTATATATATCTTTCAACGGAGATTACCGAATATTTTCATTGAACTAACACTGACCTTGTTTAGTAAGAGAGGTCTTCCCTCAGGAAATGTGTTCTTGTTGTTATTTATGGCAACAAGAGAGAGGTGAGGTGGGATGCGTTGCCCTTTTAACTCTGATTTTTTGGAAGTAAATCAGTCTGTTGTTTCTGAATGGAATATGTACTCCTTTAAAGTATACCATTAATGGCTGAATATGGACGCATTTTAAACATATACATACACGAACACCCCCGATCATGTAAAGATTACATCATGTGAGGTCGTTTTCCACGTGCTAAATTGTCAGAGGCTCTCAATTATTTTCATATTTCATAATTGAATGCTACCAAGGGAAACGAAAATTTGATGTTTCCTCCTCTGTTGAAAGAATTAGATCAACATTCCCAACAATTTCTAATCACATGAAGATAGCTATTTCATTTAGAGGAAATAACTTGTAAGCTTATTTTTTAACAGCCGCCGAATATATTTCCTAATAATTAAATGATCTGGAACAATATCACAAAAAGTTGTTTGAACTGATAATAAATATCAAGGAAGAAACCATGTCACCCTGTTGACTTTAATTAGTTTTTTTTCATGCCTTTTTTAAACACATCTTGTCTGAGTGTCGTTTAAATATATAACCATGACAAGAGGAAGGAAATCAGCTGGTTATATATGTATGTATCTAACCCTCGTGTTTCACGATGATTTTTGGAAAAAAGATCACCAAATTGGTTACTCACTGTACCCAGCTTGTCTTAGCTTTGTCATTGCGGTCTTAACTCTCTGTGTGAGATCTGTCGAAAATATTGAGTTATGTCAGAAAATGACGATCAAAAACTGTGCTTCTAATTTCCATGAAGTTTTTTCAAGCCTTTGAGAGAAGGAACTCGAATCAACTGTTTGACAACTGTGTAAAAGAGCAGGTATTTAATGAAAGAACAACACTTTTTTGCATGTCGATTTTTCCGTTTATTAATGTCCTAGATCTATTTGACCCTGTCTAAACTCAGTTTTCAGACGATTCCACGAAAACCTTAGATTTACATTAAGTTCTCACTAAATAAGCCAGTCGAATAGGTGTTAATAAATTCTTAATAAGACATCCTTAATCCAACGAAACTCTTTTACTCACAGTAAAATTTCAAGGACCTAATTTATAAGAAAAGATTATGAAGAAGATTGCCAAAGAAAGTTTTAAAATAGTTAAACGTACTTCTCAACGTGTTTCGTCGTAGAAAGCTGTTGACTGCCTGTCTGTTCCCCGCTGTCCCGGTGACCTTCTTACTACGTTCCGTTCGCTCTTGATTACAACAGCGAGTTTGATGAAACAAAGCGGTTTGTGTCCAAGCTTGAACTATGATGGGTTAAAGCGACACATAAGTATTGTTCAGCATTGTTAGTTTGGTCATTTAGGCCTGTGTAAGAGTAGGAAACCTGAATACACCGGCCATAATTGATTAAAGAACTTAACACCAGGGGATCATTGTGTTGTGTCCTTGGGGCAGACATTTCACTCGCACGGTGCCTCTCTCCCCTCAAGGGTATAAATGGGTATTGGGTAACTGTAAAGGAAACCTGACAAGATGTTGGGGATCAGAGGCATAGCTTGAGGGAGGGGTCCTAAAATGTTCGTGGATATCCCTTTCCCCCCACTCCCCACCTTTTTTTTTATTACATTAAGTAAAACACGGTGTTGAGATCGACATGACAATCTCTTGAGTGCCCTATGTTTAATAGTGTGATCCCTCCCTCAAGCTCCACCCTTAAGAGTAGACTAAAATCTTGTTCAGGAGGAGTCGAGCATTACTCCTAGTCACCTCATTTTTTGTGAACCAGCGGTAATGAACATCAGTTCCTTTAACAACATTATACAGAAATCACTGAGTGACGACCAAGAAAATGTGATGAAAGGGAAACTAAAGTTCACTTTAAGTCGAGTAGAATTTTAGAAGAGAACAAGGCAGAAACGTTTCTCTTCGCATTTCGAATGTGACCGTCAATGTTTGTGTTACAATGACGAACTTTTATTCTGTCATCGGATCAGAAAAGATTTTACAGCTATAACCCCCGAGGAGCGAAGGAGATTCAGTGACGCACTCAAAATCGCTGCGACAAACCCTATTTACAAAGATGAGTACAGAAGGATCAGCAATGTTAATGCACGGATGCCGACCAAACTACTCCAACACATGCCTCAGATCTTTCTTCCGTGGCACAGTTCCCTATTGGGACTGGAGTAAGGACGAAAAACACTGAGCCCGAGAGACGGAGACAAACGATGTTTGGAATCTAGGTCCTCACGGTTTGGGGGGTGACGGTACTTTGTCTGATGATTGCGTCAGAGACGGGAAAAAGAAAATGGACTTGTTATCTCAGAGGGAAAAATATATTTTCGCTTGTTGTCAGGTCATTGACTGATACTTGTGCAACAAACTTGTTGTTTTCATGTATATTCTAATCGTTTTCACAAGCGATGGAGATGATTCCTCTCTAATTTTCTTTTTTTACATTCCATTAGTTTCATAAACAACATATATTTTAACCATTAACTGTAGAGGAGAGATCAGTTCTGTCACTCACATTTCTGGCTCAAGACAATCTTTAACAAGTGGGACATTCGAATAATTTGAGCTGACAACTTTCTTCTTTATGTTACAAACAAAACATCCTTTAGGAATACTCATAGACTTGTTTAACGGTAATATTTATAGATACATACCATTATAATCAGCTGGGTAATCGCTGAATATGAATGATTCTGATTTTTACCCTCTCAAGAAATTGTTCGGCGAGTGTGTGAATCATCTTTCCACCCTTTCCTCCTCTTCAATTTTACATCAGTTCTTCTCAGCGAAATTTACTAATGAAAGTCAGTAACACTACAGTCATCAAGATTGTTGGTAACCAAAATGAATGGGCGGCTTACTATTGGTCCATTGTCCATTAAAATTGTTATCCTCAGTTGGAAGATGGAAAATCGAATCGCAGCTTCTATTCCAAAGATGTCACTGATGGCCTAAATCCATTATTTCTAGGCCAGTGGTATTTGCGTGGCGAGTCAAGCAAGAGTTCACCTTGATCAAATAGCCACTTCCCCACCTGCAGATAGGGTACACTTGATATAATTGTTCACGGTGTGAGAATGATATCGTTAAAACAAACCAATACAAATGAACAAGTACGAGTTAAAAAGATTTGCATGTGGTAATTAAAAGATGTAATTGGGTGGTTTGATAACCTGATCAGATTACCACAAGACACTACTTTGCACAACTGAATTCAGAGAACAAATTATCCTCTGAAAGGGCACTACCAATGATATCACACTGAACGATTTTTGTCAAGCACTTACCAATGGAAGAAAAATTCGGGGTTCATTTTTTATTGGGTTTTACAACACTCCAAAAAAGAGGACATTTTAATCAATACTGCCAGATCAGCGGACGAAATCAAAGGAAAATAATCCATTCCTGTGTTGCTTTGATTGTTCGTTTCAAACTTTTACAGACCTCTTTGTCTTCCATTTTTTTTTTTTTTTAGTTTATGCAAAGGAAAAGGGTAAGGAAAATAAAAATGAAAAGATAAATGAAACTACTGTAGTTTGAATATAGTTATACATGTTTCTTGTAGTAAAGCTGAAAGAAGAAACACTCATATCACCGCTCACAAGGGTACGTGATCCGATTTGGGAACCCGCTGCCATCGTGTAAGAACGAACAGGTGCATGTTTATTCTAAAAGTGTGCGTAGAGTATTCTTACAACATTCCACTAGTTCCTCCAGCTGGGTGTTAGGGGGATCACGATATAAGCAGAGGTACATAAAGCTAGAGGTACGAATGTCATCCGAACCTTTTTACTTGTAAATAACCCTGAGTTTCCGAAATTCAGCGTGCTTGACTATAGAGGTAGGCTTAGCTCTCCTTAGGTGATATAGGACATGAGAGAGAAATATCTCTCTGGTTCTTTCGCGATGATGTCATCAAATTTACAGGTGATAAGTAAAATCAAGAGTGTGACCATGAAAGTAAGTGGGTCGTTTTACATGTTGTGGCAGTCCCATAGAATCCAAAAGATCTCTAAATCGTATCCCATCTACGTCAGTAGGTACATCAAAATGTATATTAAAATCGCCTGATATTAGAAGCAGATCACTCGCCAGTATTGCTGATGAGATTTTAATTAGATTGGATCAGGCAAAGACGGCTATAAATCTGGTAGAAATAAAAATGTAGTCTTATAGTGCTCTGTGTGTGTTGTAGCTAGAGCCGACATTTATTACTGTTCCGTGAAATTAAGTTTTGTGTGCCAAATAATATGAATATCCCTTGTTGTGTAATATTATTTTATTTGTATGCTTTTATTCTTACCCTCAAAAGTCCTCGTTCAGAGGATTTTGGCTTTTTCCTTTCTCTATGTCTCGATCGGTATCGACAGTACGTGATATGTGTTACCATACTGTGTAAAGTGTTCAACCAAGATTAAGGTAATCTTCAGCACCACAGACAGATAATTTCCCCAGTTACGTGTTACGTTGTTTGTTGCTAAAGATCAAACCTCAATCAAACGATTTTTTGATCCAGTTAAAGTGGAACCATCAAATTACAGCATGACTCATATACCTAATTCATGTAGTAAACAAGCTTCCCTGTTGCTGAAGGTCAAATCGGCTCAAAAGGAATTTAATCCCGCAGCAGGGGCATTAACAAACAACACATGGAAGAATTGAAACTTTTCATACAGGCTGTGGAATTTCAATGCGTTCGGTCGTTGAGCCTCAAATTGAACAAGTTAACCAAAGAAAGCCGCGGACGAAATACGAACAAGGATGTTTTTTAGCCAAATTCTTTTCGAGAAACGAGCCAAGCTTGCGCCTGAAAGATCGACGTGACAGAAAGATAGCGGGTTACTGTCTGGCTTCCCCGTCTGGGTGAAACTTTTCCAAAAATAATTATTTTTGCAAATGCTCAGTCATCTTGAAATTAATTTTTGTTTTGTTTACCAAGCTCAATTATAGAAATGTGAGTAAAAGGAAAAACGAAAAAACAGAGCGAGTCTGCACCTTAAGATCGAACGTGACAGAAAGACCAGTTTCAGTCTGGCTTTCCTGTTTAGGTGAGGCTTTTTTAAAAATAGTTTAGCACTTGCTCAGTCTTGTAGAAAGTACTTTTTTGTTTACCGCACTGAAACATGGAGATGTGGGTAATGACAGGCTCTTTGCAAAAAGCGGTGTGGCTGTGAAAAATTACATTTTGTAGAAGAACAGTGTTTGAACCGTAATGTTAATTTTTAACAAACCATAATGTACGATTATTAGAAAAAGTATCGTTGACCGGTTTTGTAGCCTAGAACCGAATTTGCTGATCAGGTGATATCCGTCGTTCTTTCAAATTCCTCTTTTTGTAACTTCCCTTAATCGACGTCAGCGCTAAGTTCACAAAGACTGCGTGCTAAATAAAGCTTCAGGCCTCCACAACTTCAGCCTTCCCGTCACAGCTTCTCCTACATTCTTTACCTTCGCCAAAGTCTTTGCTGAGAAGGAATACACGTACAGGGACTGCTTTCTGCCTATAAAATCAACCAAGCGAAGACAACCAGCTTCAAACGACTTCAAAGAACGTACAGATCTCTTCAGACAACTGAGGCTAATCTCTTCGCAACGAACTGTTCCAACAATGGCGCCAGTGTTTTACCGATTAATGATGATCGTCATTCTCGCTTTTCTAACTGGTCAATGTCGTGGTAGGAACCCATTTTGGTTCAGACCCACTCCAAAGCGTGATCAACAGTATTATCAGTGTAAGTGTAAAGGCACTTAGGTCAATTGATTATACTTTCATGAATGCCGGTATTTCAGTATTGCTCTTGAGATGCTACATTTTACACCCTCAAGGAATTCTTCAGTTAACACCACTACGAGAACGAAGAGGACGAGAAGAAAAGAGGAACTCCTTGTTTTCTTTGGCGTTGAAATACCACTTTAGATAATGCGGGTGGTACGATTTCGTCATTGCGTCAGGATAAAAAACCTATTCTTTAGAGCGAAATAAAACCTCTAGCCGCAACCGATTCACTTTTTTCGCTAGAAAAATACTGGTTCAGGTGCTGCCAGAATCTTAAACGAGTGCATAACCATACTCAAGGTATAACTCAAAGATCCATATGACTTCAATGCGTTTGATGGACCTATGTCCTATGTTGACTTTGTGAAAATAAAGTTCTTACTTGAACTTGATTAGGATTTTGATATAACTATACGTAAGTAACACGTTAACGCGTTTAGATTGTGTGCCAGTGCTAATCTATGTCAGCTCCTTGTGGGAAGCAAGCAGAGCACGTTTTTGATTTATTAATTTGGTTACTCCTTTGTTTTTTTTTATATTATTATTATTAGCATTTCAACACGTACCGACTGAAAACGAGACCGCAACGAAATTGGTCACCAATTTCTTTCGCATACCCCTCTCGTACTTGTCTCAGATTGGACGGAGCAAAAGGCAGGTCACACAGGAAGATATCGTGGTGATTCTGGACCGTTCAGGTTCGATTGGGGACTGTAACTACAAAAAAGCAAAGCAAGCCCTGAAGAACATGCTTTACATTGCGTCAGAAATAGGATATGACAACAGATATGCAGCAGTGACATTTGCAACCGATGCCACGACCGATTTTACTTTTGTTGCTAATCCGGACGCAGGAATTAAGATAAAGAACCTTCCCTATATCCCTGGCTCAACCAACACTCAGGCTGCATTACAAGAAGCAAAAAGGGTGTTTGAAGATCCCAATTCAGGTATGTGCAAATTCATTTGTATCGAAAGCCTTTATTTTAAGTAGAGAACATAAACAGTTACAACAGCATTTCTCTAAAACAATCTGAAATCTACGGCCCCATATGGTAATGATCCAAAGTTGTACTAAGTTGTAAAATTAATATAAAAACCAAGCCAGCCTCGATTTTGAACATAAACTGTATAAGTCTTGCTCTGATAAATGAATAAAGAGAGTGTGTTTGTAAAGAAACTGTGGTGCTGCGTCGGTGGGAGAGTATAACAGGATAACAAGGTAATTTAGTATTATCAACTGAGTTGATAACGTAAATTGGCCACCGTAAAAGAGTTTCAAAGCTGACGTCTCGAGCGGTAGCCCTTCGTCAGATTTCGCTCTGACGAAGGATTAACGCTTGAAACGTCAGCTTTGAAACTCTTTTACGGTGGCCAATTTACGTTATCAACTCAGTTGATGACACTCGATTACCCTGTTTCTCTAATAGAGGCTGAGATGTGATCGATAATAAGTTCTGCCGCTATATATTTTAACTCTTAGTTACATACTTAAGGGAGGTATTGAAAATATTGTGCTTTTCAAAATAACTCTGAGTCAAAGTCAGTTATGATGATCTGTGATAAACTAGCTTAACCCTTTACCTTTACACCTTAACATTAGTTTTCATATATTCTTTACACTGCTCTCAATGCTTTCAATGCCGGCTGCTGACAAAGAGAATTTGTTTGAATATCTGGAGCTTCTTAAGTTGGCAGTCATTTCCTTTATGATCAAAGTCTTTACATTCGATTTAAGGATGATACTGAAAGAAGAAATTAGAATTTACTCGGCCTTTGGGGTTAAATGACTTTGGTTTTTAGTGAAAAAAAGATATCTTGAAATACGCTCACTGTAAAACCTACTTACTGTATTCATTTGTCCTTTTCTAAAGGAAAACGTCCGGGTGTTAAAAAGATTGCTTTCCTTATTACCGATGGGCGATCAAATGTTGATCCCTCGAAGACCATACCGAATGCTAACTTATTGAAAGCTGGTGGTGTGGAGATTTTTGTCGTTGCTGTTGGAGATTACCGAACAGGAATCAGTGAAATCGTGGAAGTAGCTTCACCAGATCGTAAAGACCACGTATTCCGTGTCAGTAATATGAATGGCTTCCTGGATGTTACAAAATTGGCTTTTAAGTTGGTTGCTCCCAAGAAATATGCAGCCTCAACTCCTCATAAGCAACTTTGTTAAAACGATATATATCAAAATTGCCTTCGATTTTAAGTTGTAGTTTGAAAGGAACGGTACTTCAATATAACTTATTTTAGTAATTAAGTAATTAGTTCATTATTTCCCCTAAGTTTGAATATCACATTGTAATGGATTCAAGGTCAAGTAAGAATCGTAGAAAACGTTTTCAGCCCTTAAAATAGAGGATTTACTGAATTCATTTTGTTTGTATGTTGATTGAAAGAAGAACTCTGCTGCTTTCATACTTTAGTTAACTTAACAGTGGAATGTGTATTCTAAATATAATAAACGAAGGCACTAATTCATGGCTTGGATCAATGCTGTCATTAATGTTATTACGTCAAGTTTTATAGTGACTTTTTGTCAGACGTTCAAAAAGGTGGGAATGGAGGATCTGGGCGCAAAGGTGAGAGGGTAGTGCTGAGGACTGCGTCTGCGGAATTTATGGATAGACGAAGAAATTTAAAAACAACCTCATGACTAAGAAAAAAAGGAGAATATTATCATTTTCTAGACGGCGTTTACTTGGCATAGAGTTGTATTAACACTCCTGCTCTACGAACCTTCGGACACTTTCGGTCGATGGGGTAAATTGCCATCTCACTAATTTTGTGAAGCAGTAAGTTTCCATATATTGAGTCACTGACTAAATCGATTCATGAAGAGTGGCAAGACACTGTGGAGAGGCGCAAAGTAAAACTTTTAAAGAACCCCCGCACGACCTAATAGGTTTTTTAGTCAACAACCATGCAACTTTGTGGAACAATTGAACTTTGTAACCTGAAGCATTTGACGAACGACTGAATTTCATCCTAAAATATTGCAGTTGTTGATCTAAGAGAGCAAATGGGCCAGGGCAAGAGACAATGAATATCGTGCTTTGGACCACCATTTCGCAGATGACGGAACTCCTCAAGGTCATTCAAGGCCTACTAAGCAGCGTTTCTGGGAGGGGTTACTTTTGCGGCAGCTTGACATCTTTTTTTTCTTCACTAAGCTTGATGAGAATGTCAACGATCAGGAGAATTAAACCAAGTCACAGAGCTCTACGACAAATACGCTAAATAGTCTCCGGCGTTACAAAAGGTAACATCATTTGATATTGTTTTCTTCGGGGGAAGTTGTAAGAATATGTCTCGATTATTTTCATTCTGATCAAATATTTACAAGCAAAAAGGAAAGTGAAAAAATGTTCTGATTATAATACTATGGGAAACGACCAACAATGTTTTGTATAACAGCAGTTAACCGTAATTTCAACAAGATAGTCAGGCCTAAGGTCTCTAAACAAGGCATGAGAAATTAAAGTCATTTAAAAAAAGGAATTTCAGTAGTGAAACGAACCTGTCAGCTTTGATAACACTAAGCTTTCTTAAAATGACCGCGCATGGCCATTTTGGTCGGTGGTGGTAACAGCTTTAAAATACACACGGGATTTTGTAAAATTTTCGATTAACATGAAGCGTAAATTTTTAAAACCATTGGAAAAACTTTTGATGCAAATACTTACATTGGGGTGGACGGTGAAGGTGATATTGCCCTCTAAAGCAAAAGCTGTTATATTTTACAGCACGTTTCATCGATGAACATTACATGTGGCCGAATACATAGCAGAACAGCTGAGGCAGCTGATGCTCACATTGTACCTCCAGGCACAACCCCTAAAGATTTTAATTATTTTCCGTTAAATTTATTGTCATTTATTTATTCTTATTTTGCAATTGATTAATCGGCAGCTGTTTCAGCTGAGAAGGAGGACACTTGACACTTGACACTTTTTTTAACCACTAAGTGTTGCAAGTAGCTGTTCCTCGATTGAGTTTTCGTGCAGATGTATCCTGAAATTGTCTTTAACTCAAATATGTTATTGATATCTATATCATACGCAGAACATTACGTGAGCGCATGATTATACGTACGCCTACTCGATTTGATAATATCTCAACGCTCAAAGATGAAGTTCTCATCCACGCTCTACAACTTTTGCATCTTGTCAGACTCACTTGAACCATTTCCTCTAAAACCAAGCAAGACAGTATCACCAAGAATGTTACCACATGTTGATATTCATTACCTTGATTTAATTGCTTTGAAGTGCGTCATCCGACGTTTCGGTTCATTGATTAAGCTTCATCGCCACAACAAAAGGGTAGTCTTCAAACTTGTTCTCATAAATGCTCGAAGGTGCAACAAAGCAGGTTTCAGTTGAACGCAATATAACTAAATTACCTCAATAATTTGCTCTGTGCCTGTCGGCGCTTTGTACCAAAACATTTTTGCAGAAACAAGGAAACATGATTGAGATGTTAATATCTAATCAATGCGCTGAAAAGGAAATGTATCGTATGCCTTTGTTGCAAATTAGAAAATTACACCAGTATACGAAGAGGCAATTAAAACCTCTTTTAATCGTCACAAGGTTGATCAAACGCAAAATAATAAAGACTGGTAATTGAGTTAGTCATGAAACACAGAGCTCTCACTGTTTGTTAAAATTTTGCATATTTTGAAAACAAATAAGTAACAACGCCACAGAAGCTAGCATACAACACTTCAAATGGCTGGGTTTCACGATGCAGCCTAAACAGATACGAACAGCACCAGCGAATATGGGTGGTCATTTTACTACTAGAAATGCGAATACCCATGATTTGCAATTTGGCCTGGATTTCTGTCGTTGGCAGTGGTGTTGGAAGATTTAATGTTCTTTCATTTACCAAATAAAATGGGTTTTAGTGGGATAAAATGCTTAACATTAATGACACAAATTACCTAGAGTAAGAGGTGAAGAAGGAACTTTCGATTGGCAGCGTTCGTCGACGGTTTAGCAAAATAACTTCAGTCGACCTAAAATCACTATTAATAGTCATGCAAGTGGCCTTTTTCGGCTACAGGGTCAGCTTTTACTTTTACTAAGTCACCCTGGTTTGCAGTAATTCAGTTTCTCTAAACAAATGATATAATATTGTCATTAATTTCATGAACCCTATTTGGATTGGAATTAAACCCCAAGACAGATTCACTTTGCCTTGAGGTATAGAAGATCATCGCGTACTCATTTTTTAAAAGCCTTAGTGATGCTAGCTAGTCGCTTTGAAGATAGAACAACTTAATCGGTTACACGGATGTAAATGGAGGAAGCCGACTCAAGTAGAACCAAGTGGCATCTGTCACGGAATCAATACGTCTTTCATTCCTGCGCGTGTCCACGTTAGCTCGTTTTTAAACGTGATCGAAGTATTGCAATAGATCTGGTTCTATTTTCCAGAAGTAAAGCTATGCTAACAGTTTTGATGTACAAAGGGCTGAAAAGGAAACAGAACTACAGCAGCGTATAAGGAAGAGCAAAGTTTCAATGGAAAGGCTCGGCCGTAGGAGGTCTAAAAGCAGGCGTCGAACTGATAAGCTCCGACGATCCGCTTTGGAAGTCGAAGACCTACATTTTTTCAGAAAGCAACACTACTACTAATAAGTTATGGACAAGAAGAAACACATCAGCTAACTGATGTATCTTGCGGAAAATATATCAAACTAAAATAAGGCCGAACACCTTTTCTCAATCGGCATCACAAATACGTGAGGGAACAAATACAAAAGATAAAGACAATCTTTGTTCAAAGTTTTCTAACAACTTACTGTCACAATGTTAACGTGCTAAAACATGCAGCTGTGGCTGCAGGTACCTATAGCACGACTAACTGATATTTCTTTTAGTTAGTGATATCGATCAGTCTATGAATTTTGAGGGCTGTTTGTCTTCAGACATCAAATCTAAGCATGAAAAATATTTTGACCTCAATGAAAGATACATTGATGAGATAATTATAGGTTTCAATACATTTCATAATTATTCACAATGCTAAAAACTTCTCTATGGTAATTATAGGTTTCAATACACTTCATGATTATTCACAATGCTAAAAACTTCCCTATGGCTGAAGGTCAGAATAGTAAGAAGAAACGAGAAAAATAACAATGTATTGTGTAATTGTGTGTTCTTCAAAGGTATATCACGTAGGGAAGATTTATGAACCATTCAAGAAGTTTTGAACATCGCCGTGTGTGTTTTTTGGCTTAATCTTTGTTGCCAATGTTTGAGCCTCGAACGTGAAATTTTGTGACAAAGATCTGGGTCTGGGTTCTCTGCCCAGATCTCCGCTTAGAAAACAAGGGAAAAATACAGCTAAGTAACATTATACGTGCGGTCAAAAAGAGAACCTGCCATCCTTGCTAGCTGAAACAGTCCAAATTTGGAAACAAATTGCTGAGCTGTACTTAAGGTAAACAGTAACAAGGAAGTTAATTCCTCTATAAAAGTAGGCTAAGCAGTGAGTGAATTTCAAACCTGCAAGTCAGATCTAATCAAGTCGAAAAAGAAGGACTTCGCAATGTCAAGATTTTCTCTATCGGTTGCCTCTGCAATGTGCCTACTGGTATTCTTTACAGCATCAGTTCAGAGTAAGTTGTGTTACGCGAGTTTTGAAATCTCATTAACTTATAGAGTCAAAGTTTATATTTTAGATTCTTTTTAAAAGTTGATTAATGTCCAGAACTAGGTAAATGTCCGTCCCTGCATTAACGATTTAAGAATCTCAATCTTTTCAATAATCACGCACATGCGCACGAATAGGCTCTCAGGAAAATGAAAATGAAATCAGTTTTGGACCCATTGGTCCTGAACGGAGCTGTCGTTTACGAGGAAATTTTTAATTAGCTGTAGATAACATCAATGGATTCATTTGTATGGTTCTTTTCCAGCTTTCAAGCTTCCTGGTGCCGCCGACACTGCAAAGAGGCTCGAAGAAAATTTCGTAAAAGCTAAAACTAAACCTCCTCCAAGTGGTGCTGGATTTCGGGCATTGTTCCAAATACCCACTTCAAGAGAGGTTCACGATGTTGTCGTTCTCATGGATGGCTCGGGATCGGTTACGTCTTGTCAATTCGAGAAAGCAAAGAAGGCGCTTCGTTACCTATTAGCTGTGAAAAACATGTACGTGGACCTCAAGTATGCAGCGGTCACTTTCTCAAACTCAGCCACTGTGAATTTCAATTTTTTGCCGGACTATTTTGCAGCCAGTGAGATGAATAGAATCACTCGCCCAGGAGGGGGAACTAACACTTATGCTGCATTGGTGAAGGCCACGGAATTATTTGAAGATCCCTTGGCAGGTAAAACTTTCATATATATCGTAAAATTACCTCCTTCTCATATGAGAATGAGAGACAGAAATAGAGGAAAGTAAAGGAAATAGTGCTCTCTTCTGGTGTTAAGCACACAGTAAGCGGCTAAAGCAAGGAAGAAGCGAAGTGTTCCTCCGCACTTCTTTCAATTAACGAAAAAAAAGCTGGAGAGAAATCCGGGAAATGGTCGGACATAGCACAAATTGGCAGATGGCTGGACAGCTTCAGCTCAGCTCCTTGTCTTGTACTCTGATAGAGCAGGCTCATTCAGCAAATGACAGCGCGCGTTATATCCGAACTTTATCATAAAAGCAAGGGAAAAACCGGGGCTACGCATATGTATTCCACATATGGTAATGCTGTCGAATGAAATCGTTAGCCTCCGTTTAAACTACGCAGATTATATTCTTAGTAAAGGAGTTTTGTATGAAGCTGCATGGGTTATTTTTATTCTTTCGTTCACCCTTAAATTAATTAGGGTTTTATTCCATGTTTTTAAGGCGGACGTCGTGATCCAGACAAGAGAATAGTTTTCCTCGTTACAGATGGAGGATCCAATTCCCCTTCTGAGACCATAGCAAAGGCCCTAGAACTAAAGGAAGATGGTGTAGAAGTTTTCGTCGTCGGCATTGGTAGCTACTTCAGCGGAATAGATGAGATAAGGAAGGTGGCTTCAAGTCCACCGGAAGAGTTCTTTTACGTGGCTTCCGACCTTTGGGAGGTGGTGAAGCAAATTGTAAAGGATATCTCTCCCACACTGCTAGAGGCTATGAATGCTGAGCATGATCTTCCTTGTTAAATTAAAAAAAAGAAGATAAAACCCTCCTTAAGTCTTTGAAAAATAGTTTTTAAGGAAACATTCATTGTTTAAACAAGTTGCCCGTAATTAGATGAAAATTTTCTTCACTCGCCAGTTTCGACAAAATCTATCTGAAAAAAACTCAAAGTTTGCATAAATGGAAACACTTTCCGACCATTTCAATTTTTCAATTTTCTGATACAGGCCATCTTTGCACGTCCTTTGTGATATGGCCGCCCAGTCTTATCATCATCAAATAAAACCTCTTGTGCTCGCAAGTTTCCCAAACGATAGCACGGATAATATTGGTAAACATAAGTAAGATCCAAAATTGATACACTCAGTGAAAATTATGTTTTTTCAAAACAGCTTATACTTGTTTCGTATTTTCTGCAAACGTTCTGCTTAGTTTATCTGTCAACGGAGCTTACAGAATATCTTCAACTAACACTAACCTTAAGCTTGTTTAGTAGGAGAGGTCTTCCCTCAGGAAATGTGTTCTTGCTGTCATTTTGGAAGTTTAGAATTTATAACTATATATATCAATTGACTTTTTCAATAAATTTGTATTTGTTAAGTGAAGAAGACACAATTTTCAATAAAATACTGCTTGTATTTTCTGCTCTGCCTAGTACGAATTTTGAGTATCTCGTTACATCTACTGTAGGTCAACTCGTAATTATGTCGTAAAAAAAAAAGCAGCGAAAATTAAAAACAGAGGAGAGGGGGTGATGGCTACCTTTTTGCCAAACGGGAAGGGGAGGGGGGGGAGGGGAAGAGGTGAAGTAAAATGCGTAGCCCTTTCCTCTCTGATTTTTTCGAAACACTCTTTGAAGTGAACTAACCGACTTTTGATTACGAAACTTTCATGTTAATTTTTTTCTTTATCGCATAAACCATATAGATTGGGAGTGACTTAGGCAGAACTCAGTTGGAAGTAAATCCTTCGTTTCTGAATGGAATGTGTACTCTTCTATAGTATGACATTAATGGCTGGATATAGACGCATTTTCAACATATACATGACACGAATGCCTTAAATTTATCTTACGATTTTATTTAGGCTTCCTTGAGGTTAGGCTCAGCCTACCATCCATTGTTTCAGAGGCAGGTTTTTTTTTTTTAGTGTCGCTGGAAATGTGGTTTAGTTCTGCATTTATTCGAACGGGACATTATGATGACTTGGAAATTTAACCGTTCAAAGAGCTTGGCCGATAACGTACTAAGCTGTCTTCCTGTGCGTGCTCGATATTGTCACACAAACACCCCCGATCATGTAAAAATAGCATCATGTCATATCATTTTCCACATGCTAAATTGTCAGAAGTTCTCAATCATTTTCATATTAATTGGATGCTTACGAAGGAAACGAAAATTAGATAATGTTTCCTCTTCTGTTGAAAGAATTAGATCAATATGCCCAACAATTTCTAAACACGTAAAGATAGCTATTTCATTTAGAGGAAATAACTTGTAAGGATATTTTTGAACCGCCGCCGGATATATTTCCTAATAATTAAATGATTTGAAACAATATCACAAAAAATTGTTTGAATTGGTGATAAATATCAAGGAAGAAATCATGTCACCCTGTTGACTTAAATCAGAATTTTTTCATGACTTTTTTAAACACATCTTGTCAGAGTGTCGTCCATGACAAGAGGAAGGAAATCAGCTGTTTATATATGTATGTATCTAACCCTCGTGTTTCACGATGATTTTTGGAAAAAAGATCACCAGCATGGTTACTCATTCTACCCAGCTCGTCTTTGTCATTACGATTTTAACTCTCTATGTGAGATCTGTCGAAAATATTGAGTTATGTCAGAAAATGACGATCAAAAACTGTGCTTCTAATTTCCATGAAGTTTTTGAAGCCTTTGAGAGAAGGAACTCGAATCAACTGTTTCAAAACTGTGTAGAAGTGCAGGTATTTAATGAAAGAACAACAATTTTTTGCATGTCGATTTTTCCGTATTGTAATGTATTAGATCTAGTTGACCCTGTTGATGTCCAAACTCAGTTTTCAGACGATTCCATGAAAACCTTAGATTTACATTAAGTTCTCACTAAACAAGCTATTCGAATAAGTGTCAATGAATTCTCGTTAAAACATTCTTAATCCGACGAAACTCTTTAATTCACAGTAAAAGTTCGAGGATCATATTTATAGGACAAGATTATGAAGAAGATTGCCAAAAAAAGTTTGAAAATGGTTAAACGTACATCTCAACTTGTTTCGTCGTAGAAAGTTGTTGACTGCCTGTCTGTTCCCCGCTGTCCCGGTGACCTTCTTACTACGTTCCGTTCGCTCTTGATTACAACAGCGAGTTTGATGAAACAAAGCGGTTTGTGTCCAAGCTTGAATTATGCTGGGTTAAAGCGATACATAACAGGTAAAGTCTTTTTCAGCATTGTTAGTTTAGTCATTTAGGCCTGAATAAGAGTAGGACACCTGAAAACACCGGACATACTTGATTAAAGAACTTAACACCAGGGGATCATTGTGTTGTGTCCTTGGGGCAGACATTTCACTCGCACGGTACCTCTTTCCAGCCAAGGGTATAAATGGGTATTGGGTAACTGTAAAGGAAACTTGACAAGATGTTGAGGATCAGAGGCATAGCTAGGGGGAGGGGGTCCTAGAATGTTCGTAAACCCTCCCCCCCTTCCTTCCCCCCCACCCCTTTGTAGGCCCTATTTTTATCACATTAAGTAAAACACGGCGTGGAGGTCGACATGATAATTTGGTGAGTACCCTCTGTTTGACAATGTGACCCCCCTTTTTTAAAAAATCCCGACTCCTCCCTTAGGAGTAAACTAAAATCTTGTTCAGGAGGAGTCGAGCATTACTCTTAGTCACCTCATTCTTTGTGAACCAGCAGTAAAGGAAAATCAGTTCCTTTAACAACATTTTATAGAAATCAGTGAGCGACGACCAAGAAGATGTGGAAGATGTGGAAGAAGTGGAAGCAAAAGTACATTTTATGTCGCGCAGAATCTTAGAAGAGAACAGGAGACATAAACTTTTCTCGTCGCTTTTGGATGAAAACACATTTTACTCAGTGCAAAACTGAATCAAAAGTTTGTCATAACTTTGAGGAAAATTGGCGTTCACTTATAACTTGATTTAGACTGACACAGTTTCCCTCACTGATCTTCTGTATCACTTGTCTTGGAATGAATTTTTAGGTAATACAATGATTTGTCATAAAAACGGCCCATGGTTTGATGAATGTGAACGTCAATGTTTGTGTTACAATGGCGAACTTTTATTCTGTCATCGGATCAGAAAAGACTTTACAGCTATGACCCTCGAGGAACGAAGGAGATTCACAAACGTTCTCAAAACCGCTGCGACAAACCCTATTTACAAAGATGAGTACAGAAGGATCTGCAATGTTCATGCACGGATGCCGACCAAACTACTTCATCACATGCCTCAGATCTTTCTACCCTGGCACAGATGGTATTTGCTGGAGTTTGAAAACATCCTTCGTCAAGTTGACTGTAGGGTTACAGTTCCCTATTGGGACTGGAGTAAGGACGAAAAACACTGGGCCCGAGAAACGGAGGCAAACGATGTTTGGAATCTAGGTCCTCACGGTTTGGGGGGTGACGGTACTTTGTCTGATGATTGTGTCAGAGACGGGCCTTTTAAGAAAGATGCTTTCTTTATACCTGAAGATATTGGACAAGGCTGTTTACAAAGACGTTTTAACATTTCATGTTTCCTTCCAGGCGAAGACGTGATTCAAAAAATAACAAAGGATGCAAACTTTACTGCGTTTGAAAAGTTTGTTCGGGAAAAAGTGCATCCTGCTTTTCACGACTGTGTTGGTGGCCATATGTTAAAACATCACTCGGCTTCGTTCTCTCCAGAGTTCTGGATTCATCACAGCTTCATAGATAAACTCTGGGCAGATCGGCAGATAAACGGAGCCAGTCACACGTTTGAGTATTTCATCAACATAACCTTTGAGATGCCTTTGAGCGGACGGTTTTCATGGGAACTGTTAGATAATCATAACTTACCCGGTGGAATTAAAATCCTCTATGAGAATCCAGGGGATTCCACTCTTAATTCAAGGCTGAACAGTTTTGTTTAAAAGTTACACACCTTTGTGGCTGTGTCTGATTGATGTGATAAGTTTCAAGTTTACCATGAAGAAAATGGACTTGTTATCTCAGAGGGAAAGATATATTTTCGCTTGTTGTCAGGTCATGGACTGATTTAGTTATCCAACAAACTTGTTGCTTTCATGTAAATTTTTTTACAAGCGATGGAAATGATTCCGTTCCTAACTTTCTTTTTTTACATTCCATATGTTTCATAGACAAAATATATTTTATCCATCAACTGCAAAGGAGAGATCAGTTCAGTCACTTATGTTTCTTGCTCAAGACAATCCTTAACAAGCGGGAAATTCGAATATTTTAACCTGGCAATTTTCAGCTTTTTGCGAAGAACAAAACCTCATTTAGGAAAACTCATAAAATTGTGTAACGGTAGTATTTATAAGTAGATACCATTAAAATCAACCGGGGAAGATCATGGTAATCGTTGAAAAATGAATGAATCTGATTTTTACCTTCTCAAGAAATTGTACAGTTGGCGAGTGTGTGAATCATCTTTCCACCCTTTTCTCCTCTACAATTTTACATCAGTTCTTCGCAGCGACATTTACTAATGAAAGTCAGTAACACTACAGTCATTCAGTTTATTGGTAACCAAAATGAATAGGCGGCTTACTATTGGTCGATTGTCCATTAAAAATTGTTATCTTCAGTTGGAAGATGGAAAATCGAATCGCAGCTTCTATTCCAAAGAGGTTACTGATGGCCTAAATCCATTATTTTTAGGCCAATGGTATTTGCGTGGCGAGTCAAGCAAGAGTTCACCTCGATCAAATAGCCACTTCACCACCTGCAGATAGGGTACACTTGATATAATTGTTCACGGTGTGAGAGTGATATCGATAAAACAAACCAATACAAACGAACAAGTACGTGTTAAATAGATTTGCATGTGGTAATTAAAAGATGTAATTGGATGGTTTGATGACCTGATCAAATTACAACAAGAGACTACTTTGCACAACTGATTGGCAAACGATTTTTGTTAAGCATTTGCCAATGGAAAAAAATCGGGGTTCATTTTTGATTGGGTTTTACAACACTCCAAAAAAGAGGCAATTTTAATCAGTACTGCCAGATCAGCGGACGAAATCAAAGGAAAATAATCCAGTTCTGTGTTGCTTTGATTGTTCGTTTCAAACTTTTACAGACCTCTCTGTCTTCCTTTTTTTTTTTAGTTTATGCAAAGGAAAAGGATAAGCAAAGTAAAGATAAAAATGAAAATATAAACAAAACTGTTGTAGTTTGAATATAGTCATACATGTTTCTTGTGGTAATGCTGAAAGACGAAACAGTCACATCACCGCTCACAAGTGTACGTGATCCATTTTGGAACCCGCTGCCATCGTGTAAGCCATGGTGTGATAATATAAGAGTTCAGTATTAGGGTCACCCAACTAGATAGTTTGCTTGTCGCCTTGGTTCGGATTCTTTAGCGTAAACATATCATTTGTCATATTATCATGGTGATTTTGGAAGGCGAAAGGACAGCAGGGTCCACAGAAAGAGGATATAATTTCTATCTCTCCTTTGAAAAATAAGACGCACGTTGCTGTAACCATTTTGAATATGTCTTTTCATCGATAACACAATGAAAGTGTCCGGAAATAAATTCCAGATTATCATTCCGTAAAGACCAATTGGGAGAAATGACGATTTTAATTTACCCTGGGTTGTTTTAAGTGAGAATTTGCCTTCCTACTGACTTTTAGTGCAGTCTTACAATAACATATCCGAGTCTCCAGCAGTAATTCATTTTTTGATTCAGTTTGAATTAATTTTGCCAAAATACAAATTTCTAGTTTTCGCACCCCATAAGTAAGTGATTTATGCCGTTCGAGGCCAAGCTAATACATTCTCTTTACCTTTTGAGTTGAAAGTTCGTAAAGATCTTGTCAAAAACAAGATCTCACGAATTTACACTGGGGAGAATGATTAACATTTGCAGCTGCCTCATTGTGATTTGCTAAGGTCGGTAATCGCCTGCGGTTTTTTATTTATTATATTTTTTTTTGTTTTGATCGGAATTTTAAATTGCATAAACTTCTCAATCCTTTTCACCCTTATGTTAGGGTGCATATTCCCCATACGATTTTCCGTACATTTGCTAAGGTGCTGTCGAGGAGAATTTGTTTAACAATCAAGAACTTCTTTAGTTGGGGATCATTTTCCCTATTCTCTGACCTTAATGTATGATTCAGGGCTGATAGTGTAAGGAGAAATTACCGGTAGAGGCTGGTCGCTCTAAGGAGTCAAGGTGTTAAAAGAAATAAGAGGAACGAATTTCATCATTACATGTCGTTAGCCAGCTTTGATCACAACCTTCCCATTAGCTTCCGGACATTGACACTATCAATTCCACTGTCTTTGATCAACAATCATGTTTGGTTTAGTGCACATTTTCCTTGTGCTGTTCACGCTATTTGGCAGAAGTTTTTTTTCGTCGTCACAAAAAATAGAAACTTGTGCAGGTGTGGTTATTCAGCAGTGTTCAGATCATTCCCAGAGGTTGTTAAAAGCTGTAGAAAGTGGAAACCAAAACATTCGGGAAAAGGATTGTAAAGATCTTCAGGTAAGTCGCTCATGCTTTTAAACTTCTCCTCGCCTGGAGAACTTTTCTAACTAAGAGAACATCACCTGGGAGTGATTGATCTTGTTGTGCCTAGTTCAACTTTATCGCGAGATATCCTCGAAACTGAATGTTCAGTTTTTCTCTGCTTTACTGAGTTAACCCTAAATTCCATACTCGGTTCGGGCTTTATTTAACAAAATTTGAACGCGAGCATTTCTGACATCAGCTCTCATGTTAACACTAGTTTTCTGTATAAATTTTCCCCGGCTTACTTATTTTTCCTTTGAATTACCTTCAAGGTATCTGTGTTGCCCTATTCAATTCATATTGATTTCTTTTCATATTCCACAGGCTACAATTGATTGCCTCTCTGTTCCTCGTTGTCTTGGCAACCTATTATCAACTTTTCGTTACTATGTTCTAGTGACAGCATTGAGTCTTTCTCAGGCGTGTCCCCATCTGGATATCACAACACTGCGAGGCTACGTGGCAGGTTAACTCATTATAATCAATTCAGTTTATGAACATGACTAGAAATAACATTTTCTGGACGATCAATGAACTGACTTTTTTATAAGTTTTATTAATTTTAGTTTTCGTCACAGCGAATGACGAAGGGCTAACACTCGAAACGTGAAATGATCTGGTTATACTCCCCCAGCGACGTAGCACCACAGTTTCTTTAGAAACTTACCCCCTTTATCCCGTTAGTCAGACAACCAGGCGGTTGATACATACATATTTATATTAGGTGTATCAGTTAATCAATCAATAAGTCAGTAACAGGTAATTTAGTGTTAACAACTGAGTTGAAAACGTAAATTAACCACCGTAAAGGATAAAAACGCTAACGTTTCGAGCGTTAGCCCTTCGTCAATCGCTCTGACGAAGGGCTAACGCTCGAAACGTCAGCTATTTTACCTTTACGGTGGTTAATTTACGTTTTCAATTCAGTCGTTAACACTAAATTACCTGTTATACTCTCCCACCGAAGCAGCACCACAGTTTCTTTAGAAACTTACCTCCTTTATCAATAAGTCAGTAAGTCGGTCTATCAGTCGGCAGAGCGTATGCCATTCAATTATTCGTTATCAAAAGTCTGTATCAGTACATCAACCAATCAGTAAGTCAGTTATTACGTCAGTCACCCGCTAAGTGAACAGGTACACCCGAAGTCTTAAATAAGGTAACGATATACGTGCAGGCCAATCATATCACCGATTAAAGGGAATTTCAACTGTCAAATGAACTACAAAACCGAGTAAAGAAGATTTCACCTTCCTTTGCTCTTAGGTATCAAGATGCCTTGCGAGAAAAACAGATCAACTGTTGACCAGTGTCACAGGAAGTGTCGCTGTCATGATGGAGACCTTGAGTCTTGTTACAGAGTACGAAAACAATTTACTGCCATGAGCCCAACAGAGCGACAGCGCTTTATTAACGCTTTCAAACTAGGTTCTTCTAGCCCTCAATACCAAACCTATTATGAGGATATAGCCACGCTGCATTCAAAAATACCAAGCAAATTTCTTCATCACATGCCTCAAATATTTCTTCCCTGGCATAGATGGTATTTGATGCAGTTTGAAAACTTTCTTCGTCAAATTGATTGTCGTATATCAATTCCTTTCTGGGACTGGACCGGAGAGTCAGAACACTGGACACAAGCGGCAGTTTGGAGCCCAGGACCCGACGGTCTTGGGGGTAATGGTATATCACCAAATAACTGCGTTATGAATGGTCCATTCCAACAGAAAGAATTCCAATTGCCTTGGTCTGCTGGTGGAGGCTGCATTAAAAGAGAATTTAACTTTTCTTGCTTTTTACCGAACTTGCAAAAAGTACGTGATCTTATCCAGCTTGAGAATTTTACTCTCTTCGAACATACAGTTCGTGAGCAATTCCACACGACATTCCATGACTGTGTTGGAGGCAACATGGCTCATCATTCCAAGGCTTCTTTTTCTCCGGAATTTTGGCTTCTTCACAGTTTTATTGATAAACTTTGGGCCGATTGGCAGAAGAAGGGAGTGGCTTTCCAGTTCCAGTATTACACGGAAATCACTTTTACAATGCCAGGTTCTGGACAGTTCCCCTGGGAGTTTCTTGATCAAGATAATCTACCAGGAGGTGTACGAATTGTGTATGAAAACTCACCACCGTAAAGGTGGGAGGTGTGTACACACCAAAGGAGTCATACTTATTTTCAGATCTAAGTGACCCATTCACTTCTATTTTTTCAAATTTTATTCCTGTTGGTTGGTCTGTCTTGAAAAAGCAACTTTATTCACATTTCCTTGAGGGTGCTCGAAGGCTCCCCCTTTACAACTGTTATGGTTTACAGGCGCCAAGCCTGGTATGTCCGTGCTTGTTCTAGTTCCGCTTTCACTAATATCTCTTAGTCACGATCATCATTTATTGTACGAAAGTATCTTCGAGATGCTGACAACCCAAGAAGACCACTAGACAAATTGACTAAATCGGTTCTAATTTTCCTTCGGTCAAAAAATAAAAACCGACACAAAGGCTTTGAAGGAAAGAATCAGACCACAGTATGCTTTCGAGAGTAAAATTCACCTTTAAGTTAAATGTAAGGGAACATGAAACATTTCTTGAAAACGTGAAAACAAATAGCCTTTACCGAATGAGGAATTTGTGTTTGGGTGCTGATGGATCCATTTATAGTGAGCCTCAATAGCTGGTGGTTTCAATTTTCAAAGACCATTTTGAAGAAGGGAGATAAATTTTTGGATGACCAAATGTATATGGAAATATGGTATAAAAATAAATTAGCCCCAATCCCCAATTGTTTTATAGACAAAATATCAAATTCAATATACAACAGCAAAAACCCACGAATGAAAATTGAGAGTTCGATTTCAGGAGTACACAGCACATGCCCCCTCTAAAGTACAGATTTTTCCTTTCCACTCCTAATCAAGAAGCCCAAGCTCAAATCCCAGGTGGAGTCACTTGTTCAATGCTGTGATTCTGGGTAAGACTTCCTTGTCTTCCAGTACTTCTCCTTCACCTTCAGTAAGGGGTGGGTAACAGACTAGCATCCTTCTCAATAGAGATTAAAATATTCCTTGTAGCAGAATGCCACCTAAACGAGGAATAAAGCAGATCCATGATTTTTTTTTCCAGTTGTTTGTTTGTTTGTTTGCTTGGTTTGATATCAGGAAGTGCAAGGTTGTGTTGTTGAAAAGACAACTGTGTTTTCTCTCAGCAATACCTGAGTAAAGATTGAAATGTGACATAGCACAGGCAAGAATGCAATTATGAAAAGGGAAAGCTGAGATACCATCACAAATCAGCTCCAAGGCTAATTCCAGTGGTGCGAGTTTGAGCTCTGGCCTGGGTTTTGTTTTGCATTGTGGTGTGTTCAAGAGTGAGATGCTTTACTCTCACAGAACTTCTCTTGCTCAGTAGTATTAATGGGTACTGGAAAACTGTGGAGGAAACCAGCAAAACTGCTTCTGGGCTACCTGTGATTGACAAGCCTTCCACCCATGTAACATGCCCATACTGCCCTTTATGCAACAGAAACCTCAAAGATCAGCCCCAACAGTTACAAGTATAGGCCAGGTGGCCCTTAGGACTAAAAAGGTAAGTGGAGGGACTGAACTGAAAATTACTCCAAAGTAAACCCAACATTAATGTCAAAATTATATTAGTTTGGGTCCAAGCACTTTATTTGGACATTAGCTCTGACAGATTTGAGAGAAAGCAAATTTGTATGTACAATATCAGATGTCAAAAGTCAGTCTTCCTTTTCAGACATTTTTTTTTTGGTTGACAAGAAACAACCAGTTCCAATTTTTGATTACAACTGATTCTCTTATCAACACCATTCATTTGCTCCACACTTCACATCACAATATTTACACCCACTCAATGACAACACTTGATCTTAGACAATGTGCATCTGCATAATCTATCAGACAACAGTCCCTAAAATAACAATTGCAGCTAGCCATTAAATGTCCATCTCAAACTGGGTGGGTACATCTCCTGCAAAATAGAGGTAAAAAAGAACAATGATTCTTATTCTGCTGTTGTTTGTTTGATATAATATCACCCCTGAACCACTCATTAAGCTCATGGGAAGAAATAAAATGATCACCAACTAATGAAGCTCTTGACTGTTAAACAAATTCTCCTTGTCAGCACCTTAGGAAATGTATGCAGAACAGTGTGGAGAATATTCATACTGATATTAGAATACAACAAGTCAACAAATTTCTGGGAAGGCTCAGAGGAACTGGGCTTTCCTTTTTTTCTTTCATTCTTTCCTTTTTGTAAAGTATTATTTTTCCAAGTGAAGCAACTTTTATGACTAGGTATTGTATACATATGCCTCATTGGGGTTATCTATGGCACCTTGCATTAACACAACACACCTTACAGCAGTTTTAAGTGCTTCTGCAGCTTAAACATATAAAAATAGATTACCAACCACCTGAAATTCCATTGGTTCATTGAATATCAAACTTATTGATTAGATTTGCATGTTTAAATTTACCTTAATTAGTTTGAATTGTTCACTATGAGATGAAAAAATTAACAGCTAGAGCCAGCTATTTAGTAAACAGTATTAAGCATGTGTTTCCTTACCATGGTCATTCTTATCATTCTCTGTTTCAGAGCCATGTACACCATTGTCTTTGCGAACCCCTGGCTTCAACTTTGCATCACAAGTTACACCTGGTATCATTGGCAGATTCTGTGGAGGCGTACGTGACAAAGGAGAATTGCGCAATTCCAGCAGAAACTTGCGCTCGTATATTATACGTGTCCCTATAAAATAAACAAGGTATTACTTAATGTAAACTTAAACACCACAAAGGATGAGATAAAAAGTAACAAACTGACATCATTCACACAATAACAAGGCTCACCATTTTAAATAGAAATAACCCTACCTGAGCTTTAGAGCATTTTTTTAATTTTCTGGGGAACTTCAAAATTGTTTTACAAAAAATCAAAACAAAGCTGTTGGCCACTCAACTCAAAAAATGAATTAGGAAGCAGTGTTGGAACTTCATTTCAACAAGTAAAGCTCAGTAGTTTATTTAAGCTTATGTGTCAGTGTAATATGTCAATATTAAAAGTTGATCTGTTCACAGAAGTTGCCCACTACTCTACAATAATTCTAAATATATGTAACAATGAGAAATACTACCAAATATATATTTTTGTAAACACATCATGCCACCTCCTGATAAAAAGTTTAGTTAAGAGTTAAAACAGAACCATCACTTAGCCAATTGTTACCGACAATTTCCCATTGCACTGGTTCACAGCTGGTTTCAAGACATGCATTTAGCAAGTTATTGGCCAAAGATTTCAAAATACATTTGAAATTTCTCCAAAATTAAAAATGCCAGACCTCAAGGACAGTGAATATCAAGATAACTAACAACTGACCTAAGCTCAATGACAAATTCATGAAGCTATCAAAAGCTTTCACTTTAATACTGTTCTGCTCCCTAACCCCAAAAGTTTGCAACATAAGGCTTCCACAATTACAAAGACAACACAAAAAGTGATTGAGGCTGAGTGATGTTAGCCAAGCACACAATGCATACTAGGTAGCAATTTCAATTTTTGCATGTTTCACCGGCAAACACAGCACAATCTGACCAAACTTGTTACTTTCTTTATAGCAAGCCAAAGTTAAGATGAAAGAAGGCAAAGCCTGGAACCATAAAATAGGCATATCATACGAGATGATTACAACTTATGGAAAACAGAACTTATGGAAAATAAACAGACACTGACCAAAACAAGAAAAATTATTCAAAACAAGCTGTGAAGTAAGAATAGACATTTTGTGTGAAGTACTGGGCTAGGTTGTTTAAAAGGGGAAAAAAGATTTAAAGCTAACCTTGACTTAAATTTTTTATGTAGATGAGCATGTATAAGGGCTAAAATTGTATTGGGGTTTATCTCAGTATGACTCGAGACTAACGGGAAAAAACAAAAAAGAAAAATCCCTTTGCAAAGCCATTAAACTTAATTAAAAATTTACTGTAACCCGGGTAAGGTTAGTCGTGTTTTGAACCCAGTCCCAAGAATGATCAAAGCGAAACTTACTATGCTTTTCATTGTTTGCAGACAAGGGAATTTGATCCATTTTAGATTAAATCAAAGTAGCTTTGAAATGCAAATTAGATACGGAACCTTGAACTCCTGCAAAACACGTGGATATTGTTTACATCACCAAAACAAAAAGACGAGTCTCATACAATGCGAGCCACGGCAGAGCACGTCCAAACATAAACACAGGCCTAGAGAAACGTTTTGAAAAGTTTCTTCAGTTCAAAGAACGAAAAATTAACCTTGAGACGAAGGGTTTTTCTGATCAATCAGTCCAGACTGTTTTGCAATGATATAAGTACGACTTAGGAAAGTCACAAGAGAGTTATGACGACATCACAACACCAAGCATTTACTTTTGTTTTCCGATTTCCTCCCTTACGTGAGAGAATAATATCATGCAGTAAAAAGAAACCTCTGAAGGTTAGGCATTCGAAGTAAAAAATTTCAATACACCGGCAAATTTTCTTAAAAATTTATCGAGCTTAAGCCCATCAGAAAAACGAGTGTGAACGATGAACAATGAAGGTTGGTTGGGCAACGCAAGCACTTTTCGTTGTACAAGTACACCTACTGTACACTCTCGAAGCAAACACGGTTTAATGATTTACAGAACAAACACGTATCGATAAGGAAAGAAAAAAATCTCAACGCTCTCCACATCTGGGGCAGCAAAACAACCAAATTTCCCATACGGATTGAGCAAGGTCTCAGCAAACTAAAACGCTTGCGTTGCAGTTGCATGTCCACAAATTCCCAACTACGCAGTTAAAAATCGAGGTGTCTATGAGCTCAAAACAAACTCAGAGCCGAAGGCTGTAATTAAAAACTTGGGGCATTCAGTTCGTAATCGGTCTTCACAGTGTAATCTTGCTCAATTCTGCATTAAAACATCCAAAACAACGCACAAACTTACCGCCGGGAGTCGTAGAGAATATGGTTCCACCAGGAGTAGTGGAATAATCCATCGGTAGCTGACCTGGGTCGTTGACAACAATTCGTCTGGAAGGAATTGCTCTGGATTCAGAGGACAATACTTCAGTTTTTGATGCGTCCATTGTGCGATGTTTTAGTCTTAAGTTGTCTGAATTCCCTTCGTTCTAATGCACTCTCCCGCAAAATGACTTTGCCTGTCCTTTTCAAACCTTCCAGCGGGTCACGAGATGTTCTTGCGCATGTCCAATACTCCAATTGCGTCATCTTTTCGTGAATCACGTGTTTCCGTCACAAACCCAACTCGAAAAAATCCCCAAATGCACGTACTATTTTTAGGAAGTCTTCTCGACTTCCTTGTGGCGCATGCGATAACTTTAAATTTAAAACCCTCCTAGGATAGTATGAAAAGACACCTTTTACAAGAATGTCAGCTGTTGATCAGATAAAAAATCAAAAATAGGCCTACCATACAGTCCGTGCAACGCGACACATCACGCTCTTTAATGAACATACGGAAGTGGATTTAAATGTCAGTACGGTTTAAAATGGAAATTTATGCTTCCGGATATATCCAGTAATAGCGACCGCAGAAGACAGTATGACTCTCAGTCAAAAATTGACAAAAAAAAGTTTACAGAATCGATGGATACTGTCATTAAAAAGTGCACTGCTGCGAAAAAAGGGCAACAAATATGATTTCATGTACTAGAAGTTTCTAATGCTCCAACATTTATCTCCAGGAGTGACAGCTGGATCGGATCACAACTGAATTTGAAAGTGAAAGTCTCAAAAATAATTTCCCTAAAAATGTCTTCGTCAGCAGATACATCTGGTCTGGTGTCATACATCCTCTCTTTCTTTCATTTTCACAACATTCCCTATTTTTGTTCACCACCATATGCCCATACTTAGACCGACAATTTCTATGACACCTCATGCTCCAGCTTGTAGAGAAAGTTTTATTCGGGATCGCGGGACTAAAAAATCCTATTTAAGGACCCTCAGTCAACGCTACGTAAGCACCATGCGACAGCGATTCAATTGTGTATACATGATCCGTAATAGAAGGCCTGTTGTATTGTTATCTTGTGTTCATGACCAAAGGACTTTAGGGAACTCACTGAAAGAAGTATTTCTGATTTGTTTCGACTGAGCTAAAGAAAAGCAAATTTTCATGGATAAACATTTAAAAACGGAACCAGACTTACACCCTCCTTTTAAAGTTTACTTATGAAAAGGTGAATCAACGACAACATGGGCTTCATCCCACATCCTATCTCTCTAAGCTTTTCATTAGATCGCTCTAATAGCTGCCACTCAATGATTATAGCGACTGGTACCGGACTGCAGTGGTTATCCATTCGAAAATCTGTCTCAATTAGGAGGTTACGGGAGTTAAAGATTAACGGCTGACTTTATAATATTTGCAATTTTCGAAGTCCATCTGGCTTTGAATAACGTCTTCATAACATAGTCTAAATCATGTTACAAGGATTTAAACCAGTCAAAGACTAAAGCGACTCTGTTTTACATGTTGATGAGAAGACTAGATGCTCCCAGATTTCTGTCAAATCCTCGTGTAAGGCAACACCGGAAACGGTTCTAGACAGAAGTCAGACAGGGCATAACAACTAAATTGGTACTCCCTTACTTATACAAACCTCCCTTTCTCACAAATATAACCAAGCAAATAAGTCTTAAGCTTTATTACCAGTCATAAAGCAGTATTTTGCATGATAAAGGTTAATTATTTCCACCTCCTTTTGCAGCTTAAAAGTTCATCAAGATAGCTTTGAAAAAGTTATTTTTACATTCTCTATTATGTTTGAGATCTATGGCAACTAATGTCTATTGCTTTCAAGTTTCGGGTTACACAAAGTAAAGGCTTATTTAAAAGATAGAAAAGTGAGAGTTGATAGGGAATGTCCATGTCCATTTCGACTCTCGCCCTGCGGACATCTCGCTATTACGGACACCCCGCCACTGCGGACAAGAGCCAGTCTCCCGGCGTTATTATTGACTCGCTATTAAGGAATGGAGACACTTCTATGTTTTTCGCGATAGCGGACACTTAAGGACTTCATCCAAAATCCTGAATTACATGATATAAAGCGACATAACGATAAAGGAAAATAAAGAAACGATTTTTCAAGTGGATGCGATCACGAGAATTTCCTGCTTGCGACAGGGTCTTTTTCCAGTTCGTAAGGCCATATTAGAAACTTTATGTTTGCGTAGTTGCATATTATTTCATATGATTGGAAACAAAACAATTTATTGTTCTCTCGTACCCGGCTATTACGGGCTCTCGCTCGGACATTAAATCTCCCGGCCCCCCTAGGGTTGGTTTTAAAGACAGTACGTCCTTCACAGCGGTCCTAATGCGTGACATGCCATTGTACTGGTGAAGCGGCAAGTAATTGTAAATTTGCCGCGGAAGTTGAATAAAAAGAACCTGAAAGATCATGTTTCAGGTGACCAAAAAGCAATTTTCTGGTCAAATAACACCAATAATCAACTTTTGACCAAAGACGTGGTGATCCAGGTGTGATAGGGAAGCAAAGCGAATTTAAGAAACCTCTGTAAAACGAAAATATGCATTATAACCTAGAGGCAGTATACCTTTGAAACCGGCTCATAAATTCTGTTTACGATAAGGAGCCTAGTTAATGATTTAATGCAAAAGGCTGACCATGAACGAAAGAGATAAAGAGAATAAACAAAGGTAAAGAATATGAAGCTATACAGTTATAGTTTTCAGGTTAGACAAACCGGTAACCTGCCGAAATCTAACATTAGTGGGTTGCCTCACGTTTTTCCTTAAAGGTTGAAAGTGACTTAGTATTCTAAGCACTTGTCGTTTGAGGTCGCGTATTCTCCAACAATAGACAATAGGATTTAGCATCGAGTTAAGGAGTATAAGGATATATGCGAAACTTATAACTAGAAAGGAGGAACTGTTGAGACCCACGAAGAAAATCAACATCTGCGCCAACAAGTATGGCATATAACAAATCGATATAACGCAGTAAATTAAAAACATGTTTTTAACAGTCTTTTTATAGGCTGGGATGCTAAAAATATTTCTGCGGTTTGTCCTGAGCCGACTCTGTTGTTGAATCTGAGCTGTTTGTCTACGCAATCCAAAAAATGTCCTCAGATAGAAGTATAAAGTTGTTGTTGTACAGAGTACCGTTGAGAAAGCTCCCACAATGCGATTAATGTTCCTACCGAGCGTCCACGACACGGCAAAGAAGATCCCTGTACCCCACAATGAAGACAGCAATATAACAATTCTTCTCAGGGTAACTAAATGCCGATATCTAATTCTGAGGCGAAATGCGAGATATCTGTCCAGGGCGATTGCAGGAGATGTTAAAGTTGAAACTGAAGCCATTATGAAACCAGCCATAGTGGTAGGCTGATACGGTGCATAATACTGTAGTGGGTCTTCTTGGATCACACCCAGAGTAAGGGCGAAGTGTAGTGGGGCTACTATTATTCCGACACCAAGATCAGAGAATGCCAAACTGCTGAGCAGAGCTTTGGAGGGAGAATGTATGGACTGACTCTTTTTTAGTGCAATTAAGATCAGGGTATTTCCAAGCGTTGCGGAAAAGAAGATTATAGCGTCAATAAAGCACATTAAGATAAATAAATCTTTTGAGAATTCTTGTAAAAATGAATAGTGTAGTAGATGAAATGTAGAACAGTCGAGTGTTGCGTTCATTTTCGCTCTGAGGAAGACTGAAAAAGTGGATTCTACAAACTTACAAAAGTAATTACGGCTAAAAACTAAATTACAGTTGTGACTTCAAAACGGAAATTTCTTGTAAATTTCTCACAAAGCAAAAGGAAGTTTGAAATTAAACGATGAAAATGCTAATCGAGGCGCGCAATAAAGGCTTTGTTGTTGTATTGTTTAAACTAAATATCTAATTTTACACGTTTCATTGAGCGAGAACAGAAATTTCTACAATTATTGAACTTGTTTTCGTATAAAGCTCGCACCAACTGGTAGAAATAAAAACACAACTGAGTAGTTAAAAGGCGGTGATTTTGTTGGTCTATACTGAATAAAAGGTAACAGCGTCATTGACAAAAGTGTTCTCGAATTTCTCAATTTCCCGCACTTAAAAAACGCAAAGCTAAAGGATGTTTATATTATGGGCCTGTCGGTCCAGAGGAAGTTTTTCAATATTAGCCTCTAGGGAAACTGACATTGAACTCGGCTAAATGAATGATTCACCAAACATTTTTCCTCGCATTCGGTTTATTTAATTACCAAAAAATTTAATGAGAACATCTTAAATTACAGAAAACTTAACTTGTCAGCCAAAGTTGACGCCAAAAGTCAGACTAACCCGAATGGCGTTTCCATTTTAACCTGTTTTCCACATTTATTACACCCACTGATATAACATTTTGATGTAAAGGACAGACGCACGAAAAAAGAAAAAAAAAGACGTTATTAAGCGTTGGGCCAGGAAAACCTAATAATGATGATGATTTCGTTGACCTTGATCCGAGCGTCAGTAGATAAACGTGCTGATCATTTTTTTATCGAAAAAAGTCAACATCACAGATTCCTGTTTTGTAATTTATTTCAATCCATAGGAACATCGAGAGCTTTGCAGGATATCATGATATCATGATATCATGCATAAGCAGTACTTTTTAATTAAAGGTCTATCTCGTTGGACCAGACGTGCGCCTCACATAAAGTATTCATCGTAACTACAAGTCGACTGCTGAGGAAGCAGCCTTTCCTTTCGAATCGTATTTCAACGAAACTTCATAAAGAAATATTCAGTTCCACTACCACTGATTTTAAGTGTACTGAAGAAACCGGCATGAACTCATAATTGCTACTTTCGAATACCCTGATGACTTCATTCTAGGAATGAAGTAATTCAGGGTCGACTGATAAGCTGTTACAACCTGACTCGCAACAAGTCGCAACTCGTCTCGTAGTCGAATTGAGATGCGGGCGAAGTGGGCCGGAGGCGCCTTTATTTCGGATCACATTCTCCTTTCCAAAAGAAGTACTTAAAAATATCATAAATGTATATAAATTCACATTCAGGCTTTGTGCACTCTTTGCGTTAATCGATTTACTTTTGATTTACTATCTTGAAGGTGAACATTTTTTGTCAAAATTAAGCGATCAAAAAAAAGTTCACCTCGCTTATATAAGGCCATCGTACCGGTTGATGTCGTCACTTTTTTGCAAAAAAGGTCCGCCATGTTATTGGAAGGCGCGTGCATTTATGTTCTTGGAATTATCGGTAATTTAATGCGCACTCTTGGTGGCCCGGAAGTTTGGAAGATCCTTTAAAAATGAACAACCTGTACACTTTCATATGCACGCAAGATTTATTGAAATTAGTCATTTTGAAAAGAAATGAATACTCGCCCAAAAATCACTACAAATACAAGAGGTTTACAACTGTCATTGCAAAACCACCTCTTTCATAAACATATTAATATGCTTTATCTGATTTGATGGTTTCAATTTAAATAGATTTTAATAATATCACTCGCAAGTTTTCTGTGAGGAGAAACCATGTATGTACTGGCTTTTATAAATAATTTTCTATACAATTTTTGTATTCTTCAATCTCTGTTTAAAAAACATACTTTTTTGGCGTTCTTTTGATAAAAAGAAAGCCCCTGACCCTTTCTATAGCTAATAAACATTTTTCACTACTTCTACAACAACATTTCTAGAGTGTTAAAAGTTTTCATCCCAGCCAGAAAGGTCGTCTGGCGGTACATCCATATCCTTTGCATAATGATCAAAATTTGAGTAGTCTGTAGAGCCTTTCACCTGATAAATATTCAAAATGACACTCCTTAGGATACAGCATAAAGGTTTTAACCAAGGAGGTCATCCCCCGTCCCATTAGGTGAACCGTATGAATTTTTGAGGGTGCCTGGGGTGTGTCGATGAGGTTTTGAAATCTTAACCTTCTACAGCCAGCATCAGTTTGCTTATTCCACATATTGTTCTCTACACATTTCCCAAAGTGCTGACAAGAAGAATTAATTTAACAATCAAGAGCTTCTTTTAGTCGGTGATTACTTCCTTTATTACACCCATTTTGAAATCACTGGTGGTCACTGTAATCTGATTGGCTCTAATTGGTGCGATTTATTCACGAATCGCACCATTTTTGCTTTAAATTGCATCTTTTCCCCAGCCAATGAGGAGGCTACACTAGAAACAAAACAAGGCTTGTTTAAAGTAACCAATCAAATTGCAGGAAAATGAAAGACAAAGAGTATTATGTGGCAAATTTTGCTACTTTTGTTCCCAAAACTTATTTTTTCCTCCCCGAAAATAGATGAATTTAATTTCAAACCAGCTCAGTACTGCATCTATAAAATATTTGAACTGACCAAGTCCTGTATTTGAGCGATTTCAAAATGGATGTAATGAAGTGGTAATTGAACCTCGTGTCGTGCAATTTTGGTCTGAAATCATACTTGTGATTTCAAATCGAACTCGCGCTGCGCGCTCGTTCCATTTTGAAATCACGCATATGATTTCAGCCCAAATTGCATTCCACTTAGTTCAATTACCATCATTCATCATCATGACCTTCGTTTTGGATTTAGGGGTTATATTGTTAGGAGAAATTAGATGGTAGTCACTCTTTGGGATCAAAGGGGTACGTCTATATTGGACCTACTACAGATGCCTTCGATCTTGTACTGTGGTGGTGAGAGTGAGGCATGGTCTTGAAAAGGATTGTTATCTGAGACAAGGAATGTCATAATAACATTTAAGTAAGGAGCTGTGTTTTTCAGTAGAATTTCCTAAGTTTAGTTTGTGAAAGCAGATTGGTAGGTTTTACAGTGACTTACTCACTTAGTTTTTGTCCTATTTACAATGCAACAGTCACAGATTACGACCCAATGCGACTTAATTCTTACAGTCAATAACAAGGCACCGTAAGTCATATCAAGTACCTTGGGTTTTATTGGAGGTTCAAGAGTCCGCTCCAGCAGGCCTTGCCAGTGAAAACCTTGAAACCACCTAAAGAGAAAAAAATTTATAACTGAGTTCAATTTATAACAAAATCATAGAAAAATTGGGGAAGAGAAGCATTAAAGTTACATGTAATGAAACAGGGCCCACTCGTGAAATGAAAACCAATCAGAAGGCAGTACTGGGTGGAACAAAAGAATCCATTGCAAATCGGCCTCCCGCACTTGTCCGATTTGAGCAATCACAACTGTAATTATAGACAAAATCGGACAACAGATAGTCCTAATACCAATCAAAGTCAACGCCATGGCAAAATTTGAGGAAACAAAATAACCATCTGCTGAACATATTCATGCACAACAGCTGACTTTCCTACACGAGAAAATGAACAATAGCCTATATAGTAGTGAACACAATATGGCGCGGTTAGAAAAGTGTATCGCCTAAACTATCCTATAAGTGTGCAATTCGGCCAGGCGGCTGATTACTAATTATAGTTTTAGAATTTTTTTTAAAGTTAAGTAGACGGACGAAGACAGAATGTCTCTCTCAAACTTTTATCGCGGTAAAATTGCGCGCTGGGTTTGAATAATCGCGAATTAAAAAAAGGTATTTATCGTCTTTGTATTCCCTGTTCAAAAGATTCTCTTTCATAATACCATAGCAGATAAGGATGAACGACAAGGCGTATGTTACTTATGTTTCTTGACGTCTGTGAGGCCATCTTTTTGGTATCCCAGTCGTTCTGAAGGACTTTCTTTGCAAAGTCTTCTGATGAGATTTTGAGGATTGCGTCCGATCTTTTTTGGAAACTCTATGACATCCATTCCTCGAAGAATAATGTTGTAAGTCTTCATTGGATCAGGGCCATAAAATGGTGGACTGTAAGAATCAAAATATAGAGTGGTATTCTTTAAAAATACTCGAAGAAAATAACGGTGACTTAGGTTCTTAGCGCGAAACTCTCAACAAATTGAAACAGTGTCTGGTGAAAGAAGCCCCTGTTCAATAAATCGCCGTTAATTCACCCGATAAATTTAATGATGTTCAGCTTTTTAAAACTTGAAATGAGTAATCAAGGCGAGTGAGAAATAATGATCATAACGAGAGATGGATTATCTTTGTTTGCCAAATACTTCAATGAAACAAAATAATTCAATTTAAAGTACTAACTGGACAGACTAAATTTATTTAGCAATTTATAAGCCTGGCCCAGCATAGGAGCTCAGGACCTCCGTGTCGTAAGACCAGTGCCCTAACTTCTCATACACGCTGCTTCTCGTACATTTAGATAGAACTGACCTTCCAATAAGAAGCTCAAAAATAAGAATTCCCAAAGACCAACAATCGGCTGACAAGTCATGGCCCTAAAACCAGGGAGAGATTATAAATGGAAGCTAAAAAGTCAAAAATAGAGCATACAAACAGACAGAAAAACAGAGGAATAAAAGGGGTAAGTTTCTAAAGACACTGCGGTGCTACGTCGGTGGGAAAGTTAACAGGGTAATTTAGTATCATCAACTCAGTTGATAACCAAAACGAGCCACCGTAAAGGATTTCAAAGCTGACGTTTCGAGCGTTAGCCCTTCGCCAGAGCCATTGATGAAGGGCTAACGCTCGAAACGTCAGCTTTAAAACTGTTTACGGCGGCCAATTTAAGTTGTCAACTCAGTAGATAATACTCAATTACTCAGAAAAACGGAGGGGCTATTAGAAAGACGTACGAGCGGAAGGACAGACAGACAGCAAAACCGATTTACAAACAGGCAGAAAATCGTAGAGAAATGAAATTTGAAATAGGAGTAGAAACACAATGCATATGTAAATCAAAACAGTTTAATCAACACTATTTAAACCTTACCTTGTTGAGTATAATCTCCGGCGCCACATACTCAGGTGTTCCACAAAACGTCCACGTCTTCCTTCCAAACCCGATTCGTTTGGCAAAACCAAAGTCAACCTAAACAAAAGCCAACCATTGTTGATACAGTCCGTTCTGGCGGCTTCCTCTATAACTATGTTGTATAACTTAAAACTTTAAGTGGATAATTTTGAAATACTTGAAAAATGTTAGTGAGTTTAAGATTGAAGTTGAAGGCAACAACAAACTTAAGGGAAAAATGCCTTCCTATCTTTTTCACTTTTCCTATAAACTATATAATCCCAAAGAAAAATAGCAAACGATCTCTTGTTTAGCGCTGAAACAAACTTTCCCATTTGAAGGACAAATGGTTGAAGGCAGATGGCAAAAAAGTTCACTTTTTGCTGCATAGCGCAAACATAATTCTTGACCTCTCTTATATCTGAGGAGCGTTTACCAGCCACTGCTGTAGCTCAAAATGTTATTTGTCGATAGTATATATATTTTAACTCTATACAGTCAAGCAGAAAAACATAAAATATAGAGGAAGCTTTAAAAATAAATGATATCAAAAAATCAACTTACCAGCTTCACGTATCCATCTTTGTCCAAAAGCAAATTTTCAGGCTGATAAAACGAATGGAAATACAAGTTTGTTCATTAGTCCCACAACAATGGCAATGTTGCAATGTTTTTTAGGTTTCGAAATTACTGATCCGAAAGTTGACAGTAGTCTCGAATTGCGTTGGATTGATTTCTCATGGCTCTGTGATTGGTCTAGAAAAGGGCCACCATCGTTTTCCCGCGCTTCAAGGTCGTTCGGTTGCTTTACTTTGAGTTCTCATTGGCTCTTTACGAAGTATTCCCTCGTTCTGATTGGCTCTTGTCGTTACCTGGGTATTGACCTTAAGATACACAATCGAAAAGCGCTCCAAAGAATATTCACTGAGTGAGTAGTTAGTTACCTTTAAGTCTCTATAGACAATGCCTCTGGAATGAAGGTACTCAAACGCCTCAACCACACAGGCAACAAGAAATCGAGCGGTAGAATCATCGAAAAACCCTCTGCATAAACAAAAATGTTCACAATGATAATGCTAATATAAAGAAATGCTCTCGTAGAAAAGAACTCCAACCCACAAACAAACACCACAGCTCGCGGAACAAGTAAAAAACCATTTTCAGGGGCTTTTAGTTGAGCGTAACGGGAACGAGAACCAAAAACAAGCTCCAGCTACATCTGACGTGTGGTTCGGAAATGGAAGCAGGGCCACAGCGGATGAAGGCGAATGCTTACATCACTATGTCACCCTTTCTCCCGCATACTTTACTTCTCAACATTAGCTTTCTCTTCTTATTATTTTATCTTACCTGTCCCTCAGTATAGTCCACAGCTCTCCGCCCAGACAAACTTCCAGCAGCATGTAGACGTACTTTCGATCCTTGAATGTTCTGTATAACCTTAGAATAATAGGAAAGAGCGAAAGTAACGATAAAAAATTTAAAAACAAGGAGAAGAATAGTTTGCCATCTCTTTGCCTGTAATTTACCATCCGCCAAAAAGCAACCCTTACTTTCAATGAAACTGAGAAGAGAAAAACTTGCTTTAAATTTTGAGTGTCCATGCAAACTTGATTGAAAAATGTTCTTTCTAGAGGTCCAGCGGAAATACTAGTCGCTTTAGACTACTTACTACTCATGAGGAAAATAAATGCAAATGTCAATGAAAGTCAACTGTTAGGTATTTTGCGTTGAGTAAAACCATTTGCATGGCTTCATCTACTTCATCAAAGCGTCTTACTTGCAAATGAAAGGAGAGTTTGCTTGGAGCATTATTTTCTTCTCAGAGTAAATGTGCTCTTGTTGTCGTGTATCCAAAATGTGTTTCTTCTTCAGGCACTTCAGTGCGTATGTTTGCTTGTTTTTAACATTTTGGACCTAAAGGAGAAAATAGGTGTGAAATCTTTGATCAAGATAAGCTACAGAAATTGGAAATTGAAGCAAGATTTAGATGTGTTTGTTTCATCACGTGATGGACATGATAGCAATCCTTATCTTTTAAAACTTTACATGCGCGCAAATAAAACCTTGGTTAAAGTTATAAATTGCGTAAACAAACTATTGTTTCCAAGATATCTCTTTCCCTTGAGGGAAAAGAAGAGAGGCCCTGGAGACAACCAGGTACAACGAATAAAGGGTGTAAGTCGTTACCAATTCCACACGTCCAAATCCCCCCATTCCAAGGGTAGCGATAACTTCCAATTCATCGAGTGTTAGATCTTCGAATTCCTTGGTAATTTTATTCTCATGATAGTAACTTCCCTCAGGTTCATTGGTAGAAAAGTCCCTAAAAATAAAGCAAAGGTCAGAATTTTCGTGAGTCACTTTTCTGTTCAAATGCCGTATAAAAGCATCTCACAGTCCTGTTCCCGTTGCTAGATATCCTCTGTTATAATTATAATAAAGCATAAAAATCGTACGAGTGTGAATCGCGACGGATGTCGAGTTTGTATATAGCCCAGCAGCTAGGAAAAAAATTCGCGCTAAAAATAAAGTCTCTCTCCCTCTTGCCCTTCGTTGTCCTTGCTGTTTTTAAACTTAAAATCTCTTTCTCTGAAAGGTACACAGAGAAACAAAGAAACAACTTTCATAACCAGCTTTCTAACCTCCTAGCCCCTCTCTCTTCGTCACCATAATCCTTTTTTCTGAGCTCATCAAGGTTACCAATCACCGCTTTGAAAGCCCTGAAAAATGTGATCAGATCGGGTACTATAAGGACATTCAAATCAGCAACCCATTGATAACTTACAACAACGACAACAAAAACCACAACAACAGCAACAACTACACCAAAATTCATTTTATTTTATATTTGTGTGGTTTTGCACTATTTACAAAAAAATTAAAACTATGACTTACGTTCTTTCGACCACAAGACATTCCACACCGGGTGGTTCAGCTATCACATTAGCTGTTCTGCGGTCTTCACTAAAGAGAAACAGCAAAAGGTACGCTACACAGATCAGGTTTGCAGAATGTAAATCAAGGTGACTTAAGACAGTGTTATTGTTCTGGTGGACTAGTTTCGAATAGTTAAAATGGTAACAGATTCCTTTGAGCCCTTCCTCCCCCCACCAAATTTTTTCTCCAGGCTTTGCGACATGGGTGACTTAAAACCCCGATTTTTTTTTCATTGGAATCGATGGCGAAACCGTTTTTAGATACCGCCAGAGCCGAGCGAGTGGTCGAAAACGCCACTCATGGTGTAATTAGAATTTTATTTTCATACAAACTGGGATTTACGCTGTGAAGTATTATTGTTCGTGTCTCTAAGTGGACGAAAGATGTATTTTCACAGTCGTTCGCTTCGTACTTCACACTGTAAATTTAGGTATGAAATAAAAACATCATACCATGGAAAATGCTTGAACGATTTTTGTTCACTTGTTGCGATGCATTAAAAAACCCATTCGTTCGTTTTTATGCATCGCAGCTCGTGAGTAAAAATCGTTCGCGCACACTTTCCACGGAATAATCTCTGTGTATCCAGCCTACTCTAGATAACAGCAGAAATATTACTTCTGCATGTAGAAGTGCGCCAACCGGTTACTGGGTGTCACGTATAATAGAAATGTGTTATCGAAATACTTGGTGCTGGGTACGTGCATCACCCATATTCTTCAACCAGTACATGTTGCGAAAACGAGATTTAGTAGCTGAGGTGTTAGTATTGCAAACTTCTGAGGGTTACTTCTACTATGACAATGTTTCAGCGTTAATTCGAAACACAGGGTGCAATCAGCTTCTTGCAAAAAAAAAATGGACAAAACTCAAAAGCTAACGTCTGCATAAACGATTTTAATAAACTCACCTCAAGAGAGCTCTTTCGCCAAAGTAATCGCCTTTCTGAAGTCGCCTGACTTCCTGAGGCTCCTCTCGTCCTGCAACCCTTTGGGTGACGATCACCTGATAAAACGCACTAAGTTTTTGTCATGTAACAAGTTCTTTGTTTTGATAATATCATCATATTTAGGTTTATTTAAGTTAAGATGTATTTGGTCCTTTTTGTACTAAATCAGGACGCTGTAAATACATGTAAAACAGTGTAAACATAAAAATAAATACCCACTGATAAGGCAAACCAGTTCAGTAATTCCAAAGCGGAATTTCTTAGAGCACCCTGGGGCGGAAGGAAGAGTAAGCTTGATAACGAGGTTCACGAGAAGCAAATCCAATCGAAGATTTCACCCACCGGATATCAAAATTATCCCCCATCAAAACCACACCACCACGCCGACACCACACAACATGATGTTTGACATTTGGTCATCCAAAGGCCTTCGCCAGTTTTAAAGTATCCGTTTATGGTCCCTCAGCCATCCAGATCCCAAGCATCTACGATATCGTAAGGTGTAACCTCTTAAAGAAGTTAACTGAATTGCACGATTTGAGTGTCACATACCGAGCCCTTGGTAATGATATAAAACGTGTCTCCCCTCTCTCCCTCGCGGATAATGAAGTCTTCTCCATGATAATAGTCCTACAGAAATTAAAAAAGACAACAAATTTGGAAATTTGATCTCATCTCTACATATGCATATGTGGCTGTTCTAAATGTTAAGACTTGGTGGGCAAAGACCATGAAACGTAATGTTTACCGCCGCCGCCCATAACCCACAGGAAACGTTTGCAAAGGCTTCATTTTCGTTTTTTTTTTCTTTCCCAAATGTTAGAGCTCGGCCGGAAACGCTCTTATGAATCAGACGTTTTATCGAGAATTGACTTGCTGTTTCAAGTACAAAGAGTCACTAGGTATACTGTCTTACCTCTTCTAAAACATCACCAAGTTTCGCAAATTCTTGATCGGACAAGTTCTTCAAAAGGGGAACGCTTTGGAAGAGAGACATTAAAGATCAGATTGAACGGTTTATGGTTTATCCTTATTGAAGGATACTCCTTTCCTTCTCGTATGAATTAAGGGAACATTCAGTTACTAAGCATAGAAGGTGAAATAAAATAATCCTAGATTCGAAAGTGTCTTGCCAGAAATTGTCTTTATAAACATCGTTCTTTACAACTATTTGTCACCTAAATGAATTCACTGCTACTTATAAGCTGAAGAAATCGATAAAGCCAGTATTTAGAAAAGCCACGAATGGGAACAGAATTGCTTTTATCCTGAGATCTGTGTACCAATAAGAAAATCACAAACTCATTCCTAACTGACAGTTGTGACGTAAAAATAATGAACACTAGATAAAAATCCCCGCTCGAAATATAGGTCTACGTTTTTCGTACCTTTTAAGGAACGCGATATGCTCAGCTTGTCTCATCATTCCTGTTCTCATCATTATCGTCTGAAAAACACGACGGTCGATGATCCACAGTTTGGCGCTTTCTAAAGCTGTTGTAATAAGATTCGCCAAGATTTGGTTAATGGATACTTTACGAACTGAATGCATTTTAATAGATGAACGTAAATCTTGCAATTTCAAGGACCCCTCTAACAGTGAAGCTTTAGACCAAGCTCAGAAAATTGCACCCTATTCAGTTCAATCATCATTACTCATACCATCTGGATGAATTTTCGTTGAGAAAATTGAGATTTGGACAGTCAAGAAAAAAAATGTTTTGTACACGGAAAGGAACGTTTAAGTTAACTGTTTGTTTACCTTTAACAGAAGCAGTACGTTTACAGTTGTACAGGATGGCCAACTCGCCGAACACAGTTCCACCATTTATTTCACCTAAAACTTCCCCATCCTTGGTCACCTCAAGGCGGCCCTCTGTAAAAATAGGGATTACTCTAAAGAAAATATTCTAACTATCTTAATGTCTACTGATTTCAGTCGACAAATCCCATCAAAGAGCAGGTTCCCTTTGACTGTGGCGATCATAGCTATGACAGGGCGGGAGAGGGGGTAAAAATTTAATATTTTTCTCACCTAAAACCATAAACAATCTTAAACTAAAATATATTCGGATTTCCCAAAAGCAAAGGGTTCAGTAGCTACACATGTTAACGTCACACATTTTGAAACCAACGACCTGCTAATTTATCCTATTGAAATTAAACGTGTTTCAGTATTAGTACTCTTTAAATAATAAGTAGACCGCGACGTTTCGACCGCTATATTATGGTATCTGGAGGTTTCGTGCCATTGGAAGTTCTCCTCCTTCCACCTTTGCGAGTTCAGACACTAACTAATAAAAACAAATTCGCTCCAACCTTTACCACTTCCCCCCAAATCTTTCAACCTGTTTCCTTTCGGCAGAACACGTTCTTCGTCTGCGTCTTTCGATCGGATTGAATGATCAAGCGCCGCTTTACATGTCGGAGGTTGATGTACAGTTATTAGTGCGAGTTGATGCGCTTTTCCTATTTTTCAATTTTGACGTTGGAGCCCACGATTAGCCATGTGTTTCATTCATATTTCGCAGAAGTTATAAATTGAACGACTGACCCCTTGACAACTGAATTGCATTTTTCGTCATATATTTAACTCCAGACGTCGTATCTCACCTGCGATAACAAACAAAGCCTGCCCAGTATCTCCCTCCTTTACAATCATATCACTCCTGCTGTAGTTCTTGGGGTACATGCAGTCCACTATCTCACGAACTTGAGCCGATTCAAGGTTCTTCAAGAAATCATTTTCATTGATTGCGTCTTTAATGAGTTGCTTAGACCTAACATCAAAAAGAGGAAGGCGAATTTAGCATAAGTTATAAAAGAGATACCTTAATATACATATGTAGCAATCTGAGCACTACTAAAGATGCTTAAAATTTGTTTGTTTTTTAAAAGGATTGACCGACCTACTTCATGATGTTGAAAAGTCTTTTTTTTTTTGCACGGAATAAAACGACTTTAACTCCTTGAAGACCGAAAAATATCAGCCGGTAAGGTCAGACAGTGAAACACAAAAGAGGCAATAATAAAGCAATATCGAGCAAGGCTAACCAAGGATAGAGGATATTCAATAGAATCGCACAATGACGAACATGACAATTAAAATTTAGGCTAAACTCACAAACAATGACTTCGCCGCGATCGCATTGCGCGCGGTGGCTACTAGCCCCCACCAGTCTTAAGGGAGAGAAAGACGTAGGAAATGTTTATAACAGGGGAGAAAAAATAATTTATAGCGAAATTTAACGTCGATCATTTGTTTTAAAGTGAAGCTGTGCTCTAAAGAAGAAATATCTTAACAACAATGCAGAACACACTCTTCCATCTGGACTTGTTCCGGTTCGGAATGCACACGTCTGAAAATATGGCACTTAGTGTAGGAGCACTTAGAGTATTGAAATATAATTATTTTAGCGAAAAAAAAACTTCGATGAATAAGAGAAACGGTTTGAGGCATTGATACTGTTGAAACTATGGCTATATGAAATACGAACGCAGTACGGAGGGATCTTCGATTTCATTAAACGGCAAGCATATAGAAGTTAAATAACATATAATCAAAAAACTACTAGAATTAAAATTATGTTCCTCTCGGAGGAAGATAAACAAAATTTGCGACCGTTGCCAGATCCGAAGATCATTGTAGCTAAAATAAAACGTTTTCAACTAAGTGTCTTCAAAATATTCTTGGACAAATTCGTCATTTCGTAGTGGTTATGCAGATAAGGGTCAACAAATGAACTAATCCTAGAGGCATGTCAAAATTTAAGTCAATTAGTCACAACTTCACGACACATTAAAACAACGTAGAAAATAAATTGGGATGGTAATGAGTCTGTAACGATAAGTTCTCTTTTTGAATTTGTAATCATTACAGCGAGATATTGCGGCAGGTCGAAGGAAAATAAAATTTCAAAATTCTTCCCAATCTTGTTTTTTGCGAGTAACCAAGGTTGTTTTGAAAAAAAAATCTTGACAGCATTAAGCGCATAGTTTGATCACTAGGGAAAAAGATCAAATAAACCTTCAGTAATGAATTTTTTGGCATTCACCGATAAAGACACATTCAGAGACGTTATGAATTTACATCGAGAGCAAAACCAAGACGAATTTTACCCGAAAGTAAACACATCCGAGGACAGGATATCCGAATGTTAAAATAAAACAGCTTATTCGGAAACATGTTGATTTAAGAAAAACCAGGTGAATGGGGTAAAACACAGCGATGTTCTATCGAATTTGACAGCAAACCTCTCTGTTTGCTTCGAGTCGATATGCAGTTCGCTCGATGAATCTTTGACAGTTAAAAAGTATTTCACCGTTTGCTGTTACCTCGCAGAATTTCCTTTTCAATTCTGGCCCAAGAAAGTGAGAAAAACAAACACTTAAATCAAATAAATTGCTCTGGATGATTAATAAACCGATAACAACAGCAACACTCACCGAAAGTCCTTGGGATGCCGCTCCAGTTCTTTCTCTGTGTCCTCTTCTGCCTTTGAACTACTCTCTCCACTCACAGCCATTCTCTTCTCCTTTCGGCTGGATCTCATCGCTTTTCGTGGTTTGAAACTTCCGCCCTTGATGCTGTCTTCTTGAATAGTAGACAGAATACTTGTCTTGGATGTAGTTTGCTGGACGACACATTTCAATTCGTGTATTTCCTTCCTCAGTTTGGCCAACTCGGCATCCTTCTCTTCAATGATGCGCTGCCGATGTTGTAATTCGGCGTCTTTTCGCTGCAAAAAGTCATCTTTTTCTTTCAGTTCTCGTTTGAGTTGAGTTGTTGAGTTGGTTTTGGTGGCAGCACTCTGTTGTAATTTCCCATTTTGCTCGTTCGCCCCGCTGTAAGACTGGTTCAAACTCGCTGCGCTCCCCATAGCTGATCTTCACAATTCCCCACCTTCAGTTTCCTCAAACCAGCCCAAGGCATTCTTCGCCCAAAAGTCGGCATGTTTGAGTTTGCTGCCCTTCTTCATTCTGAACGTTTTCCGTTCCCCTGCTCCAATGAATTCTTTGCAGTTGTTATGTAAATGAGAAATTCGCGTAATCAAAGATAAGAGTGACAGGTGAACAGGAAAGCTTTCTTACTACGAGTGTGAACTGTTAATAAACACTGACCTAGGACTCTAATTGATTTGAGCAAGCTGCCATTGTTTTCTCTTTCCTCACTGTACACACTGAAAAACAATCAGCCGAAAACAGGGCGACAAAACAAATAAACGCTCTAGTTACAGTTCTTTTATTTGTCCACGCTATTGGCGAATCCGGAAAGGAAAATTGGCGGTATTGACGATACTTAGCAACTAGAAGCGGTCTAATGATCGGCGCACAGGACAACTTTCATAAAATGTGAATGCACTGAATACACAACTCTTTAATTGCACTTCAATTTTTCATTGTTCGTTTTTCTTTTTAATCATGAGTGATTTGTGGCACAATTGGCATGTGGAGCTGCTCTCCACTGCCGCAAAAAATCGGTAGAGTTCATGGTCTAATAAAATGGCGCATCTCCAACGGCATGAGGTAACTTAGTGACCAATAGCTTCCATTATCCCATTACATTCGTTGTTACATTCGGGGGAGGAAGTAGGAATAAAAACATATTTTCGTTGTTTGTTGGACATAGCTATCGTCTAAACACATAAGGGCTGAACGTTTTCCTGAGTCAATAGTAAATGTTAATTAGGTCTCTTAGCCTAGAAAAACATAAGAATTGTCCCCACTTTTATTGACGGGTGCCGCTGGTAATAGAAAATCATGGATACTCTAAAAATGTCTAGCGAAATAGAAAGACTTAAAGGTTTTGACGCATAAAAAAAGAAAAGGAAAGAGGTAAGAAATCATAAAATTAAATGAAGAAAGAGAAAAACAAGAAATAAATGAAAACGAAAGCAGAACGAAAGTGTGCGACAAAAAAAATCACTTCGAATCGACATATATACTTTATTACCAAGTATACTTATTTAAAAGAATCGTCCACAGGCATTACAGCGACACGTTTCACTATCACTATGGGTAATCCCTGAAGAGCAACAAATATCGACAAATTAAAGACGATCACTTCCTGACAATTCCATTTGATGGTGCTAAATTCGTCTTGAGCTATTTCTACTTCCTATCACTATTTTCTAACAGCAACGAATTCATAGTCTTGCATTTCTCTAAAAGATTTCACATCACATGCGGCAGACATAAACAGCAGTTATGTCATGTATCCATAACGATATTTTAATATAATGCAATCATAATCTTATTATTGCTTAATCTAATTTTCTACATATTTCTTTTTTAGTTGTAAAACAACATTTTTTTTCAAGTAATCTAATTGTCTTAGACACATTTCAAAAGGCAAGGATGTTTGCTTACTGATTTCCTGATCATAAGCAAACGAAACCTCAATCCCTTAAATTAATTAAATATAGCAATTTTCAACTGAGTGTCGAAAGTCATCCGGGATTGCCTCGTTTTTGCATTACTTCGATCTGTGATTGGTCCAGAAAAACTCGCGCCCCTCTCCCAACCAATCAGATAAAAACTCAAACTAATTCCGACCTGCTCAGCCGCGTTTTCCCGCGCTTTAGGCAGTTTAGTTATTTTTACTTTGAGAACTCACTGGCTCTCAAATCTATTATCCTATCTTACGATTGGCGATTGTGATTAGTTTGGTTTTGGTTTATCACACTCAATCGAAAAGCGCTCTAACGAGAGATATCTTTCACTTCATGAAAGTTTACTGTAACCATCTAAATGGTTTTACAGTTTGTTATTTTCTGCATTGACGATAAAAATATACAAGGAAAATTTCAGTCTACTCTATCATGTTCACTTGATCAAAAGGCAAACAACGGTAAATACGTTTCTAGTAATAATTTAATCACCAAAGCTCATCATGTCTCAGTCATTTAGGAATAGGAGGGAACTTTAACTTGAAAATCTGGCTTCATATATGGCTATGTCTAATCTGCATGTCTAAAGTTTGATTTTCATGGAGAAAGAGTGATTTATCAAGTGCTGGTCTCTGTATAATTCTCCTCTATACCTTCATTTGTTTCCGTATAACGTCCATTTATGATGCAATTCAAAAGTGGACCAATCTGCAAAAATATACAATTCAAACAGGGAAGTTCTGAATATTGATAATGACCTCTGCACTCCCTTCCCGCCCCTGCCTCCCCCCAAAAAAAATTGTTTTGCTGAAAAGGTAGGCAGCCAATACTGTGTTAGACATTATTTCGACTGTAATTGCTTCATAGAACTTGCCGAGTTAATTAATATTTTTTCAAAAACTTCTTTTTAAGAAATTTGATCTGCATTTGCATTAAACTTGTGCTCAGAGAATAAGGCTTGTTAAGAAATGTACTTTATGACATGCCATCTCATTGTTTCAAGTAAGGTATAAGGTAATAGGTTAATCTATGTTGTAGTTCAATTTCATCCTTGGTTCAAATTTTATTTCCCTCTGTTCCAAACTCATTATCATGCATTACAATACCCAAAAACAAAAGAAAATAAATTTGAACCAAGGATAAAATTGAACCACAACATCTACTGTACATGCAATTGATGAGGTCCAGAACCTCGCACCTACAATTCTGTTGCACATATACTGTATATGCTGTAAATTCGAGCCTAATACAAATCTGCTGTCAGTATTTCATACATGTGCCATTACAGCGATGAAACTGCCTCCAATTAAAAGGCCCAACAAAAAAAAAAGTACATTGCACCAAGTACCTAGAAAGTAAGTATGCAACACGGTTCTCAACTAACTTAATACTGCATGCAGCAAATAAAACCAAAGAAACTTTTTCAGCTGCCAGAGAACAAATTCTGAAAGTACTTTCTTTTTGGTTGACCTATTGTTATTATTCCAAGTTTCTTGAAGAAAATCAGAAAGTCACTTTTTGGTCTAAAGCTCTTTGTGAAAACATCAAACAGTTGCATGATGGTTAATTTTTTTTTCCCAGCTCTCCACATAGCCCTCAAAAGTAAGGACACCAGGACAGGCCTGCATAGGTTGGTCATACCAGCTTCTATTTGTGATCATCAAGGCACCATTTTGGACTTGGATAAAAAAGTAATTTTGTTTAGCACATATCCTATCATACCTGGTTATGATCTCCTAAAGCTTCTCCCAGCATTCTCTCAATGTTTCTCATCACAGCAACTTTCTGTTGTGGTGATAATGGATAATTGATCTGGCTTGGAGTTGGGCCAGCCTGTAAAAATCAATAAAAAAGCTGAAGTTGATTGCAATGAGGAGCAACACACAATACACTGTAGCACTTAACATTGATTTTAACAGAAGGAGCAAAAGGAACTTCTCTGATCCATTCAGCTCCCTTTACATTAACCTTTCAAATAAGTTATTTCCAAACTTCCACCAGGTCACAATATTCCTACATATGTCTCTCTAAATATGTTTCCACTAACAAATATCCCATGATATGCACAATCCAAACCACTAAATCATTTTTATTCCACAAGCATGTAGATATGTGTGGAATGGATACGTAACATATACGTTAATTGAATGATTTTCTGCTGATATTTCCCCTCTTGCATGGTACATTATGCAATTACTGTATATTCTTGTCTGATCCTGGGTTCTTAAACTTCTTAGAATACAGTCAACTGAAATGTTTGAAATTATACTGTAATGTAAATCATTTATACCTTGTACCAAAAGTTGACAGATGTGGTGATCCCTCCATTTATTGTTGATTCCACATGGTGCCACCTATTGCCCAAAAAGATAAAAAAAAACCATTTTGAATACTTTGCTAAGCTGGCAGGGGCAAGAAGGGTAACATGTGTCATGTCACTCAATGATTAAGGGATTCCTTGATCATCAAATTGTTGGTCAAAATTTCAGTAATTGACATGACTCAGAGACTTTCAAACTCCACATGTTCAAAGTCAAATCTTACCAATACATTGGTATGTAAAGAACATCTCCAGGACCAACTATGACTTCAAAAGCTTTTGCATATCTAAACTTTGGAAATCTCTTGTGATCTGGATTGTCAAAATCAACCTATTTTTGAGACAAGTACAAGTGTCAGCAATGTGGAATCAGTTTAGAGCAGGCTACTTTAACCCACCTTCACCATGATAGCTTCCGAAAAACTGTACGGTTATTAAAATACTAATTGAGAAATTTGTACACTCAGCAACCATTTCTAAGGTTTGAGTGGAAATGAATGCATCTCTAACATTTAGTAGTAACAACATAAAGCTGTGGGAATCAACTCCATCACATCACAGACAGCGATGGGAACAAAGAAAACTATCAGGTAAGGGATTATTAGTTGATCCAATAAAAAATTCCCAAAACTAAAATCATACAAGTTGTTTGGCAGACAGTAAGGAGAATTGCTAATTAAACGAGATCTTTAAGGAATGAAAGGGTTGGTCCTTTACAACCTAACTTTAGTATGCATATTCTCCATACTGTTCTTAATACATTTCTTAAGGTGCTGATAATGAGAATTTGTTTAATAATCTAGCATTAACCCAAAATTTCCTTTTCATTTATCATTTGTATACACCCATTTTAAAAATTTTCTAATTTGAAAATCTATATGAAACATGTATACCTTTTCTTTTCCTATTAAAAAGTTGTAAACAGAGAAAATCATAGGGACAATTTTTTAAAGAAAAGTACAATAGCTGAAATATACATGCATCATGCATCACCTTTTTGATGAGAAAAGAAAAGGTTTTATTTTTTGATTTTCAAATCCAAAGTGTTTGAAAATGCGTGCATGAATTTGAATAAATATTTATTTACATGAATATCTGTTGGTTGGTGATCATTTCCTTTATTCTAACTTGTGTCCTTAATGTGTGATTCATGAGTGATTGTAAAGAGAGATTGGATGCTAGTCACTCTTAGGAGTCGTAAAATTAAAGTAACTGTGAATGTTATACATGTATGTCAACAACATAAAGATCCTAGAAATCATGTTGTCTTATTACAGCTTACCTGGCTTTGCCTGTCACAGGGATGATACAAAGGAAATGGATACAGACACTGAAATTGGTCTGGATGAAATAGAATAACTCTCTTGTATCCTGTCACTTGACAAAAGAAGTTCTGTTGTTCATCATAATGAACAGGTGTAATATTACCAGGCAAGCCGATAAGAAGAAGATTAGAAGTAAGTGATCCCCACTTCATTTTCTTTTGAATGTTTGTGAGCCAGCTCCACTTAAAGCCCAGGAAGTCTCTCACAATATTTTTTCCCACCGAATCATTAAGCATCTGTTGCAAGTACAAACGAGTATCTGATGGTTTGAAGTTGGAAATCCTTGTACAAAAGCTTTCAAATTTCATGTCAGTTCTCTGAGTTGGTGGAACAAAGTTGGGCCAATCTTTGGTTCGTTTGTCATCGCAGTACATGAACTTGTGTGTTTTAGAAGAATAAACGGTGAAAGATCCTTGACCAAGGTTCTCTTTAAGATAGTTCAAGTCCCATTTAAGAGCTGTTCCTACGATATCTGAATTTTTTAGGAGCACTGGTTCCTGCAAGAAAACAAATTAGGTAATCACATGATTTTGAGTGCAATTATGAATAAATAAGCACGAGTAAATTTTTTTAAAGACTAACAAAATTGCACAAGCCCATGGGGCGAGTGCAATTTGTGGTCTTTGAAAAAATTAACTAGTGCTTGTTTATTCCAAATTGCATGAGAAAAATCATGCAATTATGTGTTAATAATATGCATGGGAAAATACAAGATGGCCTATTATAATCAAACATAAGCAAAGCCTGTGCATCAAGTGAAAAAAATAATTTATTCAAACCGTGCGTTCGGTCAAAACAACCACATATGATCAAAACAATAATATGCAATAATATCTTCACATCTTTAAGTTAAGGTGCAAAAAAGTTGAAAGTCCGGCTAAACAGTTCAAGGAATTGTTCAATCTGTGTATGAATCATTTTTGATGAAATGGAATTGTCATTTCCGAGGTTTAACCATGTTTGTTTTTAATTTCGGTGTTGGATCGCTCAAGCAAAGTGTTAAGCTAGGTCAGCTCGTAATTTTCGATTTCCTCAGCAATTCCCTTCTCTAAACACCACTTTTTCCAAACTGGCAACCAAAAAGCAGTGCTTTTTACAGTGTTTTCGTTGTTTAAGCTGTTTTTCAGCTGCAGTGGCGAAAGAAAACCTACTTCAAACGCCGGCCATTGTTTCACTCACAAATGTTCAAATTTTCAAATTTTGTTGCGACATCCAATGCTCCCATTTAATTGGCTATCTGTGAGTTTCTTTGATTATTGACCAATCAGAATGTCTGATTTGTTTCTTTCTTTGCACTGAATTAACCCTCTTCTGCACTGAATTAACTCTCTTCTGCACTGAATTACCTGAAAACTGCATTTATCTTAACCAATCAGAACTGAGTAATTTTTCCATGTATATTATTAATGGATGAATAATTTAGCAATTTTCTAATTTTCTAATTTTCTAATTGCATAAGTGAGGCGTGAGTGGTCCAGTGGTCTGAGCGCTGGACTCTGGGTCGGACGGCCCGGGTTCGAGTCCTGGCCGGGGCACTACGTTGTGGCCTTAAGCAAGCCGCTTCACTCACCTTGCTTCGTCTTCTCGGATAAGACGTTAAGCCGGAGGTCCCGTCTCCTGCAGGGTTTGGGGTAGGAGACGTTAATTTCCCACGCACGAGATTACTGTGTGATGGATGTCCTCCCCTGGGTTGGGTTGGGTGGATTTAAGAGGGGTAGTGCCCCGTATGGGACTCCATGTCCCGCTGCACTAACCCAATTGGCGTCCGTCTATTCGTAGACGTACCCAATAAAGTTGTTATAAAAATATTATATAAAAATATGATGATATAATATCACTATTGCAAAGGCTCCTTAGCTTGCAAAGTGCATTATAGATAGAATGAGAAAGATGGTAAAGTTTGAGCTTGATAAACAGATGGAAAAAGATGCCTTTCATCTTTTCATGACTGTGGAACAAAGAAAAAATTCTGAGCACAGAATACATGCGTCTAACGTTTGATTTCCCATGGGGACTCATGGACACCCACAATTTTTTCTTTGTCTTTGGCTCATGGAAAGATGAAAAAAATCTTTCTCTAAATGTATTATATTTTCACACCAAATTTTGTTCAATAGGTTGCTTTCCTTACGGTGGTTTATTGAAGTTTCCTTAAAAAATTAAGGATCAGAGGTGTTTATAAGCCAGCTTCTAGGAAAAAAAGAGAAAAAAAACTGATCCACTTGTGAACCCCTCTAAAGATATCTACATATTTTTATTGGATTTGGAGAAGATAGGGTTGAGGATGTTGATTAAAAAGCCCTACGCTCATGTTGAGAGATGTTGACTTCTTGCAGCTGGACTGTGGAGGGCTACATGGAAGTGAGCGATTACGACAGATTAACTGAATATAAGGGATTTCATTGAGTCACCCAAGCTCTCCAGCTGTAATCCCTACAGACCTTCACTCGTTTTAAAAGATATACAATTTTTTTTGTATGAATCAAGCATTTTCTCAACCTGTACATGCCCACTCGTATGTAAGCAAATACTTGAGCTGAGATGGTATACGTGGTGGTCAAACCAACCTCATTTGCGATTATTGATTCCACTCGAGGGTCATTGTAGTCGAGTTGTGGAATCCTCGAAAGCCTTAGATCGTATTTCCTCACTCTATGACCGTCAATATCAACATACTTTCCAGTGTCTCCGTTTGTTACGCTGTGGATAGAGGCCATTTTGAAAATAGATGAGTCTTTGGTCAGTCAGCAGGTAAAAACAAAAAGATATGAGCAGTTCATCTAGAGCCCGGGACTCCGCGTCAATGATGTCATTGAGACGTGTGCTATTCCCAGAATAATTCAGCGTATCTGAACATTTCGACGTTGGAGATGACGAATTGAGCGTGTTTTTCCCATTAAATATTTAAAGACGCACCTTAGTAGTTCTTGGATGCAGTAAACTGCAAGAGTGATATAACGAATTGGAATTTGGATCGCGCAGTTTTCTTCTTTGGAAGATATGAGAGTTATAGCGATCGAACCGGTTTTGCTTTCTCTCTTTGTATGGATTTTTCTCTCCTTTGGAAGGGCAATTCCAAATCAATCTTCGATTTGCAGACAGCCTATGGGTAAGATTTATCTGTCACTCCTTATTTTCTGAAGTAACGTCTCAATCGTTGCAGCTTTTTATCTTACAACGTGCACGATTGCCGTTGTAACGCAAGAACGAGATGTTTTTAAATTACTTCGGTTCAAATGGTTTAAACCAATTTTCCTTTCTATTTTCCTCGTGAAAGACGTTTTTCAATGACGGTAATTTGCGCTGATAAAAGAAAAAAATTAAGCCAGATTAAAGTCCTTTAGACTTGAAATTCATTTTAAACTTTGATCGGGAAAACTACCGCACAATTTTTTTCTACGTTCTTATGAAGTACTATAGAGACTCACGGAGTGCCAAGACACTACATTGGGCAGCTTGTATGTTACAGTTATAAATAATTTTCTTAAGCTACTGGATAGCACATTCTGTTTATCCGACATGATATGAAAATTTTCGTAGCTTCGTAATAACAAGTTAACAACATCAAGTACCTGTTAGTGTCTTAGAAAGATTTTCGCAACTGTGTAGTATTCTTTCTCAATAGTGTTGGTGGTATTTATTTAATGCATGATTTACCCTATGGATCCTTTCCCTCCATGTTTTTATGGGAATTAATGTTGAGGTGTTGCCAAAGTAGAGCACTCCAAGCTGGAGTCAGTTTTGTTGCCATGGCGAGTTGGAAAAATAATATTAGTAACTAGTTTACATTTGGCAGTCATGTAAATAGGTGTACTCTTCTCATTACGTAGAGTTTAAATTGGTCTGAAGTTGGAGGAATGATTAATATGAATTAAGTTTGCTAAAGGGCAACCTCAGAGCTGGGGACCCTAAGCAAAGAGGATAATGTATAAATTATTCAGGTTTTGATTTTTCTCTAATCTTTACCAGACATTGGGTCATGTCGACAGGCAATCCCAAGATGGTATTACAATGCCACTACAAGAAAATGTGAAAAGTTTATTTTTGGGGGATGCGATGGCAACAACAATAACTTTGAGACTAAAGATGACTGTAAAAGAAATTGCACAGGACCAGAAGGTAGGTTGTCTGTATGAGTAATACAAAATTATATCAGGTGGGTTTTGTAGTTTATATTCCTCAATCTTCCCTTCCACTGGATATTTTATTATGATACCACTAGACTTTTGTTTAGAGGCATCTCTTATTATCTTCACTAATGCAAAATACATAGCACATGTATTGCTAAAGTAAACCTTTCTCCTCTCCTTGACGTATTTGTTATTAGAGATATGATCATTGTTAATAGAATCAGCAATCTGTTTAGTATCATTATACCAATTTGTATGACATATAAAGTTGCAGGTTTTTCAAGACAAGAAACGAATACTGGAACTGGGATGACTGGAAAAGGAAACAGATTGGTGGATAAAAAGGGAGCTGGTAAACCATTCCAATCATTGCAAGAAAAAGGGAATCTTAAACTAAAGACCAGAAATGATGAAAACACAGAGTCAGTCAGCCAACAGTCTACTGGCCCTGAAGAAAAAAAGGATCTGATGCCTAAGTTGGGTAAAGGGGGAAATGCAGGTTCATTCAGTAAACAGTCTCAAGGACCTAAAGACAAAGAAAAAATTGTGCCAAAATCCAGTAAAGGTGGGAGTACAAATTCACTGCCTCAAGCATTTCAGAAAGGAGAGAATCTTACAGTAGAGTTAAAAATTAAAAATGGAGGTAATGATTCTCTTAACGAGCAGTCCCAAGCATCTAATAAAGAAGGGAATCATATGACTGGATCCAGTAAAAATGAAAGTATAGGTTTAGTCGATGAACAGTCTCAAGCATCCAATGAAGAAGGGAGTCATGCATCTGGATCCAGTAAAAATGAAAGTGCAGATTCAGGGATTAAACTGTCCCAAGTATCTGGAAAAGAAGGGAGTCGTACATCTGGATCTAGTAACAGTGGAAGTGCAAAGTCATTTGATGAAAAATCTCAAGTTTCTCAAGGAGAAGGGAATTCTATGTCCATGTCCAATAACAATGGTAGTACAGCTTCAGGGAATGGAAAATCCCAAGTATTTGAAGAAAAAGGGGATCTTACATCTGGGTTAAATAAAAATGGACAAAAAGAATCAGTCAATGAAAAGACCCAAGCACTCAAAGAAAATGGGAATCTGAAGCTCCAGTCTGTTAAAGCTGAAAGTGGTAATTCAGAAGAAGAGAATGCTGTGCCCCAGTCTCATGAAGGGGGAAATGCAGATTTAGTCAATGAACCATCCTCAGCAGCTAAAGAAAAAGAGAATGCTATGTCCCAAACTCCTAAAAGGGGAAATGCAGATTTAGTCAATGAACCATCCTCAGCAGCTGAAGAAAAAGACAATGCTATGCCCCAGTCTGTTGAAAGGGGAAATGCAGATTCAGTCAATGAATCTTCCTCAGCACCTAAAGAAGAAGAGAATGCTATGCCCCAGTCTCATGAAGGGGGAAATGCAGATTCAGTCAATGAACCATCCTCCACACCTAAAGGAGAAGAGAATGCAATTCTCCAGTCTCATGAAAGGGGAAATGCAGATTCAGTCAATGAACCGTCCTCAGCAGCTAAAGAAAAAGACAATGCTATGCCCCAGTCTCTTGATAGGGGAAATGCAGATTCAGTCAATGAAAAGACCCAAGCACTCAAAGAAAATGGGAATCTGAAGCTCAAGTCTGTTAAAGCTGAAAGTGGTAATTCAGAAGAAGAGAATGCTGTGCCCCAGTCTCATGAAGGGGGAAATGCAGATTTAGTCAACGAACCATCCTCAGCAGCTAAAGAAAAAGAGAATGCTGTGCCCCAGTCTCATGAAAGAGGAAATGCAGATTCAGTCAATGAACCATCCTCAGCAGCTGAAGAAAAAGACAATGCTATGCCCCAGTCTGTTGAAAGGGGAAATGCAGATTCAGTCAATGAATCTTCCTCAGCACCTAAAGAAGAAGAGAATGCTATGCCCCAGTCTCATGAAGGGGGAAATGCAGATTCAGTCAATGAACCATCCTCCACACCTAAAGGAGAAGAGAATGCGATTCTCCAGTCTCATGAAAGGGGAAATGCAGATTCAGTCAATGAACCGTCCTCAGCAGCTAAAGAAAAAGACAATGCTATGCCCCAGTCTCTTGATAGGGGAAATGCAGATTCAGTCAATGAAAAGACCCAAGCACTCAAAGAAAATGGGAATCTGAAGCTCAAGTCTGGTAAAGCTGAAAATGGTAATTCAGAAGAAGAGAATGCTGTGCCCCAGTCTCATGAAGGGGGAAATGCAGATTTAGTCAATGAACCATCCTCAGCAGCTGAAGAAAAAGAGAATGCTATGCCCCAATCTCCTAACAGGGGAAATGCAGATTTAGTCAATGAACCATCCTCAGCAACTGAAGAAAAAGAGAATGCTATGCCCCAGTCTCCTAAAAGGGGAAATGCAGATTTAGTCAATGAACCATCCTCAGCAGCTGAAGGAAAAGACAATGCTATGCCCCAATCTCCTAAAAGGGGAAGTACAGATTCAGAAGGGAAAAATCTTCAGCCAGATTTCAGGAAAGGTGGTAGAGATGATGAATCAGAAAAAAACCACAATAACAGAGGAAGACAATCAGAAGGCTATCGAAGGGGACAGGTATTTGCCCTTTCTGTCGAGTAGTTTTCTTAAATGAGCTAATTTGGAGTGACAGGGTGTTTATCTGACAACACAATTATTTGAAACTTGACCTGTAGAAGTTTGTAATTGACCATGCCAGCAACCAATGATACACTTGAAAGAGTTTTTTGTGCTAGAAAATGTGTTACTTTTTTCTTTCTGCAGGATATTGACTCTCAAAAACTTCTAATAAAATGTCTTTGCAAAATTGATGAAAATATACACACTTACATGAACATGTATTAGCTAGTAAAGCAGGAAGTTACAAAGTTTGCAATCTTTCTTTTGCATCATAATAAAAGTATCAGAAGCATCCCTGTATGTTTAATCCTTTCACTCTAGGAGTGTCCAAAAATTATTGTCCTGGCTATATCGACACTTTTTCATAAAAAGAAAGGTGATGAGAAGAATTAAAAAAATATCATCCATAGGGTATTGTTTGATTTCACATAAAATTCTCAGTGTTTAATTAAAAGAAAGGTATGAAGGATAGTGAAGAGGATTTGTGTGAATGTTGAGGTGAATTTTGTTGCCTGCTGCATTATTTCTTAACCCTGACAAAAGTAACATGAATTTGACATAGTTGTGTCTCTGTCACCAATACAGGAGGACCGTGAGGATAGCCTGGGTTTTCGTCCTGAAGATTACGCAAAGAAGGGGTAAGATTTTTGTTCTTTTGAATTGTTAAATCAGTCATTAGAAGGTTAACCTTTCCAAGTTTTGCAAAAGTTAGCTCCACCCTCCATAGGGTAGGGGTCTGTGATTTTGGGTCCTAATTATTGGGCTACTTCCTTATCTTCCCATGACCAAGCCTTTTAGCAAGGTGGACTTGGTTTCAATTTTTCAGAGATAAGTCTCACACAAAAAAGATCAATTATGAGGCAGGTCAGGAGGTGTAGGTACTAAAATTAATCAAGGGAGTTACTGGGGGTATTACAAGATAATTTGGCTTTGGTAACTGAGTTGATAATGTAAATTTACCCACCATGAAGATTTTCTAAAGCTGACATTTTGAGTGCCATTTGGGGTGAAGTCCAAGTCCAAAAAGGTCAAGTCTAAGTTCAAAAACAAGTTTCATTTGTGGGAGAATCAAGTCTTTTTAAATCAAAGGCTTTGCACTTAGTTTAGAAGAGAGACATTTATTTCATTTGAAAAAAAGCTTAGTTCTTAAAGTTATTTCTCTTTCCTTTTTTTTTTTTTTCCCATAGCATCTATCGTGGCTCAGACTCGTATGAACACAGGTCAAGTCACTTTGCTGCCTATTTCCTAACTTCTATTGTAATGGTTTTTGTTGCTTATGCTCTGTACCACAACAGACAAAAGGTAACTGTTCTAATTTTTTTTTTTTTTAACAAAATTAATTTAGGGAACTTAATAAACAGTATATGCCTCCTCTCTGATTTTTAAGTTAAGTTACAACTACTTGAATAATCAATGGGAGGTAGCAAAGTGGCATATATGTGGAGTGAAATTCACTTGGCAAAATCGGAAGGGTGATTAACTAGTTGTAAAGTTTACGTTAGAGACAATAAAATGTTCATGCGAATATGCATTTAAATTAAGAGCTGCTACGAAGTGCTTTGCTCAGTATTAGTCTGCATGGCCTATTCCTGAAGGATTGGGCACTAGTGCTGGTCTCCTCTGCAGCCTTTTTTGGGACGTCACACAACACTCCCCCCTGATTAGACAGCATTGTGTGACTTTCTAGAAAAACAGCTACAAAGGAGCTCCTGTTGCCTAACACAACAGAAGACGTCTTACTCTTGGCACATTACATAAGCCACTTCATTATGCTTGCTATTGTCACCCTGTTCTGTCTCCTTACTAGTCCCTTTCCTCTCTTCACGAAGGGGCTTCAGTGGTGTGTACTTATCCGAGCTCGAGAATTGTAGTGAATCTATTAAAACAATCTTTCATCTGGATTATGAATGTAAGGGGTTTGATCGCTAATTCAATGTATTGTCTAATTTTGTTTCAACGCAGATTATAGCAATCATTATAGAGGGCAAGAGTGATGGCAGTAGCAGGAGACGCGGTTACAGGAAACTGGAAACTAACGTAGAAGAAGCCATGCCGTCACTGAAAAGTGCAAATTCGACATACGTGTATTAGAATTTCTGTAAATTGAGAAGTAGAAATTAGTTTATTTACAAAAAAGGACAAAATATGTAGCAATACGTCAAAACAAACAGACAAAGGTGATAGAATGGGAAACGTACTACATCAAAAGTTAACCATTTGTTGCTGATTTTTGAGACGACTTTCGGCTAGTATTTGATGAAAGTGTTTTATAAGAATTAATATGCCGGACTTTTGTTGTTGCTTTTGCCTTTCAAAATTCTTCAAATTTCTAAAGGCTTCAATCTTCAGTGGTGTAAAGTTTATTGCGATGGACTAGCCTCCGTTGCTAGTCCGTGGGCTCTAATGTATTATTTGACAAAGTTCTGTATGTAATTCATAAGAAAACAAAATGGATTAAATGCTTGGCCTTCACTTGTTTATTGTGATAACTGGTTGCCAGAGTCACCGAAGGGATACTTCGATGGATGTGTTGAGTGTTCCGTTGGGAGCTTAGGCGGTTACTAAGGTGTAAACTTAGTGGGGCCTTGTGAACTTTCAGAATTACGATGTAAGTAAAATTTGTATTTTTCAAAAGTTGAAACACTCAGTCCCTTGAAAGCCTGACCAGTCGAAGGAGCAATACTGCGATCATCCTTAAGCCCTTATCCTGTCTCTACGTTCCTTGCTGAGTGACAATGACGTCATCATCATCTCGAACATCTTTACGGCCCTTATATAAAAAGAGAAAAAAAAAAAGGCGTCAGTCTGGACATACTGTCCGAAGTAATATGCACTCAGAAGTTAAGGACTCAGAAGGAGGTCCTGGTGCGTTGTGCGTGTGCTGCTTCTGACGGATCAGCATACCAACTACCTTGGCAAGTGGCCGATTTTTGATTTTGAAAACGGATGGCCGATTCTTTATTTTAAAGGACATGAAAACCCAAAAACACATTTTTTTCTTATACTATGTAAAAAGTGGCGTAGTAAACGAATTTGAAATTTGTTTTGTCCAATTCGACTTATTTAAGGAGAAAATCGGACATTATTGCGCAACACGTATTCCCTAGTAGAACTGGTGTGGGAGCTGGTGTAAGTAACAGTAGTTCGGAAGATGTTTTTCCAGAAGATAGCGACTCGAATGCCTTAAGCTTAGTATATGATAGCGATGGGGATAATCCAGAATTTTTAGGAGAGTCTAAGCCACGTCCTTAACAATATGAGCCGCGTAAGGTTCACTAAAGCGAACCGCACGAAGACGGTACAGAACATTTTGACGGCTATGCGACCTTCTCGGAAACTCAGACTGGTATTTAATTTACTGTATCATTTATTTGTATTTGACTTGAAAATCCAATAAAGCAAGGGTACAATCAAAAGAATGCAACAAAAATGTTTTTAACCTGAGCTTCCGTGGGTGTTTTATAGAATATCAAAGGTGCGAGTGTGGAACTTGCCAACCGATGCCGACTCATGAAAGTGTTTATTTTACGGAAATCGGGCAATTGTGGAAAAAAGTAAAGGAGCAAGGGCCTGAAACCCAGATAAGTTCAAGTATCACTGAGCACCCAGGTTTTCAGTCAATTTGCCTTGATGTCTGGGTGCTGCAGATGGCCTATTGCGCGTACAGGCAGCAGCAAGCTAAATGTTTTCTGTTTCATCTGTTGTGTTACATTTTGAGATCGATTTGCTCGAGTTGTTTCCGTCATTGATTTAATAATGCAGTACAGTACTACAGAAATTTGTTTTTCGCTTCTTTCCTGGCAGGAAATTTCGCTAAATTGCCTACAGATAGCTTGTTCGTTGGTATTGGGATTATCTCGGCAAATATTTTAGGGTCGCTGTGCCATCTTGAGCGGTAAACAATATCCGAAACACTCTTCCAGCGGATTTTGGATCGTCGTACACTGGATTAAAACCGCCAAAACTTTGAGAGAAACAAAGGTATTTGTAAATGCAGACCTTAGTTATTTATGTCTTACAGCACTGGCGGTTGTGCCCATTCTTTATGACATATTTATGAATTGCTTTCCTTCATCTCCGAAGCATTTTCATCGATAAACAAGTTGTAACGTGTACATTTCCTTGTGTGGCCTTCATAATTATCCAACCCTGTTTGTGTTTGCTTCGATTTGAAATACTAAAAAGATAGTTTTGCAAGCTGAAATCGGGATCTTTTAAGTTGTACTAAAAATAATAAATATTGTCCTACTGACCTTTGATCGGTTAGGAGAGGTAAAGAGCGATGAATCCGAGAGCTTTGAGAGTAAATAAACAGCAGAAGAACCTTTTTGGGTTTACATGCCCTTTAAACCCCAGTGGCCGATTAGTGTCTGATTTTTTATTTTGGACCCTGATGGCCGATTTTTTGTACGTAATTTTGGCCACCAGTGGTTGATTTTCGATTTTGGACACTAGTAACCGTTTTTTATAATTTTGGACCATAGTGACAGATTTTCAATTTGGACACTGCTGGGTAATTTTCGATTTCGAACACTGAATGAAGTGAACTCTGAATGTTTCCAGCTGAAAATCTGAAATATCTTTCACAGATTATTATGGCCGATTTATGATCTTAGACTCTAGTGGCCCATTTTTGATTAATTTGGACACTGGTGGCCAATTTTATTTATTTTGGAGACTAATGGCCCATTAGCCGATCTTTGGTTTTGAACACCCGTGACAGATTTTTGATTTAGGACACTAGTGGCCGTGTTTTGGTTTTAGACAAGCGTGGTATATTTTTGATTTTTGACATTAGTGGGTGATTTTTTATTTCCTAGACATAAGTGTTGAGGAGGCGCCTGACATCGAGTGGAGTCGTACGAAATCAGACCAAAGCGTCCGAAATCGAACGGAGTAATTCGAAATTTGACGCAGCTTTCATTCATAATCGGAAAGAGAGAGGAGATATGTCGCAATGTTGACCTTCTTCAGTCTTTTTTTTTTTTTTCTCCTTTGGCGTTTTTTATGGCTTCTTGTATAGGGAATATTTAAATTAAGTTCTGCGGTATTACATGATTGACTCTTGTCCTTCGGTTACACTTGTACCCAGGGCCTTATCGAGACCATCATAATATTCACTCGTGATCCCGAGAATCATGACTAATTTCGGTTTCCGGGATATGTACGTTTCAAAGTGCAGCTCTTCTTTTACTCGAATATTTGCGTTTTCAGGCAAGAACTTTTTAGAAATTTAGTGCAGATATTTGGAGACTGTGCTTGGAAGAACTCATTCAAAATGAGACTGCAGTTAAATGCAGTAATTTTCATAACTTTGAGCCTTGGAAAGTTACCCTTCATATCATCGAGTAAGAACACGACGCAGACACAAAACGTTACTTTGGGTATGTCATTCACAAATTTTGTCAACTATGTCGTAAAGAAACATGTGACTTTGTTCTCATCTACCTATAAGTATCGTTTCTAAGCGAAAGTTAGCCGCTCTCAAAGAGCCGTTTAACAGTTTCGTTTCACTCATCTCAGCGTGACAACCAAAACACAGCATGTTCAAATATTGCTCGCATCAGAACTCGAGGAGCATGGTCACCGCAGGATTTTTCCATCCTTACTTTAATTAAGTCTTTCTATATAATTCGCACGTATTTTCAGGCATAATCTGAGAAAGAGAATAGAACTTTAAGTATCCAAGTTCCAGGCACGAACGGTAACGACCGAACGACTGTCACGCAAGTTAGTACCTTTCAATGCAAGTTCCAAGCCCTCAGTTAGTGGAAGAATAAAGAAGCGTTGTTTCAAGTGTAACTCCAATATGTTGGGGAGAAGACCTGCCGACGTAAACGCGGCGAAAAAAACCCTTTTACTGCAAAAAAGGGCTATCTACATGAAAAATATAGAGGCGCGAAAATGGGCCATTATTTACTCTCAAAGCTCTCGGATTCATCGCTCTTTACCTCTCCAAACCGATCACGTGTGTCCACGGTCAATTAAATATCAGGATATATTTCCATTCCAAATTAAGTCTTCTCTTTGTTTAAATGAATCTCCACGTTAAGATAGCCTGCGAGGTGACGATGAAAGATGACTTGGTAAGCTAACTACTTTCTGTTGTTTTCTCTTAGCGGAATTGGAAAGGGTAGTCCGTAAATTCTTCCAAAACCAACCTGATGCAAGACGACGCCTTGGCAATAAGACTCTGTTGCAGTAAGTTTCAATGAATTATTACGAAGATACTGGCAATTAAGTTTTGAAAAGGCAAAAATGTAACGGGCGACTGGTTATGTTAACGTCGTTATGTTAACCCTATTGTGCGTCATTTATGGGGATAGATATCGCTCAGTTTTGCTGACACTGCACTATAGCACCACAGAGTGAGCAAGGTACATAATCAGTGTTCATTATTACTTTGGGGAAGAATTTTTTTTCTTTTTTTGGGTCAATATCTTATAAAACTTGACTAATTAGATACCAGGCTTTAATCATGATAAGGTGTTTAGGGGCGTAAAATTGCACATATCCTATATGAATCAGACCATGCCAGTTCTCTTATTAGGGCTATGTTAACAATTCCTGCCTTCGTAAATCATCCCACATGACTTAGTTCACGCAACAACCTAAGTCATTTTTAATGCACCTTTTGAATCAGTCTTTACCGTATCATTTCTTATTTAGGTTGATTCATTTGAAGATATCCAAGCCAATATAATCCGGCACTGAATGTTGAAGTTCCTTTCTCTATATTGAATGCAGGGTAGCAGCGCTGCCAAAGGAAAACCAAGAAGATGATGATAGTGACTCTTCGTCGACACCGATAACGAACTCCATATCTACAGAGCCTCTGCAGAAAACAACTAACAAAACAGCAACATCGATGTCAAAATCGACTAATGCAAAACCAAGAAAAAAACCTGCAACAACAAAGTCTACGACAGCAAAATCTGCAACTGCAAAATCTACTTCTATAAGATCTACGACAGCAAAATCTACTACGGCAAAATCTACTACTGCAATACCAACGACCAGTAGGCCAACGACTAAAACAGAAGTAACTACAATAGCAGCGACCACAGGAACGATTCCAACGACTGTAGAAGCAACAATCGCAGAACCACCGACTACAAAATCGTCGACTTTAAAACTAACGACTACAAAAGAAACGACTGCAAAGGCATCAACCACAAAACCATCGACTACAAAATCAAAGACTAAACAAAAGACTGCCGAAGAAACCACTGAAAAAGCAACGAATGCAAAAAATACGCCAAAACCTGTGATTACAAAAGCAAAGAATACAACAGAATCGACAACAAACACCACACAGACAGGTATGAATCAATAAGTACATCGTAACTACTGGAGAAATTACTTACTACGTAGGTTACTTTTAGCAAACGTGCATTCGCGCACCAGCCCAAATAAAATGATTGTTGAGCAGAACCTTTTAGTGATCGGATGGTACGTGATATCCTTGATTTGAACCGCATGGATATATATGTTGTGGTACAATTTTATCCTCAGTTCAAATTTTATTTTCTTTTGTTTTCGGGTATTGTAATGTATGAAAACGAATTTGGAACAAAAGGAAAATAAAATTTGAACCAAGGATAAAATTGAACCACAGCAAATGTCTGTACCCTATAAATTATTTTTTCAAGCTTTCCGTAACAAAATTAAATTAGGACATCCGTATTTAAAAAAAATTTAAAAAATCCTTCATGAAGTGTATTTTACATATAATCAGGAAAAGACAAACGCTCTCTGAATGTTTTTTTCCCCATCTTGTAAATTTCGAATTCAGTTTTCCTGAGACTCATTTTTTTTTTCTTATTTAAGGCAAAAGCAATTCTACTAACCACAGTCCCAGTGTTAATCCTGGAAGGTAAGACAACTTTAATCATAGAACTTGTTTTAGTTTACTTTAGTTCCTATTCTTCTTTTCTTCTGTTCTCATTACAAATCTTTTCTCACTTCTCTTATTTTGCTTTGCCATATATTCTCTTCTTTTAGTTTTTTTTTCTGTTCTCCCTCGCTTTCTTAATTTTTTGCTTTTTGTTTTTCCTAATCTGCTCAAATTCAAAAGAACCTCACAGAAAGAGATAACTTTCTCAGTTGAGCTAGTTGACTTAATTTCTCAAACTTTGTCATTGTTTGTTTACATTAAGTATTCTGACAACCAAATGCTAGATCAATAATATCTTATCTCTGAATTTATGGCTATTTTCACTCTCAGTGGACTATCTCAGCTGATAAAGCATAGAGTAAGCTTTCCAGTGCTTTTTATGGTGATGTTGGTTTTCATAGTGGTAGTCTACTTTGGATATCACAACAGAAACAAGGTTTGTTCAAACATGGTTTTCATGTTCAGTCATTTTTTTGTTTTGATTAAACATGAAAAATCTATTTTCATGATTTGTTCTGAAGACCTGACAAACTGAGACTGTTTAAAAGGTAAACAAAAATTTTCAATGCTCTGTGACTGATTAAGAAGAAAATTCTTCCAAGCTCTGCAAAAGGTTGAAATGATATCTTTCCAGAGCTCTGTGATTTTTTTTATGACAATAATTCTGTAGAGATCTGCGATTGGATAAAAAAAAAGATTAATCAAAGGTATTGCTCAAGAGGGACAATCTAAAGAACTCTGTGATTTGTCCAAATGGAAACCCTTAAAAGAGATCTGACAAAGGTTACAAATAAAGGAAACTTGAAGAGAAAGGTGTGCAGAGCCTTGGAATTGATCAAAAGAAAACTTGCAGAGCTCTACAATCAGTTTAAACTGGAAAAAGCTGTAGATCTTCTAGAATAGACAGCTCAAAACTGACAAACTCATGCCACATACCTTCAATGGTCACCAAAACCAATTGAAACCTGACTGAAAGCTTTGCTTATGCTTTCAATTCGCTTTGTCTGGCATTGTCCCATCACTTATGTTGGTTTGCCTTTTTCCCTTGCTTTGCAGATCAATCACTTTTTAAAGGAAGGCTTTGTCAAAGCAAAAAAGGGAGGTAGTGGTTACCTTAAAGTCAAAGTGGAAGATGGCGACTACATTGAGCTACCTCGTGATGCAAACAGACAATATGTTTATTGAACTGAAAATGCTGTATCCTGTGACTTGTGCACAAGTAATCATTGGTGATATTAAATTTACCCATCAGACGCTACTTCTAAATGGCAGTTGATTACACAAGCAACCACATGAGCACACTCTATTCAAGAGTATAATTTTCATTCAGCCAAGTGTTACTCAAAATAAGGAAACTGTAACAGCCTTTGGTATTGTTTACCTGCTTAGTTAGGAATTGTATATTTTCTTGTAACAATTTTTGTTTTTCTCCTCTGGATTACTACTTTTGAAAAGGGTCTATTTGATCTGCTCATGACATTGATAGGTTTACATGGAGTGGTATGTGGGTTGCGGTATGTTTACACTTCAAACTGTGTGACTCTATGCATTTGTAGTAGGCCATCATACTTAAATAAACTAATTAAAGTAAATAATATGAAGACAGCATTAGAAACCATCTTTAATTGGCCTTAAGAGGATGTTCAATTACTTATTACAGTTACATACAGATTTTGTGTTACCATCCTAAAAATGAAGCTCAAAAGTTGATCTTCATTCAATTTTTTAGCAGTTAGGTAAAAAACTCCTGTAAATCATTTTGTATCAGGAGCAAATCAATATTTTTTAAAGGAAAGTCAAATGGATTTTTAAAAGTAAGTCACACCCATATAGAAAATCTGCAGTTTGTCCAAAATAGGAGTTTGTATGTTCATTTTACATAGTTTTACACTAGTTAATTAAGATAATTGTAAATTATATAACATCTGTAGTAAATTATTATATTTTGAAAATAAAGTGAAATGATTTATAAATTACCCCAACAGGTAAGGGGCATGCTGTGATCCCATTGTGAACTTAAACATGCACTTCCCTTGGTTGTTTTTTCCGTCCTCTCCTTTCTCCCCTTTTCCCAGCACAAACATAAACACTATACAGGAGTAGTTACCAAGACAACGTGGTAATACAAAAGGGGTTAGGTGTGAGGGAAATTCCTCTGTAGGTATAGGATGTGAGATAACACAGTTGAACACAAAAATGGCTTTTATTTTTCAAAAATATTATAAATTACTAATTGAAGAGCTGTTATTCCTTACTATGGAAAAGATCACTTTTGGGATCATGTTTTCTCTTGTACATCAGCATTTTGATAATTTCATATGGCAAACACAAATCTATCAGTTGTTTTGTATTAAAATTGTTAATCTAACATGCATCTTCAGAATGGAACTCAAATACAATCAGTTGGCTGATAAACAATTATTATTTTACGAAGGTTCAAGCCATGTAGTCTTCACAGCGCTTCTTCTCACTGTCGATAATTTTTCAGCCTAGGAAAGCATGGCAGCCCTGAAGAAACTGCACTTCACCTCATTAACATATTGTCAAGTCCATAGAGACTTTCAAAAATACATGGAGACGGAGTTCAGTACTGACAATATCATGCTCAAATATATCCACATTTTAAATACACAAGTTTGATTAAGAATGACATATTTTCCAAAACTTTGCATTAAAAACCAAATTCCTATGTGGAACTACACTTTTATTTTTATATAATCATCAATTTCAACTTACTTATTGAGTTAAATTTCTTCTAACCTAATTATGATTTATATCCCTGAGCATTACTGTTGGTGATTTCTGCATAACTAAGACAACTGATCCAGTAGTTCTTGAAGGCTTCACTCTTCTTTTATGGCTGGCTTGTTCATTTGCCAGATGCAATAGTTAAGAGCTGTAGCCAGTGTAACCCAACCAAGATAAGGCAGCATAAGTCCTGCTGCAAGTTTGTTGATTGGGTAGAATGTGTAAACACAACCAGCAATATTCAGCCACAGAAGACAAATCTCACCAAAAGCCTTTTTATGAAGGAGAGAAAATCAAAATTGTAATAAATCATATTGTGCATAGTAAATTTTTGCTTTTGTTTTGTTTCTTTGAGGAGGGGGAGGGTGACAGGCAGAGTGTTGGTTAGGGCCATATTAGAGACATTCTCTTGATTTCTTTCTACTCTTCCGATCCCTCCGTCAGTCTTACCTTGTTACAAGGGAAAATTAGATGGGGAGGGCTTTATATCTCCTTAACATGGGTGTTACAATGGTAGAAAACCCAGTGAAATTTCAGGGGACAAGGGGGTGTCTTTGACCTTTGCTCTTTTATCTTCGGTCTTGTAAAATAGTTTGAAAAACAAGCTCAAATTTGTCTGTGCAATGAACAAATCTTTGCAGTTCGTATCACATTCATGAATTTTTTTTAAAACAATAATCACTCTCTGCCAGTGTCACCACAATTGTTAAATAGGGTTTAAATCTCAACAGCATTCCTTACCAGCCCCAACTTGTGAGAGCCAAAGAAAATTGGAGTCCACAACCAGTTCAAAGCCAGGTTTGTCCCATACAGAGCCAGTGCAGTTTTTGCTTCACCATCAAATCCTCCACCATCTCGCCATACAAGATATGATGCATAACCCATTCCAGAGTATAGGCTGGTCCACATTGGCCCAAAGAGCCAGTTTGGGGGTCTCCATGAGGGTTTCTTTAAGTCTGGAATGAATGTTTAATACTTAACACAATATGAAAAAATTCCCAGTAGCCTTAATGGAGCTAAGTCAAATCTATTTAGATCAATTTTTGCTGCTTGGCTTAAAAGGTGCTGTATAAATTAGCTGAAGGAGTAAGACAAAATTTCAAGAAGTAATTATATATCAAAAGGCAACAAGCAGGGCTGTGAAAATCATTGGAAACATCATGTCAAACCAAATGGACAAGACAAAAATTATGACATAACCTCCTTAATTGTCAAAAATTAAGGTTATGAAATGGTTGGGAGGAAAGCACATGTAGGACATCCCTAAAGAGTGATTAATTCAAAGGTAATGAACAGGAAAAAATACAGAAAAATTTTTGGTTGTTGGAAAATCTCTTCATTCTATGAAAAATTTTAAAATCTGAGGTAGTTTCCTAAATGAACACTACAAATATCAAAACTGATAAGGTGACCATTTTCTGTATTTCAATACACCTAATCCATTGTCGAAAAAATAGATTTTTTCAACAATCTCTTGACAGTTGGCAAGTGAAATCCATTTGCCTGTGCTGTATCATACAATTTTCTTCACCCTCAGGTGGACTGTATAACTGACTTTCCATTTTGAAAATGATTGTTATGTTAAGTATACAATGAATGGTTAGGCATTTTCAGGTACCTTTGTCAAACCAGTCCTTAATCTGAGATCTGGTGATGAATCCCCCAAGCATACCACCAACATTAGGTAGCAAGACTGACCCACCAATGATAACCCAAGGCTGTGGCATAATTATCAGTTACCTGCAAGATCAATGGATTGATAATGACCAAAAGGTACTAAAGTTTAATCTGATTTTTTATTTCACATGTACATACCATCGTCATGCCATGCCGCTTACTAAGGAATCAGTGACTCCATTTAAAATACTTCCATTTAATCTAAAGACCTTATTCTACCCAGAGGAATGGCAAGGAGATATTGAGATAAAAAATCCACTTCAAGCCTGGATGAAATTAGTTAATTCAAATGGTATGCAAATAAAGAAAGTTTACAACAATGAAACAGCCTAAAAAGGTCTACAACAGTTTAGCTCATCGAGTTATTCCCTTTCTTAAAAAAAATCTACATTCCAAATTATTACTGTCTGCAAATCACATCACTAGATGCTCAACAACAAGTGCATGTCAAGAATCTTTCAGTAGGTTAACTTAAATGTATTCCAATAGAATAAAAAAAAAGTAAAAAAGTTTATGGAAATGGGACAAATAAGAGAGCGTTAAGGCAAGAGCAGAGGTGGCAGAGCATTTTAAAACACGAAGGGAGGGGGGCTTATCTTTAGCTCAGCCTTTACTCCCACTTAAATTTTCTAAAATGCCCTTTTCACTGATTTTTGGTACATGCAAATCCCTTTACAATCTTCACAGTTTCAAGTGTGTCTGTAATCAATTTGTTGCTAACTTTCATTTTTCTCGAGCACAGTTTAAAAATCAGTTTAGCATTAGATTGAGTTACTGCATACAAAATTAAATCATGTGTAATTTCCTCAGCACACTATCTGGCTTTTCAAACACAGGTTGGAGTTGTTCAAAAAATGTCTTACTACATATCATTCTTCCAAGGCCATTTCTGATAAAAGGATTTGTGAAAAGATCAGGAGATTGAATAGTTTGCAATTTTTATGGTGCACTATTGATATTTCTGGCACCAAAACGTTGGGGTGCTCTGCCCCCCTAAGATTTTGTTTGGGGGGTCTACGGGCCCCTCCTGCTCCGCCGCCTATGAGGTGAGAAGGGCAGTGAAAAGGGGGGACAGGGAAGAGGGTTTTGAAGAGGCATGCGTGTGGCCCCACGGTCAGATATGATGGAAGGTGGTACGATTCATTCCAAACTATAGCAAACACCTGCAACAGGCTATCACGAATTTAAAAACCACCGTGTTTTAGGCTTAAAGGCGAAAATCATATTAGGCCTGATCAGATGCCATCATCAAGGTGATCATAGCACTGTTACGTAATTTTTTTACCTTTACGAATGAAGAGGCAAAATTTTTCGTTTAGGGGTAAATCAAATTACCATAGATCTATTGCAGACCTTAGATAGGTGCATTGATTGAGAATATAATACAACAAAGGTGAAAAAATGAAAAAACAACCCACACGCCTACCTTATATGCTCCTGAAATTGTTTTGCAACTACGTAGTGATGTTAAGAGGGCTGGAGACAAATCTGAGCCTAGTCTCTCTCGGCCGTCATATCTTCCGGCGATCAAACGCCCTTCACTTTTCTGCATGATGGACAAGGCAGCTAGAAAGTTCTTGAAATGAAATGACTCTTTCGCCTTATGTCCTTGTCACCTTCGCTGGTGATGCGCATTGTTCCTGATGAAGGGGAAGCTGTAGACTGGACAGCTCATCACAATATTATTTTCCGAGATGTGTTGGTATGTTTGTTGATATTTAGAGCTTCTTTCAACCGCAATTTAATGACATGTTACAGATGTAGGTTCAAGTGGCAGTGCTTGGCCGTGGCTGAAAACTACACTAGGAGACACGAAAAATTGAAAAATTACTAAGTGCTTAGCCTTTTTATTTTAATTCATGCTCTTGCTTTTGGAAAAGCTGGAAAGGTAAACCCATTTGCGACGATAAATTGCCATCAATGTGATTCACCATCAAGTGACATACAAGCTTAGTTAAAGAACATATAACCACGAGGAAACAGTCAGCCAGATTGAGGCATTCTTCATTTTGAGTTACTTCTTACTATATTTCTGTCTTCTCGTAATACTTTCATGGATACTAATTACCAGAAAACCGTCGTTGTTGCATTTATTTAATTATCTTTCACAATTTGAATCCAATGTGCTTGACAGTCGACATTTCTTCATTACACTTGTAATGATACAAAAGTAATTGATACCTTAAATGGCTAGAGAAAATTCAAACATGCAGCTATTAAACTAAAATAATATTGGTAATTAATTCCAAATCATGTGATGTGCTTCTAGTGTCAAAAAACGGATAAGCTTCTTTCATGTACATTATTTATGCTGACCAACCTCTTTACCTCCACTTTTGCTCGCTAATGAGGTGTTTTGTTGTTTTGCAGGAGGCAATATCTCAGGTGATGCCTCATGCTACAGCCACTGCATTTGAATGTATGTACAGTCATTACTTAAAAACTAGTAGATGGAGCTTTCTGTTCCACACTGAAAAGGTCAACATAAAATACAAGTCCACATTGCTGACATGTTCAGGGACTTTTGTAATAATGATGAAAAGTATATAAATTGAACTATATGAAGATTACATTCATCAATCAGTATATACCTGTGCTTTCATACTGGGGAAAAATAATAACAATCGTCAAGGTTTGTGTTTGCTTTCTTGAGAGTCTTAGATTTAAAGCTGCAGCATATTCTAAAATATTGAATTTTATCCATTCAAGTTTTCCACTATTGTGTTTTTTTTCCACTGGAAATAGATGAAGATGAAGAAGGAGATAGAATCACTGTTAGGGGTGATGAAGAACTTCAGGCCATGATCAATGGGGTAAATTATCATGATAATGGTTATATTGACTGGATTATATTTTAAATTGATGCAAACTCCAATTGTGATGGATGGCAAAAAAAGTGAATGTCAGAATGCATCCATCTTGGCTAAAATAAGAGTATAGGTTTCTATGTTTGTTTAACTTTTGGTGGTGTACAACTCATTGAAAATGTGATACCATTATGAACAGAGGCAGATGCATCTACCTTCAATACTTCAGTACTTTAGGGAATGCAAAATGATGCCCTTGAGTCCTTATTTAGAGATGTTTGCTGAACATTTAAAATGTGTTGAAGTGACACTTGATTAACAATTTACTCAATGTTAAAGACATAGCTAATTTAAATTACCATAATTTTAAATTTACTAGGATCAAGTAAAACACTGACCGTGTACATGTACATATTTCTGTAATGTTTATGTTGTCAATTTTCTACAAAAAGCACATGTGGATGAACTGTGAAAGGCAGAGAAGAGGAGTACCACTGGAGCCATTAATGGTTTATCCAAAAGGTATTTGATAGGATGTTGTTATAATTATATGAACTGTACTTTTAAATGTGCTTTCTTGTTTTATTTTTTATGTACACAGAAAGTAACAATATATATTATGTGCTTCGAATTGACTCAAGATAGGAACTTTTAATCATAAACTTGTTTTTATTTTGAAATTGGTCTTATATGATTTAAACTGATTTCCATCAAAACTTTTTGAGTCAGATCTTGAAAATGATTTTAAAGCTAATTGTACATCAAATTTTTCCTTGTACAGCTTGTAGAACTTCAAGAAGAAGGAATTTTTGTGGATTGACTGTAAGTACAGTTATTACATGTAGATAGACATGGCAGATGTGAACTACAGTCAGGATAGTTCTAATTTACATGTACATTCTTCAGAGCTGTCAGCTAGAGCCACTTATTCATAAATAACATTTTCCTCTAGCTGTGAATTAATTCATAGACTTTCAGAAAGTAACATTATTGTGAGCTGAACTAATAATTGAAAATTGTGTGTCTGAACATTTTGTCTAGGTTAACACAAAGGCAGCTCCAGTAAACAATGCCATACCAACTAATGCTAATCTCCCTACAGAAAGGTTAGTTGTTCCTATACATCTAGTTATTAAGCCGAATTTCATTTATGTCAACCAACTTTCTCTGATTAGTACAAGTGAACACAATTGTTGGTCAGTTTTTGTCTTACACCATTTTCTTATCTTTAAGCTCACACAAACCAGAGAGGGGGGACATAAGGATTATCTTAGCAAATGGTCAGGTAAGAGAGGTGAATTTCCAGAAATTGGTTCCTGCTTAAAAGAAGTATCTACAAAAGCCTGAAGCAAATTTATCCAAGGAAAATGTCACCAAAAAGAGGTGCTAATTCAAAGAAGTAAAAAGAATGGATGAACTTTGAAAAAATGGAAAATATACATTTATTGTATCAAAAAATTTCCTTTGATTAAAAATTTTTTCAAAATACATTTTATTTTGTATGAGTTATCTATTGTCTTGAAGGGTAAGACTATACAATTAAATTAGAAGACAAAGGAAATTGAAAATCAAATTGCTCTGAAAGAATTGTTACACCATGGAAAATAATGTAAAATGAGATACAATACACTTAATTGCATAAAGTGAACCTTTTTGGCTGACATACTGTACACCTGTATGGTTTAAGGAGATTTCAACAAAAGTTGAAACATATTTCTGATTGAGTGCAAGATTGGAATGAAGTAGCCTGACAGTTGTGGAAATTTGCTCTGTAATCATACAAGTGATTAATAAAATTGGACAACCGTGAAGCGGGTATCCAATTTTTGTTAATCACAAGTATGATTACAGACAGTATTGGACGACAAGAAGTCCTGTCACCAATTAGTCATCACCATAATGATTTCAATTTCTGAAAAGGCAAATACACCGAGAAAAAATATCTCCAGTGGATACAATGTCTTTAGTTAAAAATTCCTCCATTTTGGAAATTCCCCAGTTTTTCTTTGGATAAGTGATTGTTGCTATCAATGATTATTTTGGTCATTTCTGTGATTGGTGGATTAGCTAAGTGGACTTAGTATGATTGGCTGCTTCTGACCCTGTCTGATAACAGGTGTCCAATTACAGCCAACTGTCTGATTACAACAGTACTGTACAAAATGATTAGTTAAAAATGAAGCTGCAAATTCACCTATAATATGTGGGGAATTTGCAATGGTTATGATTAGTAGCATAATTCAAATGCACTTGTTTTATGTAACAAAAATTGATTGAACTTTTAGGATTAAATAATTTCTAGCCCCCTAACTGTATGCACTGATGCATCTGTAGGTATCTCACACTGACATACAGCATCTAGACATTTTGGGCCATGGAAATGGAGGAACAGTTTATAGGTGGGTTATTCACTCTTAATTTGATTTAAAATTTTGAACATCTATTGTCAAATGAACTGTAAGTGCTGTAACCACTTCATGTATAAAAATTTTCTCTTTACTTAGCTTATAACTGAAAAAAATTTGCAAACAAAAACTGTGTTACTTTTGAGCACTGTGATTGAAAACACTCAAAGAACCATTCTGTCAATTGCAGCTGAGCCTTTGGTTTTTTCATTTGCTCATGGCTATTGTTCTGTTTAGGGCATTACACACAAGCACAAGCAGAATTATTGCAGTTAAGGTGAGTGTCTGGATGTGCTTTGAGGGTAGGTTTGTGTTATACCCTCTTGATTACCCACAACAGTTCCATTTTTCAAACATTATTTTCTAATAAATTGCTTTTGTGGAAAATTTACATGTTAAGTGATTTTTTTTAAAAAATGCTTTGAACTGACAGAGTGCAAATTCATAATTTGTTAATTTAATTTGTAACTTTGCTATGAGTTTAAATTGATGTATAAATTTTACTTGTGTTATACATGTATGTTTTTCAGTAAAGTTATTGGATCTGTTGAAGTTAAAAACTTTTTGCAGTAAAAGTATATTAAGAGCTGAATGATATTACCTTCAGGTGATTCCTTTAGATGTAACTCCTGATGTACAGAAACAGATCATTTCTGAATTGGAAATACTTTTTCAGGTAAAGTTGTATTGTACATTATTTTATTATTCAACATCTATTTAATTGTTCGATACTAATTATTGTCCTTTTTTAACTGCTATTTTTTTCAGTGCTCTTCACCATTCATTATTGAATTCTATGGAGCATTTTTTGTTGAAAATAGGTATGGTATCCTTTCAGTCAAATTAAATGCATCACTATCCTCTCTTTTTACACTCTATGGTGTTCTCCAGAGATTGTTTAATTGGTCAGCCTTAAAAAAAATACTAGCCAGCAAAGGCTAAAAGAAATTTTAGATTGAGACATATATTTCACTAGTTTGTTTACTGTAAACTCCAGCATATAGGTGTATAAAAGCAAGCCACAACAATATTATTACCAGGTGAAAAAATGCTGGTATTAATTTTAATGATGCTATTACCAACTGAATATTGATTTGGTTTCATTTGGTGTATTTTTTCATAGGATATCAATTTGTACAGAATATATGGATGGTAAGAACTGTATGATAGGCATTAAGAACTGTGCAAATTAACCTCCTTGCTCCTTGAAGTTCATAGAACTAGCTAATATTGCAGGACCATGTTTTGTATATAGGGACTAGTTCAGAAATTTGTTAAATCCCAAGGCTTTTAAAGCCTATTATTGTAGGTGGGGGTACTCTCTATTTCAAAACCACACTTCTACTATTACACATAAATCAACCATGTACAGGTATAGCACATGACCTTTTGTTAACCACCAGTTGAAAGCAAACATTTTTTGTAAAAGTAAAACGCTAGTTTCCATTTGAGGTCAACACCTTACAAATCTAAATAGAACCAGTTTATTGACCAATTTTTTTCATTTTTTTTTTCAGGCGGTTCTCTTGACCAGTATGGCTGGATTCCTGAACCTGTTCTGGGAAGAATTGCAGTTTCAGTGAGTGCTCTTAAAATCTTTTTTTAATTTTTTTAATCAGACATCATTCTCCTAAACAGTTCATAGCTGCATGTACATGTAACTTTATGCTATTTTTCATGTTTTATAGGTGGTCAAAGGACTCCTTTATTTGTGGGAGCTAAAAATTATGCACAGAGGTAGGTAATACATGGTATAATACGTTAGTAATTTATCAAGAGTTCCATTCTCATACATTTCTACAGAGCCTCTCACGATCAGACTAATGACTCCATGTTTTTATTGTAGATGTAAAACCCTCTAATATTTTGGTGAGCACAAGAGGTCAAGTGAAATTATGTGACTTTGGTGTCAGTCGACAGGCAAGTAAATTTGGACTCTAGGATTTAAAAAAAGATGTACATAGCTAAATGTTTTTGTAGAATTTCATTTCACAAAATTGTTGCTTTCTTTACAGCTGGTCAATTCAATTGCTACAACTTATGTTGGAACTCATGCTTACATGGCGGTGAGTTGAAGTTTTAACAACATTATACAGTAGAGGTTTCTTTTTTATGAGAGGTGCAGTTATTTTTATTTTTTCATCTATTCATTTACTTTTATTGAGAAATCACTGCATCTGATTTGCTTAGAACGATGTTACATTATGTCGCACGTTACTTGAATGTTTCGGCGAGGACCAATAGACGACTCATTTTAACTCCACATTGTACTCAAAATTCACGACACAGGAAACTCGCTCCTTCAGCAATTTATAGATCCTCCGGGGATCCCTCAGAAAATGGAATTTATCTTAGAAAATAAGTAAACAGGGGCTACAGTCAGAGGGAAGGCCTATGTGGGTTGTGCAATATCTTACCTTGATTCTCTCCCTGTAAGACTTATATTATGCGCTTATCGCTCACGTTTTGACCAGGTTTTTGAAAAACAATGTAGAGGCTGGAGAATATTTTCGACGTCTTAATAAAAATGGTTCAGGCCATCGAAATTAAGCCAAAGAATTCAGCGTCGTAGAGAGAGAGTTTCCTGCTCTTTGGTGCGCAATTAACAGCTCGCTTGACTTTCCTTTGCGATTCATTACTCTCGTATCTCTTACCTCAGCCCGAACGCATACAAGGAGATGAATACAGCATTCGATCGGAGCTCTGGAGTCTTGGCGTGTCTCTTCTTGAGGTAAAGAAAACATCCAAGGTTTTTTGACTGAATTGATCGTTTCGCAGTGAAAACACCGTCATTGAAACAAACTGAAACTCGATTGTTTTAAACTTTCATTTTTATTGCAGATGGCTTTGGGAAGGTTTCCTTACCCAACGGTAAGAGGTTTAATTTATGGTGGTTGTTTAAAAAGAGTTTGGTGGTTTTTAACTGTCTTTCTACAGGAATCTTTAAAATGTGACTAATTTCTTCTAATTTTTTTAATGCATTTTTTGTTTAACAGGAGAGTCATGGAGGCGCCGAAACGTTTCTGGTAACATTGCAATTTTATTGGAAATTTTTGTAACATATTGATTTTGACTAATTCGCTTTAGCGAGAAGTATCTCGTCCCGCTGTTCGGGCATGCGCACAGACATCAACAGGCGTGGTCCACTTGGCCACAGCGCGGTGATGTCCGCATGGTTGACGAACGAAACACGCGACTTAACCGTGCAGTTCATAACCATAAGCCGTGGTTAAAGTTTGCTTGGTCAAATGCACGAAACCCCCACACAGTAGCGACAAGAAGTCTCTTGTCAGTAATAGTTTAAAGGTTTTATTTCTCAATTTTTTACCTCCCTTTTCGAATAAGATGGGTCATTCATAGCCAACTTCTTTCGACTTAAAGTAATCAGGGATCAGCCAATGAAAAGGTCATGCTTACATGGAGTTTTGAATAATACACGCACGTCCCCCCCCCCGCCCCCCACAAACCCCTCAAACGAAACACGCGGGCGATGTCCCTCTGATTTATTGATTTATTGGTAGGCGGTACTGTAGTCTCGACGTATTACACGGCAGTAATCCCTAACTCTGACTGTGATTATTAAGACGTAAAGTTCAGTTTCATTTAATTTGATCGAAGTTACAATATAACGAAAGAGAGTGGTTGAAAATGGTTGATAATAATATATATGAAAAATAGCTTGAAACTACACTCTAAGGTCTTTTTACCATCGCCACCAATTAGTAAACAATAGTGAAAACAACAGTGACATCACAAGCGATGATAACAGCTTGAAAACCTGGGCTAAGACCAGCCTTTTGTGATTCTTTTCACAGCCAATAGCGTTACTTCAATGCATCGTTCACGAGGTGAGCAAAATGTGTCTTGTTCTTCATTTCATGTTCAATTGTATTTCTGGAAAGGTGCTCGTATTTCTTGCTAAGTTACCCCGAAAGGGAAGGTCATTATCATATTTGATCTCCCAGTCATGAAGTACTTCTCTTTTGCTTTATAGTCCTTGCTCTACTGAAGGATGCTTAGTTATTTGCATAGTTTGTTATTTGTTTGTTTCTCTCCTCATCTCAAGAACCCGCCACGGCTACCTGAGGATAAATTCTCACCAGCTTTTGTGGATTTCGTGTCTCAATGGTACGTTATTGAGTTCCAAGATCATCGTGTTGTGCGTGATGTTGTTTTCAAGCTTGAAAACAGCAAGGGGAATTCACATGTCTAGAAAGATTTTGAATTAAGCCAAGGCACGTGCTGAACGGTTCAGGCCTTCGGTATGTATTTGCATCTATTTCACGACCGTGATAGGCAATTCGCTGTCAGATCGCCTGTCGGATGTTACAACTGTATTGCAGCATCTCTTCAATTTTGACTACGTGGCTCAAGGCTGCACTTAGGGTGGTAGTGCTATTAGTGCTGCTCATGCGTAGCTCGATTCTAAGTGATTTTATGTGTGTGTCTGTATGTGTTTGGGGGGGGGGGGGAAAGGGTGAGTTACTTTACAGGTGCTAATTAACACACCCTGGACCGAATTTCTTTACGTCCTCGCGGTTGTGTGTTTTCTCTGAAATATCATTTACTACACATAAGACTATTTTAATTTTCTATTAGCATGCAGAAAAATCCCATATCGAGATTGACTCCAGAAGCGGTTTTGGTGAGTCAAAATTAATTATCTTAAGTATGCACACATTGAGTTTGTCTCATATTTTCCCTCTTGTTGTTATCACGATTCATTCGCTTACCAGATCTGTTTGTGTTTTCTGTGAACTGCAGGCTCATCCTTTCATTGCATCAAATGATGATGGTAATGTGGATATGATATCTATGTGGGTTTGTCGCCAGCTGGAACAGAGACGGTCATGTGCACAGAGTATGGACTCACCTAATTCCGAATCATCCTGATTACATCCACACCACTTGACTTTATGTATAAAAATATACATTATTTTCTAGTTTATTTTCTAGTTTATTTTCTAAGGAAATACGTTTTGAAAAAAAACTCTGAGATAAATCTTTGGTTACCACGATTAGGAACTGCTTTGTCGCACCGAGACTCCAACGCAAGAAACACGTTGCTTATGGTTCCCAGACGAAAGCGGCCATGATCAGTGATCGTGTTTTTTGGTTCTGTTCATCACTATTTTTGGTGCAGTTCGTCACTGTTTAAATAGTCAATTATGAAGATAAAGGAAGCCGTCAAAGTGTACAAAGAATAACTTTTATTCGGCAGATAAATGAGCTCTTAAACCAGTCTGTGTGCCAACAGTGTTCATGAAGTGGAGCTCTCAAAAACTAGTACGTTTTGAAGAACCAATAATGCCCGTTTACGCTGTTAATTGTTATTTTAACAGTGAAATCAATTTTACTTTAAAATACGATTTTCTCCAGACTAAGAGTAGTATGAATGATTAGCTTTTAGACGAAATTTGAAGTTATCCTTACAATTAAAGAATGCGTAGAACAGTACGTGTAGGTGAAGCTTTTTATCATATTAAGGGGAGACGACTGGGGGTGGATTCGAGAGAGTATGCTTGAAATATGGTTAATTTTAACAGCCAACCCTCCATTCGTCTTAAGTGTATGGTTGCGATACAATTAAGGGCGCGAGTGAAGCCACGATTTCAAAGTACTTCAAAAGCAACCGTTTGCATTTTCGACACTGTAGCTCTTCTCTTTGAAGCACACACTCAGCCATAACCTCACTTCCTCCTTCCTAGAGTCTCTGGAAACAACTGATGATGAATCACATCAATACGCAAGCAAATGATCCAAAAGCGTAAAAAATCGTTAAATAACTGTAGGTATCACGCCATGTCTGGAATTCCATCTGGTTTACACGTTAGACACAGTTGCACATACAAAACCTTAGTCGAGGGGTGTACATCTTGCATATACTTAACCGCTGAACTGTTTTGACCTTTTTCAACCTGAACCACTCCTGTTCCTATTTCATTTGTGTGTGTGGTTTTTTTCCTTTTTTGACCGTATTGGTATTTTGTCGTCTCATTCAACTTGGATAGTATTGAACATCAGTGGGCCTCGGGGATTATCTCTAAGAGAGTTCATTAAATTAAATAAATGTATTTCACCATTAGCTTTCGGCGCTCTTGAAATTTTTTTCGAAAAAAGGAAGTTCAGATAAAAGGTTCGGCTACCTTGAAGATGGTTTAGAGCGCGGTTTTGTTAAACAACGGCTAAACTTTGTTTGAATAACCGCCTCAAAGGGTCTGCATATATTTCTTCTTGGTCAATGTATGTATATTTTCATGGAGTGACAATTGGGGGAACGCAGTGCTTTCTCTGCATCACCTACGCTTTTAAATCTTGTTCATAGAGGTCACTCTCCGCTCATCTAATGAGCGCGGGGCACGACAAGACACTTACCCTCAAGGGATTGGTGGGGAGCGAGCGTGGGCTCGGGAACGAGTTTGCTTTTATTTGGCTTAAGTCCAAAATTTACGCCTCGTTGATGCCCTTGGATGAGATTGTTGTCTGTTGCATGTATTTGTGTTCCGTATCGATATTAATTCTTCGTATACCTTTTAATGCGAGGCATTTAGTTTTTTAAACACCAAACCTGCCTGGATATTTCTTTTTGTCTTGAGGTATGTAGGTATTGGCTTAAACATTCATGCTCAGAGTTTAGGTGCCGTATCATAACTAGACTTCTTCATAACATTTTATGCTTAGGCAGTACTTGTTGAGAATGTTTCAGTTTGCTAAAACAGTGAACATTTTACCATTGGTGGGCGATGTATATTGTTTTGGTTGGGCTCAGAACTCAATGTAAGGTTTTTGAAGTGTCAATATTAACAACAAGATCGGTAGGATTTATGCCCTTGAACTTGCTACGTTAACCGTTCAATTTCACTGAAGTTTTACCGGCAAAAGATTGTCAATCGAGTCGTTGGGGTTTCCCGTTTTTGAGTTCGGTTTCGAACAGTGATGAAGAACCATGAACGAGAGAGGAAAACAGTTGAATTCCTTTTTCTCGACCCGGAAATGTTTGTTAAGATTTGCTCCATTTAATCTAATGTGCGCCTGGTTTGAGGTAAATGGGTTTCGCTCAGAAATTGGAAGAGCTTGTTATACATCTTTGTCACTGCGAAGAAACTTTCTTAGGTATATAAGCTGATAATCACGACAGGCACACAGTTTGTTTCCTTTTTCAGTAATTTTGTATTCATAAGTGCGTTAAAGCTATTTAATAAGCAAATGACATTTGCACTCAATTTCCATGTCGTTTGTTACCTTGGGAAACAATAGAGCCACCGAACTTGACATATTTTAATTTTCTGAGACATAAGAAAACAAAGCGAGTTTACTTTTTTTATGCATGATAAAAATATTCAGTTATTTGATAATGAGGCATCATCAACTGAGATGATACTGTGAATTGTTCACCATAAAAAGATTCGATAGCTGACCTTTCAAGAGTGAGCCCTTCGTCAGAGCGACTCAGATAAAGAGCTTAGGCTCGAACGCCAACTCACTCTTTGTGATGGCCATTCACACTTAGACACAGAGAATTAAACTGTTGTTTTATTATTTATTTTTTACAAGAACTTACATTAAATTACGATGTTAAGAAAAAGGAAACAAAAAAATTACATCAATGAGAAAACAAAAGGTGTGTTAACGACACAAAATGAGTAACTAAACCACTAAAAAGGAGGGGGGAGGCGGCTAGAGTGCCTTAAACAGAAAATCAAACTAGGAGACTGACCTAACATGCTTATTTTTGCTGTGATAAATGACAAGGATTTGCTTTGATATCGATATTTCACTTTTCTTGTCGCAAAACACAGAGGTGTCTTAGTCATGTCTCAAGAAATCATAGAAGATATCTTGTTGTGATATTTCCTTCATTCGCGCTGAACTACATGTAACACTCTCTAGACCATATTTCTCTCTCTTCTCTTGTTAAGATTCAAAATCCCAATTCTAGTTTTTCGCAGCTGGAGGTTTATCAGTTATTCATACTGCTCGTTGTCGATGTTAAGTTATATGTGCGACCAAATGATGATCCTAAAAACCCGTAATGAACAACAAGGTATCGAATTTTTTTAGGAAATTTCCTTTCATGAGATCGGTATTAAGAGTATTTTGTGGGGCTGTTTACTTTGCTGTCTGATTAACCCACCATTGTTTTCTGCACCATAAACATTTTGAAATAAGAAAACGTGTGCGACACTTTTCTCCTTTAGGTACCACAAACTTAAGAGGTCCCAGTGTCAGACAAGATGATCTCGATGTCAGCATTGACGTTCATGAGGCTTGTGCTGTACTATTCTGGTGGGTATCAGTTTAATTTCGAAGGAATATTTACGGAGCCACAACCAGTTGGAAAAAAGCGTAATAAACGACTTTTCGAATTAAAACGGATCGTCCTATAGATATTTGGGGGGGGGGGTTCAACAGCTCTTACATGTACATGAAGCAACATTTGACATCAGCAATGTCGATAGCGTTATGTTTGTAGATAGAAATAAGAGAGATGGTAAGTTTTGAGCTCGGTAAAGAAATAAAGAAAGATATTTTTGGTCTTGACATAAAAGATATATATGCACCTGTAGCACTACATATATGCACATACTGTGATACATAAAATGTACACTCAGAAGCTAAGTAGTTTTCAAAATTACACCATCACTATTATTGTGGAATTTTGCTCTTAAAATATATCTGATCAAATTGTGAGCCTTGTTCACGATAATTTCTATACTCACTGCCTTGCGGAGGAGTGGGGCTGCAGCATCTCCCTTCTCAACCACCCTGTGGCCGGGGCCTGTGGTAAGAGTGATAGGGGGCTACTACAGGGAGACTAACGAGAGTAATCAAATGACCAATAAAAGCACTCGCTGGCTGTAGAGAGAACGGGTGATTCCAATACTGCAGCTAGCAAGCAGCCAACTAGTACACAAGGCAAAGATTATTCTGACTAACTCTGGCTTTTAAGGGATGAAATTGAATCGTAAGTTTTTGCTCATCGACTGAAAAACCTACATTCAATTTAATAGATGTTCGCATCCGTTTAACTGGTTCCAACGTGACATTCGCTGGACGTGTTGAAATCTTTTCTTATGGAGTCTGGGGACGTATCGATGGATCTTCGTCTTGGGATAGAACAGAGGCTGAAGTGGTATGCAGGCAGCTTGGCTTCCCAGGCGTTGTCACGGCCTTGAAATATTCACCGTTTGGAGAAGGGTCCGGACCAGTCTTGATGTCTTACGTGAGTTGCACAGGAAGTGAGAAGACTTTACAACTATGTCAGTACCGAGGCTGGCTTGAGAGTAATGTCTGGGAAGGCAGAGAAGCGGGCGTAATATGCAAGACCCATGAACTTGATACTGATGTCCGCGGTAAGTATCTGAATTAAATTTCAAGCGTCCAGAAAGGATTTCATGCAGCTTGCTTTGGGTAATTTTTTGTACATGCTTTTATAGTGATAAAAAGTGTACAATATAAGAAAGTCAAGCAAACTTCATGAATTAAAAATCCTATACGTCAGTAAGATTTTGTTTGTGGTTTGGCCGTGGATAATAACATATTCAGGTCATTTTCTTCCCCTGAGGTGATGCATGGGCGACTAGTGTTGGTCATAGGTTTTGAAAGAAGCATTCAAGGAAAGTACTTCGCCCAAGAAGCTGTTTGGGTATATCCTTTGATAATGTTGGAGATCTGAGTATAATCTTAAACATTTCCGACGGATAATCAACACAAATGAAATGAATCTTCTTCTGAGTCGTGAATGCAAACAAAGAATTTTCATAAATAGACTGTGGTTTAAGAAATTTCAGAAAAAGATATTGGAAAAAATATCAATCTTGGAAGGGATCCGAACCCTTAATTCCCAGACAGTTGATTTAATTTGGCGGTAGACATCACTACTACTTTTACTGAAATATGTACCAATTAGAATAAAGCAGCGTGCCTGTTGCCTAATCGAGACTGAGATAGTGATAGTAATCACAATCAGTGACATAATTGCTCTTTCCAAATGTTTCGAGCTCTGAACCGGAAACAATTAAGTCATGTTCAATATTTTAAAAATAACAGCAAGTATCAGAATACTATATAGTTTAGGAAAAGAGTGCCAAAAAAATTGCGAAATGCACAACCCACCCCACAGAAAAGGTTTGGTGCCATATTCTTGCCATAAATGTCAACACGATGTCAATTTTTAAACTGATAGCCTTGTTCAATTTATTTTCACTGATGGTTATGTTTTATTAATTCGTTTTAGATATTTCAATTCGCCTTCAAGGATCCTCTATTCCTAATGCTGGTCGAGTAGAAGTGTTGTACGCAGGAATCTGGGGAGCAATCAGTGACACAAACTGGGATATAAACGACGCTACTGTGGTGTGTCACCAGCTTGGTTACCAAGCTGGTGCAGAAGTAGCTTTGGCAAACGGTGTATATGGGTCGGTCAGCGGTCCTGTGTGGATTACTGATCTTCAGTGCTCTGGAAGTGAAGCTAACATAAGGAGCTGTTCTCATGATGGGATTGGTAACAAGTCTGAATCACAAAATCCACAGAACATTGCAAGTGTCATATGCAAGGATTTGTCCCAGGCAAATGGTAAGCGGTTTGTAGCTTTGTTTTTTCAGATATATTCAAGAGCATGGCAATATTTATGTGTTGTTAATGCTTACTTCTGCACCAACTATGCCCACTAGCTTTGCTTAGCATAGTATATCTATAACAGGCGAGAAACCGAATTATGATAATACATTTTCTGGTAGACTTGATAGCCTTATAGATGGAGGATTAGTGTTTTGAGAGCACTAACCGGACACGGAAGCTCTTAAGTTTTAGTTTGCCTCTCGATATACTGGTACTGAAAAATGCGGTTCTTTAAGTTTATACCTATCATGATTTTTAGTTGTGCCTTATTAGTGGGTGCCAACGAGCCACTTTACCACAAGTCCACTTAGTGGTTAAATCTTGTGCACGAAAGCTGCCTCGTAAAGAGGTCGCACAGCTTTTACTTCTCGTAATAGTGTTCTGTTGACATCTTGATTATTCAAGAGCTGAAATGTTTGCATTTGCATACACTGAGGTCGAATAAATGTACCAAAAGCCACAGAACTGGCTCATACCATAACTTGATTATACAGAAGTTATGTTGTGTTTCCATTGAGTGCCTCAGAAAACAAAATCCTTCAAACTTTTAAGTGTAACGCGACCCCTAATTATATGCAAATGAGAGGTAGAATTGTAAATTTAAGTGAGACCCACCTATACACTCAGAAGTTTTGTGTGACCTTCTCATTCCTGCAAATGTTACCGTAAAATCTCAATAAACCTCGACTTACAGTTAAGCTTGATTTTATAATTGTAGGGGACATCACGGTATGATAAGTTGAATATACCAGGCGTTGGTTCTTGTCCCGCTATAATCATTTTACTAGACCTGTTCCTCAATAAGAGTCTCTCTCCCACAAAGGAACGTAAGACACTTCTTCGCTTTCTGTAAGGGAAATGAAAACCTGAGACGGAAAGGTGTCGACCTTTAGATAAAGGCGACTATACTTCGATTAACGGTCGACATAATTTTTTAATTCATTCTTTTATACCTAGGAATGCTGGTTAGGCTAAGGGGATCTCCTTCGCCAAATATGGGACGAGTGGAGGTTTATTATGCAGGAAAATGGGGTTCAGTTTACGCCTCCGGTTGGGATATCAGAGATGCTACCGTTGTCTGCCGCCAGCTGGGATACACAACAGCATTACTGACAGGAAGAGGACTATTTTGCTCGCCCACTTTGCCAATTTTCTTTCGAAACTTCAGGTGCTATGGAAACGAATCAGCGTTAGAACATTGTGCTTGGGATTTCTTTGGCTATACCTGGTCAAGGTCTTACTGTGCAAATGTTTTGTGCAGCAATGGTACAGCTGATTCAGGTGAATATCAATTTTGCACACTCCATAAACATTTAAGGACTAGAAAATTGAACGGAAACCAGTTGCTTCTACTTGTAAGCCGTGTCGTGCGTACATCTTACCTCACTGGTTTCGTAGTCTCAATGACTATGTAGTCACTCTACATATGGATCGAGATGTTTCGAACACATGCTGTTAGTGCACTTCAGGCGATAGAGTGAACCGGGTTAACGTCATCTTGATTATACCTAGCAGTGATTGGGTGGTATTCATGGTTCATTACGAAAAAATGTTCCTCCATCGTTCCATTGTCGCAAAGCTCTCCCATTGTCGTCTTTTTTTTATCGTTGGCATCCATGATTCTGGGATTTCTATTCCTCTGTCCTTTTAACAATTGTAATGAGAGTAAGAAAAATTTCGTTTCGTTCCAGAGCTTGCAGGATTTCCTGTCAGTGCGGTTAGGTTTACATCGGTGAGACTGGAGAACCGATGCAAGAGATAATCAAGAAGCAAGACAGAGATATTCGATTCGCTAAAACACCGACTTGCACCACTCTAGAACGAAATAAAATGTACTAAACATGATCCCCATTTTAGACACAGTGTAAAAGATACCTTTGGTTTCGTCATAATCGACAATGAATTTTTTGTACGTATCTCTCCTAGGATTTGATATACGTCTTACAAATTCTGCTGTTAGACACGCTGGTAGGTTAGAGCTTCGAATACACGGAATTTGGGGAACTATTTATTTTCATCATTATTCCATACAATGGACCAGTTTGGACAGAGTAATATGCAGACAGTTAAACTTCTCTGATAGTGTCCTTGCAGTTGGCGGGGCCGCGTTTGGACCGGGAAATGGCCCTCAGTGGTATGAAGACTGGAATATACATTGCCTTGGAGACGAGAGTAATCTACAAAACTGCACTCATTATAGACAGCCTCAATTAACGATCCATGATCATAACGAAGATCTCAGTGTCATTTGCAAACCAAGAGCTGCGCAAGCCAATGGTGAGTTACTACTTCATTTCTGAGCAGTTTGGATAAAGGCTTACTCAATCATTTGCAGACTCAGTTGTAGGAATTTTTTAAAAAGGTTGGTGAGGTCTATGAATTATGCGTTAGAGCTATACGTATGTTATTAGAGTTCTCGAAATTGTGCGTTGGGACTTTTGCATCCATCTCTCTTGAGACTTTTGTTAAAGGTGTCTCAGAACCTGTCTTCAATGACCTAGGTCAGATAACATCTAATGTAGTGTTTGCGTACCTTTTTTGGAACTATCATTATGCTTAAGACACAGTGTATCGTTGAGATAAGTTAAAGGGAGGTTGACGCTAAAATGATGAAAAGTATCCATGATTTCAAAAATGTTTTTCAGACTTCAAGGTTCGCTTGACTGGATCTAGTTTCAGTGTTGCTGGTACAATCGAGGTGATGTATTACGGAGTCTGGGGAGGAGTACTTGGCTATGGTTACTTTGATATTAAGGCAGGTCATGTGGTGTGTCGTCAGCTGGGATATTATAGCGCCGATGAAATTTTCCAATACGCAGCTTTCGGACGATTAAAAGGTCCATTGTGGATATGGAGGATACATTGTAATGGGAATGAATCGAACATCTCAGATTGTGCAGTGACAACTTGGGACAAACACTTTCCGCACGGATGGTGGGAATCTTATTTACAACGTCCATATTTTGCAGCTGGTGTTTTATGCAGACAGGCAAACTTCATCCCACCACAAAGTAAGCCATAAATGGTCGTTTTGTTTAATCTAGGTTTAGTTATAATGGCTCAACCCACTCTTCAAATTCAACGACACTTTCAGTTGCGACCTGCGGATAGAAGCAAAGAAGACAAGACATTTTTGGGATTTACTAGTTCATTTTTTTCGGTTTTTAATGCTGTATCGAACACTTTTTTTGCTTCTTAGAAAGCCTCTGAAATAAGGAATACAGATTCTGTGTTAGAGACTGAAACAACTTTAGGCAAAAGTGTTTAATTAGAATAGGTCTACGTCTCGTGTTTCTCCATACACTTCTTTCGTGCTCTAGCCGCTTCCTGCGTTTTCAACGACAGAACAGAGGACAGTCAAGGCTTCTATATTTGTTAAACAAAAGTCGGCATCACGAATTAGCTGCCTTTTTTTCTGACGAGGTGTAAATAGGCGTCAGGAAGTAAGAACTGACTAACAATACAATTGAGTGGGATAATTCTAAAATTATCACCACTAATCGGCGTTACCATTAGTGCCTTTGTTTGGAAGCGTGGCATATTAACTCCGCCCACGCTCCTTTAAAACGCGATGCCTATTTACACCTCGTCAGAAAAAAGGCAGCTAATTAGTGATCATGTTAAAGGACTTATTGTTGCAGCGTTTAGATCACTCCTGATGAAGGCACTAAACAGGTGTGTCGAAACGTTGGGTCTATGAATTGTAACTTTTTCGGTTACATTCATTCAAACCAGAGTAGCATCAAACTATGTCTGCTAAATAACTGTTCTCAACCGAGTACTTGTGTAAATATTGGGCTGTAGAATCTGCACAGATTTCGCTTTCAAAGGCTGGTGATATTGTCGTGGGAAATGAGTACCAGATGGTCTCTAACCTAATGGGTCAAGAAGTGTCGTTAATTTGGGTTTCCCAAGACCCACGAGTAAAACCTGTCTGTCATTGTCTGCTTTAGGAATAAAAAACTAACCACCAGCAATATGACTCAATAGAAAATTTTCCCTTAGTCAACTCACATGACAAAAAAATAGACAAAAACTGACTGTGGAGGTGAAGGGTTTGAAGTGAATGTGATATTTGCTGACTCACAAATATTGTGAGAAGATTTTCCGCAAAAACTGAAATTTGGCAAGTGAAAGGGAACAGAAACGTGTTGGTTAAAAAAAAAATCCGTTGAGTTGAGTCCTCTCAGTTCCATAACTATAATGAACAACAATTGCAAAGAAAAATCCTAAACCGAGGCTAAAATTCAACCTCAACATATATCTTACTGGCGGAGTTGGAACCTGAACTACCATGACAACTTATTTTTTAATTCTTAGCGTTGAATGTGAGGCTCGCTGGTGCTCCAATTAGTAATGCTGGACGAGTAGAAGTGTTTTACTTGGGAGACTGGGGAACAGTAAATAACTGGGGATGGGACCTCAATGCTGCTCACGTGGTATGCCGCCAGTTGGGGTACCCTGCAAGCCTTTCTTTTGGTTATAATAATCAGTTTGGTTCGAGGAAAGAGCCGGAATGGTTCTGGAACGTGAGATGTTTTGGCAACGAGACCAATCTTGGAGAATGTACAAAAGATGTGTATGGTTACACTTCCAGTGGATCATGGGGTGTAACAGCATTATGCAAATTACCATATCAAGCAGGTGACCTATCTACTTTTTGGACACACGCTGGTGTTGATACATTTTCATAAAATGACCTCCTCACGATCTAATTCAAATTTTCATTGAGACAAACGTATTCCAATAATGTACCCAGCCTTACTTTTTTCCTGACTCAAGTGAGGTAAAGGAATACAAAAACACACGAAACACGTAGGACGAAAAAAAAAAAACACAAAACAAAACAAAGCAAAACTAAAAATCCGATACAAAAACACGGGGATGTAGTGAGCTGTACACAATTTTTGGTATTCTCTTTTCTGGATTTTCCTTCCATCCGTCCCACAATAATGCCGTTGGTCCAATCTTACACCACATACATGCTATTCCATTTACGCAAAAAAAAACATATACGATTAAATATAATGGGGATTTCACGACTCTTTTATCTTTGCAAACTGATTTTATTATCTAAAGCCGCCTCTCATTCTCTTTTCCAATGAGTACACTAAAGATATCCAAGAATATTCTCTACTTTCCGCTTTTATTTGCCTAGACATTTCTTCAAAATGTTATGAGGTCAAATGTCAACATCAAGGAACCTGCATTGACACTGGAGGTGGTGCTATTTGCAACTGCACAGAGGGATTCACAGGAATCCATTGTGAAAAATGTGAGTAAAGCAACTTTTTCAAAACTTTTTGTCAGATTGCAGCTGCTTAAAAGTTTTAAAAAATTGTTTGTAATAAACACAGCGATTATGAAAATGGAATTTGAGCAAGCAACATTACAGTTTCAAGCTGTATACGTGAAAGATAACCACCAGCGAGCAGATTGTGTTTGGAATGACACGAACTGATTAAACGGATGTACATTCGCATATCATGTACCATATCAAAGTAAAAAAAAAAGATACGTCTAGGGGATTCAGATTCCCTTTGTTAGCTTCATGCGCTAACCATAACCGTAAGTAACGCTCCCATCTTGAAGGGGAATACTACGATTGAATTCAAAACATTGATTTTTAAAGATTGCAAAGGGTTAAGAATAATCTTTCCTGAGCTCACCGCATACCAGACGCAACAGAAATCTAGTTCACCCGTCTTTCTCTGCTTTGAGGGTTTGGATGTGATTTACCTTGTTTGAGCCTCAAAACTTACTAATTTCCGCTAATCGGTTCAAAAAGCTAATGCATATATATTTATTTCCTGGTACTCTAGCTATGCAAAAACTTGCATAATCTCAGGAGGTATCTACACGAACTTGTGTTATTACTTTCTTACCATATAGACCAAAGTGATCACTTTAGTCAGGGTATCTTATTTTGTTCGTCTTATTCCTGTAGCAATATCTAATCCATGTCAGAGTTCTCCATGTATGAATGGTGGAAAATGTTTTGGCAATGAATCTTCATATATCTGCTCGTGTCCCGATGGGCTCTCGGGACATCGTTGTGAGGAGCGAATTACCATCAGTAAGTTTATTTGACTTCTTCTGTTGTTGCAAATCAATAGAACTATGGGGTTATGTTTTGCTTTTAATTCTCTTTCCTTTCCTCGTTAAATTGAAATCTTTGTTTGAAAATAATTGTATCCATGTTGAGCCCTAAGTTCTAACTAGCGACCAAATAAAGTTATGCTTATGCAACTTGCGTCACAACAAATAAGATATGATAAAGTTTATTAGAGGGCTGCACTCCTCCCATGTTTCGAATTGGTTAATCGAGGTGTTAATTTTTTCGTTTTGCTACTTTGCAGCCATGAAACCGTGCCAGAGCCACCCGTGCCCAAACAATGCATTTTGCCACGAAAATGAAACTCATTTCTCCTGTGTTTCTAATGAAGCACAGAATTCAGCTTCTTTACAGACCAGTGGTGAGCTTTAGCTTTTTTATGTGTTCTGTTGTCTATTTTTTTCTCAAATTCGTCATTAATTTATCAGGCTGTGACAAAGAAAATTGTAAACGTGATATTGGTAAGGATACATTAAGTGCATCAAAGGCCACGAACTGTATATTTTTACAATTTCAAATACCTCGAACTTTGTTAAAAACGAACGCCATCTGGGATGCCTTGGATGCGTCCTTTTTCATCAAGTTTACTTTGATATCATTTTTGCTCCACAGATAGGTCCTCCCAGAACGGAAGTACAATCTCAAAGACTACTTATATCATAACATTATCAATTCTTGTATCTCTTGTGTTCCTTCTCATTGCTGCAATTGTTTACGTTATCTTTCAAAATCGAAAGCTTTCTAAAGTTAGACTTAGAGACCAACAGGCAACTTTTAGCAACATGGCCTACAGGAGCGATAAAGAGGAAACCTACTACTGTGACGAAATCGACCTGGGAACAGGAACTAATAACAGTTCAATGCCAAAGAGGGACTCGGACAACACTAACCACTTATATGAAATAGCTCCCACTTTCCATGAAACGGCCACCTCTCGACCTCTTCCACCAATTCCACCACCGCATAAGGCGGCAAGAATGAATCCGCAAGCTGCTCGTAAGAAAGCCAACCGGGGAAATGGCGGTTTAAAAACGAAAGGAGCCTTGGAGGGGTCAAAGAGGGCTACGACAGAGGCCGGAGAGCATTACATGGCTTTATCAAAGGAAAACAACAGCACTGCCACACGAATTGTCTCAGCTGATGGAGGACCGAATCCCAACGAATATATGTCTCTGTCACCAAACAGGCACGGAGATATTTCTCATTCATAAAGTCATTAAGCGTCTAACTTCTAAAGATCGATTAACATGACAAAGATAGAAAAAGATGCAAAGATCTGAAAAGAGGAGACTCAGAAAAATTTGCTTTATTCTTAGTGCAAACTTGTATTGTGTTGCAAAATTTGTTCACCTGGGTTCCTACGCGTGTCTATTCCTTCAAACAAAACATTATTCCAAGAAAACCAAATACCTAGCATCTAAAAAGCATTTAGTATGATCGAAGGCCTAGTTTGAATTCATCAGAGAATGGAGACAGAAGTTAGTAGTGTAAACTCTCTCTTATAACGCTTTCTCGAGCAATACGCTTTTGTACACAGGCCCTGCTTAACGTATTATACGCCTTTTGCGTCTCTTAGTAAATATATATATATATATATATATATATATATATATATACCATTATTTGCAGGGATGCCCAAGTTCAAAGTCTTCCCGCGTAAATGGGAAAACTTCTTGAGGTTTCAGACATTTGAATTGCCCGAACCTCACGGAAGTCAACGTTTCGCGAACTTTTGTTGTGCTAGGAACTACAGCCTGCCCGTTATCGAGTTCTATCAAACCTAATAGAATTATCATCCCTGCTGGTGGCGTTATTTTTTTAATAAGAAGGAACTATTAGTCCAGACTGAACTTAATCCGATTAGTAAGAGGCTTAAAACTGTTTTCACTGGCGTCGTTGGTAATCCAGAATTGCTTTGGTTTTTCTTACTTTGCTGAGGGATTGATTAATAAAATTCACGCCACTTTCTCAACTAATCAAAATCACAACTAAAATCTATCGTTACTTGATAACTCGCGTTCCCCCGCGCCCTAGGTAGTTTACCTAGTTAGCTCTGAGTTCTCATTGGCTTTTTTGATATTTCCTTCCCTTCTGATTGGCTGTTATTACAACTTTGGCTTTGGTTTGAAAAGTGCCCTACGTAGGATAAGGATTATTTTGATCAACTATGTTTAGGTGAAAAAGTTTTCTACTAAAGTCGTTTGTCGTTTTCCATGCGGTCGTAATACATTAAAAATCAAACAGGAACTATTTCGGAGCTAATGAAGCACCCCTTACGTAAAACAATTTTTCAAATGCATTTTTTGTTTAACAGGAGAGTCATGGAGGCGCCGAAGCGATTCTCGTAACATTGCAATTTCATTAGAAATGTTTGTAACATATTATTGATCTTGACTAGTTCGCTTATGCGAGAAGTATCTCGCCGCTACTCGGGCATGTGCACAGACATATATTTTGGTCCTCAAACTGAAAATTAAGACACGGTCATAACGCGGTGATGCTCGCATGATTGACGAACGAAACACGCGACTTAACCTTGCAGTTCATGACCATAAGCCGTGGTTAGTGTTTGCTTCAGTCAAATGTACGAAACCCCGACACGGTAGCGGCAAGTCTATTTTCAAAAATAGATGAAAGGTTTTATTTCTCAAATGTTTAACTCCCTTTTCGAAGTAGATGGGTCATTCAAAGCCAACTTCTTTCCATTTAAAGTAGCCAGGGTGTAGCTAATGAAATGGTCATACTTACATGGAGTTTTGAACAGTAATACACGCACGTTCCCCTTCCCCAACCCTCCAACCAAACACGCGGGCGATGTCCCACCGATTTATTGGTAGGCGATACTGCATTCTCGACTTACTGCACGGCAGTAATCCCTAACTTTGACTGTGATTATTGAGACGCAAAGTTCAGTTTTAATTGATTTGATTGGAATTACAATATAATGAAAAATATTGGCTGAAAATGGTTTATAATTATGTATGAAAAATAGCTTGAAACTACACTCTAAGACCCCTCTACCATCGCCACTAATCAGTAAACAATAGTGAAAACAACAATGACATCATAAGTGACGATAAAGACCAGCCTTTTGTGATTCTTTTTACAGCCAATAGCGTTGAGCAAAATGTGTCTTGCTCTTCATTTCATGTTCGATTGTATTTCTGGGAAGGTGCTCATTTCTTGCTGAGTCACCCCGAAAGGGAAGGTCATTATCATATGTGATCTCCCAGTCATGATGTATTTCTCTTTTGCTTTACAGTCCTTACTCTACTGAAGGATGCGTAGTTATTTGCATAGTTTGTTATTTGTTTGTTTCTCTCCTCATCTCAAGAACCCGCCACGGCTACCTGAGGATAAATTCTCACTAGCTTTTGTGGATTTCGTGTCTCAACGGTACGTTATTGATTTCTAAGATCATCGTGTTGTGCGTGATGTTGTGTTACGTTATCTCGCTACTGCTGCTGAACAGCTAGGGAAATTTACATGTAGAGAGCAGTTTGAGTTGACGCCCAGGCACGTGCTGAACGGTTCAGGCCTGCGGCATGTATTTGCATGTGCATGTATTTCACGACCGTGATAGGCAATTCGCTGTCAGACCACCTATCGGATGTTACAACTGTATTACAGCATCCGTGCATTTTTGCCTACGTGGCTCAAGGCTGGACTCAGGGGAGTAGTTCTTTTTGTCCTCGCGCTTGTGTGTTTTCTCTGAAATATCATTTTCTACACATAAGACTATTTTAATTTTCTATTAGCATGCAGAAAAATCCCATATCGAGATTGACTCCAGAAGCGGTTTTGGTGAGTCAAAATTAATTATCTCAAGTATGCACACATTGAGTTTGTCTCATATTTTCCCTCTTGTTGTTATTACGATTCATTCGCTTACCAGATCTGTTTGTGTTTTCTATGAACTTCACGCTCATCCTTTTATTGCACCAAATGATGATGGTAATGTGGATATGATATCTATGTGGGTTTGTCGCCAGTTGGAACAGAGACGGTCATGCGCACAGAGTATGTACTCGCCTAATTCCGAATCATCCTGATTACATTCACACTACTTGGCTTTATGTATAAAAATATACATTATTTTCTAGTTTATTTTCTTAGGAAATACGTTCTGAAAAAAATCTCTGAGATTAATCTTTGGTTACCACAATTAGGAACTGCTTAGTTGCACCGAGACTCCAACACCAGAAACACGTTGCCAATGGTCCTCTGATGACGAAAGTACTAACAAAAGCGGCCATGATCAGTGATCTTGTTTTTTGGTTCTTTTCATCACAATTTTTGGCACAGTTCGTCACTGTTTACTGTCGTCTTCGCCTTGTAAATAGTCAGTCATGCAGATAAGGGGAGCCGTCAATGTGTGCAAAGAATAACTTCCATTCGGTAGATAAATGAGCTCTTAAACCAGTTTGTGCACAAACAGTGTCCATGAAGTGGGGCTCACAAAAACTAGTACGTTTTGAAGAACCAATAATGCCCGTTTACGCTGTTAATTGTTATTTTGACATTGAAATCAATTTTACTTTAAAATTTGATTTTCTCCAGACTCACAGTGGTAGGAATGATTAGCTTTTGGACGAAATTTGAAGTTATCCTTACAATTAAAGAATGTGTTGAACATTAAGTGTGGGTGAAGCTTTTTATCGTATTCGGGGAAGACGACCGGGGCGAATTCGAGAGAGTATGCTTGAAATATGGTTAATTTTAACAGGCAACCCTCCATTCGCCTTTAGTGTATGGTTGCGATATAATTAAGGACGCGAGCGAAGTCACGATTTCAAAGTACTTCAAAAGCCTGCAGCTCTTCTCCTTGAAGCACACGTTCAGCCATTACCTCACTTCCTCCTTCCGAGAGGCTTTGGAAACAACTGATGATGAATCACATCAATACGAAAGCAAATGATCCAAAAGCATAAAAACTCGTGGAATAACTGCTGGTATCACACCATTTCTAGAATTCCAACCGGTTTACACGTTAAACACAGTTGCACATACAAAACTTAGTCGAGGGGTGTACATCGTACATATACTTAACCGCTAAACTGTTTTAAGCTCCCATCCTCAACCATTCTTTTTTCCTATTTCATTTGTGGGTGCTTTTTTTTTCTTTTGTAACTGAGTTAGTATTTTGTTGTCTCCTTCAACTTAGGTAGTATTAAACATCGCGAAATATAGCTCAAAATGTAATGACGAATTTCGTATCTCACGCTAGTGTGAAAGGTGTTACCGGCCTTTACTGTCTGAGACAGTAAAGGCCGGTTATTTATATCATGTCTAAACCAAACCGCGGATTTACGTTAGCAGTGGGCCTCGGGGATTCTCTATAAGAGGGTTGGTTTAATTAAATAAATGTATTTCACCGTTAGCTTTTGGCGCTTTTTGACATTTTTCACAAAAATAAAAGTTCAGATAAAAGTTTCAGCTACCTTGAAGATGATTTAGAACGCGGTATTGTTAAACAACGGTTAAACTATGTCTGAAGTGACCGGCGCAAAGGGTCTGCATGTGTTTCTTCTTGTTAAGTATGTGTATATCTTCGTGGAGTGACAAATTAGGAGAACGCAGCGCTCTCTCTGCATACCTAGGCTTTTCAATCTTGTTCATAGAGGTCACTCTCCGCTCATCTAATGCGCGCGGGGCACGACAACACGCTTACCTGCAAGAGATTAGTGGGAGGGAGCGTGAGCTCGAGAACGAGTTTGCTCTAATTTGGCTAAAGTCCAAAAGTTGCGCCTCCTTGATGCCCTTGGATGGGATTGTGGTCTGTTTCAGGTATTTTTGTTCTGTATTATCACTAATTCTTCATATACCTTTTAATGCGAGGCATTTTCCCACTAGTGGGCGATGTATATCGTTTCGGTTGGGCTTTAAACTCGATGCAACGGGTTTTTGAAGTGTCGGTATTAACGATGAGGTCGGTAGGATTTATGCCCTTGAGCTCATTACGTTAACCGTTCAATTTCACCAGAGTTTTACTGGCAAAAGATTGTCAACCAAGATTGTTGGGGTTTTTCCGTTTTTCAGTTCTTAGGTTCCGTTTTTAGGGTCCGGACAGTGATGAAGAACCATAACCGAGAGAGGAAAACAGTTTGATTCCTTTTTCTCGACCCGGAAATGTTTATTTAGATTTGTTCGATTTATTTTAACTTGTGCCTGGTTTGAGCAAGATTAGTTTCGCTTAGAAATTGGAAAAGTTTACTGTACATCTTTGTTATTGGGAAGAAACTATCTTGGGTATATAAACTGATAATCACGAGAGACACACGGCTTGTTTTCGATTTTAGAGATTTTGTGTAAATAATAAGTGCGTAAAAACTATTTAATATGCAGCTGACAAATGAACTCAATTTCCACTTTGTCTCAAAGGTATTGTTTGTTACCTTCGGAAACAATAGAGCCATCACTACTGGTGCTGTCATGGCGATTTCTCACGCCATTTTTCCCATATAGAAAGTATGTATCGAAAAACGAAATATGCGTTCACAAGGGGGTTTCACAACAGTGCAATTAAGAGGGGTAAAATAGCAGATATTACAGCGCGCCATCAAGAAAAGAAATGCATTTGCAGGGGAGTGCAAAAGCATTTTTCCATTGCGTGACATTCACATAAAAACAGGAAATCAATGATGAAACACAACAGGGACTTTCCGGAGGAATGAGTCATCAGATTACTATTGTCCTTAAGTCATGTGAAAGTCTCGTGAGATCCTGTGATGTTTACAAATATACATTAAAAGCTGATTTTAAGGAAAGATTACCAGTGAAGCTTGTTGATAAAGTCTGTCAGCTTAGTTAGTCTGTGAACTTTGAGGGTAGGTTTTTGGATCTAAAAAAATCTCATATAATGTTATTGAATAATGAATTGTAATTCTGAAATTCATGACACACTAGATGAATTAAATTATAAGTCATATAACGTAGCGTCCGACGTTACTGTATATCGGCGTCATGTATCTTTTTAGACGCAGGATTTTGATCGTTGACAAGATTAACTATATCCATTCTAGCCTTCTCATTGAAATTGATGACATCATTGTAAACCGTGTATATCTCATCCCAAACACTTGTTGAGACATTATTGTGATACCCTCTAACACCATATACAACAAAAAAATTTGTAAGTCTTGCTTATAACTGATGCCACTTTAATTTTTGAGAGTCATGTCGATAGAGAGATAATTAGGAGTCACGTTATTGTATTTATGAAGATGAATTATACTTTGGCTGTGATCACTAACTCGGTTTTGGTTGGTGTTCTTGAAACGGTCTCAATACTTGTTGCTGGTATTTGGACTCAGTGTTGAATGGTCGATTAATGCTGAAGGAAAATATAATTAAAAAACGACAGTATATTCTTTGGTTGAAAGAGGGTACATATTCAGACCTACACGACTGCAATAAAACCCTTTGCTTGAATCAAGATGAAAGGTTCGTCTACGAGTCGATCCGGCTTTTTAACCAGTAATTCTTCCAGCCAGGAAAGTGCCCGTCTCAGTCAGAGAGAAATTCAAGGCTTAACTTCAGAGGTTGCAGGATCTCGAGGTCATTGTTCTCGTCGATGAACCTACCAAATGGGTCAGCCAGTTTAAGAAACGCAAGACACCCTTTCAAGAGCGTTTCTCCCAGCCGCTTAGCACGACGAGTCAGAGTTTGAAACCATTAAGTATCTTCCGGTATCGGAAGAAAGGCTCCAGCAGATTTAGCGATACACTGAAGAGGACGAGTCTCTTCAAGTGTTAAAGGCCGTGATCCAGAAAGGCTGGCCGGAGCATAAGAGTAACGTACCCAGTATTGTGAATATGAAAGCAATCTTCGCAGTAATGAACACTACTTGAGCATTAGTGAAAATAAGGCTTAAAAAAATTTAGGCCTATACGAGTTTTGAACAGTTGTTTCACTGTTTGATTAACCCACTGTTTTTTATTTGGAACCAACATAACTGGTTACTGGTGAAACCCCCCTGTGGACACATATTTCGTTTTCGAGACATGCTCACTTTTTATATGAAAAAATGGCGTGAGAAATCGCCTTGACAGCGCCAGTAGTGCTACCGAGCATGACATATTTCCATTTACCTGAGACATAGGAAAACAAACTGGGTTTGCTTTTTGTATACATGATTAAACTTTTCAATTATTGGATAATAAGGCATTTTCAACTGATTTGACACTTTGAATTGTCCACCATAAAAAGATTTGTTAAATGATGTTTACCGTAGTATTCTCTCTTCGCTAGTAAAGATTCAAAATCTCTGTTCTAGTTGGTCGGAGCTGAAGGTTTATCAATATTCATTTTGCTCGTCGTGGATGCTAAGTTATATGTGTGTTTCATGATCGAAATTTTAGGAATTTCCTTTCACGAGTTTGTGTTGAGAGTATTTTGTGGGGCTGTTTACTTTGTTGTTTGATTAACCCACCATTGTTTTCTGTACAATGCAATTTTTTTTAATAAGGAAACGTGTGATTCACTTTTATTTTTTAGGTGCCACAAACATAAAAGGTCTAAGTGTCAGACAAGATGATATCGTTGTCAGCATTGACGTTCATGAGGCTTGTGTTGTACTATTCTGGTAGGTGTCAGCTGAATTTCGAGGGGATATTCACTAAGCCATAACCAGTTGGAAAAAAGCTTATTATAAGAAACAACTTTTCAAATTGAAAGGGATCCTCTTATAGATATTTGGCGAATTCGACAGAGTTACGTGTACAGAGAGCAACATTTGATGATATTTGTAAAAGATACATATACCGCTTGTATATATATATACACTACGATACATCAAGTATACACTTAAAAGCTGAATAGTTTTCAAAATTACGCAATCACTATTATCATGGAATTTTTATCTTAAAGTATTTCTGATTAAATCGTGGCCCTTCTCCAGATAATTTCTATATTTCCCTGCCTTGCGAAGAAGGGGAGCTGCCACATCTCCCCTCTAAACCACCCCGTGGCCAGGGCTTGTAACAAGGGGTTACTACAGGGAGACTGACGAGAGCGATCAAATGACCAATAAAAACACTTGCTGGCTTTAGAGAGAACGGGTAATACCAATGCTGCAACTAGCAAGCTGCCAGCGGGCAGCCAGCTACCACACAAGGCAAAGATAATTCTCCCTCTGGCCTTTGATAGACGAAATTGAGTCGTAAGTATTTGCTCATCGACTGAAAAACCTGCATTCAATTTAACAGATGTTCGCATCCGTTTAACTGGTTCCAACGTGACATACGCTGGACGTGTTGAAATTTTTTCGTATGGAGTCTGGGGACGTATCGATGGATCTTTGTCTTGGGATAGAACAGAGGCTGAAGTGGTATGCAGGCAGCTTGGTTTCCCAGGTATCGTCACGGCCTTGAAATATTCACCGTTTGGAGAAGGGTCTGGACCAGTCCTGATGTCTTACGTACGTTGCACAGGAAGTGAGAAGACTTTACAACAGTGTCAGTACCGAAACTGGCTTGAGAGTGATGTCTATGAAAACAGAGAAGTGGGAGTGATATGCAAGACCCATGAGCTTGATACTGATGTCCGCGGTAAGTATCTGAATTTAAATTTCAAGGCATCCAGAGAGGATTTCATGCTTGCTTTGGGTCATTTTTTGCACATGCTTTTTTAGTGATAAAAAGTGTACAATATAAGAAAGTCAAGCAAACTTCATGAATTAAAAATCCTAAGTGTTAAGATGTTGGTGAGTTTGGTCGTGGATAATATCGTACTCGGGTCATTTTATACCACTGAGCTGATGCATTGGCGACTAGTGTTGGTCATAGGTTTTAAATGAAGCATTCGAGGAAATTGCTTTGCCCGGCCACTCCTTTGATAGTGTTGGAGATCTGAGTCCAATCTTTAACATTTCCTACGGACTATCAACACAAATGAAATTTATCTTCTTCTGACTCGTGGATGCAAACGAATTTTCACAGACAGACTGTGGTTGAAGAAATTTCAGAAAAAGTTGGAAAAAATATCAAGCAATATGGAAGAGATTCGAACCCTGTACTCCCATACAGTTAAGTTTGTATAGCGGAAGACGTCACAACTACTTTTATCAAACTATGTGCCGATTAGGATTGGCAGCGTGCCTGTGGCCGATCAAAATTGAGTTAGTGACAATAATGCAAAATAACAGCTCTTTCCAAATGTTTTGAGCGCTGAGACGGAAACAGTTAATGCAAGATCTAAAGCGCTCGCCAGCTATTTTTTGTGTCATTTGTATTCACTTATTTCGTCCTGTATTTTTTCATACCTCTCCGTTAGTGTTTTTTGTTAAGTTTGATAACGTTTTCTTCGTCAATTATGCCTTCTTGCACGTTTCTCATACGGCACGTTATTTCGCAGTCCTCATGTATTTAAAGCCAGATTCTTTTACGCCAAAGTACCTCAAAGACTGGACATTACTATATAAGAATATGACACCAGATTATTTCTGTGAGGTGGGTTGTGCATTTCGAATTCGCTATTTTTGGGACTCTGCTCCCAGACTATAAGAGGTCTACACTTTCCAAGCGTTGGTCTTTTGTTCTAGCAACACTCAAAACGGCACTTTTAAAAATTGGTCGGCCAAGGCGGTTTATCAGTCTTAATCATTTAAAAATTATTGAGGTAACCAACTAATTGATTCCCTTGCAAGAAAACTGATAGCCTTGTTCATTTTATTTTCTCGAGATACATTGTTGTTTTATTTATTCGTTTTAGATATTTCAATTCGCCTTCAGGGATCCTCAATTCCTAATGCTGGTCGAGTAGAAGTGATGTACGCAGGAATTTGGGGAGCAATCAGTAGAACCAACTGGGATATAAACGACGCCACAGTGGTGTGTCGCCAGCTTGGTTACCAAGCTGGTGCAGAAGTAGCTTTAGCAAACGGTGTTTATGGACCGGTCAGCGGTCCTGTGTGGATTACTAATCTTCGATGCTCTGGAAGTGAAGCTGACGTAATGAGCTGCTTTCATGATGGGATTGGTAACAAGTCTGAATCACAAAATACAAGGAGCGTTGCTAGTGTCATATGCAAGAATTTGTTCCACGCGAATGGTGAGCGTTTTGTAGCTTCGTTTCATTTTTTAAGATACCCTGAATAGCTTTGTTAGGTTTATGCGCTGTTAACGTATACAAATTGCCCTAACAATGCTTTTCAAGCTTACTTAACATAACTTGTTTACAGCATAAAAGTCGAGGTCTGTGAACAAAACTTTTGGTAGACTTCTTCTACTAACGGCGGATAGGCGTTTTGAGAGCTCTAATCGGGCACGGAAACCCTAAACTTGAAGGTTGCCTCTCGATATACTGGTGCTGAAAAATTTGTTTCTATGATTTTATACCGATACAATTTGAATTGATTAGTTATAACTAATGTCAGTGGGCCAAATTCCCACAATAAGTTTCGCCCTTGGAGTTCCTTAGACTCTTATGCAAATATGCCGGCAGCCATTTAAGCTTTGAAGCCTCACGTGATCCCTAATTGTATGCCAATGAGAGATAGAGTTTTAAAATCAAGCGAGACTTTCCTTTACGCTTATTATTTGCCGTGACATTCCCATTCCAAAGATAGAATCTCAATCGACATTGACTTAGAGTAAAGTTTGATTTTATGATTGTACGGGACACCTCAGTATGACTGGATCGACAACTCCCTAAAATGGATACCAGGAGTTGCTCTTTGCCCTGTATAAAATATTTCAATTAACCTGTTTTCTTAATGATATTATCTCTCCCACAAATAAAGGACAGACAGCTTTTCACTCTCTGCAAGAGAAATGCCAACCAAAGATGATGGTATATGTAACGTGCCAACCTTCAAATAAGGGCGACTATACTTCACGGTCAATATAACTTTTCTTATTTCATTCGTTTACACCTAGAAATGCCAGTTAGGTTACGGGGATCTACTTCACCAAATATGGGACGAGTGGAGGTTTATTACGCAGGAATTTGGGGTTCAATTTATAGCTCCAACTGGGATATCAAAGACGCTACGGTTGTCTGCAAGCAGCTAGGATACACCACAGCATTACTGGCAGGAAGTCGATTATTTTGCTCTGTTACTGTGCCATTTTTTTTTCGAGACTTCAGGTGTCATGGAAATGAATCAGCGATAGGTCGATGTGCTCGGGATTTCTTTGACTCCACCTGGTCAAGTTCTTACTGTGCAAATGTTTTGTGCAGCGATAGCACGGCTGACTCAGGTGAATAATAATTTTGCACACACTCATATAGGGATGTAAAATTAACACTAGAAAAATGCATCTATGGAAATAAGATATTTATACTTCGTATTGTAAGCCCTGTGGCGTATACTCTGTACCTTTGTGATGTCGTTGTCTGAAGGAATATGAAGTCACTCCACTCATGAGTCGAGACGTTGCGAGCGCATGCCGTTAGTCCTCCTCAAGCAGTGATATTTATGGTGCATTTGGATGAAATGTTCCATCAGGAATACGCTGTTGCACGGCTTTCCCACTGCTGTATTTTTTTACGTCAAAAAATTCCTCCCTCCGCAGAGATTTCTACCCCACCGTCCTTGTTAATGCTGTTAGGGTGAAGTCTTATGTGCATGCCATCTTTCCTTCTGCATTAGAAACAATTTTGATCAAGATAAAAAAGATTTTACGTTGTTCCAGAGCTAACAGGATCTCTTGTCAGAGCAGTTCAGTTTACAGTACCGAGACCGGAGGACCTGCACAAGAGTAAATCAAAGAGCATGACAGAGATCTCCAACTCGTTAAGACACTAACCTCCGCCGTTTCATAGCACCACCACAGCACCAACGTTTCCCCCTCTAGAACAAAGTAAAGTTTATTTAACATGACCCCTATCAACACCGACAGTTAAATATATTTTTTACATCTCTTTAAGGATTTGATGTAAGGCTTACAAATTCAGCTGTTAGGCACGCTGGTAGAGTAGAGCTTCGAATTCATGGGATTTGGGGGACTCTTAAGTTGGTTCCATGGTCATGGTATTACCACTATTACAATTTCCGTTTTGCTGGAGTGATATGCAGACAGTTAAACTTCTCTGACAGTATCCTTGCAGTTAGCTGGGCTGCGTTTGGACCGGGAACAGGCCCTCATTGGTATGACACCAGGGATATACAATGCCTTGGAGACGAGAGTAGTTTGCAAAATTGCACTTATCACAACCAGCCTCAATTAAGGACTGGAGATCATGACTATGATCTCAGTGTTATTTGCAAACCAAATAATGCACAAGCCAATGGTGAGTTATTAACTTATTTCTGGGCAGTTATAACAGTTTCGGCTAAAAGCTAACACAAACAATCAAATCATTTGCTGACTCAGGCATAGAAAAATTGTTTAAAGGATAATGTACAAAAAACTGAATCCCAGTCCATGGGTTACCATGATGCACTGCCCAAATCGACTAGCCCTACAAGATTCTACTTCGGACGAGTATCATTGGAGGAATTGCTTTTGACATACTTACTTTGCACGCGTGTTCTTTACTTTTATCCGCAGGGCCTCTTGCCGCTATTTTGAATAGTTATACTAAATGAACAAACGATGAACGCAAAAAACGTACACTCAAATAAAAGACGCCTTCTGGGGACAGGTGGTTTTATTTTTTCCGCCGTTGCCACGTGACCCGCAATTTTCTTACAACCGAGCTATGGATCACAGCAAAGAGGAGATCACTGTTCCTCCATCGACTCCATAAAAATTACAAGATCTAATTTTTGCTTTCAGATATTAAAAGTACTATTTGATCTAATTCAAGACCCCACAGTCGGCTGAAGAAATTGCAGCAATAATGAAAGTAGAAGCAGACGCTACAGCGCACTTAGTGGAATTGTCAATCATTCTCCACTTATTCGCAAAGATAATGTGAAAATGCATTGAAATTGGCATTAGGAACCAATTACAAATAAATCACAAGCTAAACTTACCGAACGACGCCCCCTCACTGCCTTTCCGATGTTGTTATTTACTGATGTGTCCAGACCAATATTGAAAGGGGTAAGGGAGGCAGTAAGTGTTCCAACAAATGTGTATGGCAGTGTCGCTCGTTAAATGTCATACAGAAAACGTGTCAACCATATCACCAAGGAGATTCAGTAGATCTAAGAGTTATATCCGTCTAGGTAGTCCATCGAAGTAGTCCATGGACTGAGCTATTGGTGTTTTGTTCATCAACTGACTTGTGCATAAGAACTATAAATATGATATCGTATCAAATTTTTCAGGGGTTTGGCTTTTCGAAACCACGAAAGTATTTCTCAACATTACCTTATTCAGGAAAATCCTGGCTTTCGTTTACTTTCGACACATTCAAGTATATTGCATATGCGAACTGTAAACTAGTTTCGTCCACGACGACTTCGTCAGTTGATACAATATTCTAACGAATGCATAATTTCTGCAGCAATATACTACACGTAATCACTCGATAGCGCGTATTTAGGAAAGAAAGAAAGAAAGCCCTTAATAGCATTGTTTCTTTAATTTTTTTCTATCTTTTTCTTCCTTTCTTTCTTCCGTCCTTATTTTCTCTACTGCTCAAGTAGTGTTCATTGCTGCTAAGATCGCTTTCATATCGACGTCTTTATCCGCAGTTCACAAATATGATTTTCATATACTCACAGTCATTTATTCATCACTTTATGGGTTTATTTGGAACCGACATAATGACCAGCTCCCTGTTGGCTTGTCAGTTCAGTTGGTAGAGCGCTGCACCGGTATCGCAAAGGTCATGGCTTCAAATCCCGCACAGGCCTGAATTTTTTTAAGCCTCATTTTCACTGCTGCTCAAGTAGCGTTCATTACTGCGAAGATCGCTTTGATTTTCAAGACGTCATTCCATTCGTATTTGGAGTTGATCAGTTGAGAGAAAATTGACAACTCCCAAAGCGAATGGTTAAGAACATAAGAAGAGAAAAAGGAAAAAGGCGAAAAAATGATTTTCTGATTTTCCCTGAATAAGGTAATAAATGTTATTAAAGTTATTGAAATTGTGCGTGAAGATTTTTGCATTCATTTCCCTAAACAATTGTTATTGGCTTCTAGGAACCCTTCTTTGAAGGAGGATACTTCACAAGAAGTTTTGTTTGTAGGCTTATTTTTGCATCTTAGCCAAAATGGCTTTGAAATTCCGACTTTATAAGGGAAGATTAAAGCTGAAATGATTAAAAGTATCCTTGATTTCAACAATGTTTTTCAGATTTCAAGGTTCGCTTGACGGGATCCAATCTAACTTTTGCCGGTACAATCGAGGTGATGTATTATGGAGTCTGGGGAGGAGTATTTGGCCGTGGTTCTATTGATATTAATGCAGGCCATGTGGTGTGTCGTCAGCTGGGATATCCAGGCGCTGATAAAATTTTCCGATACACAGCTTTCGAACGATTAAAGGTCCATTGTGGATATGGAGGATACATTGTAATGGGAATGAATCGAACATCTCAGACTGTGTAGTGACGACGTGGGAAAACCAATGGATTAATGGATATTACCAACGTCCACGTTTTGCAGCCGGAGTATCATGCAGACAGGCAAATTTCAACTCATCTCAAAGTAAGTCAAAATTGGCTGTTCAATTAAGTGATAAAACCAATTTTGAAAGACCCTTTTTCGTGTTTAAGTCTCAACGTACTCGAGAAACCCATCGGAGGACATTTTCAACTGCCAATTCACAGATAGAAGCAACAGTAATGACAAGATATTTGGTGCTCTACTCTTTCATTTTTACGGTTTTAATGTTATTTCGGTAACTACTTGTTTTGCTGCCTATACTGCTTGTAAAATGAATATAAAGATTTCCAATGTAGACATACAGTAAAGATTCTTTTGCTAAAAATTGCTAAGCATAAAATAATATGGATAAATTTTTTTTTAGAGGGCACGATAACGAATCCTGTAATCTGATTGGTTATTTACCCGGTCAGTATTTTCCTATCTCTGCCCGCGGGCCACGGTAACGCTTTATTGAGTCGCCGAGTACATCGCTACTTTCGTTACCATTTTTCATAAATATATCTCGTTTTTCCAGCTGGGCAGTATTTTGAAGCAAAGACGTCGGTCACTACCCCAAGCCGATAAATAACTTATGAATCCTCTTTTTTCTCCCTCTCAAATCACTTTGGCTGACAGACAAATATTGGTTTCAGAATGAATTTATATAAGCAATAGTGTCCTTATGTTAGTTGACAAGCGACCTAAAAACCATCTGCAATTAATTTTGATCGTTCACAAAAAGTAGAAAGTAAAAACGTGAGGTATTTGGTTACAGTTGAACTAATCGAACTTCACTCATTTAATATCTGGATTATCTCAAACAATTTGGTCGTAGTGAAAGAGCGAGCGAAGTTTTAATTTCAGCTCCACAAGAAATATACGCTCTCGGTGAGTCTTTGTAAGTCCGTTCAGTTTGGACATTTTTACCGTAAATTGCACAACAGAAACTGAAGGAATTCAGTGAGAAAAGGCCGCATTAAATCTCCTTGTAACTCGTTGGAGTGTATCATTCGAATTTAGTTTTTGTAGGGGAAAGACCAGATTTACACACGCCATTGCAGCAAACAAACGAGCAAACTCTCACAACTTCAAAATAAAAAAAATTGAATTTACCCACAATTACTTTCCTCGCCTTTTACTTAATGAACAGAGGTAAATCTTCGTACATGAATTAATCTTCGATGGGAGTTAGAAATACTTTCCGTTAGATCATTGACTGTTTTTGAGGAGACCATTGTCGTGACAGTCCTTGCCAAACTAGACCCTGTGAGCAGGCTAACTGGGATACCTGGATGATACTGGATCCTTGCGGGAATCAAGTGTAGTGATACTACGAGTGTCGGACTAGTATATTGAAATAGTGAGCTCAAGTCTGGCCAAGGGCATACATTTATTTCAAAACATAGCCATGCTATGCATGCAAGAGTTATTTTTTGTAGGGTGGGCATATCTCTTGAAACATTGTAAGTGGTCTACATTCTTACAAAAGGAAAGAAGAGTATTATCGCGGAAAAGAACGAAAATGTCGAATTACCTCACACACAGATACTTTGTGGTAGATTATGTGTGTTGTGCGAATAAATGTAACCAAAAATAAACTGTACTGGTGCCACGGATACCTGTTAGTACAAAATGCAGACAGCAGACTGCAGACCGAATACAAAATATAGACTGCAGACTGCACAGTGGGTACAAAAACTGAGAATCTGAAGAGTTTGTACGTCTGGTATATAATATGTCATCTTGCAGTTTGCCGAGTGTCACGCAATTGCTTTTCCGCGATCAACCTTCACGATTATTTGCACTATTGTGGAAAATTCCTGGCTCATTTCTTGATGAAAATCGATCGTAATATAATTTAAAGCCTTCAGTAGAGTCTTCTTACTTTGCGCGTGAGTTGGTTGGTGTGATGTCTGTGCAGATTTTACCAACGTAATAAAAGTAGATGATGTGAATAACAGTAATGGTAACGCAAGCTTCAAACGGCAGAAATCGCCAGAAACTACAATGGATAAATAGGGTATGAGTAATTTTTATTGATTTTACGAGAAAAATGTTCATATTTCGAAATAGTTATCGTTGTAAATCGACCATATTTCGTCCCCTATACTATTCCTTATAACGTGTTCAAATTTTCAACGGATCCTCTCGTAACTTAACACCGAGTTACACAACGCGTTACGTGTTCATGAATTAATCGTTGGCTTTTTCTCGAGACTTGAGCTTGGGAGGCCTGTGACAAGGCAATTGTGTAAACAATACTCAACATAATAACATTATACACAAAAAACACAGGATTTTGGATCATGTATTTATTAAAAAAGAATATCCCTACAACTACAATGAAAACAAACATAAGATTCACCTTTCTTATCGTGAAATTAATACCATTCGCACTGTTATTGCAGCTACGTTCCCTGGCATCAAGTGAATCCAACATGGCGTCTTTCTTCACAAGCAGTTTGCATCCATTAGAGTTTGGTTCTTCAGTCTCACAGTAGTAGTGTTGTTCAATAGATTGCATAGAGTATATGCAGTTTGGTTTCAGATTTCAGATTTTGCTTTTTACAACAAGTGTACGTTTTTTTAACTAAGACATTGGCATACAAGGCATACAAGGCATTCAAGGCTTTCATGGCTTTAAAGCGTTCGCGACTCAATCCGTTCCAAAATTATCGCTCAAAAACATCTTTTAGTGTGGATTGGCCGCGAACAATACGACTTGTGTATGCGTCTGTAAGTATTTTGAGCGTTTGCGCCATAATGCTCCAAGTGATCGTAGTCCAAACACGTTGAAATACAAAACGTCTGACCAAAGAGTTTTATAAGCAAAAATCTCGTGGTTGGTCATGTGACCCGGCCCTGTCCGTGCATGACAACGTCAATCGTCATCAAGATAACACGCGTGATCAGCATGTGAACACCTCATTGGATCACAGTTAGTGGTCATGGTGTTGAGGGCCCAATGACCTCTGGGTACTATTGCGCAATTTTGCCATTTTGTGACGGAGGAAAAAAAAAAAAAAGGCAAAAAAACAAAGGTATTTTATGACTGGGCTACCACAGGTTTCCCAGTAACTAGTTTCGTTGTTTTTCCAAGATGAACTGTGCTTTTTCTTTCTTGCGCGTTCTTTAATTGACAGGTGTCAGATTGTGACAGATACTTGTAAAACTAATGTTTCAAAGTTTGTTTTGAAGCCTTTTAAATCACCTTTATCAATACGCAAATGAAAATGTTGCGGTGAGGCATCTCTCTTTCATTTTCATCACCCCTATTTTAACTACCATTTACTCGCTCAAAAACTGTTTGGTTTATGGAAGATCTTGCCGTATTTACAGCCCTAAATCATTCGGGTTCTTTCGGAAAGACTTTCGTTAAGTTTAAAAAAAGAAAAATATGTTATTTACCGGCTAGGGGTCCTCGGTAACAGTTTTTTACCATACGGACCTCCAAGCCGGCAAATAACATATATATATTTATATATAAGAGTCACAATATCAATTCCTCAAAGTAAAAGTTCCGGAATCTGAAAATTAAGTTTTGATCTACTATTCTTAAAATTTGTTTTAAAAACTTTGGTAGATTGAGTTCTTCAGGATTTCTGTCGATTGCTGAACATTTGTACTTACCTATATACTTGTATACGTACCGGCCGTAGAACCTACATACACTGCGTCGTACAGATTTCTTTTCAATTCTTCAACGAAGCATTGGCTGATAACATTTACGGGGAGGAAGGTGCAAAAAATGACGGTAATTTGATTGGGCTGTCTAAGACGCACGAGTTCCAAACCGCCAGCAGCTGTCTGCTGTACGAAAAAAACTACCAACCAGCAAAATAGCTTAATGAAAAACATCAAGTCATACCTAGGCAGAAAACTAACTCGATAGCGGTAGGATTTCACGTAAATGTGATATTCACTGACTTAACAATTTTGTGAGAAATTTTTCTGCAATAGTTTTCGTGTCGCGATAAAAACTAGACAAAAATGTGATTAGTAAACATAACAAACATAATCTACAACGAATAAAAGAAAAATCTTAATCCAAGGAAAATTTTAATCGCAGCTTTTACCTTACCGACAGATTAAGAACCCGCTCTGCCATAATAACTTACGTATTTTTTTCAGTGTCGAATGTGAGGCTCGTTGGTTCTCCAATTAGTAATGCTGGACGAGTAGAAGTGTTTTACTTGGGAGACTGGGGGACAGTAAATAACTGGGGATGGGACCTCAATGCTGCTCACGTGGTATGCCGCCAGCTGGGGTACCCTGCGAGCCTTTCATCTGGTTATAATAATCAGTTTGGTTCGAGCACAGGGCCGGAATGGTTCAGGAACGTGAGATGTTTTGGCAACGAGACCAATCTTGGAGAATGTACAAAAGATGTGTATGGTTATATTTCCAGTGGATCAAGTACTATAACAGTATTGTGCAAGTTACCATATCAAGCAGGTGACCTATCTACTTTTTGGATACACGCTTGTGTTGATACGTTTTCACAAAATGATCTCCCAGAACCTAATTTAAATTTGCATTAAGACAGTCGTATTCCAATAATGTACCCAGCCTTACTTTTCCCTCGACATAAGTGAGGCAAAGGAATGCAAAAACACGCGAAACACAAAGGACGAGTGGGGATTAAGGCATAAAAAACAGGAACAAAGCAAAAAAGAAAAAAAAGGAAAAAATGCGGGGATGGAGTGGGCTGTACAAAATTTTTGGTTTTCCCTTTTCTGGATTTTCGCTCTTTTTCTTCCTAGAATAATAGTGGTCCAATCTTATTTCTCATTCACACCATTCCATCCACGTAAAAGGGAATAAATGAATAAATAAGTAAATGAAATGAGCTATTATATTTTGGGAGGTGGGGGTGATCTAAAGAATAAGTTTCCTTTATAATGAAACAGTAATTTTCCGACACTTTTACAAAGAAATAAGTTGTTTAATTTATTGTCTAAAGCAGCTTCTCATTCCCTCTTTTAAAAAGCAAAGTTGAGATCTCTAAGAATATTTTTTCCTTCCTGCATTTATTTGCCCAGATATCTCTTCAAAATGCTTGGAGGTCAAATGTCAACACCAAGGAACCTGCATTGACACTGGAGGTGGTGCTATTTGCAACTGCACAGAAGGATTCACAGGAATCCATTGTGAAAAATGTGAGTGAAACAACTTTTTTCAATACTTTTGTACGTATATGTGAAAGATAACCACCAGCCAGCGAATTGTGTTTGGACTGACAAAAATTTATTAGACGGGTCTATATTCGCATATCGTACCTTGTCAAAGGAAAAAAAGATGCTTACAGAAGATCAGATTCCCTTTGTTGGATTTATGCATCAAACATAACTGTAAGTAACGCTCCCATCTTGAAGGGGAATACTACCTTGTAGTTCAAAACTTTGATTTTGAAAAATTACGAACGGTTAGGCGTGATCTTTTCAGAGCTCACCGCACGCCAGATGCAAAGGAAATCCATTCCACCCGCCTTTCTCTGCTACCTTGTTTAGGCATAAGAAGCTTACTTTTTTCCATTAATCGGTTCAAGAATCTGATTTGTATATTTTTCTTTCCTGGCAGTCTTAATATGCGAAAAGTAGCATAATCTCAGGAGGTGACTGTACGAACTGATTTTATCACTTTCATACCATACAGACCAAAATGATCACTTCAGTATCTTTTTTGGCTTGTCTTATTCCTGTAGCAATATCTAATCCATGTCAGAGTTCTCCATGTATGAATGGTGGAAAGTGCTTCAGCAATGAATCTTCATATATCTGCTCGTGTCCCGTTGGGCTTTCGGGGCATCGTTGTGAGGAGCGAACTGCCATCAGTAACTTTATTTATATGTTCTTCCCTTGTTGCAAATCAATAGAGCTATTATTATGTCAAGTCTGGAGACGAGACGAAATTGTCGAACACGTTTTGATGATAATGAAAGCAAGGCTAAGAGATTTTTCCACTACCGCACTATAGCTTATGTTTTGTCATCAAAGTCACCAGATAAGCTTTTAAGGTCTTACGAGTATTTAAATCATTGTTTGAAAGTAAGCGTATTCATGTTGAGCCTAAGTATTAGAATAGAAACCCTTAGCTCTCATTGGTGGCCAAATAGTTTTTTAAGAGAACTGAGTTTCTTTTTCTTGTGTCTACTATGCAGCCATGAAGCCGTGCCAGAGCCACCCGTGCCCGAACAATGCATTTTGCCACGACAATGAAACTCATTTCTACTGTGTGTTTAATGAGGCAGAGCATTCAACATCACAGAGCGGTGGTGAGCTTTAGCTTTTTTGTGTGTTCTGTTGTCTATTTCTTCTCAAACTCATCATTGATTTATTAAGCTGTCTCAAGGAAAATTTTAAACGTGACAATGGTAAGATACAAGATACATTAAAATAATTTGCTTCTTCGATTGATGAAGTGTATCAAACGCACGAACTGTGTATTGTTACATTTCGAAACACCTCGAAATTTGTTAAAAATAAACGTCATCTGGGACGCATTGGATGTGTCCTTTCTCATGAAGTTGACCTTGAAATTGTTTTTTCTCTACAGATGGGTCCTTGCAAAAACAGAACGGAAGTACAACCTCCAAGACTACGTTTCTTGTAACATTATCAATTCTCGCGTCTCTTGTGTTCCTTCTTATTGCTGCAGTTGTTTACCTTAGCTTCCAAAATCGGAAGCTTTCTAAACTTAAACCTAGAGACCAACAGGCAACCTTTAGCAATATGGCCTACAGAAGTGATAAAGAGGAAACCTACTACAGTGACGAAATCGACCTGGGAACAGGAACAAATCACAGTTCTATGCCAACGAGGGACAACACTAACCATTTATATGAAATAGCTCCCACTTTCCATGAAACAGCCACCTCTCGAGCTCTTCCACCAATTCCACCACCACATAGGGCGGAAAGAATGAATCCGCAAGCTGCTCGTAAGAAAGCCAACCGGGGAAATGACGGTTTAAAAGCGATAGCCGTGGAAGGGTCAAAGAGGGCCACGACAGGGGCCGGAGAGCATTACATGGCTTTATCAAAGGAGAACAGCAGCACTGCCTCACGTAATATCTCAGCTGATGGAGGACCGAATCCCAACGAATACATGTCTCTGTCACCAAACAGGCACGGAGATATTTCTCATTCTTAAAGTCCTCAAGCGTCTCACTTCTAAAGGTCGATTAACATTACAAAGATAGAAAAAGGCGGAGGGATCTGAAAAAAGGAGAGTCAGAAAAATTTGCTTTATTCTAAGGGCAAACTAGTATTGTACTGCACAATTTGTTCACCTGGGTACCCACGCGTGTCTATTCCTTCAAACAAAGCATTATTCCAGGAAAACCAAATATGTAGCGTCCAAAAAGCACTTGGTATGGTCGAAGGCCTAGTTTGAATTCATTAGAGCACGGAGAGAGAAGTTAGTAGTGCGAACTCTCTCTTATTACGCTTTCTCGAGCGATACGCTTTTTTACATCGGCCCTGCTTAACGTATTAAACGCCTTTTGTGTCTCTTAGTATGCATATACCATTATTAGTAGTGATGCCTAAGTTCAAAGTCTTCCGGCGCAAATGGGAAAACTTCTTGAGGTTTCAGGGATTTGAATTGTCCAAACCTCGCGGTAGCTTTCTATCTCCTAAATTTCTTCAATCCGTGGGGCTAATATTACTTCCCAAGTAAACACCGAGTGCAGATGACAGCCCGGTTTTGTCTTGTAATCATTAGGGGTTTAGATTTCATTGGCAAACTTTTCAGAGTGAATGAAAGGTTAAGTAGGCAGCATCTTTCAAGAAAGTAGTAGAGGATCTAAAGTAATCCAGGACTGCACTATTTTTGCATAATTCTGCTTTATAATTGATGTCACGCCGTCCTCTCGACCAATCAGATTCAAATCTAAAATCAATCCTGACTTGGTTGATTTTTCCACTCTTGTGGCAGAGTAATTAAAGTACTTTGAGCTCTGATTGGCTCTTATGGTATGTTTTGGTTCTATTAGCTTGTTGTGGTTTCATTTATCTTTGTAATAGGACACTCAATTAAAAAGAGCTTTTTTGTGTATTTCTTCTACCCAAACTGATATTATCTATCTAGATAAGACAGTTTTGAACGTCCCAAAATATTATTACCACTCAAGGTATTATGAAGAAGTTTTTAAATCAAACACTTCATTTTACACCAAGGTGAAAAAAAGTTTAACACTAAGTTTCTGCATGTGTTTCTTGTTGGTTAATGTTGGTGTATCTACATGGACTGACAGATTAGTGAACGAAGTGCGCAAACTTACAGCATCAGCTACCTTTTTCAATCTCGTTCCGAGAGGTCCCCCTCCCCTCATCCACTTTCGAGCAGGGCTCGATAACACCCACCAAGATTGGTTTCGCTAAGAAATTGGAAAAAAACCACTGTACATCTCAGTTCCAAAGAAAAACTTTCGTGGGTACATATGCTGATAATCACGAGTGACACACACATTCAGCTTGTTTACGATTTCAGTGATTTTGTATCCAAGATAGTTTTGTTAAGACTATCCAGTTAATAGTTAACATATAAATTTTATTTCCATTTCATATTAAAGCCGTTGTTTGTGATCTCGCGAAATAGTAGACAGGCCAAGCGTGACAAATTTCCATTCAGCTGAAACACAGGAAAACAAACTGGGTTAATTGTTTTATTAACCGAGTTGATAATTAATTAATTAATTGGCCACGCTAACGAGCTTCTAAAGCTAACGCTTTGAGCACTGGCCGTTCGGGCGTCGGTTTTGGGTGTTAGCCCTTTAGGCGTTAGTTTCGAGTGTCAGCCCTTTCGGCGTCAGTTTCGAGTGTTGGCCCTTTAGGCTTTAGTTAAGTGTGCGATGTGGGACTCAGAGGGTCTTAGAGCGCACAAAGTCCTGTAGTAAACCGGAATAGACCCAGAGCACAAGATCGTTTTATCTCAGATCTTAGCGCATAAAAGTAAATCATTAGTTTTTCTCATATCGACTGAAAAACTTAAATTAAATTCAACCGATTTTCAAATCCGTTTATCTGAGCTCAACGTGACCTATGCTGGGCGTGTTGAGAATTGTTCTCATGGAGTCTGGGGACGCATCACTGGACCTTGGGAAAAAACGAAGGCTGAAGTGGTATGCAGACAGCTTGGCGTCCCAGGTAACGTCACGGCCTTGAAATATCCTCCGTTTTGGAGAAGGGTCTGGACCGGTCTACATGTTTAACGTTCGTTGTACAGGAAAAGAGGAGACTTTCCAACAAGGTCTGTACAATGAATGTCTATAAAAGCCAAGAAGTGGGTGTGATATGCAAGACACATGAGCCCGATATTGACGTCCACGGTAAGTGCTAGATGTTCTGAAATAAATTTCCGACGTTCTGAGGAATAGAATTTTTATGCTTGCTTTGCGTCGCTGCGCACTTTTTTTTTTTTTGTTAATGAAGGGATTTAAGAAAGTTAAGCTAAGTTTATGAAGTAAAAAATCTCTATGTATCAAGATCTTGTTTTTGAAGTTTGGTCGTGGATCATATCTTCCTCAGATCGCATTTGTATGATTGACACATGTCCTACCAACTATTAACACAAATGTATTAAATGTATCTTCTTCTGACTCGTAAATGCTGACAGAGAACTTTAGGTTTCGACGGGTTTTGAACCCATACTTCCAGCTTATTTGGCTATGGAAGTCACAACTATGTGCCGATTGGATTTCAGCCAATTGGATGTGAGATACTGACAGTAATGTCTAACATCAATATACAATAGCGTGTGAACTCGACCTGATAACCCAGAGAAAGAAAATTTGCAATTCAAAACTATATCAAGTGCAATGACCTAAAAGACAGTTTGCGATGACCTTTTCGTCTGGTAGAATGCAACACTTTGAAGGAGGAAAATGTCAACTCCCTGTTGTTACACTTTAGTACACTTTCTAAAGCAATGCATATTTGTATAGGCCCTGTTTAATGCATACAGGTGCCATACGTGTTTTGCGTCCTCCAGTATATACACAAGTTATGCAACGCTTTCGAGTGGTATACCATGGAATATCCAACCGGTCACATAATAGGACACTCAATTAGATGTATGTTTAGTGCAATAATGTCTTTTTATTAATTTTGATTTGACTGACTGTTCTACTATTAAGTTTAAGTCTTACTTCATGAAAACTCTAAAAAACTGGACTTCGATCACAACCGCGAAGAGCAGTAAGGAAATTGTCTCGGTGATAAGGATTTTATAGTTGAACTACTCTTTCGACTGGAATACGTGAGAAGGGAGCAAATGCACCTGTCGTTTTCTGCTGCCATGTTCTCTTCCGGAGCAGAATTTAAGTTTAAATTTACAAAATTCTTATTCCAGCTGGAAAAACGGGAAATTTTCAGCTCTCTTATAGATAGTTTGCCTGTGACTTCAAGCCGGACATAATATATTACTGGCAATGCAGAACCATAAAAATCGGCGCTATATTAGTGGTGCAAACCTATGCTCCAGAAGATTAGTCTTTTCTTTTACTCCCACCAACAAATTTGGCCGCTGGTTACGTGAGTCAAACCCTTTATACATTTCTTGGCCTGAAATTTTGCCGTTTTCCCGTAAGTTTTTGGTACTTTTGACAAACCATATTCACTTAACAAAAGTTTAGGTTGCGCTCTATTGCATTGACAGACAGTAAACCGTCTATTCGTATTGAAGGCAATTCAATAATTTTACACCGTAAACTGTTTTCACCGTCATCCACACAGTCATGCAAGGTTATTACCTCGCAACTTTAACCAAGTCAATCAAAGTGCTTTTATTTTCAAACACCAATCCTTCAATGGATTGTCGCTTCCACACTTTATTTACTAAGCATTTCTGATACCATTTTTAAGGAATGACTCGAAAACTTCGGTTTTTTCGATCAACTTTTGAATTGATTGTTGGAAAATTAAGTAAAGGAATCTATTTGAACCTCCGTAAAAGGGGTTAAAAAACTTCCAGTTATTGTCTCAGGTCAACCTGCCTCAGCTGTAATGTCCTCCGGTGTTCAAAACTTGGTCGAACTTTCTATTGAGATGTTTTCCAAGCTCATCTACCTCCTTTAATCCTTCTAAAGTTTCTTTTATCTTCCTCCGAAGGGCTGGCCCCTTTGCAGACGAGTCGTTCATCAGCATGCATTCTTTATTCCATCCATTAAAGACGTCTTCGATTCTTCTGAAATTCATCCTCACGTTGTCCAACATGTCGTCCCGGACTCGTCGAAACTTGGTTTCAGCGTATTCCAGATCATGAAAAACTGCAGCTTTCTCATTTTCTTGTCTAGAAACTATTCCATGTGAACTGGTGGAAGTCATTCTGTCCCACATAACTGGCATTGTTAACCTACTAACGCCTCCACCGGGCCGCATCTAAAAATTATGGGTGAAAAAGATGAGATGGGTTGTTAATGGTCCATTCTCGTGATCCAGTTAAACTGATCATTGAATAGACGTGTCAATAAAGTGATTTAGATGGGCTGAGAGTTGCGCATGTCCTTTATAGAGCTCAGCTTAGAGTGATGCCTGGTAGTGCCCATTAGTAGTGTTGCCAAGCAGATCGACCTCAACAAAGATCAGGATAGGATCAGGTTTCCATCAAAATACCACCAACAATGCAATATGCCACGATGCCCGTGTATCATATGTGATGATTAGCCTGTGAATTTTAGGCTATTATCAGCTATGAGAAGTAAGAGCCACTCTTTTAAAAGTTAAAACTAACCTTAGCTGACACTGTTACTCCTTTGTGTCCCATACTAACGAATGGAAACAACAGTGATTCCTTATCGTCAAAATTGGTTGAAATGGTCACTTGAGTGATCTGTTTGCCATTTAGAGTAAACAAAATAGGGACCTCTCCACTTTCAGCCATTTCAAACATCACCATGCAACCAATCACATCGCCTCGATCAGCCATAGCATCTGAAATGAAAATAACTACTTCAAGGCTGAGTACAGTTAAAGAACTAAAACTACTTTGAGCCCGGCGATAATTGACAAGGAACAATAGTTATGCCCAAATAAACTGTTGATTTGCATCAGTCCAATGTCATCCACTTAAAGGAAAAAAGAAATATATTTCAAGCATATCATCATCATTATTATCATCATGATCATCATTTTATTTGCCTTTGTGACAATGCAAAAAAATTAATGATCAGCATTACAATTAGAAGGCGAGGAGACCTCATGAAGCCTCTGGGCTTGTGGGAAAGGCCACCACTCACAGTAATATATAAAAAAAAAATAAGAGCTGTGAATGTGCCGCTTGGCTAATTCAGTGATTTTTTGAGTAAAAACTATCGCATCTTCGTCATAAAACTAAGAAGACTTGTAGAGTCACTGAAACAGGAAGAGAGTTCCAAATTTTAGGACCTCGGTAAAGAATTGTAAATTGCTTGAGATTAGTACGGCACAAATGCGTTTGATAATTACTTGCTCTTCTGGTACAGTAGCGATGAATTTGGCCATTTATTACAAAAAGATTTAGAAGCAATGTGGGGAATAGGTAATTATGATAATCAAACATGAATTTTGTAATTTCAAAGGTATTAACTCGGACAATATCTTTATTCCCTATAGTTTGGAGAATAAAGGAGCGGAATAGGCTCGATAGTCTGAAATGGTGATAGCCCGCCCAGCTCGCTTTTGCAAATATTACATTCTTTACGATTCGTATGTGATACATATTTGTCTTGTGCACCTTCAATTTCAATGATTGAGTTTGCGGTAAAAGCGTCGAAAATATTTCCGTTGATATGGTACCCGATACATTCGTTAGTCCATCCTCGGCTCCGATTGACATGAGATTCGTAATTCTTTCCCGCCACTCCCATCTCTAGACTTCGACATTCTCCTGCTCCCAAAATGAGAACCTAAAAGTAGGAAAGAAAGGAACCAGAAAATAAAAACATCGTTTCACAACGTATTCGCATACGCTGTAAGGATAAGAATATAATGAGGATGAGAACAGGTAGTTTGATACGAAAATTATCCGGCATTGGCAATTACCACCTACTGAATGCTTGTAGCTAGTAGGTTAAATATTGAAGAACGTTTGATGACTTTTATTCGCTACTACTAGTAGTTCCGACAGAAGATCATTCTTAAAGCTTGAAAATGGAAATCTTTACGATAACAAGAACAATCGACTGATTTTTCTACCTGTTTAGGCCCAATAAGTCCCCTCGTGTGTTTCTGTCGGGTTATATTGGAAAAGGGTCGGTATAGTAAGTTAATTCCTTCCTCTACCCATTCATTTATCTATATATTGAGTCATTCATTTGTTTTCCGAAATTTTTCATGGAGGTTGATGTACCTTTTCGACTTCTCGTTAGCATGCAACTGATTTATTATTTTGATTAATTCAGACCAGTGTCATTTAACACTATGCCACTTTTTGCGACTTTAGAGGCAATTCTTTGAAAGCGTTAGCATAAAATGATTGGTTCAAATTGCGTTTGTATTGTCTTTTTGAACTCTCTTTCCTCTATCTGACCGAACTTCATAATATGAGTAAGATCAAGAAAGCACGTTCATATTGTTTTGGTATATTTCTTACCTCAAATCCAGGAAACTCTGTAGTGAAAGGAATAAGATATCTGGCACCATGATTCTTTTGTGAGGCTGTTGGGTGATCCTTGCATGTCTTGCAAACTTCCTCTCCCTCGTACATGAGAAGGCTATCCTCTATCCTTATGCCTTCACTCTTCCACGCCTATCATTCAAAGGAAAGAATTAAAAAACAGAAACAATACTGGTGAAGTTATTTTATTAATAAGAAGGAACTCTTTGTCCAGACTGAACTTAATCCGATTGGTAAATGGTTTTAAACTGTTTTCAATAGCGTCGGTGGCAATCCAGAATTGCTTTAGTTTTTCTTAACTATAGTTTGCTGAGTGATTGATTTATAAAACTCGCGCCACTTTATCAACTGATCAAAATCACAACTAAAATCGATCGTTACTTGATAACTTGCTTTCCTCCGCGCTCTAGGTAGTTTGCTTCTTTTAGCTCTGAATTCTTATTGTCTTTTTTGAAATTTTCTTCCCCTCTGATTGGCTGTTATTCTAACTTTGGCTTTGGTTTGAAAAGTGCCCTACGTAGGATAAGGATTATTTTCATCAACTACGTTTAAGTGAAAAATTTTTCTACTACAGTCGTTTATCGTTTGCCATACGATCGCAATACATTAAAAATCAAACAGGAACTATTTCGGAGCTAATGAAGCACCCACTTCGTAAATTAACGGAAAGAACCTCACCTTCGGACCCGTTGGTAAGACACATTTGTCGTACCCATTCGAAATAAAGGTGTTGTAAGCAACTTGATTCGTCATTGGTCGAAGGTTTCTAGTTTCCTGAAAGACTTGATCCATTTTATCTTGATCTGTTTTAAATGAGAAAGGCAAGAATATTCTCTTTCTAAGCAAAAGACAACGAAATATTTCAAAATAATTCCATAGCATCATCATTTCTACATATCTCGATTAATACTGGCTATGTTTGTATTTCAACTTAAAAAGAATTAAACAAGATTAAAAAAAGTAAATCAAAATTATTGTAACAGTTACCTGTGAGTGGAAATATGTACCCATAACTTGCAAAATATTTGGTCTGAAGATTTTTGACAACCAAATCTAACGACTCCCTCTGCAATTTGAGTGCAACAGCAAAAATCAGCTTCTCGTACTTTCATTAATCAGGAATTGAATAACAACAATTACAGTGATCCTATGTCACTGAGAAGTTTGGTTCGTGTGCCTCGTATGAAAGTATTAAAGCTTTACCTTAAGTTTTAGCATCTTCTCTTCCATTTGTGATATTCGGATTGATCTTGGTCGCTTCACAAGGTTGCGCTTTGAAAAGTTTGAAATAAACAATATAAAATAGATAAGAATATTTTTTTTAAAACGTCGTGCACTGCGAATGCTTGTTTGATATTATGAGCGTTATAGTTTCCTCGTTGATCTGAAGTCAAGTTGTTTCCTTTAACTAACATTATGATATCCTATACTATCCTCGAGAGTAAATTTAGCGATATTCCGACATTATGTCCTCTTAAAAAAGGATAATAATTCTATTTTTTTTCTGTTTTGTTTTGTTTCTTTTTATATCGATTTGCTTATTTGTTATTTTTCCTCTTCCCAGAAAAAAGAAAAAAGGAAAAGATGATCTGGAAGAGTTAGTATTCATTGGAAATTATGTGCTATTACTGCTTCATTCCAACTAAGATTGACTTCACTTTACAAATCATTTACATTTCCATCCTTTATGTCGATCTCTTGTTGTCTTTCTCGCCTCCACCTGAGGTAGAAGCAGAAACATTGGAAAGAGGAACGCAAACCCAACAGCAGACTTGAGACGAGGTTAAAAGGAACAGGAATGGGATCATATGAGCTGTACGTCTGAATTCTCATGGCTTTACGGAATGACCATTCTTTTAAGGAATTATCCTTTAAAATGAAAGAAGAATGTAAGTCGAAGTGAAGTCTATCTTCCTCTTTATTCAACTCGCTGATCTACCTGGTAAATAGATTATGAGCTCGAGATTTATTTGGCGTGATAGTTAATGAAGGCGAATCTAGAATCATGGAAATCAAGAGCAAATAATATCATTGGTTTCGTACAAATCTACCATTCGTTCAAAACTAAAAAACAAGCAGGCCATCAATTTTATTTTATTTTGCTTACATTCGTACGGTAAGGCGAGTTACTTTACTCGCTGTCTATCACGAATTAGATAGCGAGTAGCGTAGCCAATCAGTTTGCAGCATTTGTAATAGAACGCTATATAGTAAATTTCTCAAACCACCGATATTCAGTTTAGCCTGAGACACTTGTTCCCTCTCAGCCAATTTTTTCAAAGCTTCCATTTATGGCACGACTCCAAAGAGAATTTCAAGAAAGAACCAGAAATCAAGGAACTAAAACCATCTCTCAAGAAATACACCGAAATGTCGAGCAAAGAAAGCGAAGCGTATGGGAATGCAAAGCAATACGCGTCAAACACACGATCAGGTAAATCATTCCAAAATAAAAAGAAGTTATTACCTCAACTCGTTGATATGTGTTTGATAGAAGTGCTATCATCATATTCATAAGGAGAACAGCTCCCATGATCATAAAACCTCCATACAAAAAGCGAACCACAGTCACTGATAATTCGTCTGACGAGTCCAGTGGATCAAGCTCTACAATTCCCAACAAGGACCAACATAGATGCTTTGCTACAGTCCACCAACTACAACAATCAGAAATTTTAAATTTTAAGATTCACTTTGTAATCTATAGATATAAAACTGTAGTGCACAGTCCACATGTAAGCACCGGTGTGGTTCGATTGAGCATACATACGATTAACACACCCATCGTAAAAGAGTTGCAAATCAAGTTACCCAAACAAAACATACCAGGAAAGAACAGCTGCACTGCAAGCTCTATATGGCAAAAGATACAAAGAGGCTATTATAAGGATTGATTTGCTTCTAATGTACTCCAATAATTAGGAAAACAACTTTATTTTGTACCAGTCAATAACAATGATTTGATAACTTGCATTGGCTTGAGATTCTTCTCTGAGGTTTTTTTTTTGCGCTTTTTTTTCAAGCGATTTTTCCAAAAAATAATGGCAGGTTAATTCGGATTATTGTTTAGAGTCCGAAATTAGTTACCCGGGCTAGATATTGTCTCATACATTAAGGTTATCATGTCATTTTTAGTGAAAACAATCAATCATCTAATAAACCTTTTTCTGCTCAGGGGAAGTTTAAATGATTGACTCCGTTATCTCTCACTTACGCATTTTTGTCTTGGTCTTCCTTAACGAGGTAGGATTTTTCTGCAACGTATACTTTGGTTATAGCGATAGAAAATGCTAAAATCGCAGCGATAAACTGCCAAAATATGATCGCCACGTCTTTAAGAATGAAAAACAACGCGATTTGAATGGCGCCCACTCCTCTGGTAATTTCCATCACGAGACCAAAGGCTCGGAAAGTAAGGAACATGGTGTTGAGGCCGTAAAGATAACCAGTTATAACAAGGGCTCTGTTATTAACCACAGAGTCTGATACCGCCCATGTCAGCATTCTCAAGACAAAAATGGTGAGGTATACAATGATTGTGGTTAAATCCAGGACGTTCCAACGATCACTGAAGGACAAAAAATATGCAAAGTCACATAATTAAAGAGATTCTTTAGCGTATATCAGGCTCTCTCTCATTCTAAATATCACTCATTTTTCCCCAGTTCTTATCGATTAGGGCCCGTTTTCAATAACTGCTTCATAATCTTAGATGACGTAGCAGGAGATTGTACTACTATTCCTCATAACCGGAATCTAACACCCCTCTTTTTTCTGTAAAGTTATCGTCCTCCTCTCTTGACAACCAGAGATTGGAGGGGGAAGTCTTACAGGGGACGCGAGGGGGGAAAAGAGGTTAGAGATACCAGAAACACAAGGTTTCTGGGGCCACGACTTGTAGGTGGGATTAGGATTAGGATACTCGGACTTAACGTGTCCAGGGAATATTTATGGCGATAATATAAAAGATCAAAGATCTCTTGCACAAATATATAACCGGTCTTTCCGGGATATAACCGGTCTTTCCGGGATATAACCGATCTTTCAAAGATATAACCGGACTTCTTTTGCTATCGCAAATCTCCCTTACATCAGTAACCTGCAACTTACTTTCTGGAGTAACGCGTAACTTCATAACCTTTCCGTCAAACAGATGTTTAAATAAATTACCACTATTTAAGTGGGATTGCTCAAGAGATTATAAACTGTTTATAATCTCTTGGTTTGCTAAACCCTGAAAATCTTAGGACGTTTTTATGAAATGTTAAAAGTAGTTTTATTCAATAATTGTTCTTTACATACTTACTTCAGGTATTTACTAAATCTCATCGCCAACGACGTTGATTTTGATTTCCGATTACTGGTCTCTTTCAGCTCAGTTAAAATTTCAACACTACCACAAGTCATTGGTTCCTTGATACCCGGCTTGTCTGACTCTTCACTTTGCAGTACCTTTGTGTCGCTTATCTGTTTGATTTCAGTTACTATTCGACCCATGTAGAACACACAGACAGCCCACTCTAGTCTACTGATTGAAATGCTCGAAGGCGCAAGACAAGTAGCGAAGTGTAGTCCTAGGTGGACCAGGAAACTGAAAGTGTCACGGACAAAGATGAAATACGGGATGGTGAAGTACTTGAGATAACTTCCTGCCAAAAAATAATAATCGGAGAAAAAGTAAAATTTACCATCGAAGTCTGAAGGCATAGGTATATATAATACATTTTCTGCCGATAGTTTTACTCACCGTATATGTCTTCCTTGTTGCGAAATATTCCTTGTCAGAAGAAACCAAGAAAAAAAATTTTAATTTGTTAGTGATACGAGAAAAAAAATGATATAATATCTGCATTACCTATTGGTTTTAAGAATAGATCCACAACAAAGTTTTTCTTCAACGTAGCAAAGAAATGTTGTTAAAACTTTCTCAACTTCGACAAACAAAACTTTGCTGAACTTTTTCATGGTGCAAATCATCATTCTATATGCTAAATTTCTGGAGTTTAGTAATCCTTTAAAAAGGAATGTAAAACATCCTTAGGAAAATGCTTGCATTGCGCCAACGAAGCTTTGCATTGTATCTTTCCTTATGGCACAATTTCAAGATTTCACCGTAGAAAGTGGGATGAAGAACTTAAAGTCTCTTCATATCCAAGATTACCTTTTCTGTTCCTCATCTTCTTCCTCGCTAAATGATATCCCCCAAAAACAATGAAGATTATGGGGAAAAGAAAAACATCAAACACACACCAGACGTTCAGGAACACCCATATCCAGCGTTCAGTACTCAACCAAGAACATTTTCGCATCCAGCCAAGTTCACCATGCCACTTCTTTGTCATTTGGCTGTTGATTACTGGGTGTGCAAAGAACTTGAAAAGAAAGTTGCCACAGAGTTTTAAACTCCAGTGAAACCAAATTAATCATGACTAATCTGCTCTGCCCCAAACAAACAAACCTTAATTTTGTCCATTTGACAGCAGCTAAAAATTTATAGATTACCCCTGTCATATATAGTAATAAGGAGGCAAGGCCAATTGCAATAACATCAATCCAGTTCTTTATATGACAAAAATTTTACACAAGACGGCGGCCTTAGTCAAGAGAATGGCTGGAAGGAAGAAGGCCTGGGAGATTCTGGTTTGTTTACATCTCCTAATTGAGAAAAAAAGGGACAGAGTGATAGTCTCAATAGTAAAACAAACTGATATGGCTCTAACCTACAGTAGAACTGCCGCAAAGCCGAAAGTTCTGCCAACAGCCTTGTTAATGAGGCTCGCCAGTTTTCAAATCAGGGCCAGAAACAAAAGTAATTTCCACTTACATTCTTTTGTTTAAACTCTATCGCAGCGTCCATAACGTTGTCAATGGAATCTGATAAGAAAACATCACGTAATCGTCCACCTGATTTTAATGGATCAAAGAGGCGGGAAATAAATTCATCCAAAGAAGCGGCTAGCTTATTGAAATCCTCCTCGTCCGGTCCCTTTTTGTCAGCTAATCGTCGTAGTTTAAAAGTCACCTCAAAATAGATTTACAAAACAACATCGTGAACATAAAATTTATTAGAAATAGCAGTAAATGGCATGCGATACCTTGCCCTAATGTTCTTCACGAGAACGATAGTAAACATGAAAGGCGCCCCGCTTTTTCTTCTTTATGAAATAACTGACATGTTACGAGAGCCCTGTTGGGTCAAAAAATTATCATTTATTGCACCGGTAATTTCATAGAAAATTGAAACATTTGAAAAGGCTCGAAAAGTTTGTAAGTCACTCATCTCTGGCTCGTGATTTACAAATTTTTTTTCGTGTTCTCCAAACATCTTGCGTGGGTTATCACGCCGGTAAATCGATAGAAAATGCTGTTTGTGGCTTAATTGCATAAAGTTAATGAATTTGACAGAGGGTATTTTTAATGAACTTTCTGAAAAATCATACGAAACTTTCGTCAAGAAATATTCGCTTGCCTCAGTGTTGAATCAAGAAAATCAGAACGTTATCGATAGAACAGGTAGGTCCTTTTATGGTCTCATTGCAATATTCGGTGCCAATTATTGCAGAATGTTCTCTGATATTGCTGTCTATAGCATTCAAACAATGTAAATATAATACATTTTACCTCCATAGCCATCAGCAGAGCGTTCGTGTTACATTTTGTCAAAGCTCTCGGAGTAAGTTTGTCACAGATCTCATCAAAATCTCCATCCTTTATTGTCTTTCTCAAGCTATCTTCAAAGGCTGGCGTAAAAATCAAATAAAAAGAACGTCATAAATGTGTGAGAAAACTTCGAAAACTCAGACCACAGGTCTATTGTACATATATATTCAAGGTAAATACGATTTTACAATTGACCTGAAAACTTGGAATTATACAAATAAATATTTCGCTCTTTAATTCTCCTGAACCCTTTAAAAGCATGCAATAGTTAATACATTGTTTTGACTACAGGTCACCAAATGGGACGTAAGAGGTACGTTTAGACTATAAAAGTCCCGAACAGAACGAAGTATTAATGTCATGTGCCTTATTAGAACTACTGCTTCGTTCTGGGCCTAAACGTCCTTCATTTTACATACTAACCTTTCCTGTCGTTTACTTCTTCGTTAGATACCGCCTGCAATTCTAACCAAGTAGTGTATTCCTCCATTGCGTATTCCTCACTTGATAGATCAGTGTACTGTACACAAATCCCTACTATTCAGAGTTTGGAGCGCGCAAAAGCACAGTGAAGTGAAGACTGCAAAACGGAACAGTTAAGAAATTAAATCGAAAGGCAACTAAATCCCTCCAAGTTTCCAATAACCTAAAGGGTGTTGCTTAAGCACTACATTCATAATGTTAATTAACATACAATATTAAACAATTTTCATAACCCGAGTGACTGATTTTCCAAGTTGACGACCGATGTTTTATATATCTACGTTGACGCTTCCAAGCAGTGTCAGGAGATTCGTTCAACCTTTTCGTTTTGTTCTTCTTTTTCCCAGACCTTAACTTCAATGATGTAAAAAAAAACAGTGGCTTAGAGAAAAAATCTGATTGAGCAAAACATTGCTTTCGTCGCTTGATTAGTCGTACTTGGCTGATGGAGTTGATTTTAGGGGGAAATCTTTACTTAGTAGTAAATGCTGGACCAACTAGAGATTGGCATCCAATTTTTGGATTGGTCTTTAATGAAACTAGGCACTATTAGCTCACTTTTACCCATGGCGTGGTTAGGTTGTCAAAGAATATTTACATCTCATTCTGTCTGACGACTGTGGTGGTAGCTACTCAATATCGCCCATACGAACGTTAGAAACGAATGCTTCAGTTTTAAAGTTTTAAGAAAACTGTACTAACATATTAATAATGAAAATTGCTTAGCTAACCTGTAATTTGAAAGTTCTTAGATTTTATAGCCTTCCGAGCGTGTTTTCAGGCGAATTAATATTCTCTTTAAACAGATTTGTCGTAAACCTATGTAAAAATGTACTCAGTCAGTGAAAAGTGTTCAGTCAGTCCCTGGAGATTCAACTTACAATGCAAAGACCCACAGATTCTTTAGGGAAAGAAAAGCTTTTGCTTTATTTGCACATAAATAAAATGCCGTCAACAGAAACGATTCAGCAATTTTCGTGGATTGCACGACAATTTTTTCCCACAATAAAGCTTTTTTTCTCCTAACCATCTAGCAAAAAAATTTCAAATGAAAGACTGCCAGAGGATGACATGGCAAAATGATTTCAAGACTAAGCAAATGTTTTCAAAAGTGTTAGAAAGATTAAATGATGAATGTGATCATCAATGCATGTATATCTATATGTTATCAGCTTGTTTGGAGAGGTTAAACCTCTAACTCCCGAGATCTCATGAGTAATTCTCTATATTGTCTGACATTCAATTCTTATGATGTCAATTTGGAGAATTTGGCATTGGATCTTCTAATAATCCCCTAATTGATGTTTTACTTTATTCTCATCACTTCTATGCTTGATATTGTATTGATATTGTGAGGAGAAATTCTCTCTTTGTCACTCGTGGGGGGTAAAGGGTTAACCCTTTTATAGGCTAAGCAGCAGTACAAAAAGAGTCTCTTCATTCAAATCACTGCGCAATAATTCAGGCTACGCCAAAACTGAATAACAACGCTATCGAGACGACCAACCTGCCAAGGTAAGCCTTACTTGATAAGTTCATGAATCTAGGGATGGCTGCAGTTTCAAACTCGGTAACAGAACTGTGTTAGTGTTTTCAAGAAGGTGATCCTGGCAAGTACAGAAAAAAAATCACGCGCTTTTTCATGCAATAGGTGTTGCATCTGGTGATCTTTTCGTTAATACCTCTCACACTCTGTCGATGAATTGTTAGTCGGGGATTCTGACATTTTCAGGTTCATGTGACAAACTATTTTGAAATTTCAAGGATTTGAACGTCGATATGTTTCAAGATGTTAACGCGGAATGATCAGTCGAAGCGAGCATGAGTAAATTCTTATTAGGCGTGGTAGTCAATACCTCTCAACTATCACAAGCTCACGTAAGACGTTTTAACTGACAATATAGTCGATAGAGGGAAAAGCCGAAGTCGGAAATTTCGAAACCATTTCCCGTACAATTCTACCCTTTTTGCCATAAATGTTCTTTTCTTTTTCGTTCTGAAATCATCTTGGCGCGACTGATTTAACGTTTGTTTTATGCTAATTCATCAAGGGGGTACTTAATTGGACGGCAATCTGAAATCTTTGATCTGTTTTAACAAGAGTATTCATGAAACATCACGAAAGAGACTGCAAAAAAAGTTCTGAAAACCGCATCAAAAGGCAATTTGTAGATAGAAACCTGTCACTGCAATGGGTTCAACATTCATAATTCATGCACACACAACTAATAAGAGTAATAAAAGCATACTACATCCCTGCAAGAGTTGTGGATAAAGTCTGCTAATTATTCAGATATATTAGTTTCTTGTCCAAAATCCTTTTTTCCTTTATTTAACGCAACCCTCGCTGCAAATTTTCTTTGGCATGTTAACAATTTCTTTCTGCTAAAATGAGCAGAGGTGGGTTAAACAAGGTTGTCAAGGCTCAGCAGTTACTAATTGCAGAAAGGCACTCTGAAGAAGACACGAAGTCAAGGGCGACGCTAAACCTGAAGTAAAGCACGTCACAGGATTTGAGATCATTTCCATACCGCAATGTGGGATTTCTTTACCGGAATACCGCATGAAATACTGAGCAACAATGCGACCCCATTTATTTTGCTTGATGAATGGCAGTGGAAATCTATCTAAACATTTCTTTAGCAGTATATTGCAATCTTTTCTTAAATTTGAACTGTTGCAGCATTTTGTACTGAGATACATCGTTCACGAATTGACTTTTACTTATTTACTTGTTGCGAACAAACAACTGAAATTAATTTTCATAACAAATGCAAAGGTCGGATAATGCAAAAAGAGGGGCGCGTGAGTAACTAACTCCCCCCTTTTTCTCACTCCTGCACGTTTGTCAGGCCGCTCTCAGACCGTTCACATTAATTCCCCTGCCGATGAATAAGTTTTTGGCTTCCGTTGTTTACAAAAGGGCGGATGTAAGATTTAGAAATGTCTAGAGAATCTGCCAAATTCCGTCTCATTGCCCATCAAAGACTTTACGATTGCCGCTTTTTTTCCCTATTATCAAAAGAACTAGAGATCAATCGATGGGAGACGAGGGACTTTCAGTTGTTCTCTTTTAAAAAATTAATTATAGTCATGCCTGCATGCGACATTCATTTCGATAAAAAAAGAAAGCCAAAAAAAACTTAGTTAGGTCTTTGCGCAATAGTAGAAGGTTATTAGTTTACCGCACGAATAGGTTTTAGAAAATTCAAATCACTGCACATTAACTTAGGCAGCGCCAAACCCGAAGAATAGTGCTACAGAGGCAAACCAACTGTCAAAGTAAGCATTGCTTGATAAGTTCACGAATCTATTGATCGCTACAATTCCTAACTCGGTTAAAGAATGAAGGATGCTGTGATCAGAGAGTGATAATGTCACAACTATTGATCTTTTCCTTATTAATAGCTCGAACGCTCTATTGTGTATGGAGGTTTAAGCATAATCTGTGAGAGGTAATTACCATACAGTACAAAAATAGTCTCTTGATTCAAATCACTGCGCAGTAATTCAGGCTACGTCAAAACTGAACATCAACGCTACCGAGACGACCAACCTGCCAAGGTAAGCCTTGCTTGATAAGTTGATGAATTTAGGGATAGCTGAAATTTTAAAACTCGGTAACAGAACTGTGTTAATGTTTTCAAGAAGGTGATCCTGTTAAGTACAGAAAAAAAATGACGCGATTTCTGATGCAACAGGAGTTGCATCTGGTAATCTTTATGTTAACACCTCTCACAATCTATCGATGAATTGTTGGTCGGGGTTTCTAAGATTTTGAGGTTCGTGTGGCAAACTATTTTGGAATTTCAAGGATTTGAACGTCGATATATTTTAAGATGTTAATGCGGAATGACCAGTCGAAGCGAGTATGAGTTCAATTCTTGTTAGGCGTGGTAGACAATACCTCTCAACTATCACAAGCTCACTTAAGACGTTTTAACTGACAATACAGTCGATAGAGGGAAAAGCCGAAGTCAGAAATTTCGAAACCATTTCCCGTACAATTCTACCCTTATTGCAATAAATGTTCTTTTCTTTTTCGTTCTGAAATCATCTTGGCGCGACTGATTTAACGTTTGTTTTATGCTAATTCATCAAGGGGGTACTTAATTGGGCGGCAAACCGAAATCTTTGATCTGTGTTAACAAAAGTATTCAGGAAACCTCACGAAGGAGACTGCAAAAAAAGTTCTGAAAACCGCATCAAAAGACAATGTGCAAATAGAATACTGTCACTGCAACGGGTTCAACATTCATAATTCATGCGCACATACCTAATAAGAGTAATAAAAGCATACTACATCCCTGCAAGAGTTGTGGATAAAGTCTGCTAATTATTCAGATTTATTAGTTTCTTGTCCAGAATCCTTTTTTACTTTATTTAACGCAACCCTCGCTGCAAATTTTCTTTGGCATGTTAACAATTTCTTTCTGCTAAAATGAGTAGAGGTGAGTTAAACAAGGTTGTCAAGGCTCAGCGGTTGTTAATTGCAGAAAGGCACTCTGAGAAAGACACGAAGTCAAGGGCGGCGCAAAACCTGAAGTAAAGCACGTCACAGGATTTGAGATCATTTCCATACCGCAATGTGGGATTTCTTTACCGGAATACCGCATGAAATACTAAGCAACACTGCAACCCCATTTATTTTGCTTGATGCATGGCAGTGGAAATCTATCTAAACATTTCTTTAGCGTTATATTGCAACCTTTTCGTAAATTTGAACTGTTGCAGCATTTTGTACTGAGATACATCGTTCACGAATTGTCTTTCACTTATTAACTTGTTGCGAACAAACAACTGTGATTAATTTTCATAACAAATGCAAAGGTCGGATAATGCAAAAAGAGGGGCGCGTGAGCAACTAACTCCTCCCTTTTTCTCACTCCTGCACGTTTGTCAGGCCGCTCTCAGACCGTTCACATTAATTCGCCTGCCAATGAATAAGTTTTTGGCTTCCGTTGTTTACAAAAGGGCGGATGTAAGATGTAGAAATGTTCAGAGAATATGCCAAGTTCCGTCTCATTGCCCATCAAAGACTTTACGATTGTCGCTTTTTTTTCCCTATTATCAAAAGAACTAGAGACATTCGACCGGAGACGAGGGACTTTCAGTTGTTCTCTTTTATAAAATTAATTATAGTCATGCCTGCATGCGACATTCATTTCCATAAAAAAGAAAGCTAAAAAACCTAGTTAGGTATTTGCGTAATAGTAGAAGGTAATTAGTTTACCGCGCGAATAGGCTCTGAAAAATTCAAATCAATGCAAATTAACTAAGGCAGCGCCAAACCCGAAGAATAGTGCTACAGAGACAAACCAACTGTCAAAGTAAGCATTGCTTGATAAGTTCACGAATCTATTGATCGCTACAATTCCTAACTCGGTTAAAGAATGAAAGACGCTGTTAGCAGGAGAGTGATAAGGTCACGACTATTGATCTTTTCCCTATTAATAGCTCGAACACTCTATTGTATATGGAGGTTTAAGCATGATCTGTGAGAGGTAATTACCATACAGTACAAAAATAGTCTCTTGATTCAAATCATTGCGCAATAATCCAGGCTACGCCAAAACTGAACAACAACGCTACCGAGACGACCAACCTGCCAAGGTAAGCCTTACTTGATAAGTTCATGAATTTAGGGATGGCTACAATTCCAAACTCGGTAACAGAACTAACTGTGTTAGTGTTTTCAAGAAAGTGATCCTGGCAAGTACAGAGAAAAAATTCACGAGATTTTTCATGCAGCAGGAGTTGCATCTGGTGATCTTTATGTTAACATCTCTCACAATCTATCGATGAATTGTTGGTCGGGGTTTCTAAAATATTGAGGTTCATTTGACAAACTATTTTGGAATTTCAAGGATTTGAACGTCGATATATTTTAAGATGTTAATGCAGAATGATCAGTCGAAGAGAGTATGAGTTCAATTCTTGTTAGGCGTGGTGGACAATACCTCTCAACTATCACAAGCTCACGTAAGACGTTTTAACTGACAACATAGTCGATAGAGGGAAAAGCCGAAGTCGGAAATTTCGAAACCATTTCCCGTACAATTCTACCCTTTTTGCCATAAATGTTCTTTTCTTTTTCGTTCTGAAATCATCTTGGCGCGACTGATTTAACGTTTGTTTTATGCTAATTCATCAAGGGGGTACTTAATTGGGCGGCAAACTGAAATCTTTGATCTGTGTTAACAAAAGTATTCAGGAAACATCACGAAGGAGACTGCAAAAAAAGTTCTGAAAACCGCATCAAAAGGCAATTTTTAGATAGAAACCTGTCACTGCAATGGGTTCAACATTCATAATTCATGCACACACAACTAATAAGAGTAATAAAAGCATACTACATCCCTGCAAGAGTTGTGGATAGAGTCTGCTAATTATTCAGATTTATTAGTTTCTTGTCCAAAATCCTTTTCTACTTTATTTAACGCAACCCTCGCTGCAAATTTTCTTTGGCATGTTAACAATTTCTTTCTGCTAAAATGAGTAGAGGTGGGTAATACAAGGTTGTCAAGGCTCAGCAGTTACTAATTGCAGAAAGGCACTCTGAGGAAGACACGAAGTCAAGGGCGACGCAAAACCTGAAGTAAAGCACGTCACAGGATTTGAGATCATTTCCATACCGCAATGTGGGATTTCTTTACCGGAATACCGCATGAAATACTAAGCAACACTGCAACCCCATTTATTTTGCTTGATGAATGGCAGTGGAAATCTATCTAAACATTTCTTTAGCGTTATATTGCAACCTTTTCTTAAATTTGAACTGTTGCAGCATTTTGTACTGAGATACATTGTTCACGAATTGTCTTTCACTTAATAACTTGTTGCGAACAAACAACTGTAATTAATTTTCATAACAAATGCAAAGGTCGGATAATGCAAAAAGAGGGGCGCGTGAGCAACTAACTCCCCCCTTTTTCTCACTCCTGCACGTTTGTCAGGCCGCTCTCAGACCGTTCACATTAATTCGCCTGCCAATGAATAAGTTTTTGGCTTCTGTTGTTTACAAAAGGGCGGATGTAAGATGTAGAAATGTCCAGAGAATATGCCAAGTTCTGTCTCATTGCCCATCAAAGACTTTACGAATGCTGCTTTTTCCCTATTATCAAAAGAACTAGAGACATTCGACGGGAGACGAGGGACTTTCAGTTGTTCTCTTTTATAAAATTAATTATAGTCATGCCTGCATGCGACATTCATTTCCAGAAAAAGAAAGCTAAAAAACCTAGTTAGGTCTTTGCGTAATAGTAGAAGGTAATTAGTTTACCGCACCAACAGGCTCTGAAAAATTCAAATCACTGCAAATTAACTTAGGCAGCGCCAAACCCGAAGAATAGTGCCACAGAGACAAACCAACTGTCAAAGTAAGCATTGCTTGATAAGTTCACGAATCTATTGATCGCTACAATTCCAAACTCGGTTAAAGAATGAAAGACGCTTTTATCAGGAGAGTGATAATGTCGCAACTATTGATCTTTTCCTTAATAATAGCTCGAACGTTCTATTGTGTATGGAGGTTTCAACGAAATCTGTGAGAGGTAATTACCATACAGTACAAAAATAGTCTCTTGATTCAAATCACTGCGCAATAATTCAGGCTACGCCAAAACTGAACATCAACGCTACCGAGACGACCAACCTGCCAAGGTAAGCCTTGCTTGATAAGTTCATGAATTTAGGGATGGCTACAATTCCAAACTCGGTAACAGAATTGTGTTAATGTTTTCAAGAAGGTGATCCTGTTAAGTACAGAAAAAAAAAATGACGCGATTTTTCATGCAACAGGAGTTGCATCTGGTGATCTTTTCGTTAATACCTCTCACACTCTGTCGATGAATTGTTGGTCGGGGTTTCTAAGATTTTGAGGTTCATGTGACAAACTATTTTGGAAATTCAAGGATTTGAACGTCGATATGTTTCAAGGTGTTAATGCGGAATGATCTTTCGGAGTGAGCATGAGTTCAATTCTTATTAGGCGCGGTAGTCAATACCTCTCAACTGTCACAAGCTCACGTAGGACGTTTTAACTGACAATACAGTCGATAGAGGTAAAAGCCGAAGTAAGAAATTTCGAAACCATTTCCCGTACAATTCTAGCCCTATTGCCATAAATATTCTTTCTTTTTCGTTCTGAAATCATCTTGGCGCGACTGATTTAACGTTTGTTTTATGTTAATTCATCAAGGGGGTACTTAATTGGGCGGCAATCTGAAATCTTTGATCTGTTGTAACAAAAGTATTCATGAAACATCACGAAGGGGTTGGACATTTATGAGTTTTGATACTGTAAGAAAGAGTTATTAAAACCGCAGCAAAAGGCAATGTGCAAATAGAATACTGTCACTGCAGTGGGTTCAACATTCATATTTCGTGCACACACAACTAATAAAAGTAATAAAAGCATACTACATCCCTGCAAGAGTTGTGGATAAAGTCTGCTGAGTTTTCAGATTTAGTAGTTACTTACCCAAAATCCTTTTTTATTTTATTAAACGCAACTCTCGCTGCAAATTTTCTTTGGCATGTTAACAATTTCTTTCTGCTAAAATGAGCAGAGGTGGGTCAAACATGGTTGTCAAGGCTCAGTGGTTATTAATTGTAGAAAGGCCCTCTGAAATAGACAAGTCAAGGGCGACGCAAAACCTGAAGCAAAGGGCAATGAGAGATTACTTCACTGGAATACCGCATGAAAAACTGTGCACTGCAACCCATTTAAAACATTTCTTTAATAGCGTATTGCAATCTTTTCTGAAATGTGAACTGCTGCAGCATTGTGTACATAGATACATCGTTCACGAATTGTCTTCCATTTATTTATTCATTTCTCGCGAACAAACAACCGAAATGAATTTCCATAACAAATGCAAAGGTCAGATAATACAAAAATAAGGGGCGTGTGAGCATAATTTTACGGCTGAATTAAAACTTTTAATAGTTCGAAGTCAGTTGGCTCGTTATGGGCTTAGTGATGACTGCTTAAACAGATTGATGGATCGACGAGACAGGTTGTGTCCTCTTTTGTCTCCCTATTCGGTAAAATTTCCGCACAGCCCCATACTACATTATGCATTCAATTCTTGGACAGAGAAAACAATGACAAAAACAATACATTGCCATTGGGAAAACAGATTTGTTTTACAATAGTATGGGGCTGTGAGGAAATTTTACCCCCTATTCAGCCCCTCACACGAATCAGTGTCGATTTTGGTTTACTCGCCCGCCACGGTCGAAAACTCCCTCTTGAGACCACAAGATGAAAGGAATATGGGAAAATACGAAAATAGATGACCTTTTGCCACGTTTCCAAATGAGGCCTGATGCTCAACCATTCGTATGAAAATTAGCAGGTAATTTAGTGTTAACAACTGAGTTGAAAATGTAAATTAGCCACCGTAAGGGTAAAAAAGCTGACGTTTCGAGCGTTAGCCCTTCGTCATCGCTCTGACGAAGGGCTAACGCTCGAAACGTCAGCTTTTTTACCCTTACGGTGGCTAATTTACGTTTTCAACTCAGTTGTTAACACTAAATTACCTGCTATACTCTCCCACCGACGCAGCACCACAGTTTCTTTAGAAACTTACCCCTTTATTCGTATGAAAATTAGTTCATTTGCATGTGCATGCAAACTTATAACCACATGAAAGGATGATTTGAAAATCAGGCCAAAGGTAATTGGGAAATGGCATATTAGTCTACAGTTATGTATCATACAAGCAACTGTTTAAAGATCATTCTTTTATTTCTCTTAAAATCCACTCAACTCCAGGTTTAACGAACTCAAGCAAGAACAATGTATCTGAAAACCTGCCTGCTCATTCTGCTCTGTCTTGGTCTCATACAGGCGAGAGGTAACGTTTTCACTTAATTGTTATTTACAGCTTCCCAATTTATTTTCCTTTTATCTATTGGGAGAGGAATGCTCCGATTTTGTATAACAAGTTTGCTACTTTATTCTTTCATGCACGTTCAGTGTACAGGAAGATTCCAAAATTGTTTCGCAAGGGCCCGGCAGAGGAATTACAAGTGAGAGGTAGGCATAGTTCGTGGTCTTCTAGTCTCAGAAAACTGCGGTTCACTTTATTAGCTAAACACTTCGTGTGTTTCTCCTACCTAAAAGCTGGAAATTTCCTGGATTCCCTAATATATTTTCTGTAATATTTTAGGTGTACCATTAAGAAGGTTTGCATCAGAACTTTCTCGAAAGCACCTCAATTGTGATTATCTTTTGTTCGAAAGCAACGTTTTCCTCATTGTTCAATTTCTGTTCCCCTAACTACAGAGGTTTTGAAGTGTTACTCCTGCCATGGAAGTAACGCAGACACCTGCGCCAAAAAGGAAAAAGTGTGCAAACAAGATTATGTCTGCATGAAAGCAGAAATACCAGGCTACGCGTATATACTTCAGTGCGCAAGCCCGGCGTATTATGAGCAATCAGTAAAGGATTGTTCGGATGGTACCTGTGACGTGACGAAGTGTGAGACGTCTTTGTGTAATGAATAAAGAGAGACACCACGATAAGTCACCATGATTAAGGTGGAAAAATAGATCTTTGGTTTCTCATCTTCTGGGCTCATTTCTGAGGATTTCTCTTCACGCACCATTTACATGTTACATTTAACACGAGCGTTTTGCAAGAAAATATTAGGCACATTTGTAAACAGTAAATCAAATGTTTTTCAAGTCAATAAAGCACCAAGAAATGTTTGAGGTCGAAGAGCTCATTTGAAGCCATTATCTCATGAAGCAAAAAGTTACAAATAAGTCCAACTCAGTCCAGTCTAAGCTTTAATTTTTAGACCGGGGATAGAATTTTTCTCCTGTGGTCATTGTTTTGTGGCCACATCATCCTCCATTCGAGTTATTGCACCCTTTTTTGTGTACAAAGTTTTCCCTTTAAATTGGAGAAATTACAAATAAACAAACCTCCAGCAAAGAAAGCAATTCAGGGTCATTCAGGTCAAATTTCGTCAAAGACTATATTATAGAGTTCCTGATCCTCTTGATTAACCTGAAGACGAGAGCAGCGCAATGAAGAGTGGAGTCGGGAGACAAAGGGGCACAAAAGTACGGGAGGCGGGAGAACGTGTTACGAGAGACTCTAAGTAAGCAAGAACAATGTATCTGAAAATCTGCTTGCTCATTCTTACTCTGTCTTGGTCCCATACAAGCGAGAGGAAATTTTTTAGTCAATATGTAAAGTGATTGTGATTGTTAAACCACGATCGAGGTTATTGGGATGTTTTATTTGAATTATTGGAAGAAGATAAATAAAGAACTTTCATAGACGAGAAAATAGCAGAACTGCACAAGAAAGTTTGCATAATCCTCTTCTTCGGTTAATAAAAAGCTTCATGTATTTAGATATATTTAGCACGTTTGCGGAAAAAAACGAACGTTTGCCAAGTCAGTATAGCAGTGAAAAAGGCACGGTTTGGCAGCCCCTAATTGAGGGTATATTTAGTTGTTATGCTATCAAATTGCAAGCAGGGTGTGTAAGATTGATTCAATGGCGAAATTTTAAGCCCACACTACACTACTACATTTTTGTTTGAAAATGCATGCTTTTTGGTGCGTTTTCGCTGGGCATCCAGACTCAAGACGCCAGAAAACGTTGATGAAAACAGAGACTTTCGGAAACGGTTTCAAAAGTGGATTTTTTTGAAAAACGCATCGTTTTGGTGTGGAAAGGTGAAAACGGAGGCTTTTGAAAACGGTGACGAAAAAATTAATAGATGTGATTGCTCTCACGGTGGCGAAATTCCAGGTCCCCCTTGTTTTATCGTTTTCGGCCGTTTCAGTGTGGAAAAAAAAACACTGCGAAAACGCTGATGTGGGCAGAAATATTTTGCTTCGTTTTCGCCTGTATGAAGACTTTTGAAAACGTAGTAGTGAGTTCAAGGTCTTAGTTCAAAATGCAGCACTGATCTATTTCCGCCCACACTACTTACGACAAATTTGAGCTTGGCCACAATATAGCCTTACCTTTGCCGGCTCCTCCCTCCCTCTCTTTAAAAGGCACAGACAGCAGTGACGTTAGCGTCTTCGAAAAGCGTAATTGAAAAAATGTCTTTCGATCACACTAAAACGTTTTGAAATTCACCCTTTCACTACTGGTTCAAAGGAAGTTTGTAAATTGCTCCACTTTCACACCCTTTCTGCGGGCGTAATAGTCGAAAGGAAGCTGCAAAGTATGGCCTTAGCCTCAAACACGCAAACCAGACACGTTAAACGAGCTAACATAGCTGGGATACATACACTTTGGGACTGCTTATCATAACTCAAGCCTGGAAAACCTTTTTGCCACCTGATTCGGGAATACACTATTTTAAAGAGCTCCTCTCGATCGAATTTAAAGCAGTCTACAAACGTAGAGATTCCTTTGGGAAAGCATTCTTAGAACTCTGGAAAGCAAAGCAAAAACGTATTTTGGGAGCGCAAATAGAAAAAGAATTTGGAGGCAAAATTAGACTCCAATGGAAAGCGAACTTAGAAATCTATTATAAGATAATGTAAATAGTATGCGCGCTCTGATTGGCCATAAAACCATTTTACATGAGCGTATGTAAACACGGTTTTCGTTCCTCTTTCATTAGTTATTTTATGAAAGAAATGTAAAATGGTTTCCGTGTTTACATAGCCTGAAGTAAACACTTACGCTTATCTCGTGTTCTCCCAACCTCCCGCGTGTTTACACCAGGCTATGTAAACACGGAAACCATTTTACATTTCTTCAGTATCAACTTCTATTGAAGAAGAAGAATAAGTGCCTTGTGTCTTCAACGCTCTGAAAATAATTCTATTGTACGGTCATATCTTCTTTATTGATTTCTTAAACAGTAAAACAGTAATTTAATTGTAATTCTGAGATATAAGCACGCAGGACACTCTACCTTTTAATCAAAAATACGATCGAGATTCATAGCTAAGATTCTTACATCACCTCACAAGCCCTGACCACCACATCACAAATTATTCAGAATTTCAATTTTCCTTCACCAGATTGAAATATGTACAGTGTTCGATAAGGACGAACAGTATTCCTTTTCTCGTGTGTAAATTAACAACTGAACATAAACGATGCCAACATTTCTCTCAAGTTCGTCAGCTCATTACATCGCACAGAGTTCTCTAAAGTGTAACATCCTACTCTAAATGAGCTCTAAGGAAATCATTGTAAGAAATCCTTCCTGTCATGTTCTTATCGTAAAACGAAAACAGGTGGAAAAACTCCTCTTCATTTAAGTCGACCTTGAATTTTCTCATCATCTGTCTGAACTCGACAAGTGAGCAAGTTCCGTTTCCACTTTTGTCAAGACCCTGCGGAGGATAGAAGAATTATTACTACTGCCAGCAACACCACCAGAAATTAGGATTTCCATCAGAGTTACCCGTCAGAATCAAGTGAGAAGAAAACAACAACTGTTTTACTGATAGTTCTCCCTCCAAACACTGCACGGACCGATGCAACCCTCTTATTTCACAACCCATTCGCTTAAAGACAACTCCTCTTTTAAATCTTACGGAATGTATGCATGGCCGGCGAAGGCTGTTACAAAATAGACATTAAAGGCAACTCGGCAATGTGCTAGTGGAAAATAACTGACCACCTAAAATCTTAGTTTTTAGAGAACCGAAACACCCTGGCGACTAGGAAATAGTCTACAGGTGCAATCACGTTCGCTTGTTTAATTCCATTTCATTACATTATGACGACAAAATATCGAGGACTTGTGATGTAATATGCCTTACCCTGAATGCTCTCCTCATCTCCTTCCATTCACGCCTTATTGGTGCTCGAATAGTGGCCATTAGTTCGATTAACCGGTCACTCCTGTATCCTGGACTTGTCTAAAAGAAAGGGACGATAAAATCATGCCTTGATTTAATGAATTTATGCCAACATCATGATTTAAACTGTCTAACCTGACAATCAAAACTCTATGCACGAGAGAGTGTATACCATTCACATAAAACTACTTTCGACCAAGCTTTTCACTATGGAGCGAAATCGTATCAGAGATGACGCAAATTGACATTGATAACTTGTATGAAGTCGTCGAGACTTCTTTTTTAACATGAGTCATTTGGCCTCTTTTTCAAGACGAGGCCTGGTGCCCAACCGTTCGTATGAAAATGAGTTTTCGGAAATGGGCAATTAAGAGCGGTTGTTATTCTAAATTACTTATCCAAACCCTCCGTTATTAGAATTGCACTGAAACAAGGTGAAGACGCCTAGAAAGAAAATTGTATATTAATGACGCTTTGCCTTTTTTGTCACTATCTTCTTAATTTGAGAGTTTTCTTCAACGCAAAGGTAAGCTACTTACCGGCATTCTGCTTGGCTGCAATTTGGGTCTAGTAAGAGAGTTTCCCTCCTGAGATTTCAAATTTAATACAAAATGCCGCATGAAATCTTTGTACACAATTCTGAAAGTAAATGAGAATAACAGAGATGAGACAAAACCCAATACTCGAACAAGCAATTCCCACACTCGAAATGTTTCTGAACCAACATGAAAAAAATGAAGGACCGTAACTTAAATTGGCTGAAATGTATATACTTAAAAATACTGAAATATATCTTACCCTCCTTTTTCTTCACTGCTGTGTTTTCTCCACAAAGACAATAACTCGGTTGGGCTTAGATGAATGTCGTGTTTCAAAAGGACATCTGAAACAAGAATTATCAATTTTACAAAAAAAATTACTAGCGCGTGCTTGGTTTGGAATGGTATCAATTTGGGGATGGAACAAAAAGTGAGGAGACAACCATTGCAGTTGCTTAGTCGTCTAGAACGACTTGATGTTTTGATTTCTTTAACCCTTCCACTCCAGAGATCTCATTACCAATCCTCCTTACCGTCTGCAATACAGTTCTTGCGATGCTAGTGCAGAGAAATTGGTATTGGATCAACTGATAATTCCTTAATTGATATTTTCTTTATTCTCATCATTTGCCTACTTGATATTGTAGTGATGTATTAGAAATTCTGTCTTGGTCACTCTTGAGAGTAAAAGGGTTAAGTATGAATCGTTTCCTATGCCAAACAGACTGAAGGTAATTGTTCGATTTTACAGAACAAATTATGGTGACATAAAAAATAAATGCGTTCTTCGTGCAGTGTGATCGACTGGGGTGGCACCAACCTTTAAGTTGTTCAAAATCCACCGTTCCCTTGTTACCACTGTCGATGTTCCTGAAGGATTTCTGAATCTGCTGCCACCGACGACAGATCTGATGAGAAAAAAAATCTCAGTATTGTACATTTGGTAACACGTCAAGATTCGGAAAAAGCTGCTTAACATATTTTCTAAGACGAACAATGATACTCACCGCGTCTTTTATATTCCTCTCTACGTCACTTGCTGAGAGGGGCGGGGTCAAAGATTCAGGTGAGGGGATCCTAACAGGCGTATGGACTGGAGACATTGCGGGCTCATATGATGCCTGAAACAGACACAATTAAATTGTTCTTAAATCATGAATGAATTTAAGTTCTTTCTCTGCTTTTCAAGGCCTAAGATAAAGTTGAAGTCTACAACGACGAAAAGAAGAGTTAAAAGAGCTTAGACGACGAAGGATTTATCCTAGCTACTCTAAAATTAGCAATATAGCAGAAACAGTGCGACCCAGTTGGAAAAAGAAACTTCTTGGACTCAGAAAATGTGTATTTTCCTACCCTTCTATCGCGTGAATGAGGTGGTGTTGCAGACGCTGCTCGTGTTATTTCAGGTCTTGTGGAGAATATCTTCATGAACTCCCTATAATCCACAGCACCATCGGAGTTCTTCGGAAGCTTCATCCAAATGTGGTTAAACTGATCACTTGTCATACGGAAGGCATGTTGATTGAGTATCTCATGAAGAGCACTGGCGCTAACTGTCCCGCTGTGGTGAACGTCTTCGTCTGTGAGGGCCTTATCAATTCAAAAGAAAATCGTTACGTGATCATCCATTGTTTAACGTTGAAAAGCTCTTTGTAAATTGTACACAGACTTAAGAACCGTGCATCTGGACACAAAGAAATAGCTAAGGTTAAACAAACACATTCTGACAGTATGAAAATAAAACAACAAGAAAAAGTTTATTAAAAAAAAAAAAGTACCACAAGTCTTTTAAACAAAATATGACAAAACATCCAAGTGAAAACGACCAAACAAGACCAACAACCAAGAATAAGCATCAAAACCTCTTGGTTTTAAAAGCCGGTAAAACGTCGCCAAGTAATGCATGGCTTTAATTCGCAACGTTACTTTAATAACTTGGTAGGTTACTCGAAATTACTCTTCTTCAGAGAATGACAACTGTCACGGGAGATAAACAAAAAACACTTTACCTTTGCAAGACTATAGAATCGCGCCACTACAACTTCTCGAACTCTCTTCTCTACGTCAGCATCAGTCATAACACGTGACCGCTTGGTGAAGTTATCGGCCGTTCTTTGGCGTTTTTCAGAAGAGGGATACAAATTCTCCAGCCACTTGCGAGTTGCCTAAGAAATAAACAAACGTCTTGCCATTAAATGATCTTTCTGATAGCGCGCTTAAACCGCAGATACGTAAGATTAAGTAGCTCGAAACCGTATTTTTAAATCCTTTAAATAGGTCGCCAAGAATTTAAATGTTTAGTGAAGTATTTTACCTTAACTTTGTGCACGTAACGGGAACAAGAACGCTTAGAACGCTTTTTCCCCCTTTTTTTAAAAGCAAAATGACTCTTCAAACTTCATGCGATGGACCCACAAACACAAGGCATGGGAATTATGATTGTATCGGTGTAGAAGAAGCGACAATCATCGGCACCACTTTTGGCACAAGCAGTAAAGTAGGGGTGAAGAAAAGATCGACAACGCATTTCATATATGTTGTGAAAGCGCGTTTGTTATTAAGATCTCCTCGTTATTACGCAAAACCTCATGTGGTACGAATAAACTGAGTCCTTTCATATCATTAGCTTTTTTCTCTTAGAACCTCGTTATTTATTCAACCACTCAGAACTACCGAGTGTCCAGAATAAATTGTGGTCTGATTCACCGCTTCTCACTGTAAGTTGCAGTCATCATTTCATAATTCTATAGCTGAAAACAATCGCAGTTGTTCTCACCTCGGCGTCTGATTTCTGAAAGCTCTTCAGGAAATCATCGTATGATATCAAGTCTCCTTCTCCAAAGTTTCCCTTCTTCATGAGTGCCTGTGAAGTTGACAGCGGATTTATGACACAATCCTTCTTAAGCAAATAGTTTTGAACTAAAGTAAACATGACAGCTTCTTGAATACAACGAGAATAAAGAAATCTCTTGAGCTGTTGAGCAGGTTTCAGCTGTAGATTCAACAAACTAAAGTGATCTACATTAAACTACCCCGAACATGGAAATTCGAGCGGTTCACCTGAGTTAAAATTTATCTGTCATGCAAGTATCTTAAAAATTTCCCACAATTTGACCTAAAAGTAAATTGCTTTCAAAATAAGAACCAGTAATTCTGGGATTGCACTCGCGAAAATTTCTGCTACAGGAGAATTAAACTCAAACGTTGAGTAATAGATTCGCGACAGAAGGCAACAGAATTACTATTATTTTTTTACCTGAAATTGTTTATCAGACATCACAAAACAGAACGCATTGACTATTTGATGCAAGTCTTCCTTAGTAACCAGTCCCACTCCTTCTCGATCAAACGCAGCGAAGGCCTAGAGATCAAAACATAGAATGAATACGAAAAACAGTCAACATTTGAAAGTGAAAGAAGTGAACTTCACAAGGTGGGGGGAAGGATGGGACTTACTCTTTGGATAGTTTCAGGATTTTCGCCGATTTTGTTCCTAAGTCTGTTGATGGCGGCTTCAGGTGAAAGTGAATCGTGTCTCTCAAACAACACCGGCGTGAAAACTTTGCCAGGTGTATCCAAGGTAACGCGCCCATACCCAGTAAGCCTCTGGTCTTGAAACGCGCCCAGGAACTTCTCGTAAGAAAGTTTGTTCTTCCCGGATAGACCACACCTGACAAAAGAAAAATCATGAAGATACACTGGAGATTGAGGAACGAGGCTCCTAAGCTCAGGATGTTTGTAAGCCAAAGAGGAAGGGTCAGGTGGACACTTTTTTAATCCCAAAACCTCAAAGCACGTTCGTCGAAATGATGAATGTAATTTTCTCCAATGGCTGTAACGGAAGTTAATGTCATTCCTAACATCATTCACAGGTTGTTGATTTCATCAATTTCAAAATTGTTAGACTTGACAATGTAATCACATTGTAAAAATCAAGACCGCCACTAGCTTTCAATGTTTGTGTGTGGAAAGTAAATTTTTGGTGGTTCGTGTGGTGGAAATCGGTATTGGTCAACAACAGAACTGCGCTGATAAAAATAACACAAGTTTCACGTTTCTGTTCCGACAACACAGTCGTCGAACGAAGCTATCAAGAGAAAAACCTTAACAAAGCGTGAAAACAAAAAGAAGAATATCCATACATCGCAAACAGGTAATGAGAATATTCAAACTTATCAGGTAGGAAATGTTATCTTGATCTAACACCAAATTCTCGTAACTAATTAACAAGGAAACGTGTAGCAGCCAGGAGGGAGAATGTAGATCTTGGGAATTAAAGGGTTAATACAAACCTGTCGAGTAGAATATTGAGTTGAACATCATCCAGGAAGTAGTGAAAGTCAAACAGAACTTTCTGCAGTTCGTTCCTCGATATGTAACCATCTTTGTTTTTGTCAACTGTCTCGAATGCTTTCCTCAAACTTTCGTAGCCGTCACGAAAACGATCCCTGAAACAAAGACAATGAGTTTATATAAATAAATAGATTAAGCAGCGGTACATACATGGGAGGCTTCTTCGCCCAATAGTACCGAGCTGAATTGATGGAGAACAGAAAAGTTATGGACATGGAGGGAAACCCTCGGAGTAATAATAGAAGATAAAACCAAGCCAAACCCACAGGTTGAGACTCTCAGGTACTGGAAACGGACTCAGGCCACAGTGTTTGTGAGGGGAAGAGGGGTGAGGTGAGCACTTTGCTCACGATATGGATTCTCCTTTCCTCATCATCAATACTTGCGACTCTTAGGAACACAAAATTAGTAACAATAATTAATCGATGGAATCAAATTCACCTCAGCTGTTGTTCAACTTCAATTGCGGATAAGAACGAAGCAGCCTGAGCTTGATTGAGTGTGGCAGCCATGTGCATGTCCTAACAAAGCAAGATAAATACATCACGTAATGACTAAATGGGGAAACAATACTCGAGGTATCCAAAAATTGAATACCTTACGCCCCACCTTATAACAAAATATGGCAAGTAACACTCCTCCAACGAGACTGCTTAGAAGTCACACTTACAACAATAGCGTTTCCTCAGGAGGTACACTTCACCGATACTCCTTAGTGCATACAAACACTTCATCACCGTGTACAATAAGGATATCAAAGTACTCTCGCGTAACTGACTTTATCTCCACTGTAATCAACAAACTATGTTACAATAGTATTTATAAGGACTAGCACCTGTTGTTTCCTGTACATACTCTCCATAACCTGTTGACTCTGTTCAGTTATCTGAGTGCTTGGTCCGTGCACATCACCTGGCGCCATCTCCCCTCCTAACTTGGCTAGGAATTCATGATGATCCACATAGCCATTTCTATCAGTGTCATACCTGACAAGGGTTACGCACGTTGTGAGATACGAGCAATAAATTGAAGACTGTTTTTCTAGAATATAAAAGGATATTTCAAGAAGTTTTCGACTTACTTTTCCCACAATTTCTTGAATTCTTCTTTGTTGACCGGGATCTGGAAGTGATAGAGCACTTTCCTAAGCTCCTTCTTAGTAACTATTCCGTTTCCATCGCGGTCGAAAGCCAAGAAAGCTTTTGACAAGTCTGCATTCTGCTCCCAGGCTTTCCTTCTGATGATGACATCCGCTTGCTCGGCGCTCAAGTAATTTAGATCCTGTGTTTCATTGAAGCTGAAAAAAAAAGCCACATTGTGATAAACAAAATTACATGTACTTCATTGTTGGCAAGTACCACTTAGACGATTCAATTACAAACGAGGACGTAAAAAGCTTTAAAAGATTCTACAACAATCGCCTAACTGACGTAATATTAAATTTTGAAACTAGAATAAAGCCTCGGAGCGAAGGCTTTTTCACTTTTCACTGATTATAATATTGACGATAACTTTGCGTTTATATTGAGCACTTTTCTTTTATGTTAACTTCTTTGGTTACTTTCATTATTCCGATTTTAAAAGCTTTCATATTTAATAACACAGCTACATAGGCTTGTTTGCTGACACTGCTTCAGTTACCGTCTAGAAATAAAAGCGTTTGATTGGCTGATTGGGTTCTTTGCCTGAAAACAAGATGAATGGGCGAGACCATGACAAGGTGATTTTGATTGTTGACTGTTGTTGGGCTAGGGGAGGGGTAGGTGCGCAGTTCCTCAGATACTGAAATTGATCCGGTGATTTCATAGCGTAGTATGACTAATTTTTCGTAATCTAAATATCCAAGAAGTCAGCTTCTGTTACCTGTGGTTAGAGTACAGCCATGGATGTCCCTCTTCAACAGTCTCAACATGCTCGAACCGTTTTAAGAATTCTCTGTAATTCAATTTAGCTCCTTTCTGTATTCCGAGATTTGACATGAGCTTGTCGAACTCCTCGTCTGATAACAGGAACATGAAAGAGTCCAGAATGCGCCTGAATTCCGGTCTGGTAATCAGCCCATTCCGGTCATAATCTATCTTCTGAAACGCCGCACGTAGGTCCTGTTAGAGAAAAGGAAAATATAGAGTATAGTTTTATGTAGAGGCTGTGGGGAAGAAAGTTGTTTCAAGTCGCAAAGAGCCGTTTCGGGCTTTTGTAGGTCCCAAAAGCCGCTGGTACTAAGGGGAAAATGTTGTGCGCAAGCCGTTGACTAGGAATCTTTGATCTCTGGATTATCACTCCTTTGTTTCCAGAGGAAGTTTTTTGCTTCAGTTGTTCTACAGACTATGTGGAAAATTGTGCTTCACAATAAGGTTATAGCAAAGGTGACAGCCTAATATCTTCTTGAAGGGACTGAAAGGCTGGTGCTAAGACCTCAGTTGTCCATGCGTGGATCAACGATCTACACATGTTTTATTGATTCAATCCTAATTTGTAGAGGGAACACCGTAGCACATGATGCAAAAAGCATTTGTAGGGTGGGTTTTACTGTCCTTGCTTTACAGCTTATGTTTTAAACTTACGACTTCCGTCATGACTTTACATCGCAAACATGAATTCCACACGGAAAAATAATTTCAGCAGAATGTTTCACCTTCTTATTAACCCCACAACATCTCTTCTACAGATTCAGTATCAACTTTTTAAACAAGTTGACTCTCGCCTAACGTGAGCATTTACACAAAATGGGAAACTTAGCATAATCATCTCTTTGTCTGCTATGTTTTCTTTTTTTCAAAATGAATAATCCATGCGATAATTCAACCCTATATATCACAATTTGTAACCTGGAAACTCTCCCGCAATTTGCTTCTCAGTTTCGCCTCCACTACACTTGCTTTCATCGACTCTTCTTGAGGCACCGGGAGGTTGTATCTGACAAAAACAAAATTCCGATAAATTGAGTAACGTACGTACTTTTAAAAAAAATAGAAACGTGATGACCATTCTGGAAACCTTTACTACCTGTGACTTGGGTATTCGGGTGCTTTTTCTCCGACACCAAAGGACCGTCGATCTTGAAAATGGTCCAGAAATTCCATATACGTAATCTTTCCTTTGTGAAATCCCAGTCTGAAAAGCAATCATGAAGTTTCGATATAGAGCGCTTTTCGATTGAGTGTCTTAGGACCATAGTCATTACAAAGGCCAATCAGAAGAAAGGGAAATATCTTACACAGCCGATACGAACTCCACGTAAGAATAAGCAAACTGCTCGATGCGCAGGAAAACGCGGGTGACCAAATCGTGATTGGTTTTAGTTTTGCATCTGATTGATTGCGAAAGTGGCGCGAGTTTTCTGGACCAATCACAGAGCGAGTTAAGCAAATACAACTACTATTCCAATCTACTTGCAGCTGGCCTTAATCACACAGATACTTGTAATTTCAACTTGACAAGGTTTCCCGAGAAATTGGCACAATTTTCAACTAGTAAGTAAAGACCGCTTCTCAAGTGAGTGAAGGAAAAACACCAAAGGAATTAGAAGGACCGATCGAAACAGCAGTATTTGGGATCGAGCCGATGAGAACCAGAGGTAAGCGTAAGCAAAATGGCTTGTAAAAAGGGGAAATGCAAGTGACTCAGTCACGATTCGTTTTTGGATCTGTTAAGAGGATGGTGTAAGTCATTTAGTACAAAGAGCGAAAAGACAAAAATAAATCACTGAAAGTTTGGATAATTTTCAAAATTCATTTGAAAAGTGCTCTTAGTTAATAAATGTTTACATTCTTACCTGGCACTGAGAATGCGAAACTGATCATCTGTCATGTATAAACCCAGACTGTCTAAAATCTGCCAGAAAACAAACAGAACACGTGTGAATCATGTACCAACACTCAAGGTATAGACACGTTGAATACTGAACCTCATGGAAATAAAGACAACCTATACTGGACTTCATGAAGTGCTAAGTTAAAAATATCTCAAACGTTGGCTGTCGTGTACATACCAATCGGAATTCTTTTCTCGAAATTTTTCCATCTCCATCGCTGTCAAATTTGACAAAAGTTTTTCGGAAGTCTGGTGACCTTTGAGAGATGTACTCCTGGGAAGACAATAAATACATGTATGCTGAGTCAGCGGCTTGACAAAGTGGATCAGTGGGTGGAGTCAGGTTTGTTTTAGGCTCGATTACCAGCAGGCATTCGTGAAAATGAACCCGCGCTCTTATCCCCAACCCGTTTCTTGGGGAAGAGCGAAGACCAGACACGAGAGAGCGGCGGAAATCGAGCCTAGGTTCGTTCAAGCTCAATTAGAAATTACTATCTAAATGTCTAAATTTGGGTCAAGAATTTCCAGGTTGTAGAATCTGTGACAGTGAAAACAGCTTTTACCTCTAAGTCTCCGTTAAAAGCAAAGTGATCATAGCTGCCGCTCAAAACTACGCTGACTATACCCAGGAACCAATGAAAATTCTTAGTCAACATATGCTACCGTCCTAACGCGGGAAAAATTCGAGTGACTAAGTCGCGATTGCATCTGAGTGGCTGAAAGGATGGGGCAAGTTTTACACCAATAATAAAACCTTTTGAGGTAAAACCGAAGCAACACCTGATAAATTGCGACTGTAAATTGGAAATTGGTCTTTCGTCATTTAGTTACTGTTGGAAATAATACTTAGATATTTTGGTTGTACCTTAAGGATCTCCATGCATTCATTAGCAGTTTTCTGGCCTGTGAGGTTCAGGGCTCTCTCTTCCGCAAGTTCCAGTCTGTAAATATAATAATAAATTGGGTGAAACATACCAGAACAGAACATCACGGTAACCACGTTTCGAACATTACCAACGATATAAAATGCTAATTTTACTTCACACCGACGGCCATAGATGGCCCTTCGAGAGGGTGTCGTAAAACCAAAATCTAAGTAATCCCAACAGCCAATCAGAGGAAAGGAAAAAAAATCCTAAGAGCCAATGAGAACTCCAAGTAAAAACAAGCAAACTCACTAAAGCGCGGGAAAACGCGATTGACCGAGTTGTAATGGTTTTGGTTTTGCATCTGTTTGCTTAAAAGAACGACACGAGTTTTTTTGGACCAATCACAGCGCGATGCAAAAATTTCTCTAATTCGTTAGTAAAATTCCACTCCTAAAGGGCGTATAATGTCTTCATCAGGAGATGTTCCTTACCTCGTAGACTGGTCTTGTTTCATAAACTGAGCCTTCGCTTCACTTTCATCATGAATTCTAGTGCTTAAACCGTTGATGTCCCCGCCAACAATGTCCACACCCTGAAGTAAAATATTCGAGTGGGTTTCGATTGTAAGAAATAAGATGAGGCCTTATAACTTTTGAAAACGAAAGAAAATTTTATTAGTCTGTAATGAAAGAGTACTTACAAGTTTAGCAAGAAATTCTTGAAAATCAACAGTTCCATTTGAATCTTCATCTACCCGACTCCACATCCTAAAATAATTGAAGAATGTCAGTAAGAGTGCGTTACATTAAATTTTGATTACACGATTCCAAACTTTATTTCATACTTAGTGTGACCATCTGGCAAAATTAATCAATGACGACACTTTGTGATTCTTACTTCTTCGGTTAACGCGTTTGTTTATGTTTTTTGTTTTCTTTCTTGATTTTTTGACGCATGGTAAAAAGTCTTTCTTATGTGCGATTTTTGTTAGTTAACGAGAGTTGTTGGATACCTATCTCTTGAGCAAAAGCGTTGTTTCGAAAGTGCCGCCGCCCTTTCTGGGCATGCGCAACGAAATAAACATCGACCTTCGACCTATTAATCGACCCTGGAAAAATCGGACACATTCACACAAGATGCAGCATTCTGCCGGAATGCATCTCAATATCTCATCTCAAATAATCTGCACCTAAATCAGTGCTGTTTTAGTAAAGTTATAATAATCCAAACTTTACATAAAATGGTGCCTTACAATTCAAAATGATCGTCAGAGACAGGAAGGCAGTATTTTTCCAGCAGTAGCCTCAGTTCATCGCGTGATATGGATCCATCTCTGTCTCCGTCAACACCAAGGTATGCTGAGGCAATTGCTTTCCAGTTATCTGTAATCTTTGCGCGCAAGATGTCTTCCACCTGACGAAACCATTCGGGTTTGATTCAACAGACTACATCAGTACTTGCATGTAATTTGTAACTTAGTTAGGTTTATACGTAAAAAACCCAGCCTGTACGTAATTAATGATAATGAACTTGTCGTACACCTTCTTCCAAATTGTCTCATCCAAATGAGCGGTAGATCACAGTTTCTTTCAGTTTCCCAACTCCGCAAGGTACAAATCCAAGCGGAACGTTTGAAGAACACGAGAAATTTTAAAGTGTGGTTTATTGCTTGGGTAAATGACGTCACGTTTTTGAATTTGCTGTAGATTTATCAACACAAAAGACGACAGTGTTGTAACCAATCATTTCTTCGCACACTATCCCAGTTAATTTAGATGGGAAAATGAAGAATGATAGAAACTGGACAACAACTATAATTTCATATATTACACTAAACGCCAACTTACAGTGGACCAAGCCATGACAGCTGGAGGGGACACACTTTTTGGTGAATGATCTGACATCAGCCAAGGGTGTGCACCCTAAAAGGAACAGTTACAAACATGTTGAAATACACTGTATGAAAAAGATCTAAACTTGAGCCACATGGCCAGTACATCTGGAGCTCATACTGGTCTTTGTAACATGAAGTTAAGATGAGTGTACTGCTACTCCATGGTATGGGTTACCTGTCTACTGCAAGGTTATCCCCCCTTCCTCTAGCATTTTATCAGGTTTTCCCACAGTTTGCCAGGACCCATTTAGACCCCAATATGGAGGAATGTAGAGTGTCTTTCTTAGTAACACAACACTATGACCCAACCAGGTTTTGGAATGAGACTTTGTGACTTAGAGCTAAAGCCTTTGGGACATCAGGTCTCTTGGTTTTCTTTCAAGCTTGCCTCAATTTTGTAAAATGGCCATTTGGTAAATCTGTAAAACGTATTAGAATCATAACTCAAATGATTCAGACAGTCTCTACTATGAAACCACTTTTCCAAAACAGCAAGAAATCACACAGTAGTTAATTTTTGCTATATGTATCCAGTAGCTTTTGCATTTAAAGATACACCAGCTGCAGTCAACTATCCAGATATGAGGGGTAAAACAAATTGATTATGTGAAGTCCCTGCTGCTCACCTCAGTTTCTCTTTGTTCAAATCTGTCCAGGAAATCTAGGTAGGAAATATAGCCTTTGTTGTAAGGATCAATCTTGGCCATCAACTCATGGAACTGCTGTTGACTCATACGGAAACAAAAGCTTTCTAGGACACGCCTGAAGTCACGTTTTGTGACACGACCATCTTTATTCTGTAAAGGAAACACATGAAAAGCCAATTAGACTACATTTGTAGATAATTGTATTTGTGCTCTGAGGGACTTTCACAATTGAAAGTTGCAGAGCTCTCTCCCAATATAAAAATTTTCAGGCATGTTTCCTATTGGTGACTACCATCCATCACTCCTAACAGTATCAACCCTGAATCAAGAATCAAGGTTAAATAAATAAAGGAAAGAGGAAGTGCTTTACTGCTGAGTGAATTCTTGATGGCAATACTAGTGTTATGGGAAAAGTTTGGAAAACAGTGTAGAGATTATGTATACTGATGTTAGGGTGAAGTGGGTTAAAAGCATCATGTACTGTACACCTACATCATCAAAAACAAGAAAGGCTTGCTTGATGGATGAGAAACTGTTCATGATCTTTGAATGGAGGAGTTTCCATATGTCATCTGTGGTTGGCATTTGTTCCGCTTCGCGCACTGGATTGTACCTGAAACAGCGAGAAAAATGTCCAGAATACAAAAGTTTAATACACCTGTTGTGATGCCCTTGATTGGCCATCTGATATCAATATCAAGCAAGTTAACTTCAAACAAGCCACTTAGCAATTAATTGATTAACATACTTATGATTGGGTTTGATTGGAATAGTCTGTCCATTTCCTTTTGTTACTGGTGCCTGGAACTTTTCAAGAAACTGTTCATAAGGTATCTTGTGATTTGCACGAATTCCACACCTAGAAAATAAAACAGAAAAAAAGGTTGAAATTTTCTAATCTGGTATATCTGTATTCAGGTTTTCTGTCCATGTGAAATCAATCTTTATATTTTCCTCTTATAATCAATTACCTGTCCATCAGCTCCACAAACAGTTTATCAGACATTGGAAAGGCAAAGTTGAACAGAACTCTTTTAAGTTCATCTAAGGTTACAAAACCATCCCCACGCTTGTCAAATGCCACAAAAGCACGAGTAATATTGCTGTGATTTTCTAGCATCTATAAAAGGAATAAAATAGTAGTTTTTTTATTTTTACTCTCCCAACATAGCATTCTGAAAAAAGCACAGATTAATCAGATTCCAAAATTGTCTCACAGTTTTGATTATCAGTTTAAAAGCAGAAGATGTCAAAAAATACCAAACAAAAATTTTGAAAAAACAAAGCCCTACATAAAATAAACTTTAAAATGTGCCTGTAAATAAATTGGAAAAAAAAAATTTTGGAATGCTTATCAACATTATTTTTAACATTTTTAAAATATAATATTAGAGGCTGCAATAAGGGAAAAGGTTGCAACCATGTCCACTCACCTTGACGCAAAAATCAGCTGTAACCCTGATCAAATGTACATTGTAATGATGCTATTTAATGGAACACACTCTGCTAAAAAATTTTCCAAGATTATTTACCTTCTTTCTGAGTTTATGTTCAAGTTCTACAATGGTGAGAACAGGAGGACTTTGCTTTCTCTCTTGGCCTGATTTGGGTCGACTGTTTACTGCGGCAAGTTTCACCAACTGTTGACCCTCAGCTTGGCCTGAGACAAAAAGTCACATGCAATGATCAATAAATAAGACCTAAATTATGTGAATTTAAAGATAAATTATGACTAAAATCACTTTGTTTACTATATTGTGTACCCTGTAAGTAAATACAATATCTACAGAAGTACATAATTTAGAGCATCTGTGACACAAGGCATCTGACTGTACACACTGTTATAACCAAAAGGCCTCCATAAAAAGTAAAAACAAAGAAATCAATCAAAGAAAAGCTACATAAACTTAAAAGTACTAGTATTGATAGTATTATGAGGTGCAGGCTAATTAACACCAAGGAATGTCAACTTCATCTGCTACTCATGACATACTCTGTGTTCTGTGACGAAGATTAAAAGATGTTTCAGGTGTTCTTCTGATACTTTCACAAGTGATTTTCCTTCCCTCTAAGGAGTACAAAAATGGCATTTCGCCATTGTAGTGATCTTGCAACAAGACTTGCCGCAAAGGTTCATTCTTCTTGATGCTTGGGAAGGTACATGATCGCCTGTGAGCCTTAGACTTGGAAGATATACGTTTCAAAGGCATGTAGAATGTAAAGTTGTTTTTTAAATTATCACGAGCATAGCCTTGGTTTGGCCTTCTTAGTTGTCCTCCAAGTCTAAAAGGAGTTTCCATAGCCAAATGCATAGTGATCTGACTTTAGAGAAGACTGCTTTACTCAAAATATTTATCACCAAAAATTTGATTCTGTTAAATCTCCATAACAGCTCTAGACTGACTGATAGAAACCATGTAAGTTTGTATTGAACTAGTGTTGCTAAGGAGATTCCCTAATTGTTTGTTTTGGTTTTTGTTATGATTAATTTGACAATATTAAGGAAATTAATATTTAACCATCAGCTGTATACTTAACCCTTAATTGGTAGATGAATAATTTGTTTTCAAAACAAGTCAAAGAAAGAAGTGAATCAAAATTTAAAACAACTACTAGGAATGTTTTTACTGGAAGCTTATTAATAATCTACTGTCAGTATTTTCAATACCTCAAAGATACTTATGTTCAATTTAAGTCAAAATATTTATTGAATCAGATGAGATCACAATAGTTTTTTTTTACTTCAATGCAAGTGTATATGTTTGCATCATTTTATTATTCTTCAAAAGCAGAATTAAATAGAATTTGGGTAAATGGAATTAAGGAAAATTAAAGAAAAAATGTTTGCTTGGTAAAAATCACAATTATTTGATGGCTGACAACAAACTTTTTTTTGATTATTCTACACCTGCAAGCCATTGTACTTATAAATTTTTTATCACAATCAGTGATAGTACTGGTTGATTCAATTCAAGAAATCCTATTCATTTGAACACAACCATGATACATGAACACCATAGATGCTGATCCACTGATTTGGAGTTGTCTAAAGTCACATGTAATTAACAAAGGAATTCTGTGCAAATATAACATCAATTATGGGTAATGAGTATTTTTTTTATATTCACTAGAAGAAATTGATCTCTTTTAACAAGAATAACACAAAATTATATGTATTTACAAATTAAAATATTAAGGATTGAAGACAAAAAACCAAAATTGAAAAATGAAAAACTTAACACATGGTAAATTTCATGATGTATCTGTACATGTATCTGTATTTGCAATACTAACAGCAAACATTCAAACAATTAAGGTTTTAAAGTCAACTCAGATTGGAAAGTACTTTCAAGTGTACTACATGTAGATGTCAAATCCAATTTGAGCCAAAATGTAGCATGTGGACTGAATAATTTTTAGCCACTAGTAACATGAACATGTCAATATGTGTTAAACATATTTGTAAATGAAGAAATAATTTACATGTACCTGTTTTACTCGCTGTTTGATTCTTAGGCTTTGCATTAACTCCAAGCCGTTTGAGGAAGTCCATGTACTCTAGAGTGTGACCATTCCGAGTCATGTCATATTTACACCATAACCTGTGGTGAGAATGGTGCATATGATTGGGCAGAAATAAAAGGACTCCCAAATATTGAAGCAAATGTGATATAAGAAATAATGTAGAGAGTTAAAATAAACATTGCCATAATAATAGGTGATTGTAAAACTGGAAACTTTATGAACTGTGCAGGGGTGACAGAAGGGCCTGCAGGAGTGGAGAGTCTTTTAATTTATACACAGCATACTAACTATACTAGCTAGTATACATACTAACTTAATTCTTTCTTAGACAAGAGGTTGGTCTCATGTAATAAACTACCAACCCCTTCTTAAATGGCTATACTTAGCAAACTACCCCTTATCAAACTGTGCCCCCCCACCCACCACTTTTACTTATTTGGCTACACTGCTTGGAAATCCTCTCCCAAAGCAATCATCTTTTTCAATATGAAGAACATTTTTTACAAAATTTTTATGCTTGACTTAGATCCTGAGCCTGGTCTTGAAATTATCAGAATGATGTCATCCACTTTGGAAAAAAATAAATTCTTCTCAGGGAAAAAAAATATTTGTCTAGGTTAACAGTAATCTAATTTTGAGTTATTTTTTTAACATACTTGTTAAACTGTTCATCTGTCAGCCTGAAGCAGAAGTTTTCTATAACCCTTTTCAACTCATGTTTCTGTATGTGACCATCTCTGTTATAATCAAAGAGTCTTAAAGCCTTCATCACACTTTGTAGTTGACCACCCATCTGAAAAGAACACATGTAAATCATACGCCTTTCATAAAAGTTTTTGGTCATTGATAATTTTTCTGCAAATTGATATCACCAATAAATTACCATTTAAGTAACGTGGTGATAAAATCTTTACCTTTCTCCTTAACTGGTTCTCAATCTCATCGATGGGTAAGGCATCTCCTGGAGATTTTGTTTGGTTAAACCTAGACACAAGAATTGTAATAATCACAAGGAGAAGACCAAAATAATAGATGGTTTAAGTTTTAAAAAATGCAGTGTAGCCTGAATTAATAGTGGTTTACAATTTATGTTGACACAATTTTCACTTGACTCTGACATTATGACCTCCTGAAGGTTGTGGAAAGGTACGTCGATATCAGCAGCTATCGACAACAGAAATCCTTTTCATGACTACCCAGAGGATCAATGGTAAGTCATTTACTATATTTATTTGGCTATAAGCCAATCTTGGCTATAAGAAGAGACCTGAAGTAAACTTGAGTAAAAGCTAAGAAAACCTTCCTCTACAATGTAAACTGTGAAGTGCTCAAGAGTGCTAGCAAAGTAATGTCAAAATATGTTCCTGAAACAAAAAGAAACACTTACTTGTGCAGAGTGCCAAGCAATCGTAACCCTTCTGGTGTTCCTCCTCTCTGGTGGTACTTCTCTAAGAACTCTATATATGATACTGACCCATCTCTGTTTGTACCAATCTGTTTAATTAAAAAAATTCCAAAACAATTTAATTAATTACCTTGGTTTTTGCCACTGTTGGTTTTTTACCAGGGTTAACTGAGGTGACTGTAATGTAACTATACTCAGTCTGAGAAATAATTACAGAAAAATGTGTGAAGTGTGCATGCATACATTTCAGAACAAAGACATGGCAGACTGAATAAAAACAACAACAAAACCAAATAAGTTCAAAGTTTGAGTCAACTGGTCTGATGCATATGGGAATCCTAGTCATGTCTCCCTCCCTAACTGAGTGACCACACCCATACATTGAGTAGTTACATTTCCCTGATCCTGGCGGATCTAAACTAGAGTGGCAAGACCAAACAGGTCAGAAAACAGCACAGCGGCTGTTTAATGTGTTTTCCAACCAGTGTTGAGAGGGATATAAGAAAGCAAAGAACTTGACACATAAATGACTTTTTAACTACTGCCAAGTTTGGAAAACTTAATGAACTCAACAAACAATTTGTTTGTCAATATGTAAGAATTAAAATGTTGGAGGCATCAGACATCAGACAATCGACAACTTCGATCAATATAACATGATCACACTTGAAGGGAGACAGATTACTCTTGGGAGCAGGGTAAGACAGCTTGGGACAAAGTACCCACATTCTGAATGCATCTGTCAGAGGGACATGGAATTTGTACCTTTTTAATGAGTTGCTCAAACTGATCCTCGGTGAGAGGAACACAGAACGAATCCAGAGCTCTTTTAAATTCACTTTGAGTTACTGTGTGAGTCTTTTCTGCATCAAATGTTTGCAGAGCCTTGTAAATGAAATAAGAAAATTTTGTTAATATTTTAACAATAATTCAGATCACAATACATGGGGATGTGTAATATGTAGAATCACCTTTAACTAGAAATATTATTTGAATGTAATGAAATGGTAGATCAGAATAATTTCCCAAAAAGAGCAAAAAAAGCATAACTGAAAAAAATGACAACAACGTTGTGAGGAATTAGTTAATGTTAATGTTCCACAGATCTTTCTGCATTTTTTAGTTAGCCCCTCCGTAGGTAATCAAATTATTATGTGTCAGCAATAAACTGATAAACTTCTGACAAGGAACGTAATAAATGGACAATTTTCCCCCCTCAGCAAACTGGGACAAACTTCTTCTTCTCAAATGTTTCTTAGAAATCACAACAGCTTCACAAAGCAACTAATGAATAAATTGTCCTTTAAATAATTCGATGAATCTGCTTGGAGACAACTGATTTGAATTTAAGGGGAAGGAACACAAAATCAGAGGGATGTCGTTGTTGAAACCAACGCTAACTGGGATCTCACCTGACGCAGTTCAGCGGCATTTACTCGGATCTTTTCTCTCAGACGTGACTCGATCTCTATAAAACTCAAATTTCCGTCTGGAGACTTAGGTGAACCTACACAAAACATGGGAAAATAAGCAAACGAAAGCGAGCAATGTTGTTAACAACCCAATGGTAGTCGAGCATCAAACAGCGTCCTATTGAGCTCCATAGAATTCAATTGTACGAAAGATGTAATTTGCTCGAGCACAAGAAGTTCACTTGCATCTGTATGACGAACAAAAAACGTAGTTATTAACTGATGTTTTGTGTTCCGCGCGCGAGGGAACCACTGTTCTAATAGGTATAACGCGCATTCTGATTGCGACCGACAGAAGATTTCGATGTTAACCAAAAATTTGTGGGAAAATGTATATAGGGAAACTCTGATTTTTTAAAAATTTTCGATAGAAGTCACGGACAAAAATTAAAATGGAATGATCTTCTACTAATCAAAACTTAATTAAAGTAAAATAGCAACAGATTGAACACGCTCAGCGGGTCATCAAGTTGTTTGTATCGCTTACCTAAACTTGAACCAGAAGAATCCCGCCTTCCAGGGCGTATGATTAACATACTTGATGCAACCCCTTTTGATCCACGTGAAGAAACAGCAACATTCCGCCCGCGAGAAATGTTTCCAGATGAAGGACGATCAAGTGTTCCAAAGCCAGCTGACTTTCTGGAAGCTGGCCGAGGTGTTATCGTTAGTGCACGCGAAGATGGTCGAAGATCAGAAAAACTATGAACAGCCGGAGCAACTGCAACCTTGGCCATATTTCTGTATCGATCTGTAGAATTGAACTCGAAATAATGGAGGAAATCAAAGCGAAATCTCATTCAGTGTGTTGCTGACATTTGAACAGCCATTTTGCTTTCGTTGTTGTGTTGTTGCTATGTGGCTCGGATTCCCTTGAGCGTGGTTCCGTTGCTAGGCATTCGTTCGCGGGAAACTTTGATGAGCTTCTCGCATCCATGGGCATCTTGCCTCCGTTATGTCTCAGCGTCCTCTGTGCTAGTGCGTAGGCTTGCTGAGTGGAATAAACGGAGCCTTTCGAAAGAAATAAAATCTCAATTGATTTCCACCTAACAATTTAGAGTAAACCTGAAGTGGGTCCACTTAAGATGGGGTGTTCCTTCCCCTAATTTTTTTTCAGGTTGGAAAGCGGCAGCGGACAGCAGAGGTGAGAGGAAAAGATGCGTTTGTTTCTCTTACTCCCTTAGATACACAGGGAAATTTTAACGGAGGTCGCACCCATTATATTTCTGACATTTTCTATTTATTTCTTTTTTGTTTCTCCTTTGCCTTTTGTTGGTTTGGTTTTAAATGGTAGTGTGCTTTTAGCCTAAGGGAGGTACCACTGCTACTACAATAGTTCGTCCACAATATTTCTTTCATCTGATCTCCTCACAATGTTGTAGTCAAACTCTTTCTCTGGATCCGACTTAGAGGTAAACTGCAGTTCGCCTCTCGACCCTCATAATCCCCAGTCTCCCGAGAGTCCGTACTTGCTCCCGTAAAGCAACGCTTTTGCGCGCATCCGGTCACGAGTCATAGAACGCAATCTCTTGTGCGTTGCGTCACGAGTCATATAACGCTATATTTTGCGCGTTGCGTCACGAGTCATATAACACTATCTTTGGCGCGTTGAGTCACGAGACATAGAAAGCAATTTCCTGCGCGTTGCGTCACGAATGATATAAAGCAACCTCCTGCGCGTTGCGTCACGAGTCATACGACGCAATCTCTTGCGCGTTGCGTCATGAGGTCAATATACCCCTGTGAGGGAAGCGACTTATTTCCACATAAAGCCATTGAAGGCAATATGCTGAGTCTGATTGATCGTAAGTATTCCACAAAGCTTTTTTTTCCTTGATTAACTAGCAGGAAGTTTGCCTGTGTTTCATGTCAGGCTAGGTAAACCTTCTCAGTGGGTGACAACTTTCAGCAACACATAGGAAAATGGTTCTGCATGACACTGTCATAAATTTCTATGGAGGAAAATAATCAAAATTCGACTATTTCTATGATTGAAGAGTGGAATAGTAGTTGTTATGCAGACACCACATTTCTAATCTAGGGAGAAATGAACAGAAAATCCACACTTTTAAATATTGGTAAGAGAGGATGCATTATTAACTTTAATAAACTTCTTAGACCTAAGTTAATTGCTATCAAGGGATTCTATGAAAGAACATACTTTAACCATGTTCTTGTGGATGGGATGATAGTCCATGGATATATAGGTTACATTTTGTTCTTCCATGTACCACACCCTTTGTTTTATGCAGTTTTTGTAGAAAGCAAATCTATATAAGCCTCTTTGATGAGATCAGCTTCTTCAACTCCTAGCTTTGACATTAAGTCCCTTGCAATTTGTTCTCCTTCCATTGCACTTTGGTTTTCCTTCATCACGACCTAAGATGAAGCAGATTTAATGAGATGCAGACCTGTTCGCTGATACGATGAATAAAATGAAATGCAACAATAGAAATCATGGAAAAGGAAGCACAAAGTTGTGTATTTCTTAATTTATAATAATTATGTGTACATTGTATATTCAGAAATGTTGTCAAACCTCCAGTTCCATAAAACAACCCAATCCTTCAACTTCGTCACAGTGTACTCTTGTCTGTCCCACAAGATATAAGAGACGCTTTTTCTTAACCACACCTGACCAAGTAAAGAAATTAATTCTCACCTTAAAAACCCAAGATAATCACTCATATCTTCAATTAATGACTCCATGGAGAGCTTCTTGGTCAATTCTCTAGGGACTTCAACAGCTAATAGCATCATGTAGGGGACTAAGTCAAACAGAATTGCGCAGAAACAGTTTCCCCAAAATCATAGTAATAGAGGTTGCTGAAGCCTAATGGATAACTTTATTTTAAGTTTCTAGTATATTTTTGAACTGGAATATGCAGGACTATTTATCCTTCATCCCATTATATCAGAATCCATGTTCTCTCTACTATTCAATATACATTTCCTCAGGTGCTGACAAAGAAAATTTGTTTAATAATCAGGAACTGTTTTTGTTCATGATCATTCCCCCTATTATTATGACCTTAATGTTCAATCAAGGGGTTAAAGTGTAAGGAGAAATTAGATTCTAGTCACCCTTGGGGGAAAAAGATTAGTAAAACTTCCCACTATTTTGAAGTGACTGATCGGTAGAAACTTTCCTTCTTATTAATACCCTTTTACCTTTCTCTCCAACCGCACGGGACAGAACATCAGCTAATTCATCAGGTTTATCAGTTGTTGCAGTATAAAATTCTGACACCTTTGGGCCAGATCTGTCATCTCTTTGATAAAAGATGAGTTGAGATGGCTCATTCTGAAGGAATCGTAACTGAAAGAAAAAATTTCTGCTGTATCATTCATCCTGACATGCACAAACATAAATCACAGTAGGCCAGTTTGGTTTGGACTCAACCACCCAATCTTTTTAAAAAAATGTTTTATTATCTTTAGTTACTACAATTATTTAAGTATATTACTTTCTTCTTTTTAAGTTTGCCGAGGTCGGTAAGACTTTACACCAGTTGCACCACATGACATTGAGCTAAATGACATCGGACAGAAAATCCCCACTTGAAATTTTAACTTTAACCCCTTAAGAGTGATCAGTCCTAAAATTATTAAACACTAAATTCCCAAGACCAGCTGATAAAGATATGTGTTGAGACCAGTTGTGTGTGTTAGCCATGAGAATTTTTCACAAGTACCTTGAGCCTTCCTTGTGGTACATTGAAAAATACGTCTTTCTGCTCGATAATCTCTCCTAGGCAAGCAAATGTAAAAAGACGTAGTGCAAATTTCAGCTGGACTATGTTATCATAAAGGTGTTTTTTAAAATTTGCATCTAAAGGTCGCCTGCAGCAGGTAAAACTCGTTTACATTCCAACAGGGACTTCAAGCGACAAATTAACTTGCCCGCCCGCTTGTCTTAAAGCAAACGTCTTACCTTCTGAATCACTGATTTCCTTTGCTTTTCTTTTGAAGGTTTCAAAATCTTTTACTTTTGCTTTGATTTCAACGTTGGAGGGCATTTCTCTTGATGTAACAGTTAAGTTAGAAATGTATTCGAAAGATCGGAAATCGAAGTGAAGAAAAACGCGCGAAAATGTAACTAATTGACGAGAGATATGTTGTGTAGTTTTCCTAAAACGTCCTTTAAGCCGTAAGAACATTTTATTCCTTAGTAAGTTTAAAGAGAGAGTTTTTGAATATGAAGTGTTTACTCTCGGTATAATTCATGTATTAAAAAGCTATGAAAGAAGATTCCTGCAGAAGGAGATTTTTCTATCGACATTTCTTTTTATTGTTTTTATATGAAAAAAGTTTGTACCGCTGTTTTTACTCACCACGGGCTAGACTAGTCTCCAGTCTTGCTCTTAGAAAAACTGAAGCGCCATACTTCGAACTAATCAAAATGGCTGCGACTCGACGTGAAAACTCGTGAATGACTGAGCACAACTTTAACAACAATTATGGATCGACCCTCAGTTGATCAAGTAAGGGCTATCATTGGTGCCCTGTACAATGATTCGGATCCAAATGGAAAAGAGAAAGCTTCAGAGTGGCTTCACGAACTTCAGCGCTCGGTAAGGGTAAATTTAGGTAAATGTAGCTTCTCGAATGCATCTTGGTTTACGAGTCAGTTTCGAGAAGTTGGCTATTAATTCAGTTTAGGGCTAACGTCTGCATGGTTGTAGACTCATGAGAAATTGTTTGAATCCTTTCCAGTGTAGATATTTATGTCCTTGGATCAGTCGATATTCCCGAATTAATGATCGCTAATGGTACTTGTAATGTGCCCATTTTACTTCTGAGTTTTAGAGTACTGCTAGAAAATATGTTAATTTTATTTTCTGAGTATCGTTGATGGCCCTCTCAATGTGTAGCTACTTAATTAAATTTTTATGTGGCATGATTCGAATCATACTAAACCTACACAAGCTTCTTGGATAAGCTGGATCAGAAAATTCAGATTGGTTTTACATTGGTGTAGATTGATGTAGAGGAAGTCTTTGCAGTTCATGTACTTAATCCAAGAACAATTTTGAAGGGTTTCCCTAATCGTTTGTACTTGATCCACTATTTAGTCTGTGTTAACAGATGTTTTTTTCAGCCAGGGGAACACCATAAGCTTGCTATTGAATCCTTGCCTCTCTCTACTGGACCTCCTGTGTTGCCTGTTGTATCAACAAATCTGTTCCAGGTCTGATTTTTGGGTGTAACAATTGTTTATTTTAAATCAAAAATTGGCAGGTATACTTCTTATAATGGGCTGTCTTAAAAATGCATTACACCCACACTGAAAATGGTAAGAAGGAAGATTAATTAAGAAACAGGTGGCTCAGTTCTTAAAACAAATTGTTTTTTTGAAAAATTGTTTTGTCTTTTTAGGTTTATGCTTGGGAAATAGCTGACCAACTTTTAAGGTTAAACATAAATGTAGAAACAAGTTACTTTGCGGCTCAGACCATGCGTACAAAGGTTAGTTGTATTCCTTTATCAGTAGTAATAAGCATGTTGCTTTCTATTTTTATGATTGAACTCTAGTCTAGTCCCTTTTCTCTTTGATTAATGCTGTCTGTAAATGGGCATCTTTGAGGAAATTTGCAAGTGGTGTTATAAAGAGGATATTCTTATGGTAGAATATTTTGGTATGGTTGAAATACAGGCACTGATTGTAATTGTTTATAATACCACTTAGTTTTGTGGCTGATATATTGTGCATCCTGATTGGCTTAGAGTAAGAAATAATCAGGGGATTACCCTCCCATAGTACCCATAGGCAGATTACAAATTATGTAGATTAAGAAGAACACAAAAGTTCAGTCAAGGATCGCAGCTCCCTTTTTTATGATAAAAAAATAATTTTTTGTTGATAAATGTGGGAAAGTAAAGGGTTTTTACTTACTAGCAGGGGTAACTATGGCCATTAATGAAGCTTTTAGTGATGTTAAGCTAAAGGACAGTGTGACCCATCATGCAAGTATGTTTCTGATGATGAGATTCAGATAGCAAATCCTTTTTTTAAAATGTGTTAAAAAATCTTGATTTTGAAAGAGTACAAGCCCTGCATGGCACATACTTTACAAATTTCATGCATGCAATTCTTACTGCTAAGGTGTTAATATCAATTGCCTTTTCCCATTCAGGTTCAATATTATTTTTATGAACTGCAACCAGCACAATACCAGGTAAGATAATAAAATGTTTCAGTGTTTGACACTAATGCTTGTCCCATTGGGATAAGTGGAACATCTCTATGGGCAAGTAAACAACTCTAAAACTTGCCCAATCAGGCAATTGGAATTTTTGTTTAAGTAATTCATTTGCATAATGAACTGTAGTAGGTAGTAATAGGATATCATGACCATAAACACAATTTATAAATAGACATCCTTACATCTGTTTTCTTTCTTATTTCTTTTTCTGTTAAACCTATTTAGGCATGAACCTTAAAACATGTCTATAGCCATAAAAAATACAATGTTCGCAGCCACCATGTTCTCTGTGCAAAAGGAATGCTTGTTTCAATTATGGAGCCCCGTTTCCAAACAGCCAATAATGCAGTTGATATTTTTACAAAGTGTTTACTGAATTTCTACTTTGAAAGCGACAAGTGTGCACCAAATTATCAGATAACAGTTTATTATAGCATTTGCTTGGACAAAACTTAATGTCAACTACATTACATAAAATTGAGAATTTATTATTTATTTGTATAGGTAATCACATGATTTCGAGTGCAATTTGGAATAAATAAGCATGAGTAAATTTTTTTAAAGATTAACAAAATTGCACAAGCCCCATAGGGCTAGTGCAATTTGTGGTCTTTAAAAAAATTAGCAAGTGCTTGTTTATTCCAAATTGCACGAGAAAAATCATGTGATTACATGTTAATAATATACATGGAAAAATACAAGATGGCTTATCATAATTTAATATAGGCAAAGCGTGCACATCAAGTGCAAAAAATAATTTATTCAAACTGTGCGTTCAGTCAAAACAACCACGTAGGATCAAAACAATAATAGGCAATGATATCTTCACATCTCTAAGGTGCAAGAAAGTTCAAAGTCCGACTAAACAGTTCAAGGAATAGTTCAATCTGTGTCTGAAGCACTTTCGATGAAATGGAATCGTCGTTTCCGAGGTTTAACTATGACTGTTTTTAATTTCAGCGTTGGATCACTCGAGCAAAGTGTTAAGCTGGGTCGGCTCATAATTTTCGATTTCCTTGGCAATTCCCCTCTCTAAACACCACTTTTTCCAAACTGACAACCAAAAAGCAGTGCTTTTTATAGTGTTTTCGTTGTTTCAGCTGTTTTTCAGCTGCGGTGGCGAAAGAAAACCTACTTAAAACGCTGGCCATTGTTTCGCTCCCAAATTTTCAAATTTTGTTGCGCCATCCAAGGCTCCCATTTGATTGGCTATCTATGAGTTTCTTTGATTATTGACCAATCAGAATGTCTGATTTGTTTCTTTCTCTGCACTGAATTAACCCTCTTCTGCACTGAATTAACTCTCTTCTGCACTGAATTACCTGAAAACTGCATTTTCTTAACCAATCAGAACTGAGTAATTTTTCCATGTATATTATTAATTTTTAAACAAGCCTCCTTTGATTTCTCCCTAGCAATGGATCTTAACCCTTTAACCCCTAATAGTGACCAGTATCTAATTTCTCCTAACAGTAATACTGTTAGGCAATTTACTAAGATCATGAGAATAAAGGAAATGAATTCTCCTTGTTATTAGCAAAGGAAATGTAGCTCTAGGAGTATAGAGAATATGCATACTGATGTTAGGGTGTAAAGGGTTAAGTAAAAGGGGAAACCAAACAAACCAAACTGGTTGCCCAAAGGATAAATTAACCAGAAATTTGTGTTGAACACTGTGTTGTGACCAGAATGAATTTGAATCATGATCATGATCATTAAGAGCTGTATGTAGCTGTATGAGGTTTGTTTACAAATATGATTGGTTAATTGTCCACTAATTGTATGTTATTAAACTAGTTATGTCTATTCTGACTTTTTGTTGCAGTCGCTTAAAGATTCTCTTTTGGATCATCTATGTACTCTTCATTCTGTCTCTAATGCTATTGTAACTCAGGTATGTAAAGTTGGATTTCAGGATTTGTAACCTAATTCATCAGATGATGGAGATTGAGATAGCAAGTGCTCGAGGTTGAGCTTTGGTTGCCATGGTGAATAAATACATTTTTGGACTAAATTTACATGGAAAGTCACCAAGTTTGAACTGAATAAGTGCATGTTGTGACAAAGAGTATAGTGCATTTGCTTTTTTATAGGCTAGAATAACGTAGATTGAGTTAAGAGGTGCTCTAAGTTGAGACAGTTTTGGTTGCCATGGTGGGTAGAAAGATCTTTTGGACTAAATTTGCATGGAAAAATCTCCTAAGTTCAGACTGTGAAAAAGAGTATTTTTCATTGGTTTTTTGGTGGCTAAAATGTTATGTCAGTTACTAGCCAATTGATGATTTTGGGTAGTCAAAAGGAGTCTTTGGAAAATACTTGAGCTTGTAGCCCTAATAATTCAAACAAATACACCATTGTAATGTGTGAAGTCAAGTGCGAGTCAAAGATTAGTCCTTTTAAGAAACATCACTGATGTGCTCTTCCTGAACAGTTGTGCCTTACCCTTGCTGATCTTGCTGTACAAATGCCACAGTGGAAGGAGGTTGTCAATGATCTCTGTCAGAGGTACTTGTAATATTTGAATATGTTTTCATGATTTTTTGTTAGAATGCTTTCTAGTTGTTAGTACTTTATTTTGTCACTTCTAGATTTGGATCATCAGTGGAGAGACTACCTGTTCTTCTAGAAATCTTAACAGTTCTTCCTGAAGAGGTTAGTGTGCTCTATGTAGTTCAGAGTTCTTTATTAAGTGATGTATTTAGAATCAATATGACAACCAGAGACAATTTAGTATGGAGTTTGGAGATTTACAGAAGTAAGTTTTTTAAAAGTTTAACTGTTAATAAGGAGACTTACCTTTAGGAGACAATTGTTTTGACTGATCTCTGTGAGTAACTACCTAATTTTTTTACACCCTGAAGTGTGTGCTGCATCCAAAACAAGAGGCTGCAAGTTTAATTTTTAAATCATTGTTTTGACCTTTGCATAGATGAAAACTAAGTCATGTATAATAACCTTTCTTTTGATAGCCAAGTGGATTTTATGCCAGCATTTATTAATTACCATGTTGTTGTGATAGGTGGGTAGTCATCATCTCAGAGTAGGTGCCAACAGAAGGGAAGAAGTAACCCAGGAACTTCGTGCCTCAGCAGCCACAGTCCTCAATCTCCTTGTGAGCATAAACTTTTAAATTAAGATTAACAAAGAAACTAGGTCAATTCACAAGCTAGAAATTTTACTTTGCTCGGTGTCCTTTTAAATCTTGTTTGGTAACCTGACTGGTAACCCATAGTGTGATTAACTCTTCTCATCTCTTGGTGATCTGTTAGAACAATGAAGGAACAACATGCAAAGGCATTCTTGACTCAAATTGAATCTTTATTTGTGTGTTAAACAGAACAGCAGCTGTTTGCAAACTGTGTTGTGTTTTGTGTGTGCAGGCCAGGTCATTGAGGTTGTTTCAAATGATGGCATCCTTTAGTACATTTGTATTACATCAGTCTCAGTACAGTCAAATCTTGATTATCTGGATTTTTCTATTTTCCAAACTTGCTTCCCTGGTCCCATCTAGAGAATTGAAGTTTGACAGTATCTCACTTTCTAAAATAGTTTTTCACTACATATTTATATAAAAGTAATCTTATTTTGAATTTTCTTTACAGACAGCTTGTGTTAGCCAATTTCCAACCGATACAAATGTAAAAATTAGGGTAAGGAAAGATTTATTGAAATGTATGTTCATCAATTTTTTTATTTCTTCTGTTTGGTTAAATGTGTTCCTTTAAGGCTGCCTTCTGTTAGGAACCACAGAAAATCATTTGATTCTTGTTTAAGAATTAATGTTCAAAAAGGGGAAACATACAAGCAGGCATGATACAAACTCCTCATCATGAACAGCTGCACTGGATTGAAATTTAGGATAACTCCAATTCAGTTCTTATTGTCCAGTAGACAGCTGACTTGATATTTATGGTGGTTATTTTTTCAGATGTTCCGTTGTGCTGGTAGCTGGGTGACCCTTAGTGCATTTCCACCAATAGAATTTGTAAGCAGTGATTTGTTGCAGTCAACATTCAAAGTCTTGGTAAATATTCCTTTAAAGCACCTATTTTTTGATGCTGTAAGTTATAACATTGGTTCAAACTCATTAACTGGCCATGGTCCCCTTAATAAATCGACAAGACGGATTGTTTCTAAAGTAGTTTTACTAGCAATTATTGTCTTACATTTATACATTTATTCCAACCAGTTTCTCCATAAGCCCTCAGAAAGTCACAATTATAGAAAATTAAGATACAATGGTGGTAATAATGATAATAATACTGCAGTTATACATTGATAGTGATGGTTTCTATTATTTTCATCAATATCAAATCTGTATTGGTTTTAATATTATTACTACCATTAATAAAGATTTTTTTAAAATTCACTTGTGATCCATGGAGCTAACTTCCATCATCTTAAACTGCCCAATACATGTAATTCACTCATAAAGCTGATCTCAAATTGACAGTGCAGTTTCTTTTTTCTTTTTATACCTTTTTAGCATGAGGCTGATTGCAATGATGTGTTACATGAAGTAGCTGCAGACTTCATTTGTAATGCACTCTACACATCTGAGGTGTGTAATCACATTTCTTTTGGTTATTGTAGTTTGTTGAGGTGATTTTTAAACATAATTTACTCTCAATTGAACTTATTTAGTATTGCATAGAATTATCTCCATAACTGATTGACTTTACTGAACATAAGATTTTGTGCCATTAAGATCTCAATCAATTCTTCCCTTGTACAATCAAAAAGTTCACATAGTAAAGGTTGCTGTTAAACTGCCTTACCCCTTGCCATGAATGTTAAACTTTGATTTGTGAATCCCAAACGATTACTTACTACTAGTATTTGAAACATTAATTCCCAAAATATCTGATGATAAAATATCGATTCTAAACTAACATTTCACAGTCAATAAATTTAAGACCACTTTCTCAATAATTGATTCTTGTTTAGGCAAATTTTCAATGATTTTGTCAAATATGCAGAAAGATGCAGGTACTTTTTGCAGTGTGATGAACTGATAAGGAATATTTCATGTACTAATTACACTGCACCAAGTGAATTCAAGTGACATTTTGCCCAAACCCTAGATTTCTTTACTAAGTAACTCAATGCCCTTATTAAATAGTGACTGGAAGGACCCCTCCCACCCCTTAGGGGTTAGTAGAAATGCATACTGTACTTTGAAGAAATTGTCAGACTGACAAATTTATCAACTTCAATCATCAAACTGGACTTAGCCTTCTTTGTTTTTATTGTGATTTCTTTTCTTCTCTGTTTAGAACCTTGAGAAACAGGAAAAGCTTGCGGAAGGACTTTTTAACTATGTGATGATGCTGCCACCAGCTTATGAGAAAGCTGTGCAAAGTGAAGACTTTGATCGGTAAGTAACTGTCATCATGGTCACAACATTTAGTAGTATTTATACTTTCCATCTTTTGACACGATTATTTCTCAGGCAGAACTGAGGAAATCATCTTGTTCCAGTGTCAGCTTGAACAATTCAGTTCAGGTTGCATTAATTAAATATTTCCCCATTGCATTTGGATATTTATTCCTGAATTGTATATTAGAATCATAGCTCTCTATCAATGATTTTCTTCTTTAGAATACTCTCTTTCTAGCCAGCTGGGAGACATGTTGTGAAGCGGTTGTTAGACAAATTTCATGTCCTTTATGTATTACTTTTGCAGCGCTCTCAATATCTGCAGAGTTTTTACTGAAATGGGAGAATCTTTCCTACCTGTGATTGTCGAGTCACCTGGCAGGGTAAGAGGATCTTTATTTACAATAGATACTGCTTATAATACTTGTAAGTATTCTTTGAGACCGTAGACCGAAACGACGCAACAGTTAGAACCAAATCTTTTACTAATCAGCCCTCAAGAGAGTGATAGTGAAACAGGTTACTTCAGAAAACAGGAAACTCCATCATTCCGCATTCAAGGTTTAAGAATTTGGAAAAAAGCGTTCGAATGGACTTTATGTATGATAGCGTTGCTTGCCACATACATTGCATGCGCTGTTTATGTCTCGTGAAACTGATGCTAAAACTTAATCTGTCGCATTTTAATAAGTCCTTGACTTAAAATTTGTTATTTTCTCTCTTTTGCAGGGTCTTGGTGACTTAGGAACACTCACCATTATATTAACATGTGTAAAGCATTATCAATATGAGGTAATTTGTTATCTTGCCGTAGTCTTCATTTGTGTTCTTTAGGGGGCATTTAATTTAATCGATTGTCGTAAAACCGAATAAACGCGATTTCCCAATCTTCAGGTAATTTGCGTGCTTTTTTCTTGAGTCCTTATTAACAGCTAGTTATATTGCCTTTTATCTTGGCTGTTGTAATTAGTTTGGTTTTGGTTTAATGACACACGATGGAAAAGCGCTCTAAGCAGTCAATTGAAAATTTCTTCATGTGCAGTAAATCAACCCAACTAAATTCAAACGTAGAGCACCAGCTTATTTAAACAAAATTTTCTGGATGAAAATCTTCTAATACTTTTTTACAGGTGGCAGAGGTAACATTTAACTTCTGGTATCGTCTATCAGAAGCTTTGTATAAGACGGAAGACGAAGCAAAGGCAGCCCTCTTTAGACCATATTTTGAAAGTTTACTTGAAGCGTTGTGCGTCCATTGCCGGTTAGAAACTGATGCTGTAAGTACAGAAATAATAATGATTAATACTACTACTAATAATAAGTGAATTTATCGTAATCCAAAGTGGTTGATGAGAATGTTTTTTGGACAGCTGTGGAAAAGGTCGCGTAGCTTCGTACATGTTTGGTCAGATACTTCCGCATTGGTCTGGCCGAATGCGTCGTTAAGTCCCTGAAAAGAAAATACGTTTTGTAGGTTCTAGTAGGAGGCATTAAAGACAGAAAGGTTTTAATTATTAACTTTTAAACACTTTTTTTTTCGTTGCTACTTCGTAAGAAATCGAACCAGTCAGCAATGTTTTGTTGTTATCTCCCATTCTACAGCAAGGAATCCCAGATGACTGTGACGAGTTTGGAGAGTTTCGACTCAGGGTCGCGGATCTCATCAAGGATTGTATATTTATTGTAGGATCAGGAAACTGTTTTAGTCAGGTGAGACGGTATAGGGATAGTTAAAATGGTTGTATAGGAGTTGTTCAGGCACGGGTCCTATGTTTTGTCTCACTCAACAACATATAAACAGTGTAAAAGGAAAAAAAGGCTTTAAGGTCAGAAAGCTGTAGAAGTAAATATACTTTAATTGACTTTGAGTCATTTGCAAGCAAAAGGAATTGATAGATGTGAATTCTTGTATCTCTAGATGTACAACAGTATTGTACAGCAAGGAGACGCAGTTCCTTGGGAATCAACGGAAGCCGTCCTGTTTGTGATGTCAACAGTGGCAAGAAATGTACCACCGTAAGATAACCGAACTGATTTTTTTTTTTATGAAGTGTCTGTGGGATGAGGTTAGCTCATCACTACCATGTTATCCGTAACTGATCTGGCAGTTTTATCGCTGAATGCCGTGCACTTCTTGCTGTCTGGTGAAACAGTGCTTTGCTTTGTGACTAATTATATTTCACTTACAAAAGTGATCGATTCCGAGACCATCGTCAAATGGAGCTATTATTTGAATTGTATATTAAAACAGGACAACCTCTGTTGACAAGTTTAAGGTTTCTGTAACACCGCTTGAATTGTCTTCTTCAGGAATCTTGAGGTGGTTGGTCACGTTCTACCCGTAGTGTTAAACTTACCATCAAGCTTACATGTGGCTGTGAGACACACAAGCATTAAACTTGTTGGTGAGCTGGCAGAATGGATAAAAACACATCCGGATTATCTTGGTAAGTAGAATGCGGACTCTAATGAATTAAACCCACGGTGTAGTCTGCTTAAGTGCCACTACGTTCTTAGCAGTTTTTCTGTAAAAAAAACACAAGGCGCAGCCCCTTTCCTTAGGCAGCTTTCCAGTTATTTACTTTTTTAGGAATCCTGAAGATGTTTTCCTTTAAGGATTTAAATATTTCCTAAAACCATCTGCCGCCTATGAAAATCTAATTAATGCACTTTTGGATTGGCTAGATTTTCTCCCCATTATGCCTGTGTCATTCACTGAGTAACGCCTGCGCGCAGATGCATCACATACCGTTTTTCCTATCCTGGCAATACGCAGGATATTTGTCACCGTGGACCTAGTTTGACCGCCTAGCCTGCCACGAGTCTCCTGTGACTCAGTGCTAAAGCGTCCGAAGCACTAATGGGAAGGTCATAGGTTCAACTCCTATTCGGAGCACTCGGAGTTCTTTTTCTCTGAGTGTGCTTGTGTCATTCATTGGATTACATCATCTTGCACTTCATTCCATTTTTGTTCAGAAGATATTGAACTTTATGTTTGTTGGTTAAGAGAGTTACAGCGTGACACTAAATCACCTTGTATTACTTTCTGTGATGGTGTTATATTCTTGCTTCTTAATTATAAGTTTTTTTTTTCTTGTCCAGATCCCATACTTCAGTTCTTGTTGTCAACTGTCCAAGATCCCAAACTATCGTCAGTGTCAGCCTTAGCTATTGAAAGCCTTTGTATGGCTTGTCATTCACAAATGACAAAATATTTCGACGTTTTAGCTCAGGTAACGACAAGTTATGATGCGTTATTTTTTAAACTAGTTATAGACAGAACACCTTAATTTCAACTGTAGTTAAAGACTATTTGAAAAGTTTTCTAATTTACATTGCGTTAAGGTTTGCTCTATGAGTTGTAAGTTTTAAGTTCCTAAGTCTTGGTCTGATCTCCGTCCGATCTGACTGGTTGAGCAGTTCGCTTTAAGAATGGCTCGGGTCTTCCAGTTCTTAGAACTCTTAGAGAAGGTTTTCCTTAACCCACGCTATCGTTCGAATGGGCTAGTCAATCCTTGAGTTCCTGCGTGGACTACTTAGTGTACAGAAGTTTTACTTTTGTAATGTTGGAATGACTGTTTAAACCTATTTCCAGAGTGAACGCGATTCGCGCGCGTTTACAGGCGAGTAAGGAGATTTCCACCTATTTTAAAAGGGTTAACTTTTGTCTTTATCATCGCAGGTGGTAGTAGCAGCCGATTCGCTTTCCATCTCAAGTGATTCTTATATTGGACTCTTGAAAGGTTAGCTTCTTGATTTCGTAATGCAGGATTCGCAAAGACCAGAAAAATTTTAAAGTAATGGATTTTTTACCTTATTTTCCACGGAAGGTGGGAAAGTGATATGGAACGAACTTGATCAGCTCTTAAAAGTAAAATCTGTGCATCAGATGTGACATCATCTCCTTTTCAAGAATATCTCTCAGCTTCTATTAATCTGTATTCGTTGTAGGAGTGTGTAAAGTTTTAGAAGGGATAGAGTCAAAACAACTTTCCGAAGGTTTAAATTCTATCTGCGGAATACATGTAACGTCACTTAAACAGGTAAGTGTTTTCAAAATCTGTCGCGTCTCCAAGGTAACATGAAACCCAAAAACAGAGATCTGCATGCTGAACTAGTGGTCCCTGTTTTAGGAAATGTATTATGCACGCGGACTGAACGCTTATCGTTGTTAAAATTATTTGCTTATTACATATTGTGGTAGTTGTTGTTGGTTTCTTTTTAGAGAGTGTTTTGTTTGGAAGTCAAACGTAGTCTGAGATTGCATCTAATTAATACTGCTTTAGTTCGTTTTTTCCCCTCCTCTTAACCGATCAGTTGTGAAAGTGAAATCGATTGTGACTCGGTGGCTCGTGTTACCTGGTGCTCAAAGCCATTTCCAATCCCCTTTAAGTGGTTCTGATTTACTTCTCTGGATGTTTTCCACTATTATAATGACCTTTCGTTATCATTTACTTTTCCTACAAGATTCTATCTGCTCCTGCGAACTCGTATCCAGATCCCACTCTGTGGCTGGACAGACTGGCTGCTACGTTTAGGTAAGCGATAAAAAAACACGAACGAACAAGCTAGCAAAAAAAAAGTTAAAAAAAGCAACAACCAAATATCGTACCGAAAAACGAACGAATGAACACAAACAAAATAAAACTAAACAAAAATAACGAACTTTCCCCACTGATTAAGTATATGGTCGTGAAAAAAAATACCATGTTGAGCCACGTCTGTTTTCGTATTGCATTAACGTTCTATCAATGGCTTTAGAAATTTAGAATCGAAAAGCTGGCTTTCAGACCAGTCTGAATTTCACGTGGAATTCAAAAGCTCTACCTTTTCACTCTCCTGCAGATATGTTAATCCAAAAATAGAAAATGGTACGGTACACCCAGCTCTTACAGTCGTAGAGGAGGTAAGGCCTGTCACTTGTGTACATGAACTGAGCGAGGTGAATTGTAGCTTAACGTTTTCAACTTGGTTCGAGGTCGAGCGTTCGCCAGATAGACAGCAAGAGTTATTTTTTGGAATGAGTGGGTTCAAGGGTTGGTTTGGAACACCTAGATACTAGTGTCTTGTACTGGACACTTGTGTCTCAAGTTTTGTTCTGCTCGTCATAGAGACCAAACGGTTGCAGTTTGGAGTTAGCTGTTTGCCATGGAAGAGACTATTAGCTTTGTAAGAAACTAAAACACTATAAGGGAAAATGATAGATCATAAAGGAACAGGGAACGCCACATTAACCTACATGCAGACATGCACGAACATTAAATTAATAATAACTACCATAATAATGGTAATGATTGTAAACCGGAGATGAAATGAAAATTTGAGAAATGACATTTTCTCTGGCGTTGTAGGTGTGGCCAATACTTTCCAACATCTGTGATAAGTACAGAGCGGACCTGAAGATTATCGAGAGATGTTGTAGGTAAGAGAGCGACTACTTTATCGATCTTCGCTGACCCACTTTTCTTCTTGTCTTTTCTGTGATCGTCATTGTTTGTCGTCTTTCTTGATTTCTTGCTATTGTCTTAAAATGATCCTCCTAATCGACAGTAGTATTCAATTATTGTGTTCAGTAACACACTTATCGTTCTCATGGGTCGTCGCCAAGTTGTTCTCACAATTGTCTTTGTTTTGTTACATTTGTCTCGTCTTTTACCTAGTTTTCTACTCTTCATTGTGCACGTTTTCGCCGTCATTAGGATTTGATCCTCGTCCTTGACCGTGTGGTGTCGTTGAAGTTGTCTTCTGTTCATTAACGGATGTATTTGCTTTTAATTTGGGGGTCTCTTTTTGTTTGTTTGGCTGGAGAAATAAGAAATACTTTTGTCGTTAGGGGACGTTCCTTAATTTTTAGTTAATATTCCAAGTTATCCTCTGGTTGGGATTAAACACCATTTGCCCTAGGGAGCATTTGTAAGGTATGTTTATGGTGGTGTCTTTGTCTCATATTTTTTTCTTTTGGTTTCAGATGTATTAGATTCGCAATTCGCTGTCTTGGCAAATCAGCAATCAATTTACTCTCTCCATTGGTCTCACAGGTGAAACAAATTTTTTGCTTTTAATGTCCTTTTCTCTCTTTTTAACTCCTTCAGTGAAACCTGCAATTTTACTGTTATGTTAAGTCTCCTGAAGAGTTCTTTGAATACAGACTTTGAGTCAGAAAACGGCTCAATTTGGTGTTTGTGCGTTGTAGAGGTTTCCACTGATTGCCAGCTAGTTTTATTTTTTTAAAAACAGAAAAGAAAGTGGGAAGCAAAATCAAGACGCAACATTAAAGGTTGTCATCGGAAGGCAAGGGTTTCAATAAAGGCGGGTTCCTGGTGGTCCTGCGGCGCCTCCAAGACGTGTTACCACCGTCTGTTTAGCTTGCGAACAGTTTCATGATTGGTTTCGCTTTACGGCCCCTTTTCGGGCACAGCCGCCAATCACATCATTTGCAGCCGCCTTTGGAAAAAAAATTATTGTAACTCCTGGGAACGACCGCCTCGTGTCGCATAGATTCCGTAACAGTTGTTAGTCAGTGTCGCTTACTCGCGCCTTCCTTTTGTTACCCGAACAGATGGTGAGCGTGTACGGTACCAATCCCCACTCTTGCTTTCTGTACCTGGGAAGCATTTTAGTTGATGAATATGGTGACGAGGCTGGATGTGTTCCTGGACTAATAGGCATGACAATGGTATGATTACAATTGAGAAGAAAAACGGAAAAGCTAATAGTTGTCATTTACTTATGATTATGCATTTGAAATTAATTACAAAAATAATTAACCCTTCATAGTTTTACATCAGTGTGAATATTCTCCATACAGTTTTTTATACATTTACCAAAGTGCTGACAGGAAGAATTTGTTTAACAATCAAGATCCTCTTTAGGTGGTGTTCGTTTCTTTTATTTTGGTGATATTGTTGGGTTAAATTAGATGCTAGTCACTCTCAGGGCGTCAGGAGCGCGGGACCAAAGGAAAAAATATCACCAAGCGGAATCGAACCCTAAGCTTTTGGGTCCCACGGTCCGATGCTGTGCCACTGAGCTAGAGAACTCTATTGTAACCTAGACAACAATAAGTTTCGGTGACAGGTTACGTCGCCCCGTTGCATGATTTATCTAAGTTTCGCTGCCTTCAAGTGAAGTCCTATCGTCCCAAAACATGGTTGTGTCGTCCCAACTTGAAGTTGTGTCGCGACCCAACTTTTGACCTAAGGTTAATTAAGGTTTGAAACTTATTGCTTGGTGGTTCGACAGCAGGAGTATTAAAACCTACAAGCCAAGGTTCTAGAAGCTATGTGACAATTACTATTGATAAATCCCGCAAATATTTCTTGAGGGCTATCGTGACCTGGCAATAGTGTTTCTTAAGAACGATGATGTTTTGGGATTGTTGAGTAGCTGGGAGAGTCCTAAGAAAACGTCAGTTTGGTTTTGTTTTATTCAGGCTTTCTGTGGTCCAGCATTTCAACTTTTAAGCCAAGACAAAGGAATGATTGAACATCCCGACACTATCGATGACTTGTTTAGATTGTGCGGCAGGTAAGCGATGAGTATGGTGATTTTTTTCTTCTCCCTTTGCAGCTGTTCATTTTGTTAAACTCCCTGCATAATTAATTCATGATCAACCACACATATGATAAGATAAGACAAACCTCAACTAGAAACGCTCAAAACGTCAGCTCTGGAACCTCTTAACGGTGGCCAATTCACATTAAAAATTCGACTCAGTTAATAGAATTAATTATCTTGTAAAGCCCCCAACAGCGCTGCGCCACAGATTCTTTTGTAAACTTACCCCTTTTATGCAAGGAATTACGTGTCGGCAATCAGGAAGAATTGAATCTCAGATCTTGGAACCCAACAGATGATATGCACGTGATTGTTTAACTCATGTCTACCCTGTCTAAGAAACCTAAACGTTTTAAATTAGTGCAAACGAGATCCTGGTCGTACGCACAACTTATAATTATAGTCATGAAATTTCGGCAGATTTAGCCGCAACCTTCATTTCATATTCATTGTCGTAATGCAGATGTCTTCAGAAGTGTCCTGTGGCTTTTCTAAAGTGCGATGTTGCAGTCCCTGCTATCCGGTGTGCCATAGTGGCAAGTACATTAGAACACAGAGACGCAAATTTGTCAGTTATGAAATTCCTTAAAAGTCTGGTCAGCTGTGCCACAGAAAAGGTTCGTGTTTGCCAAGGGTATTATTTTTATCGGAGATATATTTTGTTTGTGTTGGATGGTGTCATTTCTTGTTATAACACCATTTTATGACTTTTCATTTTCCATTTCTTCTCTGGTCATTTTTTTGCAACTTAGTTAGAATACACACCAAACCATTTGCAGCAGTATTACACTTTTCCTGCGGTTTCATTAACCCTTTACACCCTAACATCAGTATTAATAGCGGAGCTCGCAGAGCGTAGCCCCATAACTATACAAAATAGTAGTAACCCATCAAGCCAAAAAAATTTGGATGTACGACCGTACGACCGTACAAGGTGCTACTTTTAACATGCGTGGTCAACTGTACCGCGGGCACGCCAACGCCATGGCTTTGTTCAGTAGTACAGTGGTCAGTGCACTGGGCTCTGAGTCGGACGACCCGGGTTCTAGTCCTCGCCGGGGCAAGGCGTTGTGCCCTTGAGACGTGCGGAAAAAAAATTGCGAGCTCCGCTTTTAGGCTTGGCTAAATATATAAATTATTCTCTTTACCCGTCTCCATACACTTCGTTTGGTACTGATAACCTTTATTTTCCTGACTTTACCGTTTGAATATGGGGTGATATTGTAAGGAGAGATTTGATGCAAGTCACTCTTAGGGGCCAAAAGGTTTAAATAAAGCTGTCAGTCTAGAGAGGTAGGCAGGTATTTTTGAAGGTTTGGAGGGCCTCCCGTACGTCCGAACTACCCCAGGAAATTTCGAACTAGACTGTTGCAGTAGCATTTTCTCCTGTTTTGAGATCTTTCCCTAGACTGTGTTGCTTTTCTGTTCCTACTGAGGAGTAGGTCAATTTGAAAACAGTTGAAGATAATTACGAGTGTGTCGTTTGTGTAAAGGCAAGAAATCGGTAATCGATTACATCTATCCGCTACACGATACACGCAAAATTACCCACACAGGAATTGTATCATAATCAATATTTTCTTTCTGGTCTTAGTCTCGGAATGATATTCAAGAGAGGCTTACTTTAGTTCAGAAGATCCTTGCAGTTCACGGGCAAAATATAATGACCGGTAAATACTGTTTCATGTTGCTTTGTTTGTTTTTGCTTTAACCGATATGAGAATTCATTATTTACATCTGATGTGTTCTCTGCTAGGTCTTATTCAAGCATGCGCAGGAGCCATACCATCTTACATGGTGGTGGATGTATCTGAAGTGTTATGGGAATTTATTACTTTTTGTCCAGAGGTGATATTTATATGAAAAGTAATCTTTTGAATGATTAAAATAGTAGATAAAGAGAGAAATTTTCAATTAAGTGTAGAAAGTAATCTAGGATTGCTTTGGTTTTGCTTTGCTTTGCTTTGCATTGCTATGTGATTGCATTAGAAAACTCGCGCGTCTTTCCGAGCCAATCAGATTTAAACTGAAACTGAATCTCGATTTGGTCAATCATGATTTCTTGCGCCTTAGCAGGTGTCCTTGTTTTTGCGGTAGGTTCTCATCGACTCGTTATAATATTCCCCTTTTGCTTTGATTGGTTATTGTGATTCTGGTTTTGGTTTTACGATAGGTAATCTAATTGCCCTTTAACAGATAATTAAGTAGAATTTAGCTGGGCCACATCCTCGGTTACGCGATGGGGCGGAAGAGGGTGGGGGACAATGAAAGTTCCAGGTTCAAGTCCTAACTGTGACATCGTGTAGCGTTCTTCGGAGAGTTACCTGGAACTCATATTCAGTTTTGCATCGTGCATTCTACATAGGGCATAAAAGCGCGTGATCAGGCGAATAAGCGCGCGCGCATTCCGAGAACACGGCCAGGGTTCAGGTTAAGAGGTATGATGGTCCTTAGCTCTTGAACTGGAGAAATTGAAGAAATTAATCAAAAGGAAAAAAAGATATATCTAAAAGCGTGCATGAAGCCTGTTACTCGAGGATGCAAATTATTACCTTGAAAGCAACTAGTTGAGTCGATGTCGTTTAAGATTGTGTGATTTCTCCTCAAATTTTATATCAAATCGTTTCATACTCTCGAGACTTTCAACCTCTCAAGTTTTTTTTTTCAAGAGTTACTTTAAAAACTCTTGCTTCCAGCTAACGCAAAATGTAGTGATGAAATAACGCGCGTGATTAGTGCTAGCACAGGCATAAATGGGGTAAGGTTAGCCTATCATATCTCTTAAAAAAGTACGGTGACTTATCCCTTTTTGTTGTACTTTTCTAAACAGACATCGGTAGAGAACAATTAAGTTTTAATAAAAATTGTTCTATAACCTTTTCTTTTTTTTCTGAGGAATCACCTTAACATGCTCACCAGCGAATTTTCTGCGAGACCAGATGAAATACTAAAATACTGAGGGTCGGGGAAACCTGCAATGGGGTGCATACTACACAGGGGCAATAGAAATGCTCCTAGTAGCTTTACTCTTTGATTATCGGGACAAGCTCTGGGAGTCATCCTCTGTTTCCTGATCTAAATGGAATTTGAGAGTGCTTGTGTTTTTTGAATGTCAAGCTTCGTTGTTTATTTATTTTATTCAATTGTTTACATTATGTTGTCTTTTGCTATTCGTGTTCCACGCAGGAGACATCGAAGTGGGTTGAGGTTGCGCTTCAGTCTATTCAAACCCAGATTGTTCCCGGTAGTTTCATAGCAACTCCTCAACAACTTTACGAGTTTCACAACGCCTTGATAGGGTAAGACTTAGAGTTTGTTTGCTGATAAGTTGACACGGCCCGCTAATTTGACCAGTCATAGCGCTCTTGCTTACTGAGATATACTTCGGGCAGACTTCTTGTTGTTCTCGCGACATTTACTCGTACTAGCGAACAAATTATAGATCTGTAATTTTAGCAGCGAAGCGTTCACTGGTTGCCATGTACGAATGTCCAAAATTTTGGCTATGTTATTCAAGACAACCTGTTGCTCCTCGCACAGTCTTTCACGTGTACTGTTATCTTTTAGATCTTCAAATCAGGATGCCGTTTGGAAAGCTTCCAAGCGCTTTTCGCGCCTGTTCAGATGAAACCAATCCAAATCGAAGGAAAGGAAGTCGAGTGCAGTTTAAAAAATGCAGCAGATGACGTCAACAGAAATCGAACCCAGTCAGCAACAATATGTCATTGCCGAGAGCTCTACACGGAGCCTGAGTTGTAATTACGTTCAATAGCAAGAACAGCAGAGAAACTTGTCTTTCGACAAAATTGAGGAAACATCAATCTGAGGTGGACATTTTACTGAAGAGACGTCATGCATTTTATGTAAATCCTCGGGAAGATCTGAAAGCAAGGACTCTTCGCGATAAAGATTCATCATTTATTTACATTTAAACCGATAACGCACATATGTGGCTTATCAGGAGGAACCACTTATGCCGGATGGTTTTAAGTGACACGAAAGAACAGTTGAATTGTATTTTTAGAGATGCCTAGAGGGCATGTTTTACTTTCTAAATTTAACGTCTTTTTTTTCTGCTGGCTTTGGGAATGTTTTACTGGACCTTCTTAAATTGAACTAAATTTAGCTAAATTTCCTTCCTTCAGTAAACTGGAATTTACCTGTTTATTTATTCATTCTTTATACACTGTCCTCGATTGCCGTTCCTTTGCGACAATGTTTAATTATTTTTTAATTTCAACTGACCTGTTTTAGTAAACTGCATGGCTTTCACCTAATACAGAGATATTCGGTGAAATATGAGCGATATTAATTAAAAATTAGTGATAATCTGAAAAGTACGGAGGGCTTGTAGGCTTGGTATTCACCAAATGATTCTTCTAAGAGCCCTTTTAACTAGAATGGCACAGTTTCTGATATCATACCTCACTGCTCTTTGCTTTGAAAATGTTTCGAGTAAACGGGTCAGGATGATACTTGAAAATACGCAAAACTTGTTCTTAAGCTGGCTTAGTCTGAGACCTTTTGTCACATTCGACATGAAGCAATTCAGAAAAGAATTCAGTATGCGCTGACTTGTACATTTCGTTTGTTTTGGTGGTAAAATGAAAATTAAAACTGCAGAAAGTAAACCAAAGTTAGCTGGATTAAAAGTGCATGAAAACCTCAAGGAGGACTGAATGTTTCCAAATTAAGCAGAACTCTCACACATAATCACCATTCCATTGGGCTGACTCAGTTCCTTGCCCGTATCCCCTCTCCTTCTCCGAATCAACCCTCGGCTACCACTCTTGTCCACTTCTTGATTCGACCTTCAGTTCGACTCAATACCATTTGTCAAATACTAATATAAGCGTTAAAGTGTACCTTTTTAAACTTTCCGACCCATTCTCTCTCTAATGTTAACCTCCGGTACAAGTCAGCACTCCCACGACATCTGTTCTTCCTCAGATTTGTATTACGTCACCGCAATCGTCACAGGTCATTAGCATAAACTTTGTTAGACCGCGGGAAACTGGCCTTGAGTGAGTTGAGAGGCCATCTAACTAGCCATCTTAGGTTTCCTTACACTGATATGATTGAACAGGTTTTTACATACAATTGTTTTTAATTGTTTGAATCACATTTGCCTCTTTTAATTGTTGGTCATGTTTTTACCTGTTGCAATTCAGGTTTGCATTTATTTGCCGAATTATCCTGTCAAAGGAGTTATTCTAATTTGTTCAATTTAGTTACAGCACCATGGACGCTGGTAGTCACTCTCCAGAAAAGGAGATTGAAGATGTAAAGCTCCTTGTGGAGTCACTGGAATACCAGAAGGACGATTCCTCTCAACAACAACAGGCACTGAAAGTATTGGCTGAAATTCTGTCGAAGAATAGTGAGTCTAACGTCTGCTTCTGAAAAGAATTTCAGATCGTAATGCTTTATAGTCTTTACAGTTTACAAAGATCTGCGAGTCCGAGAGTAATTTGCTCGAGCCATATCAAAAACGAGTTTTTTAAAATGGTGAATACCCTTTCCTTTAAAAATGACAACGTTTGGGAAGAGCTAAGGTCATAGTTGTTAACATTGTTTTTTATATCAGTATATACCACAAGGAGCTCATGATTTTTATACCAATCAAGGAAGATTTTGCCGAGAAATTAAAAATAAAAAAATTGGGAGAGAAAAGTTCATAAGTTTGTGTCTCCCAACGATTTTTCTTGTTTTTATTGAAGGACGGTATTTTTAAATAAAAAAATTACGACATCTTTACATCTCTTTAGAAAGAGCTCAAGACTATTTGTGTTCATCAAATGGCATGGAATACGTCCTCAGTCTGTGTAAAACTATGACGAGTCCCACTGTTGTGCAGTCAGCTCTTTATACATTGGCCATGGCTGCAGAAGGAAATGGTGAGTCAATCATTAAATATAAAGTTTTAAAAAATATTTGTGGTGCTAAGACTGTCAAATCATGACTCTTGGATATTGTGTTGCAAATATAGATGCATATATTCCAACTGTCTGCTTGCATAAATCATATAGCCTTGATAGCTAGAGGTTATGCTTTGTGTTACTTCATTATTTTAACACAGTTTGATTTTTACTAAATAATGATAGCTAAATCAATTGATATTAGTAAACAAAAGATTCAATAAGTGGATGCTCCACCAATGAAAAAGATATTTAGTTTGCTCTTAATTGACTGATTTATTTGTTTTGCTATTTTGTCCTTTATTGTGACTATATGTAGCAAATTAAATGTTACCATAAGTTGAATTCAATTGCTTAGGGTTAACATGCTCTAATGACTTGCAGATTTTTGCCAAAGAGTTCTGACAAATAAAAGTGTGTTTAACGTGTTGCGGTGTAATTTACAAGCCAAAAACATAAAGGCTGCAATGACCTCAGCCTTTCTGGTGATGACAATTTGTACCCAAAACTGTAAGTTCAACTCTTATTCTAGCTGTTGAAATTAACCTTACTTTCTCAGGACCCATAATTGAAAAAAAAAATGGTTATTTGCCTTTTATCACCTAATTGGCAAAAATGGAACTGGTAGGAAAGTCTAAGTTGTAAATTTAAAAGCTGCATTTGTATGTACCTGTAAGTACCACAAGTTTGAGTGTACAAGAATATATGATATGTGAGGTAACTCCTTTAAATACTGAGGCCACCCTAAATAAAGGGGGGAGAATGATCACCTATACAGAATGTGTGTTAAAAGATGGAGGAGTTTGAAGGTAACAGACTTTGTGTATGCAAGTTTCCTTTTTTTTTCAAGAGATGGATATAAATCAAGATGATAAAAGGTACTTTTGGACTTGGCTTGACTAGCTTTTAATTCAAAAGCTTCAAAAATATATGCACCTTGTGGGAAAATCAGGCCCCAATTGTTCAAAGGGTAGAAAATGCTATCCACAGGATGAATTTCTATACAGTGGATAGTGCAGTACAGTTTGTTGTCTCTAATTTGCTAGATAGCAATTTATCTGTTGGATAGTGATATCCACTCTTTGAACAACTGGGTCTAGAACCTTTAGTTGTTAGTACCTGTATTGGTAGCAATCTTGAGCCCTGCTGTACTTCTCAAGCAATACATTTATTTTTTTTATTTTTACTCTCTCTGGTTCATTGCTAGTCTAGAAAGCAGAAAATGAGTCTTGGAGGTCATTAGTCTTTTCTTGTTTGTTTTATAAAGGTAACGGACAAAATCTTGCACGGGAAACAAAATGTTTACATAGTCTTTGTGATCTGTACAAGTAAGTTTCAGAGGTATATCCATTTACAGCAATCTGCCTTGAGTATAGAAACTGATCTGTGGAAACATGGGCTTAACCCAATATTTCACGTTGTGATTGGTGAAGCAGACTCACACCCTCTCTCAGCCAATGAGATTGAATTTCATAACTAAAATGAATTGCAATTTTGTCATATGGGTTTTTAAAACTAATTATGTTAACTTTTCATTCCTTCATATGCGTTAGATTTTGGACAGTTCTGTCTGGACATTTCCGTTCAATTTTGGACAGTTCTGTCTAATCTTGAAGAGTACCATTCAATTTCATACATTTCTGTCCAACAAGACCAATTTTGGATGCTTCAGTGGATGTTTCCAGTTGGTTCCAGACAGTTGCATCTGACTTTCTATGCTTTTCTCTAACAGCAGTGAATATTCCTGTAAAAGCAATAAGCATTTGCTCACCAATAGAAGAATCATAATTTTGCAGAATTTTCAAAATTTAACCAAAGGTGCTGAATCTCAGTAGCCTCTGAAGACCTAGAGAAGAAATCAAGAAAGGAAAGAGAAACAAATAAGACAAGATGGCTTATGCTTAGTAATTTGATTAACTCCAAACATTAACATACATCTTACACAAATAAATCTATCCTTGCTTTCATAGGAGCTGTCTTCCAATACATCGCCTTTCAACCTCTACTGGTGATGAAAGTGGTAAAAAGTGGTTTGATAACCTTGACAAAAACTGTCTTCAGCTTTGGACTGCAGTGGTTGTTGCATTGCATTCCCTTCTGCAAAACCCACAAAATGGTAAGTACTAAAATGGAATTAGGTTAGGGTAGGTAAAGAGGTTAAGTCTGTACTTGAGTCAATTGGCACACCTAGATGAAGCTTATCCCGGTTTCTGTAGCATGAAGCAGCTAGAAGTATCACTACTCCCCCAGAAAGGATGTTTGTCTATTGCAGGTTACTCTGCATTCTGTCAGCTTTCCCTTACAGTTCACTAGTACCCATTTCTACTCCTGGGTAGAGAGAGGCATGGTGAGAGTAATGTCTTGCTCAAGGACAAAAGTCCATAAGCTGCCTACATATCTAACCCTGAATTCTTGACCCAGAGTTCAGCTGATTAGGCCAGTGTGTCTCCACTTATGTTTTGGTAGTGATGTTATTTTTTAATGTAGTGTTGTTTTAAGTAATGATACTTTAGATTGTTTTCTATCTCTGAGGAAGAAATTTTCCCTGTTATACGAATGTGGGTATACTGACCATTCTTCTATTGCCATTTTTCAGCTCAAAATCAAAAACTTTGCTGTCGGCTGTTTCCAGCGATAGTAAACCTATTGCTTTTAGTAACTGAGCAGCATGAAATTCTGCAGCCAACCATAAGCCTCTTAGCAGCAATTGTCTCAGAGAATGGTAAGAATTAATGATTGATAATTTGTGGCCATGAAGTTGCAGTGGCACTACTCCTCCCTTATCTTTTTGTTTTGTCACTCTAAACACTCTTTTGGGGCTCCAAGCCAAACTGTTTTGAAGATCTATTTGGAAACCTAAAATAATTAAATGGAGAAAGATGTTCTTCGTCTTGTCACAATTGTGGGACAGAGAAAAAAAAACTGAGTTCCCAAGGGGAATCCGGATTCCGCGCTCAGATGCTTTACTACTGAGCCACAGAGACTCAATGGTTGCCAAAAAGGGAAGAATCTGCGCGTGACATTTTGTGAAATATTGCAGGTATCTTTCACTTTAATTCCTGCGATGGAAAATTTACAGCTTGCTACATAACTGCTGAACACAGATTGCCAAAGTAGCATCCTCAGCTGCAAATTTATTTTCTAAATTTTTTTTTTAACCTGACGGCTGCAGTTTGGAGTGCGGCGCTTGCGGGAAGCATTGCTTAACGTCCGAAACAAGAGCTGTGAAGATGACTTTACTGAAACGTTACTTGTTTTCTTTTTTAATAATCTCAGACTTTTCTCTGCTTTTCATCCAGCTGAATGTCAATCTAAGGTGCGACTACTTGGAGGCTTGCGTGCTCTGGTCATTCGACTAAAACAGGTTGTGGACCTGAAAGAACATGTTGAACAAGACATATTGTTTATGTCGCGCGTCGTCAACACTTTAGGATCTATCATAGCAGGACACGGTGAGCTAATACTCTTTGGTTCTACAGTGCTGATGAATGCAACAGGAGTCTCTCATGCACTACCGAAGTTCTAATGTAAAGTTAACAATAGACCCACGTCATCCCAGACACCCATACGCGTAAACGCCCCCAAGCACACACACGCATAGGCACCCAGACACAAAGATAAACAAATACGCACAGCTTTACATGTTCATATGAGAAAAAGCGGATATGTGCAACTGCTCTTGGTTTTTCGCATAAGGGATAATATTCATTTGCGCTCCTACACTTATGGTATGCGAGCGCTCGAACAAACTTGCACGCATGTTAAAATGTGCACACGCTTACACGATCTCAGCTTTACACACTTACAAATCCAGACACCCACGTACGCCTTGTAAAGAGCTTACATCAAATGTGATAATTAGTAACGGCGAAATAGTAAACGATCATCTTCGAAAACCCTATGACCTGTTCCTGATGCTATGCTGTAGTTCATTTTCATCCATCTCTAGCCTGTTTACAACCGTTTTAGTGATCTGTCAGGATAGTGCAGCAGACCTTGGTCTTGTGACTCTGCTGTTGAAGTGTTTCGCCGTCATAAATCAAGCTACTCGCGTTGATGATGCGGCTGCTAAGCAGTTCAAAACTAAGTGCATACTAGCACTGTCCATCTGCATTGATCAGAGTGGTAAGAAATTAAGAATTCAGTTACACATTATTGAAGCATATTTAGATTGGGTGTGGTATGTAATCACAACAGTTTATCGTAATAAAGGAAATATCAAAAGGAGCTAGTAAGAACTCAACGTGAAAACAAGCAAACTACCTGAGAAGCGCCGGGGAAAATGCCAATCACAAAGGTGCGATCGGTTTATCATTTAAATCCGATTGGTTAAAAAAGGGAAGCGAGTTTTTTTTAACCGATCATTGAGTGAAGTAAAGCAGAAGCAATCACACATAATTTTCGACTCGCAATTGAAATTTTTACATAAATCAAAAAAAAATTGATAAAGCTGTGGACATCCCCGTGGAGGCTCGTCTGGTTCACTGTTTCTAGGCCGTATTGAGATTTAAGTTATCGCGTGTAAATTTTAATTGGGAAGGGATGAGAACTAAGAAATCCGAGAGAAAACCTTCGGAGTAAAGAGGAGAACTAATAAAAAAAGTCAACTCACATGTGGCATGCGCTTCATCTGCTGCATCCCTGCTACTTAAACATGCTCTTTACACAAGAAGTTTGAACACAGGAAACACAGGAAACAAGCATTAGGACCCACTATATGTTTAGATTAGAGTAAACGAAAAATCACTGAAGGAAAGTGCTTGTAATTGTTCATCTACCTTCCAGAGCGGAATCAACAGCTATTGAGAGACGGAGGAGGTGTAGAGGCTTTGATTGAGCTCCTGACCAAAGAACAGGTACCTGAGCAGCAACAAACAGCTTTGTCGATAAAGGATTTAATTTACGGTGTTAAGGTTAGGCTGGAGAATTACAGTCATCTATTAAGAAACTCTCGCTGACTGTTTAGACTGCCTTCAAGGTGCACTCGCTCCATATCTGTAAAAACCGGCGGAAGAGTTCTTCCTTGATAGACAAAAGTTGCCCCGAAGTTTAGAAGTATGTGAGCCAGTCAAGAGCCCATGTTTAAATTTCCTCTAGTTTCTTGAATGCAATACTTCAAACTTCTATTTTCTCTTCCCTTCCCTCTCTTGATACGTTTTTTTTATTCACGAGGGACGCGCGTGATCTGATTGATAAGCCAAATGTTCAGAGACCATGAACATGACTTTGAGGTAGACTTGGAAAGACTCATGGACACTCGTTTTCGGTGTTGAGACTTTTCGAAGGCTTTGTTGACAGCTTTTTTGTATATCTCATTTAAGTATTTGGTTCTCTTTTGATACTGGACTCAAGTCTCTATGGGAAAAGCTATTTCTACAACTGCACCTTTTTCGTCTGAGTAAGAGCAAACAACCCGGGAAATTGCCTGCGGACAAGATAGGGTTCAATGGGCTTATCTCGCCCTACTGGATAGCCAATTCGAACAGTTCACTTGTCATAAATGAACGAAAAGGTTACAATACACGATATTTTTAGGCCTCCAAAGTTGTATAGAGGACCCTGAAAAGAATCATCCGCCACTATCTCTTACAAGTTGTTTGTTTTATTGTTATTATTATTATTATTTCTAGTCTGAAGAATTTAGAAGGGTTGCGATTTTCATTCTTCATTGTATCACTGGAAAATCAAAAGGTATCTCTGCGAATTTCCATCTTGAAGTGTTAACACAGCCAGTATTTGACATACAAAACTTTTGATTTTAGGGTAACAAGTTAAAAGCCTTCTACAATAGGATGACGATGCTTTGATGAATTGGTGATTCTATTCTTTGAATTAAGAAAGATCAGATGTAAAATTTGACAAAGCTTGTGTTTGTTCATCGTGGTTAGGCACACAGTAGTGTTATCGCGTGTCTCCGCACGATGTAGTCCCTTTCAATGTGCGAGGGAGTACTAGAAATTTAGCAGTGACGGCAGATCTTTCTTGACTCATACACTGTCTTTAAAGATTTAATCCGGTTCAAGACTTGTGAATTACTTCTGGATTGCATATAGTAACATAATACGCAGATTTTGTGAAGTGCTTTGTTTTCTTTTTTTGTTTCGGTCTGGCCCAGCAAGTTATTGAGTATGGTTAAATTCTCTAATTTTTTAATGGCAGGTGAACAAAAGTCACCTTCTCGTGTGGAAACGAAAGAAGTAGGAGAGCAGTGCTCTTTTGAAAGTACTTTAGAAAACCACTTTACCCAGGTAAATTTTGACTTGAAAACGTTAATTGGCCACCGTAATGAGTTAAAAGGCTGACGTTTCGAGCGTTAGCCCTTCGTGAGAGCGATTGACGAAGGGCTAACGCTCGAAACGTCAGCCATTAAACTCTTTATTGTGGCCAATTTACGTTTTCAACTCATTTGATAACACTGAATTACTCTGTTATACACTCCCACCGACGCAGCACCACAGTTCTTTAGCAACTTAGCCCCTTTATCAAATTTTGACTTGCCCTGTCTATTATCTTAAGGGGACTGAGTAGCTGGAAAGAAGAAGCAGATCGACGGGCCAAGTCTCGCTAAATTTTAAGAAAAACTTCTTCGTGTTATAGGTTGTAGTGAGCCCTACAAAGGATGCTCAAACGCAAACCTCTTCCCGTACTACAGCTGGACAATACGATACCGACATTGGAGATGATAGACCCTCTGATGAAGTGTCACAAGAAAATTTTCGAAGACATAGGACGAGTACACCTAGAAAGAGACGTTCTGTGATATCCACCAAGGTGTTGAAACCTTTCGCAAGGTCAAAAACTACTCAGTGGAGAATGAAACACCCAGAGATGGCAATGAAAACTAAACCAGATCAGACTTTTGTTACTCCGGGAACATCCAGCCCAAGTAGACATTTGGAAAAGTGTGAAGCGTGTGAAACTGTCCTGAACAGCAAGAACTTTTTGAAAACATTAAGACGGTGTTCCAATCGTTGCTCGTATCACCGCGGATTAGATCGTTGTTTGCGACGGATAATCAGTGACTTACAAAAGCAAAAGTAGCTAGTACCGATTCCACTCATCCATGCATGTTTATTCCTTTGCTTAGAACTATTTGAGCCCTACAAAGAGCTTGTTTGATTTTTCTATTTAGTTATCTATATTCTTGTCTACTGTAACAACTCACTTCCAGACTACACTATTTCATCTCGTCTGTTGTGAATCGTACACGATTAACTTTTTAGGCTGGGAAACAATAAATAGTCTTTTTAGTGAAGGATCACGTCCATCTATTATGGGAATTAATACTTGCAGAAAGACCTATGTCCCTCCTCGCAGCCGGAAAAAGCAAAAAGAACTGTGGTAGCGATATTGCTAAAAGGAACCGACCCACCTCCTACCCCGCGTACGTTTTGGAAAGTTGAGAAGAGTACTTTCTTTGCCAATGTAATTTGTGAAGTTGTTTTTGCGCCTAGCGCTCTACTTACCAACGGATAACTGGAATTTGATTAAAAAGTGGTACTACAGAATTTTTAAATGAGTTTTAACTACTCTGCGGTCAGCTTTCGGCATTTTTTCAAGAATTAAGCAGTGGAATGCACCCCCATTAGACGACTGTCTGTAATCATAGCCCCTTACAAAAATTCTCAATACTTATCAATTTTCCGAAAGAAATCGATATTTTTTTGTCAAATCTGTTACTACTATCGCCATGGTTTCCGTGTGTTGTTTCGGCTTCGTCATTCTAAATCGTTAAGTTTCTGATACACTTGAATCGGGCGCGTGAATTTTCACTTGGGCGCACTAGATATCGGCGATTTTATACGCTTATAGTGCTTGACGATATACGCCGATCGCCACCACTGACACAGATTGGCTAAGGGGAGAGGTATTAGCAAACTGCAGGAAAACCTGACGAAATACCGGGGGTAAACATGTGGTAACCGGTCGTTTCGCTAGCATCCTTATGGGTCGTTTCGCCAAAGTCATAGCTCAGTTTGCCAAAGTCTAATTGGTCGTTTTGAATTACTTGCTTAAGATTAACCAGGTTCCGGCGCTTCTTAGGTGTACCTTAGTTTATCTCATCGTAGGCAAATGAAAACCCCAAAACTATCGAAATGATTTGAGTTGTATCAAATCAACTTTCTGCGTGTATTCAATCGACTTTATCGATGTATCAAATCGACTTCAGTTTGACTTGAATCGACTTGTATCGATTTGAATTTCAGTTTGTACTGAAACGAGCTTAATCATCTACGCCTTTTCGGTTGATAGAAGTCGATCAAATTCTGCCGATGGATTATAAGCTACCTCGCCCACAGCTAAGGTCGATTCTCCCAGAAGTCAATTCGCATACAGGTAAACTCGCTAACAGTTCATTTCACCTACAAGGCAGTTCACAAGTCGTTTCGCCCACAGGTCAGTTTCGCCCATTAGCCGTTTCGCATACCATTTCGCTCATTTCGATAAAAAGTCGCAAAAGTCAGTATCCTGACCTGTCTTCAAGATGGATGTCTTTAAGTTTTTCAGGAGCGATCTTTAGACGTTCGAGCAGATCAGTCTTTGCCGTGGCACCGATTTCTTTGTTATCACAGACGATTGGATGCCGAGAAGCATAAAACCATACTCCTTCGCTTGGTTCTTGAATGTTGTGAGAGAACTTAAAAATTCATTCACCTTGCTCTGCAGCTATATTTTCAGGATCGTCGTGGACGCTGACATTTGCGTGCTTAGGTTGCGCGGCGCAATGTGTGTATTCCTCTTAGAGGTTATTATCTTTGGCCGAATGATTAATGATCGGAAATCCTCTTTCTTTTAATCTGCTACTCAGTGTAAAATTGCAGCAGATTTAAAGCTCGTTTCGTTATCTTTTAGGATTATTTTCAGGAAATTAATGTTCTGAAATGTTCTATATAATAACACAAGGGCGTAGCCAGGATTTTTAACAAGGAAAAAAAAAAGCTCGGATTAATTGTAAAACCTTTTTTAAACCTTTGTAAAACCTTGTTAAACCTTTTCTTTTGAACAATTTTGTTCCATTTCAAAAACACAACCTAAATTTGCCTAAGTTACACTGCGTAGATATCGAAAAAATTTATTCACTGGAAAAGTAGAATTTCATTTTTAGAGCTGAAACTCACAAGGTGGAAAGTGTTGCCGTGGAAGATAACGTTTTTAGCAACTGAAGTTGCTTCTCAGTTTGATGGAACGCAATAGTGACTGTTAAGCTAAGACAGTTTCAAGAAGTTGCCGAAAAAATCGAACGATTAAAACACCGTTTCAAATTAGGATGGCATTTTACTTGAGGAAAATACTCTTTTTGTGGCCGCTGAAAGAAACACAAAATATGCCTATTGAATTAGGTGAAAAATACCAACTAAATAATCAAAGTCTTGAGAAACTTATACCTATTCATGTAATACAAAATAAATGTTCCTTAATACCCACAAGTCCTCACGATACCGATTTTTTTTTTAACTAAACTCTACTTTCATTGGTCGTTTATACAACTGTCCAATAGAAACTTTGTTTATATCCAACCCTTCGTAAATGTTTAGAAGATTCAAAAATGGCGGCGCGCGAAGATCACAATAACAAAAAAAGAAAACAACTTAAAGAGCGATAAATATATAATCCTCTGATTTCTGTCGAATTACTTTATATAAAAATAGTGAAGAACCTAAGGAGGTAAAATGCCGCCTTTAGACTGGGGAAGAATTATGGGTGCCAATCTAGAGGAGCTTATAGAAGACCTGGATGCAGCCGATGAGATGTACGGCGTCTTGGAGATGGTAAACTAAACAGATTTCCATCTTTACCACCTATTTCATACCAAGGTTACGCACTTTAGGAAAATGTTAAATCTATATTGGTTTTCTACGCTTTAAGGGCTCAGTTAATCCAGACTCGACAGAAGCTGAAGATGTAAACAAGATGATAAAACTTTTTGAGGTTACTAAGACTGTTATGAAGGTAAATTTTAAAATTTAATTTCTCTGGTTTGCTTGTCCTTTTTATTATTACAAACATGTTTTTAGGATCATATAGTCAGGGAGAACTGTAGCTAGAGGTAACTCTAGAGTCAGTGCAAGAGGCAGGATTAGTAAATCTTGGTTGGGTACAGGAGTGTCAAACATATAAATTGTCTCTACAGTATCATTTGATAGGCACAGGTATTTTTTTTATATTTTAGAATGAAGAAATTAACTTTTAAAGAATGTAGTGGTTTTAACACCATAAATAAAACAAAAAGAAACAAAACAAAGGGTCAAACAAATTTTTATCATACATAGATGGAAAATGTAGGGCTGATAATAAAATGAATGAGAAGCCAGATGGTAGAAATGAAGGAATAATAATCTTCATTCTTACATATATCAACGTAGGTTAAATCATTGCAAGCAGAGCTGGCTGAAGAAATTGTAAAAGCTGGAGGTGGAGATCAAGGTTAGTATGATACTATTAGCTCAATAGATTTGAGGGAAGTTGTTCAGTAAATTTTCTCATGGCTAACAGTTATTGATTTTTTTTATTGTCAGCCGCTTTGGATGGTCTGCTAACAGTATTGCATGCAATTATTGGATTAAAGCATTTCAGGGTTCATCCCTAGAGTGTAACAAGATTTTTTTATGCTTGATGTCTGCTAATTGACCCTGTTAGTAGAATCAGCAGTATCAGATAGAAGACAGTTATAAACTAACACAATGGAGATAAGCATGGTTAATCTAGAACTGTTTGGAGCTAATTAAAGTTACCAATTGAAAATACATGACTTGGTGTAATTTCTAAAATCTCTCTCTTATATTAGTAAACAATATTTACCTTTACACAGCTTGAGTATGTGATCATAGACAGGGCCTCCACTATTGAACAACTTAAAATAATTCTCCCCTAATAGAGCAAGAGTTATTGGAAGAAATTGAACATTTAAAGAGAGAGATCCAACAATACAGGGTAAGGTTCTTTTCAAAAGATTTAATCTTTCTTTTCATCTTGAAAAATGATTTTGTTTGGTGTCATGATAGTGGTTCGTTATGCAATCAGAAGGGCTATCTCTCTGCTGAATTCAAACATGATGTCATCTAAAAGCAAACTGATAAAGGCTGTGTCCACATTGCTTGTATGATTATATGTACATGTAGATTTAGTGAATTAGTTGATACTGTATTGTAAATGACATCCTAATTTCATCAAGAAATCTCTTGTAAACTTTGTTTGCTTGATAGAAATATGATGGTGTTGGTGGAGATGAATTTATCAGAGAAATTCAGCAGATTGAAAACAGCAAAAGGGTAATAATATATACAGTCACTAAGAATAATTTTAACAAGAATTAATAATTGGTGTGATGAGAAATGAACATGTACCTTTATCAAACCCTCATGTGCTTGTGGATTAGAAACTTCAACATTCACACACTTTTGAAGTTTGTGTTAGTCAAACTTCAATCCCCTGAACTTAAGTTGGTAATTTCTAGTTTGTACAAATGGACAATCCTGTATTGTAATTGAATGATCAAATGCACTTAGTTCTGGCAGAAGTTACTGATAACAATTTTTTTCCATCTACTTCATACATAGTCTTCAAAATTCCCAACCACAATTATAATAGCTACTGAGGCCACATTTTCCATCATCAGAGATGTCATCAAAGAAAACAAATGTCCATCCACATGCACAGGGAGGATGTTGGATGTCATTATTGAGAAGATATACCTTACATGTGCAATTAAGGTCAAAATAAAAAAAACCCTCTGACTTCTTTATACTAACTTGCCTTGGATTTAATAATATCCTGTCATTACATGCAGGCTTTGGAACAGGAACTCAATGAAAAAGCGGAAGCCTACTTCCAAGAGAAAAACAAAAGTGATCAAGTAAGCAAATTTATTAGATTTATGTTGTATAAGTAATTCACTGAATTAGTTTTAGTCACATCCTAAACAGCTGAACTTGCACCTCTAGAGTAATGTGGGAATTGAAGGGTTCTAATGATGTTTTTTCCTTCTTGTATTTCTCTCCTTTTTGTGCTCTGTTTAGATGGCTGCTAGGCTCGATGAAGCTGAAAGAGAAAACAAGAGCTTAAAAAGAGATGTGAGAATGTTTATGTTAAGCTTATGCTCTGAACTGTAACATTCAAGACATTGTATTTAACCACCCAAGCCAACTCTGCTATCTGTGGTAGATGTTATTGGTAAAGTACAGTCTGCAATCAGTGTACAAAATGTTTAGTTCCTGCATTCAGCCCAACTTAACTGTCAGCAGCACTGACAGAGAATCTAAAATTATAATTTCCTATGGATATCAATGCATAGAGGCTGTTGATGTTTAATTTGCTCACTTAGGTTTGCAAGTTTTGATAATTGTGATATACTTATTTGCAACTGCATTTGATTACAAAACATGTTCCCAGTTTTTGCTTTTGAGTGTAAGGGTTTTCCTATCATTAAGCATACAGTCAGCAAGTGCAGTGGGAATGACTTGCTTCAGAATTATATTTTTTAACATACATTATTTATTACCTATGTGATGTTCATAGCTAGGCTGGCAAATTATCTTGCTCCAAGTTTGAGCTGTAAACCCATTCAAATTGGTAAGAATTTTTACTACAGTAAATACTTAAATAAAGTTGAGAATGATGCAAGTGAAATGTTGTGCCTATAATTAATTGTTTCAGATGGAACGGAACAAGATGGACCTAAGAGATTTACAAAGACAATTTGAACAGCAGGTACAATCAAAAGCAAACCTTTACCTTTTATATGGTGGCCATGAGAATCAATGTAGAAACTAATGTTATGTTAATCACATTAAGATTTTAAAACCAGTGACATTGATTTTTAAACAATTCAATAGTCCTAAATTTTCATTTTATATAAAATAAATGAATGTGGCTAAGCTTATTAATAGATTGTTTTAATAGCAGTCAAGCTATTTGCTGTATTGCAATTTTCAGGACAGTATACCTCAGCAGATAAGTCAAGACTCATATGAATATATGTTAATGCATGTATATTGGTTTCTATCAAGTGCTTCTTGGTGAGTTACTAGGTCAGAACATGTCTAACAATATTGTGTATTGGGAGAAAAAAGAGCATAGCCTAAACCTTTGGAATCAAAGGGATGTCCAAAAACAGGTGTATTCAAAACTTTGTATCTCTTACCTCTAGAGAGAAAGTACGACAATGCGCAGAGCAGAAGGTTCTGACTTTAAAGAGAAGATCTCCAAGAAAAACAAGGAATTGTCTGAGTATCTGGATGAAATAAGGGTAAACTACCAACTTGACCTTAGTTCAGTCTGTGTGAAGAACAACAGCCTTATTTGATAATCATTTGAAAACCATTTTAGTAGGTTCTTTAGTTTTATCATTCATTTTCAGAAGTGATAAACTCATTCCAAGTGTCATCCTGTTACATACTTTCAGATGCTCCGATTGTTATTTTTGTCTACACAGCTTATATCATACATTGAAACAAAATGTTTTTATTCTTTCTTGCATAGATTCTTCAAGAGGCTAATGATGATTTAGAAGAACGCATGAAAAACACTGAGAAAGAACTTCAAGAGGCAACTGCGGAGATGGACAAGATGACAGATGAATACACCAAACTTAAGGTTGGCTTATGATTTTAATGCAACATTTATTTACTAAATTGTATGCATCTATTTTGAGTGATTTCTTGATGTGTATGAAATGGTGTATAATTGCGTTACTTTTGTAAGGAAGAACTGTATACAAACCGGTATGTTTCTGAAAAATTTTACAGATTATTCTGCAGCAGTCAGACATGATCATAGATGACATGAGGAAAGAAAGGGATGCCCTCAGAGCACAGGTTATCATTATCATTATCATATGAATTGTACTTTTTTCATACGGCATAGTAAGATAACAACCATAAACTCATGGTAAAATGTAAAAATAAATTCATTTATTGGTATTGAATAATTTTTGTTGTGACAGAGCTGCTGAATTTTTTACAAATTTCTCTCCAATACAACAAGATTTATGCTCACTATCCCCTTTGTGCAATCTTCCAATTTTTTAAGAGTCAGTAAGGGCTGTGACTGCTTATTCCTTCCATCTTTTTTGTCACTTCATCTCTTGTCTACTGGTTTTCCCCCTCTCCCTCCCTCCAAGGTTTCTTCAAAATTAAATTTTACAACACTGATTTTTTTATATGCAACTAATAGTCATAAGCTCTCCTTTTGAGCATAACAGAAGAGAAATGGGCTAAAACTTTGGTCACAAGTTAACATCAAAGATTGATGTGACTGGACTTGAATTTATGTAGCTGCAACCAATAGAATTTTTTTATCAACAAAAGGAGTCAAGTGACCCAACCAGGTCTTAAAAGTGCCCCAAATAATGCTTCTCTCAAAGGCTACAGAGATTGATGGAATGGATACCCAAAGCATTTATTTGTTTTTTTTAATTATTGATCATGTAATGGAAGTCTTTGCTGTGTTCATCAAATGAATCAATGAAGTTTATTTTGAGCCCCTTGTTTAATGACAATAGAGGCAATAATTTGTAATCCATAATTATTTAGACCCATTTGTTGTCCCTATATTACTTAGGTTCAAGATCTCAGGATGCAGTTTTCAACCAAAACAGACACTGATGAACAGATTATGGCAGCTGTGAACTATAAAGTGGAAGAGTGGAAGGTGTAAATGGGTGATTCACACCCAGAAAAATTTTATTCAGTAACCTCTTATGCTATTAGTGCTTACAGTTGGGCTTTAAAGATGGTGGTCTATAGAGCTAAAATTTTCATTTTCCTTCAAATATCTTTGATAGGCTGTGCTTGCAGCAAAAGAAATTGAGCTAGAGCAGTACCAGTCATTGGTCCAAGAACTGAAACAACAAGTTGCAGGGCTTCAAATGGATGCGGACAAAACATCCTTGGCCATGTTACAACAGGTATATCTATAGCTTTACATGTACTCCATAGACTTGTGAAATATTGTTTAGTTTCTTTTTTTTACATGTATTTTTAATAACAAAAACCTAGTTACATGTTGCTTGTGTGAAATTTTATTCCTCCTTGATAGGCTGTGGCTGAAAAAGATGAACAGATAGAAAATCTTAAAAAGGAACTTGAAAAGGTACCAAATTACATGTATGCAGTTTTCACTTTACTCCTGTTACAGTGTATGTAACTCTTAAATTATCTGTGGGCTGTAAAGATACATTCCTATTAAAGAACATATAATGATTGGTTATGGCCATACATACCATCAAACTCAGCTTGGATACCAGAGGCAACTCACTTTTGTCTTCGACCTCTCGTGTGAATTTGCTTTTATGAAGTGATAGCTTTGAGAGTCAGGCACCACAGATTACAAGATAAGACCTCTCTGGGGATTATTTCAAAGCTCAGCTTTGTGCAAACAATCCTAATGCCAGAATGGTTATTTAGTTTTCTGAGTAACAAGGGGTAGAGGGTTTAAATGATTGTACATGACCATGTCAAATTTTGCTTACTTATAGGCATCAAGTGACATGCATGGTGTAGCTTCATATGTGGAAGAAGTCAAGGCCTTAACTGAAAAAGGTACATTTTTGTGGTAAACTGTTTACAGGGTAATTTATCAGTGTTACCCTCTAAGAAAACAATTACATAGAATTAATACAAAGTTTGTACTATAAATTTGTGGTTTTATTTTTTATTTTATATAGTTACATGTTTACATGAAATGTGGGTATTTAAATTCTTGGTCTGGATTGTAACTCAGAGTTACATTTAACAGCACATGCTTTTGGATTACAACTCAAAGTACACTTAACCGGCACACCCTAACATCAGTATACAAGTTCTCCACTCTGTTCTCTATACATCCCCTGTCTCGACATGAATTAGATTTAGGGGTGAAGTTGTAAAGAGAAATTAGATGTGAGTCACTCCCAGTGTTTGAAGGGTTAAGGCATGTGCGTATTTTGCACACTCTGTTTTTGACGCAAATCAATTTTTGATTTGAAGATGCTGTTTTTGACAGGTGTTCCATCAGCATATCAGCAAAAAAGAATCAGAGATCTAAACAGCACGCTACAAAAAGAACAGTTGGAAGTTTTGCAGTTTAAAGACAGGATGATCATGGTAATAATTCAAAAGGGTTTGCTTCAAGAAACTGCTTTTAGTTAGTTTTGCTTTAGTTTGGATAAAGCGAAACAACAACAAATCTTTTCTTAGTAATAACATATGTACTAGACTGTCATGACTTTGGATCAGGTTTGTTATAATCATACAGGCCCTTAAGTCCACCAAACTGCACATGCCCTACATACATGTATACGCCCTTGAGTAAAAAGAAAAACCATGGTGTTTATCTTGAAATTAGACATGCATGCAAGAGTCAGCTTATCTATCAGATCCCAGCCACAGACGTGATAAGTAATCAGCTCTCTATAAGATGACCATTGCACCTTGAATGAATTCGAAAACTGATCTAATCAACCAGTTTTGTAATTATACCAAGTATATTCTTTGACCGCAAAATCTGTTTATTTATTTATTTATTTTTTTTTTGCATTGTTAAAATTATTTTTAATTAGGTCCAAGTGCAACACACAGTATTATAATTTATTTATGTTTGTCCCTCCTAAACAGGCAGAAAAGGCTGCAGCTATGAAAGACAAGCAGTTGAATGACTTACTGGCTCGAATGATGCAATATGAGAGGGTAAGGAGTTATTCTCCCATAATTGAAGTTAACTGAATATTACGATATCATTTATTAGTATAAATTATACTATACAATTGAATGGTGCTTTTCGCGCGCGCTGATTAGCAAGAAGCCGGTGAGAAAAAATCGCGTGTCAAGAGTTTAATATCTGACCAGTTTTTTGTATATTGTAAGAAATAACCAGTTTTTTCGTATTTGTGTGGTACAGTTTCTAAGAAACAATTATTCACCTCAGTGCCGTCGGGAGTGGTGGATGTTTACCTCGCCGCTTCGCGGCTCGGTAAATATCCATAATTATTCACCTCCAACTCAGTGGATAATTATTAATTATTACCTGATTAAAAAAAAACTTATTAATTAGTCGTACACGTTCAGTAGTCTTGAAGATTGCATCACAATTGATGTTACTATTTCTTTACTGTAGGGGGAGTATGGATTGAGTGAAGCTGTGCAGGAAATCAAGGACTGCAAGGCTCAGATTCGTATCAGAGACCAGTAAGATACAGAAATAAAAAGCAATATTTACAAATGTATCTAGTTTTTTTTGGAAAACTTCTTTTTTCGGAGGCTGCTAATGTTGCTTTGACCCCAACCCCCCTCTGTAATGACCCCCTAACCCCACTTAATGATAAACGCCTAAGTCCCCCTTTTAATATCCCCCTAGCCCCCCCCTCCCCCCTCTCTAACGATAACGTCAATGCCGCGCTTGCCTGTGCCTTTGCTCTTATCATAGTTGGATGTCATCTCTAATCTGTTGCCGAACTGATGCACGGCAACATGTATCCGGGAAGTAAGGAAGCACAAAATTCTGTGTAACGATAATTTTACAGTGTATTCCTAGCCTTTTTGGTTAGTTCTTCATTTAACTCTTTTTCCCTTCAGAAACATTGAAGACCTGACCAGTCAAGTAAACAACTTGGAGATCAAAGTAAATGACAGCGAAATGGAAAACGAGGAATTGCGAGAGCGGCTTGGAATGGATCCTAAGGAGTCGCTCAACATTGAAGATGTACGGCACAAAAAGAAAGTTAAAGCAGAACAGGCAGTGGCTCTGAACAGGGCATTGACTAAAGAGGTAATTTACTTTTTACACTTCGAGGAAAATTTAAGATAACGAATATGTATTTATTGAATGTTTTTTATTGTTCTATGCACTTTGGGGAACCTCTTTTAAATGGTAATGATTTGTTTTGAGTTTTTCTTTTCTTCATTTTTGAAGGTGGAAAGGTTAGAGGAAGAAAGGCTTCAGCTTAAGCGTCAGCTCCGAAAACAAGCACTGCACAGAGGTCAAAGGTAAATGTGGGTTGTTTGTTTTTGTTGTTTTTTTTCGGTTAGCCATAATACTTCGTTAATTGTCAATTCATGGAAATGGAAGGGAGGGGCATTCTATACATGTTGAACATCCACCAACGTAGAACGTTTTCAAATTGAAGATTTATGGGAATTTGGTGTGCCTGTAAGTCATTCACCGATGAGCGACACGTAGTTCCAATAACCGATAACGCATCGGTTTTGAATTTTTGCAATGCTTTTTCTCCCGGGCAGGGCTGTAGAGTTAGGAATCACTGCAGAAGACTTGATCGTGGCCGAAGAAGAGGATGTAGTCTCTTCGCCTAGGAGACTACCTGTAGTGGATTCTGATAGTGACGTCACCAAGGCTATGGTAAGTACCAGAAACGAACTGTCACGTGCTAGGTATAAAGAAGTTCCCAAGGGGTTTCGAGAATTTTTTTCACAAGCGGTTGCCGAGTCGTAAACAACCATCTTTAGTACATGGAACTGCGCTTCCTCGAGTAGATGTACATACATCTGAGATTTTTAAATTTCGATAGAGAATATTACACGTCTCATTCTTGAATTGAGTCTGAAATGAAGACTTTACGGCCTGTGGTCCATGACGTTTTTAAATTATTGTAGATGACCTTTTTGTTTGATTGTTTGTTTTTCAGAACCAGAGGCTGGAAGGAGAAGTAGAAAAGAATGAAAAACAAATTGAAAAGTACAAATCTGATATGAAGAAGATCGAGACTGAGAATAAGGTACAGAGAAGTCAGTGGCCAATTATGATAACAATTTTTGTTGGGTAGATCTGAATAACCCTGAATCTTCGAATCACTGTTTCTCTCCCTTTCTTTCTTTTTCCCTTTCTAACAGGTTAAAATTTTTTCGAACAAAATAGAAGTGGGATGTTATAGGGAGAAGTTGCATGTTAATCACTTTTGGGACTTAGAAGGCCAATCTGTACTTTTTTAGTCATTTTATTCCATTCAGGTGATTCGTGGTTTTTTAGTTGTAGTCAAACTGACAGACGACATGTCTTTCAAGTTCTTGTTTAATTTGATATTCAGTATAATATTTTCCGGGGACGAAGCAAAATATAGTGACGTGTAGATCCTGCAAGACTTAAGCAGGAGAATAATTGAACGGGTGAACTACACAGCACTTTAAAGTCCTTACCTGCCTATATTGAGTATTTCGATCCCTGTGCACAGGAACTTAAAGATGAGAATAAGCAGTTGGAAGTTGGGATGCGGGAGATTTTAGCACAGCTGAGAGAACATGCCGCTGCACAAGGTTCGTTTTGTGGGTTTGCCAGATATTTTAATTAAAAGTAAAAGCAAAATTTGTCTTAGTACCTTCCTAAAACCATTTGTTGACGAAGTATTTCCTCGTCTTTCTATTGTTCGGATGCTTATAGTCCCTCCCTATGGAGTGTTTTGTAACAAGAGATCGATTTGTCATGATTTACACATGAAGCTTTTGAAAGAAAAGAAAAAGCTTGATGACTTGATTTTTTTTCTCGTTTTAGGAGCAGAGGAAAATAAATTAGTACAAGTACCAGCCTTAGAAAAGCTTATGGCTGTAAGTTACGCTTCCATCGTTCATTAGTTGAATTTGTTTGATATACGGTTTATCTTTTTTGTTGCCTTTCGGAAACTGAACTGTAAATCTCCATTCTAATTTTTTTGTTTTCCATAAAGATGATAGAATCTAGAAATGCAGTGGGTCAATATGACACAACACTACAATTGAAAGCACAGGTAAGCTCTCTTTTCTGTTCGTCTTTAGTGAACACGTATGTAATATCATTTAAGCTGTAAGTTCTTCTTTTGGATTTAGATCGAACAACTAAGTGGGAGGAATGAAGAACTCCGACACGAACTGCATAATGCCCGAGAAGAAACAGCTAAAGCCATTATGCAGTTGGAGAGGAAAAAGACCAAGGTAGTAAACGGTGTTCTAAGAAATCTATTGTTTTAAGATTTGAACTGCTCAATATGTTTTGGAGATAAATGCACAGTCATTACCTAAAGTCCCATAGACGCCCTCAAAACATCCACATGACGGCTCTAACTCCTTTCTTTGTTAAACGTTTCTGTATGTCACGTGTGAGTGGTGTAAGTTTCCCTCCTCACCCAAACGAGGGTGATAGCGAATACAAGGTCAAAGAGTATAAAGTGGACATTGAAAAAGGGGGACCTGGGCATAAAAACACCACTTAGCTAAAATGATGCTGAAATCGAGTGTGTCTTTGATTGCAAATTTTTGGTTATGATTCATATATTCATTTATTTTTTATTCTTTTCATTGTTTTCTTTTCTTTTTTTTCCACAACAAAAGATCGAGGATCTTGAAAAAGATATTAAAGTGTTGAAAGAGATAGGTAAGTTCTTCGTTTAAAGAAGCTTTAAGTTAAATTAAGGACAGATTGTCTGTTATTACTATAATTTACTTTGATATGTTTGCAACTTAAGGTGAAGGCGCCGTCAAGTTACAACCCATGCCTTTGCCGCAGGGAATGACACCGTCTTCAACAGAGATCATCGCCAGTCTTAACGAGCATCTTATACAAGTACTTCAGGTGACAAATAGAACTTTAAATACTTTTATTCAACAGCTTTCATGAACCTGCGTTCATATTTTTTATTTATTTGGGCTTTCATGAACCTGAGTTATTGTTTATTTATTTATTTGTCTATTATGTTTGCTTCTTGGCAGTTTACATGCAACATAATCACAATGTTTTCTTAATTTATTTTCTAAAGGAAGTCTCCCTGAAAGAGCAACTACTAGAGAAAATGGAGAAGGATCTTGAGATGTTCAAGAGGAAATTCTCGGTCATTCTTCACCAAAAGGTTGGTTAACTCCCCCTCTGGTTTTCCCAGCCTGAATGGTCAGTCCATCAACCCTAACTCCTAAATGCTAAGGAAGGGGTGATGGGGGAGGGAGGGCTGGGCTTGGTTGACTGACATCTCGAAAAAAACTATTCTGGAAAGAATATTACGGGTCTGATAATCTTAGGAGAAGGTATTAGGCGTTTTGCACCTCGATGAAAAGGAAAAACAAGAAAGCAAGCCACAGACTACGAACAGTACCTCATTTTCGGCAAAATATCTTCGCGAGGGGAAAAACATCACTGATAAAAAAAATTGATCTAGCGGGCGATGCGTAACTCGGGGAGTGAGGCGCACGAAAACTCACTCCCAGAGTTCCGCGCAAGTAAAATAAACAAATCAACAATGTGACTTTTTTATTTCATACAATCTGAGCTGTTTTTATACTTCACCTTTTTTCTGTTTTGTTTCATAGGGGCTTCTTTATGCTGATTTTATGAAAGAAAGAGAGAAATGGGAGGAGGAGAAGAAAGCGATCGAAGAAGATAAGGCCTCGACTGAACTTGCCAGAGAACACGATAAAATCAGGCTCATGGAATTCGAGGTACTATTTCTGCTAAATTCTGCTATTCTTCCCTACGTAGAAGATAAAAAAGTTCTTTTTATATTTATAGATATACCAAATGTAAGGATTTAACCCCAAATTCGACATGTCGCTGATTGCTTTGCATTTGTCATATTCAATGAACAAGGAAGCTTATAATCTATTGAATATTTTTGCCCGCGCGCGATTGGTCTAAACGCATGACGTGACTGAGCATCCCCTAGCTAAAACTGAGGGATATCCGAGGATACACCCCAAACGATAATCCCCAGTTTTCAATCGTTACGTCCGAAAACTCTGCGCCTAAAATTTAATTCAAGATGAGAAAGCGTTGTATTGTTGTTACTGAAGAAGGAACGTGTTTTTTTGTTCATTTAATCGAGCCAGGCAACATTGAAAAGAACACAGTTAGGTGTTTATAAACATTTTTCCCGCGTGTTGATAATAACACAGTGGCCTCTTTTTGGTGCGAGATTATGCTCATTTTTCCCGTGCGTTGATAATAACACAATGGCCTCCTTTTGGTGCGAGATTATGCTCGTTTATTACCCATCTATTAGATTTTGCGCGATTCCATCGGCTCCTTTACGTCACGTGGTGCAAAATTACCGGGCAGTTATTACGCAGTAACCCGCGTTTGCGTCGTTATTTGTCCAGCGAATATTTCCGTCGTAAAGAAACAAAGCCAGCGGAAAAAGCCAGTTCAAAAGTTGCACTGTTTCATCGTTTTTAGTTTACAATAAAGAAAAACGAACTCGATTTGTAGTTTCTAGTGATAGTAACATTCTTAAATCTATTCTTAAATTTAAATACTGCACCGGAAAGTACAAAAAAGTCAATAAAATAAGCTGTCAACTCGCTGATACTAAAATTAATGGGGTTTTAAAACAAATGAACACCCTTCTGGCGGCGGGCATGTCGGCTGATATGTCCTTGGTTGAAAGGTTGTCTTAAAATTTTCTCCTTTTTCCCTCGAAACTTCGCTTCTCGGCCTTATATTCATTTTATTTTTTCGGAAAATATCTTGGCCGCGGACATTATTAGCCGACATATCAGCCGCCAGAAGGGGTTTATTTTCTAAATATTTGTCCTTGGAATTGATCTGTTCCTCGAAGCTCACAGTTCGCTCGAACTGTTCGCATCCCGTAAAAGATCATGTCCGGAGACAGATATCCATTCATATTTTCGCGCTTAATGGGGGCTGCTGCTTAGATATATAAAACAAAGAAAATCCGTGGGACGCGTAAGACGAAGTATCATGATTCCAGGCGTTTTGAGCCCCGCTACTCGATGGTGTTCGTAGCCAGATGGTTTTCACCACAACGTACAAATTAATATATTCAGAATTGCGCGCGCTACTTGAAGGTATCTGAAATCAAACCTGAGATTGCAGGTTTGACTGATGGGTAAAGCGGCTGGAAGCAGGCCCCTATCCACTGGGAATAGGGGCTTGGTAAGTCACCAGGAAACCGGGTCAGATTAGGTGATGTGGGTGCTGAGTCGAGTTCCTTGATTCGTTCAAATGACATTCTTGGTTGAAGACATACATTTTTTGCAGTTTTTGTTTTCATTTCTTTAATTTATTGTGTGTATTTATGGAGAAGTTCGATATTTTGGACTTTCCTTTCCGCAGAGATTACTCGATACCCTGGAAAAAGACGAGGACAAGCAGAAAAAGAGACTTGGAGAAATGACAAGAAAGGTTACAGTTTTGAGAGTGAACGAGAAGTCGCTCAGCAGGAGATACACGGCCATGCAAGAGGTGGAAGCTGCGCTCAGGAAAGAAAACAAGAGATACAAAAATGATGTTGTTGCCATGGAGACCGCAATTACCGAGAGACTGGGTTACCTTCAAAGACACAAAGTACGAAATGCTCAGGGTTTTTTTCCTTTTTGTCTTTAACCTTCATCCTCCTCAATTTTCAACACTATATTTTGTTCGTTGGTTATAGTAGAAGAATTTAGAGTGGCGTGGCATGTAGTCTTAGTATTTTTAATCACTTTCATACTTTGTTGAACTCACTTATATTTAAGGAAATGTCCACGTACAAGATTGGAGTATTACAGCAAGCTTTAGATGAGAGTGTTCTTGCAACAGAACTAGAGGCAGCGAACAAACAGTATAACGAACTTACGGCCAAGTATCGCGACGTTATACAAAGGGAAAACAGCCTCGTGGCACGATCAGCCATAGTCGACAATCTAGAGGTATGAAGTGCTTCTAGCAATTTATTAAGCGTTAAGCCTGCTTTCCTTGTCTAGCCAGTTCCTTTCGATTTTGTCATAGCTTTGATCTATCAGAGTAATGAAGTAATTGTGTCCGTGTGGTTATTACTAATGATGCGTGGTTAAATTTATCAGTTTCTCCTCTTAGTGTGGTTGGCTACTCCACAATAAGCTGCGTTTTAAAATTGATACATATACCTCTTGCTTGCGAAACTTCCGTTCTCGCTGAAAACAAAAGACCCATACTGTAGTGGACATTGTATGGCTTGATCTTGCCCATCAGACCTACTTTTTTTATGATGTAGAAAGCTTCCTGAATACTTTGTTTATATCACTGAAAGTTACTAATGATTTTTTTTCCTTCAGGCCGACTTGAAGGCTTTGGAAGAAAGAGAAGCTGATCTGAAGAGGGAGATGACCTCACTGAAGGAAAGAAACCACAGTTTAGAGCAGATGGTGAATGAACTGCTATCGAAAGGTGACAAAGATTTAGCGCTGTCGATTTGTAGCTCCTATCTTAACGAAATCGTAGGGGTGATAAAAACTCGCTCTTTCCATAGTAAAAGAAAACAATAACCTCTTTCCTCAATTAGATACGAATCCTACTGATACCTGCCGAAAATCATGTGTTTCATTGGCCTTCTGTCAGTCACTGCGGCGTTTAATGTTTCTCTTTGACTCCTATGGTAGGTGAAACAAATTTCACCTGAGAAAAATGAAACATTTTGCTTTTTCAGAGGGTGGAGAGGGTGGAGGAGACACCAGCATTGTGCGGCAGGAAGAGATAGACAGAATATCAAGAAAACTCGCCACGTTAGAAATGAAGGTATATCGTGATACATACAGGCTGTGTTTGGTAACCCAGACTGTATATCTATCCCTTTGTGTGGTGCACGATAACTGATGAAGCACCCAGAAAAGTGTAAATCACGATGTTGATATATGATTCAACTAAACCTTAACTTTACCAGGAACTGAATGAGAGAGAGCGTGCCGACCATGCCACGAGGAAATATGAACAAGTTCAGTCTCTTATCAAGCAACTAGAGGAAAGGAATGTAGAGTTGGAACAAAAATTTGCAGAGGTCAGTGTGTACTGAATTGTCTCATTCCTAGACATTTCATAACGCCATCTCGGAATTTAATATCTGATGACGACGAGTTCTCTCTTTTTTACAGATCAGCAAGTTGAATCTTGAATCTCAGAGAGTTGAGCGGCAGCTTAGGGACGAAATATCCAGTAATTATTCACTTTATGTCTTTCATAAAGGTTAACTTTAGACATGTAGACGTCTCTCTGATTGTAGAAGTCACACAGCTTGTGACCTGGTGACTCAGTTCGTAGTTACGCCCAACTGCTATCTAGGAGGTTCAAGGTCAACCCTCATCGAAGTCTGATGGCACCGCGGTTCCCAACATAGACAAAAGTACATTTGCGGGACTAATGACGCCATTACCCTTACATTCCCCGTCACTAGACAGCATTTTAAATTAAGTGGTTGTATTTTCGCTTAGACTCTGTCACACAGGATACTCATGTGGCTGTCACGCGTCGTGTCCAGTCTCTGGAGGAGTCCGAATCTAAGCTAAAGGTGGAAGTGTCACGATTGAAGGAGGTGGCGGAAGTGGCTTCGCATCAAACCGAAGCCATCAAAGCGCAGCAGGAGTCACAGGACAGAGAGCTGACATCTCTCAGGAAGCAACTTTACGACATGCAGATGGAGAGTGATGACAAGACCATTATAGGTATAAATATTTGATGTAAATTTAAAACTATTTTGGGAGTAACTAAAATATTAACTTTGCGACTTGGTTAGTAACATGGAGGGTAACACGACATGTCTTCTTTGATCCATGAAAGCAATCAGCTGTACATTTTGAATGGGAATTGTTAATCTTTAACTACAGTATTAGCGGATAAGAAAGTAAAGCAGAGGATTTATTTGATCCTAAATTAAAAATACGTCTTAAAAAATTATTGTTTTGGACGTTCTATCAATATTAAAAGGATATGTTTGACGATCTTCAGGTAAACTGCACCACCATATCGTGGCCCTTCAGGTGAGTGAAGGTACAGCCGTGAGGAAACTGGAAGCTGCTATGCAGAAGCTGTCCAGACAGGAAGCTCATGTGTTACGGCTCGAGCGGAAAATCGATGAAAAAGACCAGGCTTTGTATCACGCTAAGACGGAGGCCAGGAACAAGGCAAAGTTCCTTAAGAGAACCATTCAAGATCTGCGGAGGCAGTACAGCGGAGCTCTGCCACTGATGAAACAGGTAATTAAGCACATTTACGTCAATATAACAACACGCTGACCTACCCCGGAACGGATAAAGATCTGTTTTCGCCCACCTGTTTTTCTCTGAAACCATTTGCGCTGTCTAGGCTTATTATTTTTTGACGCATGTAAAAAAAGGGATCTTGTCAGTTTGGAAAATAGACATTGAAAATATTGAAAATGATGATGGGAACTGGTGCTCCTCCCTTTAACCAAGATTAATGTTCAAAGTATTGAAAGAGGAGTTGAAACATATCTTACAGGTTGTCGTTTCTCGTCAGTTTAAATGTACAATTTGAACTGCTTAACCTCCACTCCAATTTGCTCTCTGTTCAGGAAAAGTTTGCTGAGACTATGCGTTCGTTACACGAAGACAAGCACAAGCTTGAAGGAGAGCTTAAGAAAGCTAGAACCGACAGAGAAGCAGCGGAAGACAAGCTTGCTGAGCTTAAGCTTCAACACGATGGGTTACAGGAACTGATGTGTACGTTAAAGGATGGCAAAGGGGCAGCTAAAGTCACTGAATGGCACGCAAAGATGGGCGAAATACGACTGCAGGACCTTAAACTGAACCGTGCTATTACCAGACTGCAGGAAGAGGTAATAGAAATGGAAGCTTTGTTTGCAATTTACGTTTGATGACATATGTTTGCACAGTTTTGTAGTGTAGAACAGTAAAGCATTTTTGAGTGTCAGCAAAGGAGTTAATTACGATGTTAGGTTTTCTAACCGGCAAACAGTGCTCGTTTTGGAAGTAGACTTTCAAATATAACGGAGACCTCTGGATGCTATTTCGTTGGGCGCTATTAGGTTTGACGGTCGGTCACTCACATACAAAAACTGTAGAGAACTGAGTTCTCCCTCAAATCAGTCTTCCTTAGTTCATTTCTAGATTACAATCATGCGTTTTCTTGCTTTACTTCAGTTGAAACACCTGGAAAATATGACAAAAGTTCAGGAACGCACCATCTCGGATCTGGAGGATGAAAATGTCCAGCTTGCCAAAGAGCACGAAGAGAGGCAGTTGCTATGGGAACAGAGGGAGGTGGAGCTTGAGCGCACGATTGACAAGCTAGAAAAACAACAGGAACAACTAGCAGACGCAGCTGCTAAGTTTGAGGAGGCTACTGGCTCGATACCAGACCCTGATCTTCCAGTAGCAAATCAGCTTGAATTGGCGATTAGAAATATAAAGGAGCACATAAGGATTATTGTAGGAACGAGAGAGGAAAGCAGAGCTCTTAAAAAGGTAACAATACTTAAAAAAAGGAACAGGAAACCAGAAAATAAGGGATTGTGGAGAGGGGAATGCGCAAAACTGTGGAAAGCGTTAAGTAGATCAGCCGAATATGGTGGTTTTTTTTGTTATTGCTTTTGGATACGTATATTCTGTTGGTATATAAAGCTGTCTATTGCATGTCTATTTGTATATTGTTGTCACACGTCAAATTGAAAAAAAACAATGCTTAATCGCAGAAATACGAAGAGCTGGATCAAGCTTTCAAGCAGTCAGAAGAAAGGCTCACCCAGAAAGATAAGGTAGTTTGATTAGTTAATTCAGGAATAAAATAAGCTCATGAACTAACTGTTTACGACTGATTTCTTATTAAAGTATCAGCCCAAAGATTACCATTCAATTTTGTGTACACGAATTCATTCAGAGAAAGAAAACCGGTCAAGTATATTGAAAATATGAATTCGGTTTGAATGGAACAGTTTTGTAACGTTTTATCATTGATTCTTTTGTTTTGTTTGTTTGTTTGTTTTTTTTTCAAGAGGACAATGAGTAGGGTACAATCACTGCAACAAATTACACCTCATCTTCATTTTATAATTTTTAATGAAATAAATATTACCGCGTCAGGCTTCTTTTCTGTAATTGCTTTTAAAATTTAAACTCACCTACAAGGATCATTGCTTTTCTTGATTATCATGTGCAGGTCAAATAAAATTTAATTCAGGAAAACTTATGATCAGATTCCTCCTCGGGAAAGAAAAACCCTCTGAAATGCGTCCTGTTCTCAACTTGTGGCTTCGCAGCTCAGTGGTTAGTTTCGTCCAACTAGTATCCGGGAGGCACGTGTTCGAATCTCATCAAAGCCTGAATTTTTTCACGCTTCTTGTCTGCAATTAGTTAAATTGTAGCTCACTTGCGAGAATCATTTCTTTACTTTCTTTTCATTTTCTTGTAGCTGATAAACGAGCTGCGCCTCCGTCTCCCTCTGTCAGAGCGCGGGGAGATCACAGCAGAAGCCAAGAAAGCTGCTGGATTAGTAGAGGAGGATTATGAATCAAAACGGGCCTTGAAAGTGGCACAGGCAACTGTCTCCAGTCTGCAGGTACGTTCTTTTTATTAAAATTGTGTGTTGATTCAGTCTCAGTAAAATCAAAGTCAAGGTAGTCAAGACTTCCAATCAGATCATGGGGAGTTATGTCAAGGAGCCTATGAGAACTCAGACCTTTTAAATACCTGTAGTACTCAGGAAAACACGAGTGACCAAGTCGCGGTTGGTGTAATTTCTAGATCAGATTGGATAAGAAAGTCGCGCACGTTTATCAACATAGCATAAACCGAATCTACTGCGCACGTAGGCTTCTTATCGAGGCAAAATAACGCATGCCGCTGGTCTAAGTATTTATTTATTAGTTTGCCACACCACGATAAAAATTAATAAGGACGCATGATAATTTAAGTAAGATATAACGATGTGTATGGCGAGGAAACCTAAGTGAGACCACGAGGCTCATACAACGTTTTGGTTCAAAGAGAATTCTGTCTCAAATGTTAATTGTCACTGGTGCCATCGTGCACACTTGTGTTGAACTCTTAACAAATTCTCAAGGTGTTGCAATCGTAACAATTAAGGATCAACTAAATGATTAGAGTATCATTTCACAGCGGTTTACTTCATCTTCATATATAACTGCTCTTTCTTTTTAATTTCACAGCAAATTCTGGCTCGTAAAGAAGAATCGTTGGCTAAATACCAGGAAATGTTAAAAGAAGCACGAGAGGTAAGATGACAATAAATGTGTGGTTAAAAAATTATTTCTTTCGGTTATTACTCGGTGAATGATATCGCCATAGTCAGAGAGAGAAAGTCTTAGTGCATCCAGCACGGGTGTTACCCATGATCCTCCGAGCACTTGTGTGCTTGCTCTGCCACTGAGGCTGTTGGGGCCTCATCCTACTTAACAGGCGCTCAGCGGGAACGCGAATAGTATACGCATGGCATCCACACATGCACCGGAGCCCAGTGGTTTCGAGACTTTTAAGCTTGGTTTTTGCATAAAACATCTCACATCCACATAATCAAAAAATAAATGATCTTGTTTAATTGAGGAACTTTTGCTTGTTTGTTTGTTTGTTTGTTTGTTTGTTTGTTTAACATACAGGAGGCCAAGACTCAAAACGAACAACACAAAGCAGAAATTCAGCTCCTACAAGACAGGTTACATCTGGAGACGGACGAGACATTTAGAAGGAAGAAGACTTTCCACATGGTCAGTTTTTAACAGAGTTATTTGGATTATGGAAAGTTTGTCTTTATAGTAAACGCGAGATTTAGTATCAAAGTTATTACATATTAGTGCATTGTGTTTACAGAATAACAAAGTTATAAGATTGAAACTTTTTAAAATGATAAACTACAGAGCAGTACTGCACGAAAATGGTAAAAACTTGATTTAATTACTTACGCGTTTTGTCTGACAATAGCAGACTTCGTTTTAATAAGTGGGGAAAATAAGCTTACTTATATACCATGGTAAATACGATGTCTATTGCCGACCTTTAAACATAATGTGAAGGAAGCAGAAAGTATCCGTATTGTGTGACAAAGGTGTTAAATAAGCGTGACATTTTTCGGACGGTACATGTAGTAAATCTGTGACCTCCAAATTGGCTTTTCGACATCCCTAGTGGAATTCATCATTACAGTGAAGCGAAGAGTTATTTGTCTATGGAATGTTGTGGTCAAATTAATAATTCTACCTTAATGGTATTAGCTCTATATTGATTTTGATTAGTAAATTTCGATCCGTCAGTAAAGTCAATTAGTTCAGTTTGGTCACTATGTAGTGTCAATGACATGGATAAGTCGCTGTTGGAGCACTGGTTACTGTTTACATCTGTTCAGATAAGTCTTTTCTAAGTTACTCCTTCAGTTACTTCACCGTAGAGCTTTGATAACTCAGTTTCCACCCTCAACAGTGTTAACACTACACATAGACTGTTGGAACTACCCCTCGTCCTCAACTGACGAATTCACCATTCTTATACCTCTTCTTCTCATTTCTTCCTTTTTCTCCCAGGATTCCGTGAATGACGATGGTCCTCCAGTTCCTTCTCACAAACAGGTTTGTGTGGTTACCGTCTGCTAATGGTATTTATCTTCATCAAATTAAATAAAAAGTCTAGCGGCCGATGGGAGTTGGAATCAACACCGAACCAATGATGTAAACTCTGACATTAGACAGACAATCTCAGATGTTTTTGCTTTCGACGAAACGGATGCGACGTGATTTTTAACAGCACGGATTATCTCCATACGTTACAAATTTATACTTATTACATTATATATTTCATTAATAGCTGGCACGTTTGTCAGAGTTGGAGGAAATGGTGACAGAACAGGACAATGCCTTGGCCGTGGCGGCAGAGAAGTACAAGAAATCACGAAATGAGATCAGCAAAATGAAAAAGGATCATGAAGAGGAAGTAAACAGTCTCAAACAGCAGATGGCCAGGTAAAACACTAACATACATGTCAATTCAAGTACATGTTCCTTCTCGAACATGTGTCTAAGTTTACGGTCAGTTATTTCATTTATTGTTCGAGTTATTTTCACTCATAACAGCTACACCTTCAGTCTCCTTATTTCGTACTTGGCACTCCTGAAGCCACCAAGATGGCCAGGCTCTAATTGATTTTTTCATAGGATCCAACCCGTGCGATGAAAGGGACAAAATTCGTATTCTTCACTAAATATGCATGAACTGTCCCGTTTTTGTTTTTTTATTTTTTACCAGGAAAAACGAGGATCATTCAAAAGAAATTACGAGACTTAACAACGAGAAACTAGAACGAGATGACAGAATAATGGAACAGAGTAAGGAGGTTAGTCTTGAAGCTACTTACCTAGCGAATCATTTGCCTAGGATTACTTCCTAACTCTTAAATCACCAGGCTTTTAAATACTGCTATCTTCATTTCCATAATCATTGCGCAGAAGCATTACACATCGACATATCTATCCTAACAGTATGTAGGAAGTTTGTCACCATGGACTGAATTAAATGGCCTGGTCTACCACGAGTCTCCTGTAGCTCAGAGGTAGAGCAACCGAAGTAATAATCGGAAGGTCGAATGCTATTGAGAGCACTCGGATTTCTTTTTTCCGAGTATGTTCTTTGCACTATTTGTTGATTTTATCATTTTACGCGTAGATCGAGGTACTTAAGGATGAACTTGAGTTAGCAAAGGAAGCCTCCCAGCGTGCTCCTAGTAAAACCATGAAACATTTGGTGGAGAGACTTAGGAACCAGTTGGCATTGAAGGAAAAACAACAGAAGGTACTTATGCCGCCCTCATGATGCCCAATTGAATTCCATATCCTTTGCTTTTTCTTCATTGTCATATATGTGTTCTTTCCGTCCTGTTCCAACTTTTCATTTTTTATCTTGGTACAACAAACAAATCTGGTTCCTGTATGTAAAGCTTTCACAGATACACAGGTGTATATGTACTTACCCAGAACTCATCACCGTGGCCGCAAATAAGTAAATATATCATCGCTGCGTAAGCACGCGACCTCCCCGCCTTTTCACTCAGTATACTTGATACTCTTTTATTTTACTGCTTGGTTCCCTGTTTAAATTATATTCACAACTACTGTTCGTTCACTTTTCCTTTCGTTCGAGTTTTCTGATACACCCTCTCTCGTAAGAACAATGTATATATAATATATTCTTTATGCTTCCGTGCACTGACATGTGATAATGATCTTATTTTAAGTCCTTGAGTCAAGCTCTCCTGCAGCTCAGAGCTGACATGGTTACGACTGCAGAGGAAAATGTTCAGGTGAAGTAATTCCCATTAAATGTCTTCTTTCCTGTTTAGCGTAGTTTATGTTAGGCTCTCGGTCAGAAGAGACGAGCGAAATAGTGCGCAGTCGACGCTTGACTGAAACTACAGCGTCAGACTGTCCCGCCATTTTTCGCTTGCTCGCATTTTTCGCATGTCACCGCTGACTGAGAGGCTGGCACAGATTGAAAAGCAATTGACTATGGAGTGTGGTAATTATCAAGGCCATGTAATTCTCGCTAAGTACTCATAGCCCTTTTCACTTTAACAGCAATATAGTATGCAGTTTTTTTTTTTTTTTACCATTTTAATTTAATTTTCGTTTGGCTTAAGTCCGAAAAAAGGGGGTGTTTCATTGTTAAACATTTCAAATTAATGATGCTGATGTCGAAAATACAAAATTCCTCAAGTAAAACTTTAGCTGCCGCCTTGGTCGATATGTTTGTCAGTGCAAGTCATTTGCTCAAACAACAGACTATTCCACGTCCTTTTACCGGATACATATTTCACTTTTTTCTTTCTTCAGGCTCATGCTAAAAAGGCTGAGCAACAGGCCAATGTGCAACATATTGTGGAGAAAGAAACTGCTGGTCTTCAGGTATGCTGTACAGACTGAATTTCTTTTTTTATAAAATATTATACGGTGCATTAATTTCATGGAAAAATACATCGATTAATCGTAAAATCTTCCTATGATGATTTTAAGGCACGTCTCGAAGAGCTCCAAGAGAGAATGGAAAAACTCAAGAAAGAGCTAAGGAAACAAAAGGAGAAGGAATCAAACTTTTTAGGGGAAAGGGACAAACTGAAGCAGGTATAAACAGAATTTCAGCGTGTTTCTCTCCCTAAATAGCTCTTACAGTTGAGGGTCAATGTCGTCTTTTGTTACTTTTTGTTATTGTTGGCAATTAGTTATGTGGGGAGTGTTTGCCTTGCTCATTGATTAACCAACCAACCGAATGACTGACTGGCTGGCTTATTTTTTGGCTCTTGGTTAATGAGAACATGTAAAGGTCGCGTTTGGAACGTTAATAGACTAAACAACTTGAATGGATTTCCCCAAGCCACTGTCGACCTCACCGCTTTATGAGAGAACTTTCCCTGAAACGTTATCAGTGGGGAAATGAAAACAGTTCAATTGGTTAATCTATAACGCGCTTAAATTTGAATTTATGTGCAACTCAAAATTACTTTGCCGTAGCCTCTGAGGAATATGTCTGGTTTGTATGCAAATTAAGAGTCTGTTTTTGTAGTGTACAAATATTAATGTGTCCTAAATTTGGACATTTCTGTTTTGACCTTAAAATATTGCAGTTAGGTAAGTTAACGGAGTAATGGGGTCCTCGAGAACCGCACCGTTTGATAGATCATCTGTGCTGAAATGCGTTAGGCGCTTGTGGTAGGTTTTTTAGACAGCAAAATGTTTTTCAGGTTTCGCAAACAATGCTACAGTAGAATACCGCTAACTTGAACTCGGTTAACTCGAACTCCCCGGTAAATTGAACAAAATCCGATTTCCCTTGACCCATTTTTTTAGTCATTTACTATCAGCTTACTCGAACCCCCGCTAACTCAAACCGGGAATCGACTCTTTAGAATTCGAGTTAGCGGGGTTATACTGCCGTTTTAAACTTGTCACTATACTATCACCCGTAAACAACAGTTTTGATGTATTGAATATTGTATTTTTAAGTACATATTGGATGCCTAATCTAATTGCCCTCATTTAGGAACTTTCAAAAAAGGACTCTGCGCTGTTAAAGCTTGGGCGTGAACTGAAGGAGTTAGAGACTGTGCAAGAACAGTTGGAGAAAAAAGAGGAAGAATTGAGAGCTGAGAGGAACACGGTCAGTGGCGACGATAGCTCTTAAGTATTTCACCTTGTCAGCAGTAATATTACATTTACAGATTTTCATGGGGAATCGCAAGAGTTGAAAACTTAAGTTTTATTCTAAAAGTGCGTTTTTCTTTCCGTAGCTTGCTCAGGAACGAGCTGAATGTGAAAAACTACGAGAGAGAGTGAAAAGCCTTCAAGAGAAAATAAAGCAGATCAAACAGAAGAGCTCTGAGGACTCTGAAGGGGGAGCTGGTGACGATAAACCGATTGTTGAGGAAGTGATTAAGGAAGATAGAGTGAGAACGCAAGGATTGTTTGTTTGAAGCTTCCTCTAAGTTACACTCCAAATTAAAACTCCTCCCACTACTAGTAGACTATTAGCTACTTCGTCAATATGCCTCTACTAAAAACTTTTTTATTTTCATTTTGAGATTGTTCTGTAGAGCTGGGATTAACTTGAGATAGTGTAAATTATAATACTGTTTCGGGAGTCTTTGATCAAGTTACCCCGATGTATTGCATGTTGTTTGCTCAGTCTTATACGGTTTTGTTGCTTAGTGTAAAGCTTCACCCGTTTCGGTTACTGTTCGATCTCTACCATCTGGCAGATAGTGGAGATCTCAGGCTTGATTTAAAATGTCTTGCGTTTGACGTATAAGCAAAGAGCGTACTATCCATGGGTAGAACATCAATGCTAGGACCATTATTGTTTACTCTAAATCGGCATGTGTTTCAGGCGGCAGTGGTCTCTGAAGGAGTTGCGCGATGGGAGGACAACAAGAAATGGCAACAAAAAGTAGAAACACTTAAGGGAAAACTGGCGGAGAAAACACGAGAGCTGGAAAAAGCCGAAAAGACCATCGGTATGTTACGAGACGCAGTGAGCAGGGCTGAGAAGGACAAGGCAGGACTTCACAGTAGATTGAAAAGGTATGTCATGGTCCGTTGATATTTCATTTCTTCTAAACTGATATTGTACGCGCTCATTACTTATATTCATTGCAGTTCTGCCAAGTCTTCAACAGGTGGACAAGCTCTTGTCACTAACGAAATTGTTCAGGATCTTAGACAGAATATTTTTAAGCTGGAAGAAGAGGTATCGTTCTTTTTTACATATTGTAATGACGATCAAATACACAGTTAAATGGTCCTACACGAATTAATTTCATATTTCCTGAAGTGTAAATACCATAAATGGGCAAAAGTCGTTGTTGAGTATGATTTCATTTCTGTTGTAAAAGGACCTGGAATCTCGTCACTTTATTTACCCATTTGTACGTATCTATGAGCGTTCAGCTAAGTTGTGAAAGACGCAGGGCTAAAGCAAGGCATTGGTGAAATTTTACTTCTATTCATTATTCGTTAATGCTCTCACTCACACATGCACTAACTCGTTCATTTTCTGTCTTTCATTCTTTCCTTCCTCTCTTCATTCATTCATTTAGTCATTCATTCAATGATTAATTCGTTCATTTATTTACTTAGTTCTCTGTTTACCTACTTATTTATTTCACAGAATCAGGAATTGAGACGTCAGAAAGTTCTGGGTCATGAGAAACAAATGGAAGCACTTGAGCTTCGAAACAAACAACTAGTGGAGTATATTGAAGATTTAGAGAGAGACCTTGCTGGCAGAATGGCTGAGCAGGTAATTATAATTATTAGATAAGATGTATCATGATAAACTTAACTTCCTTTATTCTAACCCAACGATGGTGATTTCATGTTTCCATTTAAAATATCGTTACAATTAGGTAAACCAGAATCTAACATGATAACAAATTAATTTGCATTTCAAAAGCAGCAAGGTTTGTATCATCCAAGGTCACCCTCAGCCTCACTCCTGTTCAAAGGCTTGGCAACCAAGCACACAACTGTAAAATGGACTATTGTAGTTAAGGCCTACAATAACAAAAAATGCAGTTAAGGAAATGAATGCAGTTTTGTCGTTCTTTGCTTAGTCGCTCTTCTCTTAGATATACCCATGGGTGGGTTGTAGACTCGTGGGCTGCACGATATCCATCACGCCTGCTTAACGTGGCGCTCGTTAGACCTCTTTCCTTTTAAGCTCTTAACAGCCAATTAACTTTACGCCTTTATTTTTCCTAACGACAGCGTACAGTGGATCATGCTGATGCTGATATGTATCGTGAAATGTATCAGAGAAATCAGTCTCTTCAAAAACAGCTCTTAGAGGCGAAAGAGGTTAGTTAAGGATTATGATATCACACACAACAGTTTTAAAAAGGCTTTAGGAGAAATGTAAAAATTGCTTTGATGATGCACTTTATTTTGATGTGACATATAATATGTACCCGGCCAGAACTCATAAACACAGTAACATTCCTTTGCAGGAAAATATGGAATTAAGATTCGAGTATGAACAAGCTCGAAAGGAAAACCCTCGACTAAAGGTATCTAAATAGATATTTCGCTGTATAAATGTATGCTAACAGAGCTGGAAATTACAGTCGATCTTTGGAAATTGCCCGACCAAATTTTGAATATGTCCGGCCAATTGCACACTGTGATGGACACGATCTTCGAATATTTCATCAACACACTTTGACTTCTTCCCTTGAAGTTCTTGTTCATCCATCAAAGTTCTTCAAATAAATTGTTTGACCTATATTTAAAAAGTACTTAATGAAAGTGTCTTTCATTTCTTGTCCGATTTTAGACATTCAAATCGTATTTATCTACGATCTTTTTTTGTCAAGGCTCGTGTAGAAGATTTACAAGAGTATGTGGAAATTTTGAAAGCAGAACTTGAAGCAAGCAAAAAGAGGGAGAAAGCTCGCAAGGTAAAAAGTGTATTCTAACAAATCAAACGGCTACAGTAGAAGATAACAGCTTACTACTCCAGCAATGGTTACAGTGTACTTACCACTAGTTTGATTTGACAGAAGAGTCTGGGCACTGGTATGGGTGGTCAGAGCGTAGAGGATCTGGAGAGAGTAATAGCAGCCATGAGACGAGTTGTGGAGAGACTTCAGGGAGAGAATGATCAGTTAAAGAAGACTGTTGGAGCAGGAGGCCCTCAGTATGGTGAAGTGTTAAAGGAAAATAAACGGCTCAAGGTAAACCGCCTGTTTCAGTTTTTAGGTAGTTACAACGATAACAGGAAGGCAGTGAATGGTGCCAAAAAAAACCCTTTTTTGTCAAATTTTTTGTCTGTTATGATTGTTGTTGTTTGGTTTTTATTGTTTTTGGTGCTGCTCTGCAAGGTACAAAGGGGTCATACATAGGATCGTCCTTGTTTATTTGATGGCTAAAAAGGAAATGGAATGGAACAACTCTGTAAGCGGAGGTAGTTAGCTTTTTCTCCAACCAGTATCGAAATTTTTAGGAGCCTTTCTTTTTGGTCACTGTATTCCCCTTTTGTTGTTTTGGCCTTCCCATTAAGGACCCACCTATTGGGGGAAGGTAAATCCACTTTGTCGTTGGTATTTCTCTCTTTCCACTCCCCAATCTCAACTTCACGCATGGTGTATAGACGCTCGAGCACCTTCTCAAGAGTATGGATATGTTTACACCCCATTAATTGTCCACTTTTCTTGCTCTACATCTTAACTTAAATGCATTTTTCTGTCTGCTATACCAGCATGAGTTGGAGAAGGCAAAAGTTAGCGAGAAGACCCAGTCCTCAAGTGGAGGTAGTAGTCAGGGAAATACAGCTAGACTGATGACTGAGAACGAGAAACTACTTAAAGATTTAAAAAAGGTACATTGAAACTTGGTCATTGAGTTTGCAGAACAGTTCTCGCGAATGTCTAGTCCTTTGTTTGATTTGCTGTCCTTTTCCTCACAGGAAATGGAGGAGGTAGAAAAGTTAAAAACAGCAAACGCTAATCTGGAACAGAGAAAAGAAGAGCTTGTGAAAGAATTAGAACAGGTAACAAAACTTTGGGCTTGATTTATTGTGTGTTTGGGAAATTTCAATCCACTAAGAAGCGCATAGAATCACCTTGTTGCTACACTCAGGACAATATCGATAAAGACTAGTTTCCTTTTCTCGCAACACGTATCTCTGTTTTTCCTTACCATTTGCCATTGCTGTGAAATGAAAATCTATTTTGGAATACGTTCTGTATCATTAGTTACATCAAAGACTTTCCGCCTCAAACATGGATGGACTTGATAGTAAAGAATGGAAATCAGTCGTTTTACCAAAGATATACGAAGAGAAGATGCAAAAACTAGAGGCAGAACTGGAGAAAAAGGTAAGCCTGTCCTCAAATGTGCCTGAGGTATTGATATACAGCTATATTTTGAACATCTTTGTCCTGAGATCCGATCAGCAATTCGCCAATCTACCTGCTACATTTTTCCTTTTAAATCAGTCGAGAGACGTTTTTATTATATCCAGTGATCCAAAAAACGCTCTCAATCCCAAGTTTGTCTATTCTCATCCCCTTTTCGGTGGATAATGGAGTGGCCCTATCTGTGAATGTTGGTCCCCCTGTGGGTATCATTTTGCCCTCCACCTCCCCACCCATCTCTTGCCTGAATAGCACTGATAAGGTGAGTGGAGAGAAAGGCAGAGAGGAAGGGAAATGACAAGGTTTTTCAGAACACTTGACCATGTTTATTTTCCTCAGACAAATCTGTTGAAAGATATCAAGACGTACTTGAAAGCAGCTGCAAACAGAGAAACTGAGTTAATGAAGAAACAGCAAGAACTTGAGGAAAAGGTTTGTTATTAATTTTGTGTCGATAGAACACTCATTAAAAGAGACTCGGATGTGTAGGTTGGTGCGGACCCCCAGTGGTTCACTTTTGGAGCACCAAAATGACTAGAGGCAGATGTTACGAAAGCGGACAGTATGTATGTAGGGGTTTTGTTTTCACTAGTGTTCGCTCATTATGCCCGTTTCTCGATATAAATGTAGGTGCTATTTAACATAAGTAATAGCCGTGATGCTATGTACCATAATTTAAACAACTGATCCTGACTCTGCTAATTTTACCTGTGTTTGGTTTTCATTTTATTGGGAACATTAATTCCTTTTTTTTTCTTTTTGTAGGTTACAATTTTGGAGCGGTTTCCCGCAAATATTAAAGGTGACAGTGATCTGGTCAAAGAACTTCAACAGACAAGGTAACGTTACGTTTTATCTTTCTGGAAACCGTTTAAAAAAAATTGGAATGATTGCAGCTCAGACTACGCATTGGTGGAGTTTGTTTTGCAGAAATCGTACCTAGCATTTTGTAGACGGGTAACTAGCCTCTGTTACCATGCTATACCACGCGTGAAGCCTTAGGCTGCCTATTTATTGTTGTTCTTATCGTTTTCTCTCTCGTCGTCTTGGTCGTTATTGTCATTGTGACTGCTTGTTCTGAAAATTATCCTGTAAAAATTTAATTTTACTTGTTAGATCGTTTATTTAGTCGTTGTTGTCTAGGTTGCGGTTGGCATCTCTCGAGTCAGAGAAAGAAGAAATTTTACACGAGGTACGGCAACTCAGAAAGATGGGACAGGCAGGTGATCTACCACGTGACCTGGTAAGTTGTGTCTTCTTGGTAGTTTAAGAAACTTTACTATTAGATTTTCCATGTAGAAGGATTTTCTTTCGGGTTGTCGATCGTTGGAAGCAACTTACCGAAAGTAACTATGACTTCAGTTATTGAAAGAACGTTTTAACTAAGAATGGTATAAATCCATGCGGGTGACTGACACCAGCACAGCCTGTTCGCTTTAAAAAGGACTTAGTTGCTCTGAGCGTTGATTTTGAAGGTCAGTAAGCAGTCTAAAAGATGGTTACTTTACACGACTGGTGTACTGTTTCTTAAAACGTGGCATTCTTCTCTTGACGTTCCAGGATAATGAAGAAGTTCTAGAGAAATTACGAAACTACGACAGAATGATGGCCGAGGACGTGGAACTGAGGTAACTATGTGAGATTTTTCTTCGACACATTTTCCTAAGTGTCAAATTAAGGATATACAACTTAACAAATCTTTTTGCTACTGTAGCAGTTTTCGTATCAAATATATTAACAGTGATAACTTCCTGATTTTCTTTGTAGAACGAGATTGAAAACTGTAGAGTTGGAGCGCGATCGAACGTCGCATGAAGTCTCCAAGGTTTGTCTGAGGCAGTTAATTTGTATCTACTCAACCTACACGAGATAGATAGGACGAGGCATTTACCCTGTGCCATAGTATATTGAGTCTTGTCACCTTGAAAGGTTGGGTTCTCAATTGTCGGAGCTTTGAAAATCAGATTTGTGCCATCGTCGTTTAGGAAAAATGTGGTGTGTCGAACCATTAATCGATTGGACTTTGAAGTTTTCAACTTCCAGCGCTATTTTAATTTCATGGCGAAAAGCTAGTGCGCGCCTATGCATTCTAAATTGAATAGAACGTCAAAATGCAGTTCTCCTTAACCGCCTAATTAGCACATTTCCGAATACACATTATTCTTGTTCCGAAATGGATTCTTTTTTCTCATTCTTTCATACCAAAGTTACATTCATTCACATCCAAAATGATCTCGTCTCGACGAATTGTTTTACCCCAGCCTTGCTTTGATAGAGAGGTTTCAAGGTAACTCGCAGGTGGAATATTCGAGACATCCATGATTATTTTCTTTGTTCCCGATTTCCCCAAAGTTGGAGTTTTAATTAAAGGTCTGGGTCATAGTTATTTGTAAGGCGCAACGGGAGAATCATGTATTTTGATACAAATATGTATAAGTGGTTAACTATATCACTTTTTTCAGCTACGAAAAGAACTCGAGGCCTTTGATCCCGCTTTTTTCGAAGAGATCGAAGACTTGAAGTACAATTACCAAAAGGCTGTTGAAAGGAACGTGCTGTATGAGCGACAGTTAAGGCAGATGTCTCGACAGTTTGGAGTTGATGTGAACATTCCTACGGAGGATTAAACTTTTGTGAGCCAGATTCTCCAAGGAAAGCAGCGAAAGTTCTACAGCCAAAAATACGTCGGCAAATTTCTTAGTGAACTTCAGTGTCCCAACAACACTTTCCTAACGAGGGAACTTGCCAAAGACGCGCCCATTTTGCAAAGGCCCTCAGCTGAGATTTTCGTAGGCATAGAAATATGCGCCCAAAAGTGCCGCCGCAGTTTTTAATTGAGAAGTCTTGTGAAGAAAAGAATTGCTTTCCCAGAAAAGATTTTGAGAAAAGTGTGTTAAAAATGCCATCGAGACGCTGAATTTTATAGACTTACTGATGCCGTGTCAGTCAAAGGAATTCATTGGAACGGACGTGTTCACGATTGAAACGTAAGCTGTGGAAACACCTCTTCTTAGCAGAATTAATATTGTTCAGAAATTTTTTGAGGAATGAAATCGAAAAAAAGGGATATACGAACGTATTTCAAGCGGTTTAGAATATTTATAACTAATTTATTTTTAAAGATCATATTTTTATTGTATAAAAGTCTGGAATTGTGATAATTTTTTTTACAAGAATAGTAATTGAACATTTGTTGAGTTCTTAGTCCCCTTAGCTTTGTCTTTATTATTTCCTTTTCGTGCCTTGCCGTCTTTCACTTGAGTTCCCTGTAACTTTCGTCTTCTTCGGACATCTCATTTCCCTTTGTTTTAATTGTGAATCATCATGTATTCACTTTCCCTTTCCTTCGTCTTAGACACCTCAGTTTTGTTTTTGTGGAGCGTTTTCCGTCATGTTCCCCATTACCTATCGGCTTCCTTTACTTGTCTCGAGTGAGAAGGAAGCGCAGATGGGATCGCAGTTTCAGGGATTCGTTTCTTTTTCTGAGATTTTTTTCTGATCAGGTTACCATTTTGTTCTCATTTTTCTTTTTCACATTTTTTTTCTTGAGAATACAATGATCTATTGGCCCCCAATAATTTCAAACTCCAAAAATATTTCTCAAGAGTAGAACAGTAAAAATGACCATTTTGTTACTCATTTCCCTACGTAATCACATTTTCGTTCTCCTTGAGAATAAAACTAAACGAACACTCACAATGTGTCGATATTATTTGATCAACATTATTTTCTGGCTGGATGTTAGATTCGTTTGTGACGAGTGAGGCCCAAGAAGGCCATGCAAAGAAGACTCGAGGAGCCAAACTGAACTCTCTGTATGAAACTCACTTGCTCAGATGATTATAGAGGTGCACGCGTTCTGACTGGTCAAATGTACGTTGCATGTCCAGTGCGATATCGAGAACTGAGAACTGAATGTCTTTAATGAAGAAACATGTAAGACGAAAGGAATGCAGTTTCTCGGATAATCACCTTAGCACTTATACGAAAAAAATAATCCTTATCAATCTCAGCGATTGATATCGAGTAGTCCTAGTGACTTTGTCTCAAAAATGATCATGTCTACAATATTCATTGTCATCAAACATCATCCGACGTCGTCACAGGTAATAGATAGGGTAGATAGTTGTACCTACTGTAGACAGTGTAAATAGCTGTACCTAATATAGGCAGTGTGGATAGTTTTACTTACTGTAGACAGTGTAGATAGCTCTACCTACTGTACACTGTGTAGATAGTTATACCTCCTGTAGACAGTGTAGATAGCTGTACCTATTGCACTCTGCAGATAGTTGTACCTACCGTAGACAGTGTAGATAGTTTTACCTACTGTAGACAGTGTGGATAGTTGTACTTACTGTAGACAATGTAGATAGTTGTACCTATTCTGGACAGTGTAGATAGTTGTACCTACTGTAGACAGTGTAGATAGTTGTACCTATTCTGGACAGTGTAAATAGTTGTACCTACTGTAGACAGTGTAGATAGATGTCCCTACTGTAGACAGTATAAATAATTGTACCTACAGTAGACAGTGTAGATAGCTGTACTTACCATAGACAGTGTAGATAACTGTAACTACTGTAGACAGTGTAGATAGTTGTACCTACTATACACAGTGTAGATAGCTGTGCCTACTGTAGACAGTTTAAATAGTTGTACCCGCTGTAGGTAGTGTAGATAGTTGTACTTACTGTGGAAAGTTGTAGCTACTGTTACACAATGATACGTCTTACATAAAAGTTCCACAAAATGGCTATATGGTGACAGAAAAATACAGCCTACACGAAGGATTTTTACAAAGTGACTGTGTGTTGTTCTGCTATGCAGCATACACCTTGAAAACGATGGATGCAAACTGTGCGTTCTGTTCCCCAGACAGGTGTATAAACAACAGCTTAAGTAACAGTTGCCTTTCAATACATTTTGGCTCTTGTTTGACGGTATTTGGGTCGGAAAATGGCGTCACAGTGGATGAAAAACTGAGATGGAGACCTCCTGTGACGGTCAGTTCACCTACACGCTAGAGGTAAGGAACAAACATGATCGTAATTAAAATAACCTTTCTCTGAGCACAATAATCTTGAATTCGAAGCTATAAGATTTTGATTCTCTTATCTTTAAAAACTAAGCTGCATATTAGTGACTGGGTACAAACGTCGGACTGAGAATAGCCGTGTAAATCGATCCTACATGTAAACAGTATTTTTTGCACAATTCGTTACATTTTATTTTAACTGGCGTATTGTCGCCCAATCACCTCCCTGAGGTAGTCTATCGCGGATCTTTTGGCCCATTCCTTAGTGGTAAAGATAAGCTCTTTTCAGGCCTCAGGCCTCAGTCCGACATGAGATGAGGCCTGGAAAGAGCTTGATATTTGTTTATCAATTGAAATAGCGACTGACGCAGAAATTGTGCGATGCACTTATCACAAATACACTGCACTTTCTGACATGATGTGATTCTAATCTATTTGTATTTATATGATAAGTTGAATTTTACACACATTTTGACTGGTTCTTATCTATGTTCTATTAGAGGACAGATGCAAAGATGACACTGCACCAACAAAAATTTGCTTTTTTAAGATATAAAACAATTATATTCCATGTTGCCATTCGTCTGTTCTGTTATAGATCACAGGAGACGTTAAAATGTAGAAGGAACAAGTGGCTGGGCCTTGTGTGCTACTCTTTTGCTCTTACCACATTTTGACATCATCTTTGATCTTTTACTGAACAGACACTAGTGTCCAATAGCAAAATTGGACAGAAGTGTCAAAAATAAAAAATTGGGCTCTAGTGTCCAAAATAAAAAATTGGTTAGTAGTGTGTGAAATTAAAAATTAGACACAAGTGTCTAAAATCTTAAATTAGACATTTGTGTCCAAAATCAACAATTGCACTCTAGCATCTCAGTGTCTAAAATAAAAATTGGACACTAGTATCTAAAACCAAAAATTCAGCACTAGATTCCAAAATTGAAAATTGCCATTTTGACTCTTGTAGCATTACAGCAAGAACTGTAATGAAAGCAGTTTGCTCATTCAAAGTTTCCTTGATAAGCTGCTTAAATCTATGTAATTTTTGTTAGAAGAGAAAGTTTTATCTTTTTTGTTTTTATTTTGAGCACGTGGCACAGACAAGAAGCAATGGGAAAATAAGTTTGAATGAATTGACAATTGCAAGCAAACACTGAGAAAATTATATATTGGATTGTTAGACAATGATAGATGTCTTAAAAGAAATTAGTGGTGCTGTGTTATTTGATGAGCAAATCTTGATGAAATTTGTTGGTAAGCAAAAACTGTGTAAAGTTAACAAGACCACAGGGGTAAAAAAACAAACACAACCATAAGAAACAATTGACAGATATCTGGTGCAGTTTAACCAACTGTTTTTACTGCAAATACAATGCCCATTGAAATAAACAAGGACAAAACAATCATTTAGCTCAAATGTTATCTTTAGGTAGACACCTCTAAGAGTAGACAGGTATGGTTTGTCTGCCAAGACTAGTCTGTGTCTGGTCTGAGACTTGTTCTATACAAATTTGATATGCATGATTTGGTCCCTTTATCTTTGAGGTGCACTGTAGTTGACTCTGGTGCAGTTAGGTGATCTGATGAAATTTTCTACATCACTAGTTACACTATTTTGGATGATTTTGAAATATTTGTCTTCTTGCAGTAGACAAAGCTGTAAAACATTTGCACATATTAGGACTTTGGTGGGCTCACATTTGAAGCAATAACGACACTATATGTAGTCTCATAGAATTTGTGAAAAATTTAAAAGTAGCATGGTTTTTCCTTAAGCAAAGAGGTTAAGCTTATAACTTATGCTACAGTCTGTTCTTCAACAGGGATGCAAAATATATTTTTCACACAATAGTTAGCTACTCGCACACTTGCTGAAATTTAGCTACAAACTGATGTATTTCAATCAGGTTGAGCAAAATTAATGTAATGTACTGCTATATTGATTGATTTATTCTGTGCATATGTTATTCAGCTCTGTCCTGGTAGTATCACTGCCAAATACCACCACTAGTCATGCTGTTAACTAAAAAATTTCAATGTCTTGCCTTTTTTTCACCAATATTGTTATTTTGTCTTCCAAGTATAGTTTTACTTCTAAGGGTATTAAGAAGTTCAGATAAAATAAATAGAGGGGGCCATTTTCATATTATGATGAAAAAGTGGTACACTGTGTAAAATTGTCAACAGTCAGAAGGATTGCCACTCCAAGAATAATTTTTATTTTACAGGCAGGTACATAGGGAAGAATAAAGACAAGCCTCTAACAATGAGAATTTTGGATAAGATTTGGTAAGTGATCAAAGCTGTGTTTGGATTATAGTTACCTCTGGATAACCACCATATTGAGTAGATTTTTAGACTGGAGATTTATCAGTAACTGGGAAAAAGAAAAATTGGTGATTGTTCAACAGTTTGATTTCATTTTTACACATAAAAGTGAACAACACCCTTTCTTGTACAAAGGGATGCCTTTCAACAGTAAAGTGTTGGAATGTTGAGCTGCTAGCTTCAGCTTTTTATTACTTACCACATTTTACAATGTAGCACTAGCAGAAATACATTTTCCCCTCATCCTCTCCCACAGCATCATTTGAATATTGATTGAGTAGCCCATGGAATGTGTGATTCCGTAATGATTATGTTTACTCTCATTAAATATTAAATTAACTTTTAACTATTTCAGTATGTTCATATGCAGAGCTTTGACCTTGAGGTGACTGTGTGGCTGAAAGCTCCTTGAGTTACAGTTTGTTGCTGAACAAATTACCTCCTTACATTTCCTTGACAGTCTCAAATCCTCACGGTTAGTTGGTCGAGTGATGTTTTTTCGAAATGTAACAGCCTCTGCATTTGGGTCAACTTATTCAATCTGTGAAGTGACAAAGGTGGACTACTTTGAACTCATGTAGGTTTAAGATTTCATTTGTCTTCACCACAATAGATGTAATGACTGACAGACTGACTGGCAGAAGGACTGTCTGATTGACAGACTGACTGACTATCTGACAGACTGACTGACTGGTAAATTGGCTGGTTGGCTGGCTGGATAACCAACTGACTGACTGGCTGCCCAGTTGACAGACTGACTGACGGGTAAATTGGCTGGTTGGCTGGCTGGATAACCAACTGACTGACTGGCTGCCCAGTTGACAGACAGACTGACTGACTGACTGACTGACTGACTGGCTGACTGATTGGCTGACTGATTGGCTGACTGGCTGACTGATTGGCCGGCTGACTGGCTGACTGACTGACTGACTGACTAACTGACTGATTGGCTGACTGGCTGACTGATTGGCTGACTGACCGACTGACTGACTGACTGACTGACTGACTGACTGACAGGTTAGGTGGCAGGCTGGTTGACTGATCAACTGAATTTATAACGTAGTGAGTTACTGAGAGAGTGACAAATTGACTTATTCAGAAATGTTGAATGATTACAGACCGAACCTACCTGTACATGCACTAGGGTTAATTGATTTATTGCCTTTCCATTTGCCTATTTCTGTCTCAAAGGATCAACATTGTTTTTCACTTTTGGGGTGGTCTGTGAAACTGAAAAGGGCAATCATTGATAAGGAAAAATGTGCATGCCTCTTTCAATTTAAAGGAAAATGCGTACCACTGTACCACTTGATTCAGATGCACCGCTTGAATACTGCTTCATTGGGGTTGTTGTGAAAGTAAATTGTCGAAACTTGGCAACTATCTCCTTTTTCTCTCTCTCTACGTGTTTTTGTACAAGGGCTGACTATAGCAGTATTTCAAGCATTCAGCAGTATTTCAAGTATTCAGCGAGAAAACGCGTAGGAATGCTCGGCAGGCTTCGTAGAAGCGTCACTAGAGAGAGTGCAAATATAGTTTATTGTAGTCTAATTAGGACAATATTAGAATACTGTGTAAGTGTGAGGGGCTACTGCGGGGAAGGTCACAAACATGGCCTTGAAGCTCTCCAAAACCGGGCTGCCAGAATAGTTGCAAGAACTGTGCGCAGCAACCCGGCAATGGACGTTTTGAAATGGCCCACGCTGGAGGAGCGTCGTCGTAAAACTGTTTTTAAACTCGTTAAGAAATGCCTGCAAGGTCAATGTCCCCAATATTTTATAGAATATTTTAAACGTAATAATACAATTTACGCCCGCGCCACTAGACGAAGCAACCTTTTACATCCGCCTGCTGTGAGGACTGAGATCACAAAACGATCTTTCTGTTACTATGGGTGTACTCTTTTTAACGAACTATCTTGATGGTATTGCGTATTTATTTACTTCTAAATTTTTATTCGTACATAGTTTTCTATCTATAATGCTATCAGTATCAGTGTAATGCATATGTATACCATAGTTTTAGTGCATTGTTGTGTTCAGGGCTCCCATTGATAACAGACAGCTTTTTGCATCTGAAGGGGCTACCCTGAGCGGTATAAGTCAATAAAGCAGCTTCTTCTTCTTCTTCGTTATCTGGATTAGTCAAGCCTATGTCACTGTCATTTTCGATTCATGATCATCATACACTCATTAGACAAGATACGATTTTGTCACGTGTGACAAAATCTTCTAGGGATGAATGGGATCAGAGCCGAATTATTGCAGTAGTTTCACACTTTATTACAAGTCTTAAAAATCAAATAAAAATAAGCCCAATAACTCAAACTGTATCCAAACTGTTTCTGTTTTCAGGTCCTTCTGACGCAAACAAAGGAAGCCACGCCTCAAGTCACATTAAGACTACAACTTCACACAACAAGGTCGTATATTTCTTTCAAGTGCAAGTCACAAACAGGTATTTTAATAGTATTATTACAGTGCCACTTAAAAGTGGCACTGTATGTTCTCACTTGAGTTGATTCTGTGTATTTAATCTCATCTTCGCACATTTCTATACCAAAAAAAAAAAACGAGATGTGGCCTTTAGTACGCGAGATTTATTCTAACACTATCGGCTCTACCGAGTGAATTTGGGGGGGAGGGGGGTGGTTAGGAGTCGTGTACGTTAGACAGGTTATCATTCAATTAACCCTCAAAACGTAGATGGAGTACTGTAAGGAATCTAGAATATAGGAAGTCAAATCAGAGTATATGGGGCTAAATGAAACGATCGAGAACAGTTTGAAAACGCGCGCATTTAAGTAAAAAATGTTTTCCAGTAAAACGAATTGTCATACAGTTGTTAGAATATAGTTTGTTACTATAGGCAACAAGGAAGTGGCCAAAGAAAAACTTTAGTGAGCGCATCAACACGTGCTAATGAAATTGTATACATTTCTTAGCTGTCCTCTGTAAAATAACAACGTTAAATCGCCAAAATATACGTGGTCTGTGGAAGGGAACTACTCAGTCACGTTTACATTGAAACTAAACGCTAATTACACATCTTATGCTGAAGATGAGGTGTGGCGCCGGTAGAGGCGGTAATTAAATCTACCCTTTAGCGAAATTCTGAAGAAAACATAAATTACTTTTTTACATGATTATGTATCATGCAAATTCCATGCAAAAATTAAATTCCATGCTACCCGAGGGATTGAAGTGTTATCCAAATTCTCAAATGCAATGACAGCACTTGGTCTGTTGATTTTCTATGTCCTCAGTTTTCTTGTCATTGCTTTTTCCTTTCTGTTATGCTGATAGATTTTTACTGTCCTCTCTTGTAGTTAATGTTGTTGATAATTTGCTGCCATTTTATTTCTATGAAATACGATGATTGGGTAAATAATGACACAGAGAAAAAGCTCATTCCATTCTACGTTGTAATTTTCATTTTCTCTTGACAACTTATTTATTCATCAATGATTTTCAATTTACTTCAGATTGACAAGAAGAAAAGCAAGAGTCCAGAGAAAAATGTCAACCTTCAGAAAACACAAGTTGAGGTCGATACGCCATCTTCCCAGTCCACACACTCCATCGGACAAGAAGTTAAAGCTGTGTACCTTGTGGTAACAACAGCTTGTAATACGCATGTGTATTAAGACAGACATTTGGTTTGACAAAACGCATGCCTTTTAAATAAATTTTGTACCACAAGGTAGACATCTTTTAGAAACAATGAAACAAAAGTTTTTGCCGGAGGTGGGCGTGGCGGGGGAGGTCGGATGGGTGAAAAAAGAGTATATCAATATTCTGTTATATTACTGTATTATAAGATTTCAAGAAAAAGATTGTAATATCCCTACAGCAACATCTATTAAAAGTTCTATTGTAACACTGTACTGTAGTGTGTTAAAAGATGTTTGAACCACAGGGTAGATGACCTCTATTAAGAGTTACAAAAACTGACTAAAAGTGGCAAGTTTGGGAGGGGTGGTGGACGGGGAACCGCTTTTGGTTTCTTCCCAAGCTAGATAACTGATACTAAGTGTCTCATCGAGGCGGATTTGGTGGGGGATGGTGGACGGATCGACCCCCAATTTGTTATTTTATTCTCTGAATTGGGGGGTCGATCCAATTGTTTTCTTTCCAAGACTGATATTTGTCTCTAGTCTCGTGCTTTAAGGTGATCGCGTTCCTCGGTATCCAGCTTTGGGTGGTCGAAGAAACCTGCATAACAGGGAAATAAAATTAAGACCAAGAATTTAAGCCATAAAAACGTTACCGAAAAACGAACTTTTCTCCCCAAAAGACTCAGACGAACCTCCACAAGCATCTGTTCAACTATGCCACAAATATTGTACTCGAACACTTGAAAAATTTTTAAATTCAGAACATAAAATGAATCCGCATGCGTTCTAAATAAGCCTTCATAACAAGAACGACACAAATTTTCCCTGTCAAAAGACCATGAAAAATTACCACAAACGTTGTACAAGTTTTCGTTCAAGTGAACTACAAAGCTACGCTCACCAGAATGAAAAGTATTCCCGTCTTTCTTCACCCTCTCTTTGGGGTTGCTGTAAGAGGAAAGGTAGGCGATAATTATTTACCTACAAATTGGCAGTCTTAATAATTAACTGATCCAGAATTGACTGTCCACAGTCAACTCTGGACCATCATAATAGAATTACACCAGTTCTCGTTCAACTTCGCCACAACGATTATCTGAAGTAAAATCTTTACATAATTTTTTTTTTCCTGCAACTAACAGATCAGGGAAACGAAAAACACTTAAAAACTTCTAGTTCTGGTTAAATATCTTTTTTTCACCCTTGAACGACACAGTCAATTCTGGAAAATAAAGAAATATTTTGGCAGTTCTAAAAGTTAATTCATTTTAATTATTTTTTCAAATAATCCGAAATATTTAAGATACAACTAAAAGATTAAAACTAAAAGAAAAAATTTAGAGTTGAAAATTAAAACTATTTTCAGATCAAACCTGAAGAATTGACATAAAAAGCTTTGGTGCATTTCGTATTAAGTCGATCGAAAGACCAAATAACTACCTGCCGTTTTTAGGAGACATAAAACTGCCTCGAGTACGAAAAAAAAGGAGATAAAAAGCCCGATCTTCCCAAGGCATCTTATCCATCAAAAACATACTTTCAGAGGCGAAAGACGGCCGCTATCTTGAATCAAATCATATGCCCCGTTTTGGTTATGTTGAAAGTAGAAAAAAAAAAGGCGCCGAGCGGTATATTACAATTTAACCTACACGATTTTTTTGGAAACCTGTTTTGGTCTTCTCGTACAAATCAAAGGCATTTCTGTGCCCCACAGAAACAAGATTCAAATACCATGACGATTTATATATTAATAAATACCATCCATTAATGGAAAAAAGTTGAAAAAACCTTATGGGAAGTACCTCGTTGTCTTTTGTTAGAGGAATGAATTAAGCATTAAGTGCAATGATTGAGGAGGTATTTTATTCTTGTAATGAAAATTACGACAAGCTTCAATGGAATATGAAGACATGCAATCAAAAAGACAAATCTCTGCTGATCATTGACCAACCTACAATTCACCCTGGTTCTATCTATTACTCTTTATCTACTCCAAGAGACACAATGGGTGATTCTATAAACTCATCGCATACCAGATATCCAATATTTGATCCGCCTGAGTTCTGCTTCCAGTATTTTCCACATTCATCACTACGCAATGTTGCCTATGCCGCAATGTTTTCATACTATTTCGTACACGGAAAACGCCTTCGTTGGCAAACAGGAACAAAGTTGCAATGCCATATCACCGCGATCGAAATTAAGCTGTCGAGTATGCGGGAATCATGTAGTGGCGAAATTCGCTCACGACTTTCGCCAGGAAGCAAACTTGATTCAATCAGCGTACAAAACCGCCTTGTGTTTCACAAACCACTAACGTTGCCTTAGCTCCCAAGTAATGTCATCAATAAAGAAATGGAAGTAAATTGAAGTAAAATTATTCGCCTCCAAACAAATTGACTATCCGAGTTATACCAATCTACCTGAAGAGACAGCTAAGGAGACTTAGAACTTAAGCGAGTAACAAAGACTCACTGACTTTTAATCATAAAGGCTCAATCAGACGCATACAAACAGGAAGCGTCTAAACTCTCATAGAATGTTTGTAACTGAGAACGCTATGCTTTATAAGGCGACCATTCAAAACGCGGATGTATTTCGCTTTAATATGGAATCAGAGGTTTAGCCAATAGTTTCCTTAAAAAAAGCTTACGTTGGCTTGCTTGCTTGAAGGATGTAGAAGCTCATAAGAACGAACGTTTCGGATGCCATCATAGCCGGAAAGCGCTGCAAAAGTTTGGTAGCTAAAGACAGACTGGGAGAGTATTTCTTGTAGGTTTTGAGTTTGACTTCGCACTTTAAGAGAGTGGTGAGTCGGGTGGATTGCTTTGTACGTTTAAAATAAAAAGATTAGCTGCTTGGAAAATTAACTGCTAAGTTTAAAAAGAGACGAAATGCATGAGATTTCTATATTTCAATCCTGAATTATGCTGCCACGATTTTATTCAAAACTGTGATATTTATCGGTAAAAAAATATTTTTCGCCTTGTATTTATTCGATTTTGTGATCAATTTACAATTTTCACACAAGGTTTGCATTCATGGGTAAGGAATGTAACATTTCCGTCCCGTATAGTCCTTTTTTTGAACTTCACTTTAACTCTTAGGTAAGCCAGAGAACCAAATTCTTTCTTTCTTCTGAAAACTTGATTTTCACTTAGCGCGTATTAGGTTATTTGTACCCCTGTTAACCCCCCCCCCCCAAAGCTTCTAAATGTTTTATTACATTAGTTGGTCATAAGTTGCGTGTTTAGCTCCGCTTGTATGAGATTTTGTTGTTTAGATTTTCTGGAAGAATTGCGCTCGAGCCGTAAACAGAACTCGCAGCACTAGGATAGAGCTCTGAAAAAATGCCATTGTCTACACTACCCTAACTAGAAGGTAAATTCTGATAGGAGGGTCCCGTGCTGTAAAAAGCCCAGCCCTGCAACATACCTAAAATGTTCTTCTATTTTGTGTGCTTTAGTCTAAATTGATGCATCCTAATAATAACATAACACTTGCCTTGAACACTTCATGGAGCCGATCATGGTCCAATAATCAACTAAACTCTAAGACAAAATTGTCCCCACTCTTGCTTTTGTCCTGTATCAGGATTAAAAGATACAGAAATCAAAAAACATTACTCTTCCAGTTTATTAATAAACTTTTAATGTATAAAGCAGAAATTAAGTCTCTTCAAATACTTTCAGAGATTTCATAATTTCATAATTTCACCTATCTCTTATACAAAGTGAAACACCTGATCAGAGCATAAAGACAATCCAGTGTTCGAAACAGTTTATCCTCTCTTTGTGATTAAGTCTTTGCATTACAGATCAAGACTAAAGAAGAGTTGTATATAATGGTAATTGAACTGATTGGAGTGCAATTTGGGCTGAAATCATACGCGTGATTTCAAAATCGAACGAGCACGCAGTACGAGTTCGATTTGAAATCACAAGTATGATTTCAAACCAAAATTGCATGACACGAGGTTCAATTACCACTTTATTACATCCATTTTGAAATCGCCCAAATTCAGGATTTGGTCAGTTCAAATATTTTATTGATGTAGTACTGAGCTGATTTGAAATTAAATTCATCCATTTTTTAGGGGAAAAAATTAGAGTTTTGGAAACAAAAGTTGCAAAATTTGCCACATGATACTCTTTGTCTTTCACTTTCCTGCAATTTGATCAGTTACTTTAAACAAGCCTTGAAATCTAATTGGCCGTTTTGTTTTTAGTGAAGCCTCCTCATTGGCTGGGAAAAAAATGGTGCGATTCGTGAATAAATTGCACCAATTAGAGCCAATCAGATTACAGGGACCACCAGTGATTTCAAAATGGGTGTAATAAAGGGAAAAACCAGCTCCTTGGCAGGCCAGCTTTCAGTCACCCACCTCTTGTACAAAGTCAAACACCTGATCAGCGCATAAAGACAGTCCAATGTCCAAAACAGTTTATCCTATTTTTTGGGGACCCAGTCTTTGCATCACAGATCAAGACTAAGACTTGTATAGGGCAACACTGACCCTTGTTAGTGGGTCAGTTTTAAGTCACCCATCTCTTGTACAAAATCAAATACCTGATCAGCGCATAAAGATAATCCAGTATCCAAAACGGTTTTTCCTCTTTTTTTGGGGGACCAAGTCTTTACATCACAGATCAAGACTAAGGAAGAGTTGTATAGGGTGACACCAACCCTTGTTAGTGGGTCAGTTTTAAGTCTCCCATCTCTTGTACAAAGTCAAACACCTGATCAGCGCATAAAGACAGTCCAGTATCCGAAACAGTTTTTCCCCTTCTTTTGGGGACCAAGTCTTTGCATCACAGATCAAGACTAAGGAAGAGTTGTATAGGGTGACACCAACCCTTGTTAGTGGGTCAGTTTTAAGTCTCCCATCTCTTGTACAAAGTCAAACACCTGATCAGCGCATAAAGACAGTCCAGTATCCGAAACAGTTTTTCCTTTTTTGGGGACCAAGTCTTTGCATCACAGATCAAGACTAAGGAAGAGTTGTATAGGGTGACACCAACCCTTGTTAGTGGGTCAGTTTTAAGTCTCCCATCTCTTGTACAAAGTCAAACACCTGATCAGCGCATAAAGACAGTCCAGTATCCGAAACAGTTTTCCCCTTTTTGGGGACCAAGTCTTTGCATCACAGATCAAGACTAAGGAAGAGTTGTATAGGGTGACACCAACCCTTGTTAATGGGTCAGTTTTAAGTCTCCAAAGTCAAACACCTGATCAGCACATTGAGACAGTCCAGTGTCCAAAACAGTTTATCCTCTTTTTTGGGGACCAAGGGTGAAACCAACTCCTTTGGAAGTCAGCTTTCAGACACCCGTGCACCTTTTGTACAAAGTCAAATGCCAGATCAGAGCATGAAGTCAGTCCAGTGTCCAAAACAATTCTTCATCTTTTTTGGGGGACAAAGTCTTTGCATCACAGATCTAGACTAAATAAGAGTTATGTAAGGCAAAAGCTTGCTGTGTGATGCTCATACACCCTTGGTAGATGACATTGCACATATAAATAAATAGTCAGCATGTATTTTATACCATCTAATCAAAGGTTTGTCACATTATTTATTAAAACATTTCCTCTTTGTTCAGTTAATGGTTTGAACACAAGGGTAACATTAAAGTGTGTAGTAAATGGCTCACTGTGACATGGAAAAAGGTTTAAGTCTGCAAGGGGCTTTGCACAATGTGAAAGCACATCACATTCAATGACTTCTTTTATAAAATTTGTATACTTTTTATTGATAGTTTACAACTTCTGTCATCTAAAGATGACTCCACTTTGACCAAGGACAACATTTCTTGTTAATTTTGTTATAAATTTCATAAGTTTCCTTTTTACCAGTGCTAATTATTTCTATTTTTTTTTTTGAGCCTTTCACCTTTTTTCAACAGAAAAAAAATATTTCAATCTCTCGTGCAAGACCTTCAGCTGACACTGACAATACCATTCGGAAGACAGATCCATCCACACCCCCCTACATATAGATACATTTATCTTCATTGCATTTATTTGGTAAAGCTATCTACACTGTAGTCTATCATAAATGCAACTATCTACCTTGTCCACTTTATTATTATATACAAGATATTTGGATTTATTGACTGAGTTGATAAAGTGAATTGGCTACATTCTACACTGGCGCATACCATCTTGTATGCTGTCTGGAGTACAGCTATCTACTCCGTTTTAAATAGAAGTAACCATCAGAGTGTAGAACTGGCAGGAAAATATTTAAATTTCCCGCGTTCAAGCATCAAATAATATCAAAACAAATTGATTAAGCAGTTGCTAACCGGGATTAAAAATATAATGATCGACCGGCATTAGAATTAAATTAAACAAAAATTGTGCAAAACAAAACAGCCTTGAGAAATACCTCGCTACACGACTTTCAGATGTTTCTGTGTCCAGCAGTGAGTGTGTAGACATCGACATTCACCTTTTTTACGTTTGGCAGCCACTGAGAACATTCCTATTAAATTCAGATGAAGGAATCTTTTAAAAATATTTGTTCTTAAAAAGCCAAGTGATGCTGAAGGGCCGTTTTTTCTCAGAGTTTCATGTCAAATGATGGTGTTCTTACTCCTCTCACACTCGCTTTGTTCCACATAGTAGCTCAAGTAGTTCCCAGTCTACGCAGTCAGAAGAACCAAACAACCTCGTTCTCAGGTCTTCCAGGTGAGTGAGGACTCAATATTTGCATAAATATTAATTCCTAATAACCAAATTTGTGGTCCAAACTGAATAATTACGGACTGTGTTGCTTCCCTTTCGATTTATGGAAGATTTCAAACTTTGAGAGCTGCACTACTACATTTTTCCAACCTATATTCTTAGGTTCATTTACACCCAAGATTCCAATTTGTCCTTGTTTTCTAGGCGTTGTTCCGTTCTCAGAGTTTCATTTGCCCCCTGGTCTACGCTTTTCTGTTTGAACAATCAGCTATGAAAACTTGTAATGGGATAAAAAGATACCCTTCAAAGGAAAATATATTGTAACTAATGCTTTTCGTTTCCATCTGCCTTCAGTCGGAGGGCTACCGTGTTTTCGCCAGAGACCTGGGTAGAGCATGTCTACCAAAACACCTGCTAAACATCTCGATTACCGAGAGTAAACAAAGCCAATTTTACATTACATGACCGGAGCCATCAACGGAAGTATAATTCATTATTTAAAACGATGTTTCGTACGCGAAGACTTTTACTATGTTTCCATGGAGTGCAGTCAAACTGAAAATGAATTACTCACTGTAACGATGTGATTGAGCGCCTCTGGTGTAACTGAAGTCAATGGCTGATTAAGGACTTAAAAGGCAAACAGATATCCGAATTGAATTTCTAAACAAACTACTGTTACACGTAATTTGCCGTTTATATTAATTTTGTTTACGAAAGGGGTTAACTTAAACTATAACAGCGAGGATACAGAGTGAAGGATTCACCGGAGGAAATCCTGAAATGATGTTGTCTTGGTTACATCTGTGTTGTTGGTATCGAAGGATGTTACTTTGTTACAACGATTTTCGCAGGTGAGTTTCTGACTATCAAAGAAACGACAATGGATCGGAAAAGGCAAACGTGTATAGGCCAAGACCTGTGTTTCTGCACACCTTTTTCGGTGAAAGGATCAGAATTAAGAAAGACAGAAGTATTGCATTCGAAATTGGGTAAGAATATTTCTTTACAAATGTGGACTCCTAAAACAAGCGTTGTTGTTGTGCCTCCAGACTTAAAAATAAAAGGAGTATGTCTTGCACATGAACGCAAACAAGCACATACAATTCCAGTAACGAAGATAACAGCTTCCGAAGGACAGAGTGACATTGCACAAATTGACATCTCGAGGATTGAGAGCAATTTTGGCGAGCAAAAACATGATGTGAATAATGGTAAGAAAGGAAACATGCTGCTAACAGTCTTGGAAGCGTCGTTAAAGAAAAAACTGAATCCAGAATATATTCACATACTTCCATGGCGCCTTAATCGTTCCACTGTCGTTCGATCAGCTCAGTACAACGGCGCTTCGAAACAATTTCGTTTATATCCTGGGCAATCCTTGAAAGAGGAAAGACTACCCGCGGAGTTAAAATTTGGTGTGAGAAATCCCAGAAAGTCGAATTCAGCAGCTTGCAAAAAAAGCGAAGTTCTTCGAACAAAGGCAGAGGTGAACCCGTATAGAGGTAAACTTGAGCCCCTTCTACTCCGAGAAAAACCTTCGAAAAATTTACACGAGGAACTGGTAAGAGAGGAAGCTCGGGAATTCACAGGAACTCTATGCACATGAAACCCTCATGTCACCTGTCTTTTATCGTGGATTTTCATTGTTACCGAATTGCAGACATTGTAACCAATAGAGAATTATCTTTGTAAATTAACTTTGAATGCAATCCAAACGTGATTACCAAAATCGCTACCTTTTTGGAGGCGCAGGTTGATGATGAATAAGTCGTAACACATTCTAAACCATAGCAATAGTTTATTTACAGCCTTCCAAAAATAAATTGATTTGTACATTAGAGCCCTATAGAATTTTTTAACACTCCTAAATTATCTAAAGGATAGTATTGAATTGGAAAAATGTCAGAAAGTGATATTATAGGTTTAAAATGCTCAGTTGGTTAATCGTTTGGCTGATTCAAGGTGCATTTGAATTCGGTTTCGCAAAACTTTTAAAAGGGCTTAACTTTAATAAAAAAGGGGGGGAGGGGGTGCTAAATGACAACTTCAAGACTATGTTTAAAGCCTCAGGTGCATACAAAATATGCTTTTGAAGTAAAGGATTTTCTTAAAGACGGGGCACGCCTTTCACCGTCTCAACTTATATGGGAACTTTGATCAATTGGGAAAAAATGTGAATACTTATCGCCCATTCACACCAGCAAAAGAAATTTAGTCAAACCAGGTTTAACTGAATAAAAACCAAAAACTGAGCACTGAAAAAACTGAATTTTTCAAAAGTTTCTAATAGTCGCTAACTTGCATTTTTAATGTACTAAATTTGAAGTCGACAAACATCGGTGTCAGCAGCTTCTATGAAAAACAAATTTAGACGTGTTTAACAAAACAGCCTTAAAACATCTTTAATCTTTGGTGTGAATGGGGTATTAGTTACCGTCCAAGAATGTTATATGAAGGGTGCCACGAGCGGGTAACCGACGCAGTTGATAAGGAACGAAAACAAATGGTGTTGACGTAATTTTCGCCATCTAAGATGGCATCCTTACGTTGCACGTACACAAGACGAAGAAACAGACGAATTTGGAAACGTGTGAATATAAACACTCCTCAAGTGAGCGGTACAACCGTTTTACTGTTTTCACTCGGCAGATTTCCCTCATTTGGGTCAACCAAGCAGAGCCTATAATGATTGAAACGGTCGTCCGCAAGACATTTCTCCTGAGCCTGTAAGCAAAGAATAAAATTCTTACAATACAGTTTAAATTTAAGAAACGTTTATCAAATTAGGGCGTTAGGGCCAAACAGTACTACAACACTGAACTAGGACAATGTACTTTTCATGGTTGTCTGTCAATGAACATTTTGCAGTAAGTACATCTATTTGCTCTCTTCCCTAAGTTTTGAGGTAAGACTAAGAGACACCGAATGACAAATCTCCTTAACTTCTCAGAAAAGAAAGGATATTCAATCGACATCTGCAGGGACAGTGATATGAAGAAAGGCCTTTCAATTTAGTAAACATTTGGTCGTGAGACTCTGAAACTTTAAACATCGAGGACTTAGGATTTCTTTTTATACATATGATGCAAAGTTTGTTTTGAACCCATGAAATTCTTCGATGTCACTGTTCAGTTCGGAAGACCTTGCTTTAACAGTTTGTTGAGTGTCTTTCTCCAACAATTTGTGTTTGAGATAGATTCATTATTGTGTTTAATCACGAGTCAAAAGTGGACGATGCTCACACTCTTTTAAGGTCGGAAGAAAACATTTAACTAAGATCCAACCAAAGAATCCAAAATGATCACAGGCTGCTATACCCACCCACTCGTCCCCTGAGATAAGTTCATTCAAAATTGATTTGTTTGTCAACTTGCTACCATTCTCTCTTCATCTGATCCCTGAGGCGCACAGAATCCGTAAAGATGAATGGCCTCGGCAACAAGGTTGTCTGGTGCAAAGCTTGAGATTTGACTATATCTCTGAGAAATTTTCAGCCGAGCAAAAGAGGATGAAACTAATTTGGGAAGGCATTGGTTTTGCTTCACCTCGCTCTTTGATTGGTCTGTAAAATTCGTGCCCACCTCGCAACCGGTCAAATGATAAACCAAAACCAAATGCTACTTAGCTACTTGCGTTTTCCCGTCCTTGAGGAAATAGGCTTGTTCTTACTTTGCGTTCTCAGTGGCTTTTTGTGAGATACATGGTTTGAATACACAATGACAGCAATAAAGGATAATAATTCATCCATAAGCAAAAGTTTACGGTATTTTCAACAGTACCTTGAACATTAAATCTATAATGGTGGTGTCCTGACAATTCAATCACTAAATCTTCCTCAGTCGGCTCAACTAAGTCGGCGCTAAAGAGTTGATGAAAACGGTTACCTACGTGTGATGTCGCTTCGGTCTGTAGGAGAAACAAGAACAAAACTTGTTTCCAAAAAGTAGACTCCATGTTGTCAATAATAGACCAAAAATTATATCAAAGTATGAGGAAGAAATAAAAAAAAAATGAGCCGAACACACCGCAGGCGTGTGTCACTAATGGTCTTTCCGTCTTCTATGATCCACTATCGAATATAAAATTTATTTTATTTGTCTATATATTGAAATTGTTCAAGAACATTAATCCAAATTAAGGAGGGCAAGGAGCTCGTGCCCCGCTGACTAGGAACTCAGTATATTGTAACGCATTTTATTATTACATTATTACGCCACTTTACCAAGACATATTAGGGTAAAAGATCATGAAAAACTTAGTACAGTATTTCACTGTAGACCAGGAAAAATTCGGACGGAAAGTGTGTATCATACGTCTAACCACGTATGTTATCCGCGCCTATAGCATTTTTAAGCATCGTTTAACGTGTGTATGTGTATGACTGTAAATCTCCCGGAAGTATCGGCTAAAATCAACGTCTGTTACACCAGTCAGTTCAAAATTATATTCATAGGAGTAGGCAGCCATCGTCCTCCTTTTTTGTTACACATGTTATTTGTTGGTGATTATTTTAAAAATTAAAATTCTGACAAATTGCTATCAAACGGTTCAACTCAATAAACTGGTCTAAAAATGCTTTGATAACAAATAGTGATATACAGGAGAGGTTAATTTGTAAAAAATGCGCTCTGATAAGCTGTGCACATGAGCGAGGACTCACGCGAGGGAACTGCCCTTCTACGTACATTAAGGATCTTGCCACATCTGACCATCTGACATCGCAAAGTGGTGGAATTCGACTGGTGATTTTTCTCTAACATATTTTGGCGGAGGTATGATAAGCAACTGTCCCAGCAACTGACCCAATAACAACGAAAAAACCAACAAACAAACAAAATCGCCAAATGATGAGCAAATTTTAGATTTTTTTGGTCAAACTCACCTCAAGCGTCCTCATTCCATTGTTTTGTCTCATTCTTTGCTGTTTCGTCTCCCATTGACTGATAAATGCCTGTGAAAGTATGATCAAACTCTCAAACTTTTTCAGCAACTCCAAAAGCAAAACCTTTCTTTTGAAGTTCCCACGTAATTGGGTAATTAAAAATACCAAATCGTTTCATATCAATGACTTCGAAAAGTCAAAAACCTATGGAAAGTGTATTTTCACTGAACCCATGATAAAGATATCGCCACTGACTGGATACCTCTAAAACAATAACATAGCAAGAAAAGCTGACCGATCATTTTCAACGTACTCGACTTTCGTTTCAATCTGTCATCACCCTAGGAGTGCATTGCATCTGATTTCTCCTCACAACATCACTCCTGAATCAAACATTAAGGTAATGCGATGAAATTATCATCAACAAAAGAAGCTCTTGATTGTTGAAAGGCTATTAAGGGTAAAAAGAAATATACGCGGAGAAAGCCAAGGAAGCAGACTTACCTCGAGAATTAAGGCAATAAACAGATTAATGATGAGAATAACTGAGATAAGATACCAGGCAACAAAATATAGTTGTGACCAACTGAAAGAAAAAAATTGAGTAAAGTTTAAAGTACTACGCTACAGCTTGTACCCCTGTCTATAAAATTTTGACGTGTAAAGAAGCTGTTGTAACAACGCATGGTACGAAAAAAACTCAACAGAGTTGAATTTGTACATCCCTTAATTCCATAGATAATTGCCGACGAGGATATTGACAGGAAGAAGAAAGGTTAACTTACCTACTCACGACTGCGGCGTACTCTTTAAGAAATACATGCCAATTGTTCACTACCATCAGATCCCACAGTACAACCAAAGCTGCCTGTAGATAAATGAACAAAACATGTTGAAAAACCTTCACCTAACGTGAGAGGGGGTAAGTTCATTACGGGATAATTTGGTTTTAAATTGGCCACCGTGAAGAGTTTCCGAAGCTGACGCTCTGAGCGTTAGCTCTTCGTCCGAGAGAAAGTTCCTTTACACACGTTTTCTTGTGAACCTATCTTATTGTGTTTACTGCCATTCTGAGTTTCAAATTAACAAAACGCTGGGAAAGAGGCCCGCTGGATACTTGTATTCAGATTGCAAGCGCCAACGTCCAAATTTCAGTCGCGTTGGCGACCAACTGTTAGCTTGTAAATTTGGAAGCTCAGTATTTCGAAGCAGTTAAGTAACTGATTGTTTTTGTGCTTTGAGGTGACGGCAGAAATTGTTTTTATAACAAAAGTGAGCATTACCCCAAAATCGTCGAAATTGTTGGCGTAGTACTGCAACTGGTCAAAAGAACCACACTTTTGAGAAAGAATTCTGAGAATTGAAACAAAACACCGGTCAAAACACACCTAATGCTCTACAGTATATCGTAACCTTTAACAACCAACACCTAATTCTTCGTATCGTCTGGACTACAGTTCTTAAAATTCAAGTTGGGAGCGTTAGTGGTCAAACCACCTTGGTTGATGTATCTAGTTATTCTCAACGCCTGTTTTCTTAGAAGTATACTAATATCCTGGGGAGATTCTACTAATTGGTAAATCTTGGGAATTTACTAAGGTTAAACTTACAATCAATTGAAACAACTTACCTTGTTTTTTCAGCACCGACAGCTGACGGACTGGTCACGCCTTCGAAGAGCATCATTCCCAATATGGCAAACACATAATAAGAGGCCTGTAACGAGATAAGCCACTGTCACAAGGAACCCAAAGCTTGTTCTTAAAACGTGTTTAGTCAGCTTTGAATGCTTTGAGAGGACCTTTCTGACTATTTAAACAATAATGGGAAAACCCATCTTTTCTAGGGGCAATGAGAAGCAAACCCAGAAAAACAATTAGTCATGACAGCTTCATCTGAAGCTTGCCATCTAAGCAATATTTTGCTTGCAGCTATTTCTGATTTTTATGCTGCAACTGTTTGTCGTTTGAGGTTACAATTTCAGTGGAGATGAGAATTATTTGTGAGTTTCTTTCAACTTGCAAGCAAAAGATATTCTACATACCACTATAATGCCCCCAAAAGGCCGCAAGTGTTTTAATAATTTTATCAGTGTTTCAACAATGAGGGAAAGAGACTGAAAAGGAAACAAAACACAAAACATAAGAGAAGATGTGAAAGTATCAACATCAGTAATAAGACTAACTCTTAATTGAGTGACAAAAGTAGTTGGTACGCCTCTCCTCACTATGTGGTCGACAACCCTCTACTCAACATAATAAACAGAAATCTTGTCATTCGTCTCTACTTAGTTACTTGAAACCCTTCCCCCCTCCCCCACCTCCCCTCCCCCTTCCCCTCAAACAATGAAGCATTTTGTCAACATCAGGCGACATTGAAAAGGAGCTGGGAAAGAGGTTACTTTTAAAAGTAGTAGAGCGTGCACAGACTTTTGCCACTCAACGTAGTTTATAGGTCTAACAATTGCGCAATAATGCCGCCAATGGTACATAGGAAATTAATTCATCATCGCTCAACTTCCAGGAATTTTCTTAGTGAGACAAAATAATTTTCCTCCTTTTTCGTCTACAATCAAGTCTTAAATTGCCATGACTCTTTTGAACAGTACACAACGCGGAAATAGCTTCGGCAGCCCCGTCAAGCACATCCAAAATCGTGCTGCTTACACGATGAAGGAGTTAAGGGTCTTACATTGATGTTCATTGATTAAAAAAATGCAAACTGAGTAATAAAGAGATAAACTGTCGTACCTTGATGCTAGGAACTATTCTCAAAAGTCTGAAGATAATCAACATATTGATTACTCGTATCATGTTCGCTAAGGAGAAGATACTTTCTAGATTGTGTAGAGGTTGACTACTTGATGAGCTGAGAGCGAAAAAGAAAAAAAACCTTTTAAAGTTCAATTTATGGTATTGAGTATTTTCAACTTTCTATGACTAAAACAGACTGTTGATGAGGCTTTTCCAACGACTCAAAGACATACCAACCCTGCATTTACTCCAAGAGAAAGATATGTAATGAAGAAGCTGAGAAAAGCCACGCAACACAGCAAAAAAGCAATACAGAAATAAAATTCGAGGAAGACGTGGAAACTGTGTATCATAACGTTTTTACTTACCTCGAGAAAGGAGGGCCAAAGATAGAGACATGGACAATCTCAAGGGCCTGAAGCGCAAACAATAGCAGTTCGCCTTCAATCAACTGAATAGTACCAACTGATTATTCAAAACAGACATGAAGATCTTAAGAAAAAATATTCGGCTCACTCGACTATATTTCACTTTTTATGTCCTTTTCTCACCCTCCAAACTGCCGTATTCTTAGTCCAAAGGATTAAGAACAACATCATAAATTCTTTGCAAAATAATTCTGACAAAGAACGCTGACTAAGAGCGCTTAACCCTTCATCTTAAGATCAGAATGCATATTCTCCAGACATTTCCTAGGGTGCTCACAAGGTGAATATTCTTGTGATTCAGAGAGGTTATTGAAAGGAGAAATTTGAAGCTAGTCACTCTTAAGGATCAAAAGGTTAAGTACACTTGATGAAATAAAATAAAAATATATATATACCACCAATAAGAGGGTAACAACACCACAATAGAGATCAACCTGTGGAAAAACGCAGTCAGTTCTTTACTTCCAAAGTAAACTCCCAGTACCAGTTGTCACAAACATCTTAAGATCTTAAAGTCTTTCATACTTATAATGCATCCTAACCGGGCGTAACAAATACGGGCTCACAATTTTTATCAGTAAAATATGTACTTATTGACTGAGTGGGAGGGCGGACGGGAAAATATTTGTCTCGAGGTCATGATGCCCGACCAAACCCAGTCAATAAGTATTTGATCATACGAACACTAAGTGTTAGAAATTACGAAAATTTTGTTTCAAACCAAATACGATAGCACACAAGACAACCACAAAAAAAAGATTCTACAATAAGAACTTTTCCTTTGTTTTTTCGAGGCAGAACAAGAAATTCACGAAAAACACGACTTTTTTTAACTCTTTTCTGTTTTTTCCCTTAAGTTTTTGCGACAAAGCCGTGTGAAACTGGGCCAGACGGTTTTTTTCGTACCGACCCACGTCAACCCGTGTGGCCCTGTACACGCCAGCTTTCAGTATTAAGAGGCTTTAAGAAATGTTGCGCATAAAAATTCCTTATCCTTAAATATCCTCACTTACTAAGGATGAACGATATCTTTGCCAACCAATAGCCCACAGTTTTACGATCTAGAAAAAAAAGACAATAATTTAAAGACAGAGGGTCAGCCTGGAAAACTCTGCGACTTTTTGAGGAAAACAAAACAAATGTAAACTAGGATGCTAAACATGGACTCCGTTGACATTCTGTGAAAAATCACTATTGTAACACAACATCGGGTTTCCTTTCACTCCCCACCCCCCCCCCCCTTTTATCCAAAAGGAAAATAGTCAAAATAAAAGTAAGAAAGACACTCACACACCAAAAAAACCGGTTTAAAGGATGGAAATTTTCAGTGAGAAAGCAATGATCTTTTGATACGTTACTGCCTCGTGTATCATCAACAATAATGACCAATAATTTTAAAACTGAAGGCAAATAACTAAAATCGGAATGCAAAATGCTTAACTGGACCTTAAAATACTAAAGCATCTTCTATTTGGCAACACAGATCTAATGCAATTCGGTTAATTTTGAGACCAGTATTTGATGATATACAACTGTTTTACCTGTTCAATAGTATAGTATAGCACGAAAAAGAAGTTAACAATCTGCAGAATAAAAAAGCAACGGAGACACAATGATCATTAGAAATGTGAGAAACTTCGAGCGTCAAAAATTAATCAATCTCCAATTTCAGATTGTCACAATTCAGTGTAAATGTTTACCAGGGACAGTAGGTTTTTCTAGTATAAAGTGTACATGTAAATACTTCATTGCTATTCAGGTATTATATGTACGAATAAGAAAGTATGTGGTAGAGAGCCAGTACTACAGAGTTCTTTTTTTTATACAGCGAGTTAAACTTATGATAACCTATATAACCTTAACAAAACTATACAAATTATAGTCAATATACTTTTTTCTGGTACAAGGCTACTTTGTTTTTCTTACGCAACTATTTGCTGAAAATCCGTTCCAGAAATATTACTTACTGATAAATGAGAGTTGTTTGTTTTCCAAGTCTTGTCGTATTCAAAGTCCAGAAGGATCTAAAAAGAAAAAAAGAGAGAAGAAGGAAAAAAACTTTTCTAAGAGCTGGTGCAAAACCTTCCACCTCTTCGGAAAAAAAAATTTAATTTCTCCAGGATAATAAGATACATGAAAAAATTACTCAGTTCTGATTGGTTAAAATAAATGCAGTTTTCAGGTAATTCAGAGCAGAAGAGGGTTAATTCAGTGCAAAGAAGTAACAAACCAGACACTCTGATTGGTCAATAATCAAAGAAACTCACAGATAGCTTGGATGTCGCAACATTTGGTGGATACGCTGAAAATTTGCGAGCGAAACAATTGCCGGCGTTTTAAGTAAGTTTTATTTCGCCACCACAAAAACAATACAGCAGCTGAAAAACAGCTCTAACAACGAAAACACTGTAAAAGGCAGTGTTCTTTGGTTGTCGGTTTGGAAAAAGTAGTGTTTAGAGAAGGGAACTGCCAAGGAAATCGAGAGTTACGAGCCGACCCAGCTCAACACTTTGCTCGAGCGATCCTACGCCGAAATTAAAAACGAACATGGTTAAACCTCAGAAACGAAGATTCCATTTCATCGAAAGTGATTTGGACACAGACTGAACAATTCCTTGAACTATTCAGCCGGACTCTGAACTTCATTGTGCCTTAAAGATGTGAAAATATCATTGTATATTTTTGTTGTGATGGTACGCGGTTGTTTTGACCGAACGCATGGTTTGAATAAATTATTTTTGCACTTGATGCGCGCGCTTCGCTTATGCATAATTACGATGAGCTATCTCGTATTTTTTCATGTATATTATTAATACGTAATCACATGATTTTTCTTGTGCAATTTGGAATAAATAGGCACTTGTTAATTTTTTCAAAGACCGCAAATTGCACTCGCCCACTTGTTAGTCTTTGAAAAAATTTATTCGTGCTTATTTATTCTATATTGCACGAGAAATCAAGTGATTACCTATACTAGCTGCACTAGGCTGCCATTTTGGTACACTAATACTTGAATAATTAGGGGTGCGAGCGGGAGGTTAAAATCTTTAGATCCGTGAGGTCATGAAACTAAAACAGTCTTACAATGCCGGTAATTGCTCCTAGTACTCTTCACACGTTTAACATGTGTAGGGTGTAACAAGCGGTGTTTACTTCTCCTCGTGGGTAGAGTGCAAGAATCAAATCTGATGACTGAAAATTTCAAGTCAATGACACTAAAATTAATCCAAAATTCACGGTATGAATTGGTGGTATTTTCAGACAAATGCACGACTGGACGTTGGGGAAATATTCATAAACAAATTTATGTCGGAAACTCTCCTAAAGGGCCGAGACAACACTGGGCTGAAAGGAATTTTCACGTTTTTCATATAAAATATTTACAAGTTACAACATGATTTCTGGTGATATTTGTTGTATATAAGTACTCGTAAATTCTTCAAAGACTAGAAATTGCACAAGTCCTACGGACTCGTGTAATTTTTTGTCTTTGAAAAATTTACTCGTGCTTATTAACAACAAATTGCACTCGAAATCATTACCTATATATTGCGAAGTGAAACGAGAGGCAGTGAAACGAGTGCTGAAGGAAAGAACATTAAGGAAATGGCGGAAAAAAATCGAAAATGGGAACACTCATTAATCATTAACCCACAATCAATTCAATTAATTTGACAGTCCAAGGTAGAGAGGCAGGTGATTGAGGAATGATAAGCAAATACGCACGCACGCACGAAGTATGTGCGCACGTAAGTACGTATGCATGTACGTAAGCACGTACGTGCGCACCCACTAACTTACTAACTCACTAACTCACAACCTGTGCCCTTGCTTCATACACTTACAGAACACTTACAGAAACAAGAAGCACGTTAACCCCAGACATTAAATCCCCGGCGTAGTCAAAACATCTGCTAGATACAATAATTTGAATCTTTCTCAGCAGAGGATTCTCCACGTAACTCATGGGAGGTCTAATTCGACGTCTGGTTACTCGGTCAAGTGCGTCAAACAAGTCTTGAAATTGCTTCGCATTAAGGTGACCTGTGGTGTTTTTATCCAGGCGCTTAAAAGACAAGAAATAAAACAGCAAAAGTTGTAAATATCACTGAGAAAAGGAAAAAGAATCGCTAGCTCTAAATTGCATATGAGAAGGACTATAAAGTTTGCAAACGATCTTCAGATGATTATCGCCCTACCGATCAAATCGCATGGCGGACCATTGACAACCAAGGATATAAATAATGGTAATTGAACTGCACAGCACAGCGCAAGTTCGATTTGAAATCACGAGTATGATTTCAGACCAAAATTGCACGACACAAGGTTCAATTACCACTTTGTAACATCCATTTTGGAATCGCCCAAGTACGACTTGGTCAGTTCAAATATTTTATTGATGCAGTACTGAGCTAGTTTGAAATTAAATTCATCCATTTTTTAGGGGGGGGGGGGGAAAAAAAGAGTTTTGGAAACAAAGGTTGCAAAATTTGCCACATGTTACTCTTTGTCTTTCATTTTCCTGCAATTACATTGGTTACTTTAAACAAGCCTTGAAATCTGATTGGTTGTTTTGTTTTCAGTGTAGCCTCCTCATTGGCTGGAAAAATGGTGCGATTTAAAGAAAAAAAATGGTGTGATTCATGAATAAATCGCACCAATTAGAGCCAATCAGATTACAGGGACCACCAGTGATTTCAAAATGGGTGCAATAAAACAAGGAACAAGGTAGAAGTTGAAACAAAGTGCAAGTGACCAGCACCAAGCGCAGGAATATGGATGCAAGTCAGTGAATCAAGAGCCGACCGAGTCCTTTTTTTTTTTGGCATCAAAAAAGCCCTTAGGCGTCTAGTAACATACTTAAGCCTTGGACTCCTGGGAGTGACTAGCATCTAATTTCTCCTTACAATACCCTTCCTGAATCACACATTAAGGTCGCGAGAATATTTAGGAAATGGTAACCAACTAAAGTAGCTTTTGATTTCTGACCAGATTCTCCTTGTCAGCACCTTAAGAAATGTATACAGAAAAGTATGGAGAATGTGCACTCTGGTGTTTGGGTGTAAAGAGTTTAGTGAGTCCACAGCCAAAGAAATGCCGTATTTGTTTCCTCTGTGTAGCAAATAGCAGAGAATCATCGTTTCCCCAGTCAATAGAAGCCTTTGACTTTTTACTGGGCGAAACAACTCCTTACCAACAATACGACTTGACTGGCTCTTCTGCCAATGTTTGCCTTTTCGATGACCGTTTTGGCGTCAGCTGTACTTACATGTCCTCTGTAAAAATTATTAGACGAGAACACAAACAATTACTTATTGGTGCAAATGACACTGATATGCATAAAAATCACTTTAAAACTACAACATTGATTGGTCATCAGAAAAAAATGTAAAAACATTTGCATGTTATACTGACTTTAGGTACTTGCATTCTTAATATTTTTCTCATTTAGCCAATGAACATTGCACAAAAGGTTATTTCTCTAAGGGCAACGTTTTCGCGGCCAATTCGCGTCAAAAACTGTTTGCTACTTACAATGGCACATCGCCATCTTGATCTTGAATTTTAAGAAGAACCTCAAATGCAGCTCTGATTCCAACTCTTCGACGAAAAAAACTTGCTTGAAGCGAACTCTGGAGGAAAATTCAATCATGTAACTAAAGCTTTGAAACCCTAATAGCCATTGAATATCAGAAGAGTTAAATATTTATAAATTCATTACACTAATAACCTAGTATTACCAGCTAACAAAAAAAAGTTTGAGGCAAGTATTTTGCTTCTTTCCCTAAAGACAGTAGATAAGATGTTGAGGTGCATTTCACGTTACCGCTATCCAGTGGGTACGGCATCCAATCAGGCTGAATCCATCAAACTCTGAACAGTTTCCACCGCAGATTCAATGAAGGTAAAAAGAGAGTTTTGTTCTAATGACTAGGCTCATGTCATGCCGCACAAATAAACAAAGAAACCTTGTGAGCGCGTGCGACATGAGTGTACCAATAAGAAAAGACAAATAGGCAATTATACAGGCAATTAAAGAGCAGACTTACGGTCAGGTATCCTCTAAACTGGTTATATATGACAGCCGTTAACATATTCAAGAAGAAGTAAAGACCTATATTAAAGAAAAGAGGAATTATGGTACAGTATTGAAGAAGAAATTTAAAACTTGTTTAAAGGGGGTAAGTTTCTAAAAAAAACTATGGTGCTGCGTCGGTGGGAGAGTATAACAGGGTAATTTAGTATTATCAACTGAGTAGATAAAACTAAATTATCCTTTTCAACAGCGTTGTTTAACGGCGTGTTAACGCAATGTGCACTGTTGACACAGAACAGACCAGACTGAGCACATTTAGATAGTACTGCGTTGAAATTGGACAACGTCGGACAAAAATGAGAGACCACTGTTATTGTTATTATAAACCTCCCCTGTGACGTGAAAAATCTTACGTACACAGTCTCTGCCGGGGCGTCAATAATCAGCCTGTAAGTAAACTCGGCGTATCCTCTTCCGATTTTTTTTCTTAGGATCAAAGCAACCTCTCCACAGGGTAGACCCTTCGCACCAATTCGATTTGCTTGAAAATCCTTGTGAGAGCTGGGAAGGAGTCGCTAACACTTGGACGCGCGAATCGTTTGGCACTCCATTAGATGGACTGGAAAAGGTTGACACAACCTTCAACTCGTCGTTTCAGTTGCCTATTTTAAAGCGCCTACTACTGCCTAATAACAGACGTTCTCATCACTACGTTCGTGAGGGTTACCAAAGTTTGTACAAAGTTTGTAAGTAGTTACTGACGATTGTGGAGCGCAGGGTCACTCGATCAAGAGATGAAACTTGTGAAACATGAACTTCAGCTTAATATCTTTCCTCTAAGTACTCACCAATTATTGTAAAAGTGATGAAAAAAATTGCGTAGAATCTGTTTTTCATGTAAGCAGGCATCATCACTGATTCAAAACAAAGAGAAAACGTCTCAATTAGAAAGTCAACTCAGTCAACCAATCATTCATTTATTTACAAGTAAACCATTCATTTCAAGTCCTCAAGCGAGTAAAAATTTCTAAAATCCTTCCAAGACGGCTAAGAGTATGTTTCTCTCTCGATAAAGTGAAAGAAATATACTTTCTTTAGAAAGTGAAAACGTTTGGGCCTGAAGAGATTGGGGAAGACACGAAAACGGCAGGGCGTGTCTTGGTTGTGTTGTGAGCGAGAAAACTGGACCCAGCCCTTACACGCCATACCGCATCATGCAACCATCCGTTCCTGAGACTATAAGAAGAAAACAAAAAACAGACTACTGGTTATTTAGATCTTTCCCTATTCCAGGTAATCAGTCAGTAAACGGGCGAGAAAGCAACACTGCAATCGTCGTGACTATTGCAACTGGTTGGCAAACTATGCGTCTGGAACGACTAGAAAACAAAATACGCAGCAGAAGATACCAGGCAGCTATGAATTCAACACTGATTGGCCTGGAAAACCCAATAAGTCAGTTATAAGGCTGACAAGGTTGAAGTTCAAAAGTACTGAGTAAAAAATATTTCAAAGGTTTCAGAGTAATCTCAAAGAAGTTTTGCTTGAACATGTTATTCTTACCATCTGGGTTATTAGCTGTAGTCAACAGAACCAAAAGACTCCTCAGAGATATTTCCAGCTTTGGGAAAAATTCAGAACCCTCACAAGCTGCACCACTGGCTGAATCATTATTGTGGTCGCTACACGGGTAACTCTGAAATATGAATGCGGATTACAGCTCTTACTCTTTATGAGCGGCATATGATTTACTACAAGTCACATAACACTTATGCTGAAATGTGCGAATCTATAATTTGACGAGTCAATGTTTGTCAGTTAGAGAGTAATTTAATGGTACTTTACCGCAAGGGTGCTGTTATGTCTTGATGCCTTCCAGTGTGAAGAATATGGCATAACAAGAAAAAAAGAGAGATTAGAGAGTTACATGTAGTCAAAACTATAACAAAATTTTGAACGTGATTGGTCATCAGCAGCTTGATTTGAGGACACTAAAAGGATAGTGACAAATGAAGATTGTCACAGGACAGTTGGTTGACATTCACTATCACTAAGGAGCAATAAGGATGTGACAGGCAGTCACACAATATTCAGGCCTACAGTATAACAGCTAAAAGTAGGATTTGACAAAGTGACTTACCTGTGGGAACAGAAGCATACCACACATGGCAAAGAACCACAGGTGAAGAAGAAGAAGAAACAGCACACTAAAAACATGAGAGCACACTCAGCTACAATGTAAACTGTAAGTATAAGTAAATATGAAGTCAGACAATGGTTCATACCTGAGAATTTCTGGTACTGTTCTCTTTATTGCATGCAACTGTAGGAGAAATTATTTTGGAAAGTATAAAACATCCAAGTTTACATGTAGCTTTTAAAGGAAACACACAAAAATTTTGTGTTGAGGAACAAACCAGGTTACTTTGTACAAATTTTGAGACTATTTTTGAGGGAAGCAATTACTGCAAGGGGTTGTTTCCCAAAACTTAAATGACCAGTTATTCACACAAGGTCTAACCCAAGTAGTGGGCCTTATATATTCTCTACAAGAGGTTTACTTTCATAAAATAAATATCCTTCCTTGACACTGTTCACAAAAATAAATGTTCAGATAAAAGATTCAGCTAAATTCAAGATAGTTTAGAAAGCAGTTTTGTTAAACAACAGCTAAACTTAGTTTAAATAACTAGCCCTAAGAATCACAGTGTAAGTATTGCAATTAGGCATAATGCATTGCACAGTTCAGATTATGGTATATAACCTTCAGGGTATCATGGCCAAGTGATATAAATGTAAGGTTCAATTAGAGTCTAGAGGTCCTAGCCAAGTTAAATTGTACATGCTTCCAAGCAAGAGATCTTTCCACCTGTAGTGTCAATTTTGTAACAAAATATCAGTTACTCTGGAGAAAGAATGCTTTTGAAATCTGAAATGTATTATTTTAAAATCAATACATAAAATATAAAATAATTAATCCTCAATGTCATCTTGCATATAAGTACCAGGCTGCTCTTTCACTATTTGGGATTTTTTTTTTCAGTTTTATCTTCAGTTTGATTTTTCTCACTAAGCGCTCTAAATCTAACTTACATGTACAACCTTTATCATCACAAAACTTAAAGTTATGGTCAAACCCTCCGGCTGTGCAAAGCATCACTCACCAGTTTTTTCATTAAAGAAGAGTTTTGTATCAGAAAGAATGGTCTGAAAAGGCGGTGAATCCTGACACGCTATTAAAATAACAATAAAAAATCTGCAATTTAATATAGACATTTCTGCTAGATAGGTCCTGGAGCAAGTTTGGATTTTGTTTCATTTTTAATACCTTGCCTCACTGGATACTGAAAACCAAAACAAGCAAAACATATTAACTAAAAGTGTGCCACAGTATGCATATTAAAATGGTAGACAAAGTACAAAATAAGCTGCCTAACAGTTATACAATGTCTCATCTACTCATTTTCTGAATCATGCTCTCCCAGATTAATAACTCACCAGTTTACAGCCTGAACTGAGTGAGATAAAAACATCTATGAAGGAGATTATGAGTACCCCACAATATGACAGAAGCCATCTGTTCTTGATGACTTCCTGTCTTCCCAGCACATGACCCTGAAAATCAGAAGTAAACCAGAATTTAGAATAAATTCAAGTAAGTAGTATAAATATAGACCTATCTTAAATTCACTTGTCAAATAATTAAATAACAAATGTTGCAGCTACTAGAATATTGCTAGAACAAGCACATTGTGCATCTATATGAGAAATTGCCATCTAAAAAGTTTTGTGGATCTTTGTGTAGGATCTTGAGAATGTTCAAATAAATGACATTTAATGCTCTGGACAGCTTAAAACCTTCAAAGATGTTTAGCTATATGGATATTTTTTTTTTTTTAATTTGGATCAAATTTTCAATTGATATCAGAGATCCATGCCTACAATATTTCAACACCATAATTGTAAAGCTACAAGCCTGAGGGTCATGCATGAAATCAGTAAAATCTAACTTTGCTATAGATTAATTGAAATGATCAGTAATAAAAAAAAATGCAAGTAGTGAAAAAAGACACACAACCAACTCAAAACTGTTTACATAAAAGTTAAATAATCAAATGTAGACCAAAATTAGAAAATTAAATCCCAGTAGAGACCCTACCATACTTTGAGATCGAAAGGATCCTTAAAATATAATCTCAGAGAGTATCAAGAATTTTGATGTTAATAAAACTGTAATGGGAAGACAACCAAGTCAAAGACAACCAACCTTGACAACCAAGTCAAAGACAAAACAAAGAAGGAAGATGATTTCAAAACTCTCTGTGACTCCACAAGGAGGGTTAGGTCTCTTTCCACGAAACCGAGGATCAGATGATAGCCTTGAAATGAAACAAAGATTGCAGACAAATGATTCAATATTTAACACACACTTTTATGTCATATTGCAATTGACGTCTATCTCAATTTTATTCATTTTCATCCTTGGCTTTTCAATCTCCTCTGTTTTTGAAAACAGTAATGAAAGAAAATGAGTTTGAAACAAAGCAAAGTCAAATTTAAACAGGGGGAAATTTATTAAGGAATTACCCAGAACAAGAATTTTGTGCTCTCTTCATTGAGTTGATATATTTTCCAATAACATCTGCATGTAGCACAGAGATAACAAAACTGAAAATCTCTTTTATCAGTTGTACATTGAAGTAATAAACAATCTGGCCCAATCTACATGTGTTTTTATGTTTAATCTAAACAAATATGCAGCACAAATAACTTAGAAAATTCTGTAAGTCTGCTTGCTAATCGGAGTGTGTTTACTTTTAAAGTTTGTTCCAAAGAATGCTATGTGAAGTATGTTAGGCATTATCAGATACACATACAAGTACAAAGACACAAATACTTACGTCAAAGAAGAAGGCTTTTCTACAAATGCCAGCATCAAGTAGAGGAAGATGATAAATGTGTATCCCCTGTAACACAAATTAGATCATATTTTTTTAATGGAAATATCAGTCCACTTCCATATATCTAATTAGAATATCAGTCTGTACAAGATAACTCTTAGGCTAGGGATAAATTTAAAATTCCATCAATTAATAAACTAATTCAAAAAAAATTATTTCTAACAGCATATTGGATTTTTTAAAAACTAAAAAGAAAAAATGGCAAACTGAAAAATCACTGTTAAGTCAAGTAATAACACAAAAATTGGCAATGTATTACTCAAATGTTTTTGCCCTTAAAAGGATTGAAATTGGTCAAATTAATTATAAGTTTAAGAATTTGTCTCTCCACAGTTACTCATTAGTTCAGCAAAAAATAGGCCTTTTTTAGCCACATGTAAACCTCTGCTTACTTCCAGTTGACTGGAAGTAATCATGGTGGATGGGAACAAATTAATGTAGATCTCAACTATTAAACTTTCAAGGATATTGTATTTGCTGCTCAGCTATTAAAAATTTAAAATCAAAGAATATCTAATAATTGGCCAGCTCGTGCATAAAGTGCTTAATTTTGGGATGAAACATGATTGTGAAATTGTAATTATTGGTGTTGCAGCCATGCAAGGTTGCTCTTATCTCAAAAGCCATGCTTCCGAAAAACCAGAGAGAGAACCAGAAGTTCTTTTTGACTGATTGAAGTTAAAGATTTTGGCAATGAATTCCTCACATTTTCTTTCATCAGAAAAGCACAGGATTATTTTTCTCCTCTGCTGATCAATCCAACTGCCAATGTTTACCTAAGATAATTAAATTCAATCACGGTTCTTGTTTTATATCAGATCATAAACAATCAAAGATATTCTCAGTATTAGGTTTGTGCCCAAACTCAACAAGTTTTTGTTCCCTTGGAACTACTCCAATATGCTTTCATGCTCCAGCGACTTTGGGACAACAAATCACCTCAGTGTCTACATCTTAGTGAGTAACTTGTTTCTATATTAGAATCCCTGAAAAACTCATTTGCACGAGTTAAAAATGAATGTTCTAATCCCACATCATAAAACAGTACTCCATTCACAGTCAAACCTTGATTGTCCACACCTTGATTATCCGGATTTCTCAATTATTCAGACTTTTTCTCTGATCCCAGTTTTGTCATGAATACTTAGAAGTCATGATCAAGATTTGTAACCATATTCTTCAAAACTAGAGCATTAAAAAGTGAAATAAAGGCATGTTTGTTTCACTTTCAAAAAGTAAAAGCATGTGTTGTAACTAACGAAGAACATTTGAATGAGGTCTGATTGGCTTAGACTTGCTTTGTTGCTAAGTGAGATTTCACACTCTATTGGCTCGTTCAGTGTGGTATGCAAGATAAACAAGCTACACAGCATCACAAATGTTTATTCATGATCATCATGTCCTTGATTTGTAAATGTTTCGTCTCACAATTAAATGTTACTTTCTTAATTTCATCAGTTTTTGTTCCTCATTAATGTTCATGTTCTTGATTATCCAGACCCTCGATTATCCAGACAGTATTTTGTTTAGTCCTAACTAGTCTGGATAATCAAGGTTTGACTGTAGTTTAAAATGAGTAACTTTCATCTACATTATCTACATTATCTACTTTCTCTAGAAAATATAATTCTGCTTACCATCTGACAGGTTTGCTGTAGTACCACCTGTACATCCACAGTGACTTGCTGTCAACTTTGTGGTTAATTGATCTATACTATAAAAAGACATGGAAAGGATTTGGATTTGCATGTACATAAAGATACATAATAAGGGTTATTTATCATGCCACTCATACAGTGACGTGTGTGTTATTTAATCCTTTAACTCCCTGATCAAATTTTTAATTCTCCTTATTGTCAACCATAAAATCATAATTCTTATAATGTTACTTCAGAGAATTTAGCATTGGATTGACTAATTATTCCCAAATTGATATTTTTCTTTATTCTCATCACTTATCTGGTTAATATTGGATTGATATTCTATGGAGAAATTCTGTCCTAATCACCTTTGGGAGTTGAAGGGTTAAAACTGTTATGAAAAAACTCCCTGTATAACTGCTGTACTCAACAAAAGCCCTATTGCCTCACATATGACCCACAGATCCACAATACAAAAAAAAGAAAGAAAGAGAAACAGAGGCTGCCAAATAACAGAAAGCTTATTGGCTGAGTACTGTTGAGCTGGATGGAAAAATATTTTGCCCTCAGTCTTCAGGGATGTACATCTCTGTGCTTGGTATATACAGTACATCATATCGTCACAAGCCAAATAATTCTCATCTGCCCCTTCCATAACTACACAGTTAAGATCCCAGAATGTTAATGAAAAGAGGTTTAATGGAGAAATCTGAAGGACACCATTGAACAGTTAAGACAGAGCTGCTTTTTATGACTTATAGCACAAATTTCTCCTTTTTTACAAATAAAGGAATAAATTTAAAATAGGTCACAGCTAATGCTCACCCCTAGCAAAACCCTAAATCTCACCTTCTTGGTCAAAAGAAAGATGTTCTCCACATCTCTGGAAAACAACCCAGTACAAAGGCATGATATTTGATAGAGGATCCTACAAGGTGGTTTTCTCTCTAATTGTTTCTTGAGGGAGGGGGAGAAAGGGGCAAATTTTGTTTTATCATTTGACCACTACAAGAGTTATGCCTTCCTTGACCTTAACAGTATAAAATACATGAAGAGGTGAGGGATATGGAGAAGTTAATCACTATCCCCATCCACTACTTCCTAGTAATTTGTTGTTACTCCAGGCCTCTCCCTTCTGGACTACGAAAATTCTTCTTATTTCACTACAACTGGCCAAACCAAAATTAGGAAACACAATGACAATGAACTAACAAAAAAATTGGAGATGGCCTCATTACCTGTGCTGCATCTTCTACAAACACAGCTGCCTGGTTAATTGCATGTCCTGATATATCTAAAGAAAGATGAACAATATAAATACAATCAATTTTCAACCCAAATTTCGGCTTAAAAGTACAATCTAATGCAAAATAAATCATGCACTCCTTTAATTTTTATTAAATTGAATACTGGGCTAACACTCAGCGAAAGGATAGCGCCGATGGCATGCGGAATTGAGGGATTATACATAACCCCTTCAAATGAGTTTTGACTCGTTGTTGGACAAATATATATATTACAAGACCTTTAGGAAACCATCATCATAGAAGGGACTAATATGTAGTATTTTAGGCTTTTATAGTCGATTTTTTACTTAAATGCATTCAAGATAGCATTCTTGGAGTCAAATCGTTAATGTTGCAAATTAAGAATCGCCAGTGCTAATCGATAATATGAGACAAAGCACTTCTGTTCCCAATCTATCGAGGTTTGATTTTCCACAATTATGAGTAAAAACTCGCAGAATGATCACAAATACTTTACCATCTTCATTAATTAAAACTCTTTGGATATTCTGCACCTCCATTTGTTCCATTACACGATCGAATGAAATTGTATTCGTCGCAGTCCCGAAAGCTTCGACCTTGGGAAAGCAAAACACGGGGTGGGGGACTACTGCTGACCATTTGCGGTGTTTACCGTCACAATCAAGCAAAACACGGAGTGGGGACTACTGCTGACCATTTGCAATGTTTTCCGTCAATCAGGGATGCTAGGGTAAGGAACTTTTCGGGACCAGCAAAGCTTTTCACAGAATCTAGGATAAGGCTTATAATAGATAATAAATAAGATAATAAATGTATGTTTTTATTTACATGGCATGTGTTAAGTTCGTGTACAATATTTGGAGCTGATGCTGGTTGGTCAAGCAAGAGGTGATAACCATTTGAAATGCCAATTATTACTGAGACATTGGCCTTTCTACCTCAAAACACATGCCCTGAACGTAACAACAAATCCGGATGGGATTTTGGGGGGTCACTTTGAATAAACAAATAAATTATAGAAAAACGAAGTGTAAATGTTTTTGGGAAGGAATGTTCCAGTTCCGTAGTTTGAGAACCTTTCGACCACTCGTCAATCCAAGTCTCGGATGTCTTCTTATTACTATCTATCGAAATTTTCCTTTAAAACTTTAAAAAAACGAATATTCATCCGTCTTCTCCAAACGTTTAGGGGCTAATGTCTGGTAAAATCCTCAAGTAAGAACGAGGAACGGGCGTTGTTTTCCGTGATCAAAGTCCTCACGGCGTCAGCTAGACTGAATGGAGGTGTTAAGAGAAGATCGACTCCTTTAAAATGCCCGGCGGTCACGGAAAGATGTCACTGAGAACCCACCTCAATGTATTCTATTAGATCTGTAGTTCTTGGCCCATATCAGTGTCGCACCCCGGATTGAGGGTTCCACTTTCCAAAGGGGCTTAGAGGGAAATTCTTAAAAATCTCCTGCTTCTTGTTTGAACGTCTAGATTATTTTTATATATTGGACTCTTTTGCCCTTTTAACCTCCTAATAATAACTATAACTGTATTCTAAACGCGTACTATATTACTCCACCAGAAAGAATTCCAAGCAAAAATTATTTACAGTCATTTCACAAGATATATATAATACACCACATCTTAGAAACCTACACGATTTTCAAGATTTTTGTACATAAATTTCGTATGGATAGCTGATCTGTCAGTATGAGATGATTCAAAACATTTACCCTATTGATATAGGGGCTAAATTCCTCGAGCGAGATTAGATAAACTGATTGCAAAGTCATTGTCTTTTTCACATAGTGTACCCATATTCAACGTGCAGTTAAGTTATTTAGAAAAACCAATACATCAATTATTCTTTTAGATGACTTCTTTCTCAACAACCGGTGAATGTATTCCATCCTCGTCTCTCTTTTTCTCTATGTAGGTTTCCCACACCATCATATAAATACATCGTGCGAGAACTACTAAGATCGGCCTTGATCTGTAGGACAGGAACTGCTTGGAAGCCAATTGTAATCTCCTCGGCTCATCTATGTGTTTCAAGCTTGTGCAAGCTGTAAGGCTGAGATGTGCAGAGGTTGTTATTTTGTCGGAGATGTTCCAGTCTTGCTAGGTTTTGCTGTTTGTAAACGGCGTTTCTTTTCTTGAGACTGAGTCGGTAAAAGGTGAAAGCAAAACGAAACAAAAGTTTGTCAAACTATACATTTAGAAAATTTCTCCAGTGGAGCTACATTTTATTACGATAGAGTGCGAACTCTTTCGTTTTGAAAAGTAGGTAAGGGGGACCTGCACTAGAAATATAACCTGTGTAGGAGAGGAACTGTGGGAGTTTCCGCGTATGAGAATTGTTAAAAATACCAGTCTTAACTATTCTAAACATGAAAACTGGCCTTTGAACCAATCGTTTAGACTGATACATCAAAACAATGGAGACACATATGGGTTTTAATAATGATAATCATTAAATAATCGTTTGATATATTTTGCTTTAGAGTGTAGAGTGGAATATGGGAGTATCACTTATTTACTCAAGTTAAGCTTTGTCGGTTCTTACCATTTTAGGCATGTGCCCGTCTGAGTTCCTTTGCTTCTCATTTCAGGTCTTTCTCTTCCCTGTTTCTCCAGAGAAACTTTACGTAATCTATTTAGCTCTGTCAGCAACGCCCTAAAAATTTAAGAAATAAAATTTACTTTCATTTTTTCCCCCAAAAGCCTGTCAGCAAAACTTTTTTCAACTTTAAGGGTTTTACATTTGGTGTAACCAAGATACGAGAGAGATGGTTCTTTGGTGAAGATAAAACTCACCATAAGGTAAATTAAGATTTATTAGGAAGCACACTCACACAACTATTTATTTCTACACTCTCGGTTACAAATGCTCTAGTTATCTAAAAACAAGCAAGTGCACCAAATTGATTTTAGTCCTAATGATGTAAAGAATAATGCAAAGTTTTTAATAACAATGGAAGAAATGAAGACAAACGAACAATTTGAACCTAATCAGACATATTTTTTGGGTGACCAGAAATAACCGTGATCTAAACAGTGGTCTGAATTCAATTGTACGAAAACTTCAATTTGCACCTATACTTTGGGTGGCAACTCTTATTGTGCATTCTATCTTCATCAAGGACCTTAATTCACGAATGTAAAATTTTCTTTTTGTCTTGTTTTTACAGAGGAGCTTAGCTTGGTTGTTAAAATTTTAGTCTTTTCAACAGGTATATTAATAGATATCAGGCAAATAAAAAAACGAAGAGGATAATTATCTTTCTTTCATTCAATCTTCTTGCCTTTCATAATTACAATATCCTTAATGAACTTGTGCGAGCCAAAGCAAAGCCATAAGCATACGGTTTGTGAGTTCTTTATTAACTAATCCTTGTCTTTGTTCTCCCTCCTTAATTAATGATTTAAATGTCTGATAACCACTTTGTGTTTTCTTTGTAGAAGAAAAACATTGTTTCAGACTTAATTATGATCTACTCTGACTGAGATAATTTGTATGATTATTGAAGGCTTCTTCTATGTTACCTTACGGTCGATTCAAGGGAGTCTACTTTTTGTCGAAGTATGCTGTTTTCTGAGTTGCACGTCTCCACCCTGAAAAAGAATGGCACGTACCAAATCAAAATCAAAGTCCGGAGAGCATCGCTTTACAATAATATCCTTAGAGCAATTCTGTGACACTTGAACGTCTTAAATAAACTTTTAGCCGGCGCAAGGGTGAAAACAGACAAAAGCAGGCCAAGAAAAAGTTACATTAGGTTTTACACCCGAATATATCGAAAAACAAAGTAAATAAAGCGAACCTTAGCGTGCAAGACTGCCTACTTATATTTGTTTCAGTAATAATCCCAGTTTGCATTAAATTAATCAACAATGGTCACATCGCATGGCCATACTTAAACATACTATTTCCCCCCAAAAGTGTCACCACTGACTGCTTTTTTAAGGGCTAAGTGGATAAGGATCACAGTAACTTTATTGGTAGTTTTTATTTGTTAGTATGCAACTTACCTTTTCTCCAAACCTTCGACGTACTCTTTTTTCTTTCGCCTGCTTTCTTGAGCAGAGAGCTTGGAAAAAAAAAACATACCATCTCTAATTTTGGTTTATATTATTTTACAACCGCTACTCAACTTATTATCGTGTTTAAGCTGTGGATGTGCTAGAACTCGCATACGTGTTCGACACGTACCGACCGGAGTAGAATATTCAGGACAAACTGACAAAAAACTGATACGAATTGGGAAGCAAGAATAAATCCTTACCTTGTTTTTAATCTTACGCCGAATCCTTTTGAGGGCCCTCTCTTCTGCCTAGAAATAAAATATTGCTGCCTTTAGTAGTCGTTTCGTTCTAGGTACTAACCAACAAAAGATAATTTCTAACGGTTACTAAGACCGCGTCATCGACTAGTAAGAGGACGCCGGTTATATGTATCATTTCTGTCATGCAAAATGCAGGATTTCAAGGTTCACTTCCCACTGCTACCTTAGGACTATTATCCGGTCTCCAGACGAGAGTTCAGTAGCCATATTAATACTATAAATATACCTTTGTCAATGGTATCCTGTTTGGTACTGGAAGTCCTTCAGAAACGAAAGTTTCTTTTTCCTCATCTGTGAGTTTTACTTTATCATCGCAGCCTTTCTCAGTGAAAATGACGTCCTTCGCAACCTAGGAAAAAAAAATCAATATTCGATAACAACAATCAATATTTCATTTTATGATTCACGTCACTCCAAAGTAAATAGGAATGAAGACAGCAGCAGCTGAGTAATTTCAATCACATTTTGTCGTCCACACCTGATCGCATTCGTCATCATTGAGTGAATAACCTTGTTCTCCACTGACGTCAATGTCGCTGCTGTCTGAGTGCTCTTGTTCTTCAAAGATATCTTCTGGGTAAGATGCGACTTCTATCTCTTTCTGAGAAGAAAGTAAAAGCGTTAGCTAGTATAAGCCACATGATGATATATTTAATATATTTGGGTGTACACTTAAAATAGGCTTCTTTCTATTCTGGTTCGAAAGGCAATGCACTGCTTGAGGTCGCGAAGGACCTTAGACCAGAAAGGATTCTGCATCTTACACCCTCGTCAGTTCGAACGTGGCTAGCAACCTCACAGCTGACAAAGCTAACGTTTATGCTATACTGTTTCTGACTATGTTTCTTACGACAAAAGCAAAAAAAAATTTGCATAGAAAACGTTCACACCTTTTCTAGCAGAGAAGAGATCTTGAAAAGAAGTTTTCTGTCTTGCGAACGGTCCTTTGGAGAACTTTTCAGGCTGAAAGCATGACAGCCTTTCGATGAATTTGCATTCTAAAGGAACGGAAAAAAGGAATATCAAATGTGACGAAGCCTTTTGTTATGAAAAAAACAATTTCGTGGACCAAAGAACAACGACAATGAATAGGAAAGAACTGAACTCGATGGAAAGAAATCCTCGTAAAGCAAAAACAATCCAGACTGGCCCTTAATAAAACTCGTTCTCTCTAAAAACCCACTTATCATTACGCGTTAACATACACTGAATGCCACACCTTCTAGCTAATATCCTTATTCACAGTACATCGTAAAAGGATCTGAGCACATCGTTGAACTAAATTGATTTCGAATGATATCATGAAACAACGTTTGATTATGAGACCAAATATTCATGAGACAAACCCTGATCACATAGCAATAGATTTTTTTATGTTTTTTCGTACGTATTTTTTTACAACTCATACTCGAACCACAGAATCTCCTTCACAGCTCTCTGAAAAGCTCTTTTTCTTTGGAATTTGGTTTTATCTGACCTCATCGCTTTCAAAACCTGGGATAAATGTATTTAAAATTTGCCCCGTATTTCTTCTTAAAGATCTCAGAGTAAATGAAAGCGGATTTTTGCTAAAAAATACTGCAAATATCAGAGCAAGAACAATATAAATTGATAGGAAATGTTGAATTAGGTATGATCGGTGTAAAAATTTCATCCCGGACTCTATCCATGTATTTACAGTAAGGAGAACGGTGCTATGCTGAGTATGAAAAAGAACGGTCGAACCTCCTCTTTTGTCCAACAACAGCCACTTTTGCATTGTTTTAGCGTGCAGTCCTTATTTTAACCTCTCCACATTAGCAATTAAGCCTTTACGTTTTCAAGAGGACAACCCTTTGTAGCTTTATTTCATCAAAGAGAAGAGAAATCATCCTCCTGGAAAGGGTAAACGTTTCACTCACCTTATTCACAGTACCTTAACTCGTTTTTTTTTGTTAGCAATTTTTTGCTAATAATAGATTTTTGGTTTCTTCCTTACTTACATATGATTTTGGATTGTATTTCTTAATCTGTTCCCTATATATAACTGCCAACCATCTACAACGGTCTTTTCCTGCCGAACTCAATGCGGCCGTAATGAAGATACTTGAATGCACTTGCAGATGATCGAACTTTGCGTGTTAAGATTCATTATCATATAATAATTAGAAAAACGAAAAGTACAATTTCTCAATCCAAGTATCGAAGCAAAAAAAAAAAACCAAACGCGGCCAGAAATATTTTGTTACAACCTTTTTACGGATAAAAAACGCAGAGGTGATTCTTTCTTCCGAAGGGAATTTCATGCAAACCCATTTCCGATTGCAGCATCAAGACAAAAAAATTCTAAACAAAACCAAACCAAACTGAATCTTTTAAAGATATACCTCTCGACGTAAACAAAGCAGCGTGGTATAAATTACGGCTGCGAGTTTGTCACCAAAACAAAGTATTTAAATCGAGAATCAAAAATTTAAAAATGAGCACCACAGCTGAAAATTAAGAACAGACTTGGAAGGATGTCTATGAATTAATTAAGTAGTCCTTTTTTTTCGTATCAGTACCATCAAATAAATATCCCTATATAATTTGCATAAACTTTCAGCTTTGTGCACTTGTAAAATTATCCTATACAACTCACCTTGAGAGAATGAACACCCGTAAATTCGTCGTAAGCTTGGTTAAACGCCTCCATCGCCTCGTCTTCGTCACGTAGCAGTTAGAAACTACAAATTGAAGTGCATACATAATTTTGTTTAAATTTCACGTACATCTTCTAGCGACGTAAAAAGTGACACATGAAAGAACACGATAAAGATGAATGACGCAAATAGAAATTTAAGGACAACTTGGAAAGTAAACTATGAATTCAAACAACGTAAAATTGACTTCAGATTATCTTTTACAGAAAACAGTTATTTTGTAATGGATACTGATATTATTACTGAAAGCAACGTCGTTTCAATACCATTAAAATAGTATGAAAACTGACCATCTATCGTCGGGTCGCAATGCAGAGCAAAGCGTAATTATTTCGCGGTTAAAATCATAGCTTTTCATGGTGGTCCATAAAAATGCTATATTAATGTTCAAGAATTGAAAGATACTTAATCATGCTGATTTTAAGCGTGATGCGAGTACAATTACTTTTACCCTTAATGAGTTTTTTCGTCTATGACGGATACATCTCAAATAGAAGTTGTTATGAAACTGGGACTTCCTTCATCACAACTGTTTTGGTAATTCTCATTTAAGAATATGTTTTAACATTTTGAACACATAGCGGGCAGGACTTCTTTACTCGCATTATAAACAACATTATCGACCTTGAGTTGTCCCCTGGAAATATGCATATGGAAGATGAAGCGAGTCTTTTTTTTTAGGCAATTAGAGTGCGAATGATATACTCATCTTGAATCAGTAGAGGAAAGGTAATAAATCTTCCCTTTATAGGGCAGTTTCTCCTGCATCTCCTCCCATATTCATTCCACGTCAAAATTTTCAACATAAGTGTTCCCTTTTAGCGGCGAACTCTTTCGTTTTGGCCTAAAAAGTGGACAAGTTGCTATGCAATCTTTATGTGAAAATAACCTCGAGCGTTGGTACATTGCTTCAACTACGGTTGTGCAAAGCGAATCTCAATTTTTTCGAAATATATTTTGCCCGAAAGAAGTTAGTCTGCCTTACCTCCGTTCAAAACAGAATCTGAATACTCTAGGTAATAAACCGAAAATTCTTCAGTCAACCAAGTTCTTCACACTTTACTGTAAACCTTTACTCTAAATCTGACTGTGTATAGGAGTGGCGTTTACAAGGTGTATGCAAATAAGGATAGAAGTCGAGTACATGTTAACCAAAAACACGTTGAATACCTTTTTACACGTGAATAAGGTTTCTTATTTCCTCACTTCAGTCAAAGACAAATGCAAACGAATGTCCGGCGTATCGGTCATTAGAGGACGTTTCTATGGTGCAGTAAGATCTGCCTGGAAAAAACGTCATCTAGTCCACAGAAGAGGGCTAATTAGTGCAGTTAACTTTAGTCAAAATACGAACGACTTTTTTGCTGTTAAAACTTAACTGATTATTGCTAGCAAGCTTGCTCACTTTTTTTCTAATACTTCGCTTTTATCAATAAATCTTAAGAAAAAAAGAAAGTTCTGTAGACAGCTTTTCATTAGGTACTTGTTAAACACGAATTCAGTAACCGTCGTCATGTAGAAAGAATCTCCCGTGCACACGTTTGTGTTTTATTTAGCTACGTGCTTCGACGTGTTGCCACGAACCAGAAGATATCGGGGTATTAATTAAATATTAAAAAAAAACAAAAAGAGTTACTTTCGCCATAAGCTGAAGTTGTTTTCAAAATAAATCTGTAGCCATGACCCAAACAGTGCAAACGAGAAAAACTATAAATGAAGTAAATATATACCAAAAAAACTACGTTTTAAAAATGTTGATGTCTCGTGTACAATTAGAAGAAATATAAACAATGCACCTTTGCTTTATTTATACATATAGGTAGAAAAACCTTAAAATTCTGAACAAAGTTATATTTTAAATTAAATGAGAACGCGGTTCTTTTTCAAATTAAGAAAAGCAGTTGCGATATTAGAAGGAATTACGTTGCAAAACTATGAGGTATTTGACGTTGCTTACTAAAATGGGCATTTGCTAATTTTTTTTTTTGTCTGCTGAAAAATCATACAGCTCCCATGAAATCTCCCTCGATATCATCCAAACAGCGTTAGCAACTAGTAAACGTTCTGCTTATATCAGGATTTCTATAATTAACATTTGGAGAATTTTCCTTTATTTTACTGACCAAAGCTAAATGGGTGATGTAATTACGAATGTCTCCCCTGTTTAATCCTGTAGAACTGCAGGGTTCCTACCTGATCCTGTTTAAACAGCTGTCTATAATAAAAGCCCAGTTTACAAAGCAAGAAACATATTCGCAAATTTACATCTCTTAGAAGGTAAAACGTTCCGCCAGAAGACACAGGGTTCGTGTCATCTCCGGTCCACGACAAACAGCAAGCACATAATGCAGTAATTAATTTTCTCGACAGCACTCAAAGTTTCTACATAAAGTTGCGAGCGCCGCTTTAATCGCCGCTTTGAACGGAGAACTATTCATTTTGAAAAGTGATTTTTGAACAGAATTTCCCGTGATCCTGTCCCTCGAATACCAATTGTTTTGTGAACTACCATACCCCAGAGAAAAAGAGAGCGAGACTATTTAAAGCTATCACGCGTGGACCTTAGGATGTAAATAATAGTTAAATACATTTATTTTTCTGCTGATCTCAACATTTAAAAAGCTAATTTTTTTAAGCCAGAAATGAAAATCAATCTCCAATGAGACCGGACGGAAGTTATAGAGAAAATTCAGAGTTAAACTCTTCCGCAAATATCTCCAATTTCGACCACCTTGAATTCCGTCCATCGAATGAACGGAGCTTCCAAATGTTACAAAGCAACGCTTAGAAATAACTACATAACGATTTCTTTACTTTAGTGACAATTGGCAAGAAAACGGTGGATGGAAAAAAGCCGATTTTAATCTCATAAGTGAAACGCCACTAAACCATACCTTATTAAGGCCAAGTTCATATTGGAATTGCTATAGAGTAATTAATTCCGATTCTTTTGCTATAAAATAAGCGACTAATTCAAATAGGTCTCAACGATGAGAAGAAAAAAAGTAAATTGAAGATTTTACCTAGCTTTAGCGAGGTCCACAGAGAACGCTGATGTACTTCCTTCCTCGTGATTTGCTTTGGTAATTTCCCACAAGTCGATCGAATGTCGAGAACAAACTCAAATCAAAATTTTCTTATTTACCTCTTGTCATGCAAATAGATCCCATTAGCGATGCTGGCCACCCGCGCTGGACCGGCTAAGAGACAATGAAAGTTCAAGCAATAAGAAGGGGATATGGTTATTTATTCAACAGTTCCTTATTTTCTCAATTTCACGCCACAGTTAACACGTTGTCGAGTCAGTTTGCGGACGGCAGGCGGACACGTGGCACAAACTCACGGTGGACTCGTTCTCGAGTCATGAGTACAAACGTGGCGTTTTCAATAAATAAGGATTCGACGACCGTCGGATTAAAAAAAAAAAGATCGCATGGTTGAATCATAAATGAAATTAATGATACTGAAAAGAGCGTTCAAAAGTCATTTCGATATTTTACAGAGGATTTCCTTCTGAAATTCGAGATTTTTTTTACCATTCTTTACGTTTTGCGCCAAGCTTACGCCAAACCATACGTGGCGTGTTAATCTATTGTGTAAGGTAATTAAAGCTGTTGTATTGTGGGAATTTTTTTGATTCTCATCCACCAGACAAAGATTTCTTATTCTTGAACTTTTGAAGGTTTTCCCGCAGGAAAAGATCATGTGAGGCCAAATCAATTCCTATATGACATAGAAATGCGAAATGACAGTGACAACAGCTTACACTGCCTGAGCTAGCCGGCTATGAAATGAAACTACAACAAAATCTGCATCATTAATTCAGATTGCCATTATTTTCATTAGTTTCCTAGCAATTTAGTTTCAACCAATGGAAATGTCTTTGTATGAAGGTAAATGCAAAAACTAAGTAGTTGCAAAACCGTTTCTGCCGTTGCGAAAGTGAGAGGACAAAAGAAATTGCGTGTTTTTGAAGTATGCTTGTAGTAAATATAAATGTATCTTTGTTGAATAAAGTTATAATTCGTGGTAAATTTAAGAATATTATGTTTATGGTATCATTTTTATATTTTTATCGTTTGGATATAAATTTTAAAGCCGTTAAAAAGTATGGCTCCTTTTATTCACAACTTTACACGGACAAAGGAAAGCAGGATAAAGTGAAAATTGTAGACGTCACAAAAAGACCATCAGAGGTTTAACACGCGCGGAAAATCTTCATACCACGTGTGCTGTTTACATTAGTGAACTTGCGTTATCCCACGAGTTTCTAGGCCTAATAGTCTTCGTTTTTTAGTTCATTTTGATCATCTTTATGTCCTTTATTACTTCTGATCGGAATTTGCTTAAAAAAAGGTTACGGACTTACACAGAGACAATAGTTCCGTGCATTTGAAAATGGAAATCTTGAAAAGGTACGTTCATCATAGCGTCTCAAAGGAATTGTGTTTAGATAGAACAAAATCCTAGAACGAAATTTTAATGCTGTGTAAATAGGATCTAAGAGGATTCCGGCGATGAGAAAAATGCTAAATGTTGGATCAATAACGAATTTAACTGTCTCTACCTTACCATAGAGGGATAATTTACTTTCGACAAAAGTACATTTATATTTCTGTAACTGATTGACGGTATTTTCATTCATTTTCATTGTCGTAAAGAATTGTTTTCCTAGAAAAGAATTTACATAGATAAGCAATAAAGAGGTAAGAAAACACCAAAAACGACCAAGAAAGGTGGAAGATGGAGAAAATTAACATGGATTGTACATCAGGAACCCAAAACCCTAACCCAAAATTTTCAGTACGTGCAAACAATGACCAAGCACAATCAATCGGACTAGACTGAAGTACTGAGGTAGATGGATGTTTCTCTTTCGTCCTTTTCCTTTGCTTTATTTTCCTAAGATGAGAAAATATTGTCATGACAACAAATGCAGCCCTCCAATCAGTTTACTCCGTATCTTGCATTCCGGTAAGCGGTTTTAAAGTCCCGGCCTTTAAAGGCGGATCACCAGCACATCAAAACGAGAGAGTAGTTTTCAAAACGAAGTTCACCCGGGTTTCTGCAAACATCATTTGATTATCAACAGGGCTGTGGCAGAGCTGCATAACGTTTGCACCCGCTTCATTGACCGCATACCGGTGAGCATATCTTTATTCAGCTCTGCCCAAGGCAGCAGTTTTTTGAAGTTGAGAGGTCTCCAGATAAAAGACAGCAAGAAACTAAGGAAGTACCCCTTGCATCATGCAACAGACTCCGTAACTGCGGT